TCCTCCTCCTCCTCCTCCTCCTCCTCCTCCTCCTCTTCCTCAACCAAATTAGACGATACATACATTGTAAAATACATCCGACCACCACGCCAACAATCCAGCTACGATGAGGGTCATGCTCGCAAGATGCTCAGCTATCGAGTCGAGGGAAACTTTTACCGACATTTCGCGCACACTGTCGCTACCGAGGGTCTGAGTGTTCCTGCGCTCTTCGCCTCCGCGGATGATGCGGGCGAGGAGGGAGAGCTGTTGATTTTGGAGGATATATCAATCCGGTTTCCGGTGTTGACGGAACGACGTGGGACGCTCGATTCCGCTCAGATCCGCAAGAGTCTCGAATGGCTGGCCAACTTTCACGCACGCTCTTGGAACATCACCCGTCGTCCTGATCTGCATTCCTTTTGTCCGGAACCCGCACTCGCCGCAGACTGGCTAGGATCAGGGTTGTGGAAGCAGGGAGGCTACCACTACCTGTCCACACGTCGAGAGGAACTCGCTTCGATCTCCCGCACCTCTCGCTGGGGCTCGCTCGGCCTTCACGCCGACTCCGATCTACCCACTGCCGTCGATTGGTGCCTCAACAACCCTCCCACACCTTCGTCCCTCTCCCTCATCCACGGTGATGTGAAATCCGCCAACATGGCCTTCAATCCCACCTCTACGTGCATGGCAATGTACGATTTTCAATACGTAGGCATGGGCCTAGGTGTACAAGACCTCGCGAAATTTCTCACCACCTCCATACCCCCTCACCACCTCACCTCCCGCGATGGAGAAGAATCCCTCCTCAAAACGTACCACAATTTTCTATCACAAAATCTTCCGCACGGAGCAGAGTATAGCTTCGACCAGTTGAAACAGGATTGGGAATTGGCCCTCGTAAGCTGGACCCGATTCTTGGCGGGTTGGAGCGGCGGGTTCTGGGGTAACGTCGATTGGTTACAGCATCGTGTCGAGCGGTTGCTTCGTGATCAGAAATGGGTGGAATCGGTGCTCAAGCGCTGGAAGACAGCGACACAACTCGAAAAGGTGAAATAGAAAGAGAAAACACACACACTCAAGCTCCAACATTCGAGAGAAATGCTTCGATTGAATTGAACCCCTACATCCTCGCTCAATCCTTCCTCTTCTTCTTCGGCCTCTCCTCCCCTTCATCCTCATACCCCGCATCCCCATCCTCATCCGAACTCGCCTCCGACGGCGACCCTCCATCCGTATCCGAGTCAGCCGCGAAATCAGCATCCTCCTCACTATCCTCATCCTCATCCGCACCTCCCGCAGCCCCCATCTCCTCATCATCGTCATCGCTCAGCAACCCAGCCGCCGCCGCCGCTGCCAGCCCACCCGTCTCTTCGGCCATCTCGTTCTTGATCCTCACCTTGCGATCGGCGAGCCAGGCCTTGAGACGATCGAGCTCCTCGCGCGAGATGGACTGGAACGTGTGGTCGGTGCCGCTCTTGGTGGCCACCCTGAGATCGAACGTCTTGGACGAAGCCACGGCGCCACCGACGCGCGACAGGATGGCCTGGTGGATCTCCGAGTACGGCACGTACACCGGCTGCTTGGACACCCACAGAAGCGACTTTTCGAGCGGATACAGGTTGCCATCGGCCGCCTTGACGTTGCACTTGATGCTCGTCTGACCCGACGACGACTCAAAGTCGGTAGGCGTAGCCACCTTTTGGCCCGAAAGCACCTTGAAAATGTTGGTGACGATGCGGAACGTGGGCTCCTCGTAGCGCTTCTTGAGCTTGCCGTCGTACTTTTCTTGGATGGTCTGCTCGTCGAGGTTGAGTTCTGCGTCCATCTCCTCCTCGCGCGGGAACTGGAGGACGAGGTAGGGGTATCGGGTCTGACCCTGGCGGATGGGCGGGTCGAGACCGATGACGAGCATGACGTGGATCTCGTCTGCCTTGGGTAGGAGGAAGAGCTTGTTCATGGAGCTGTAGAGGATCTTGTAGTCGTACGTCTTGCCGCGCAGACGGATGAAAGAGTTGAACACGTCGATGTCGTAACGGCCACGTGGGGTGAGCACGAGCACCTCCTTGAAGACGACGATGGAATCTCCAGCAACCTGGCCGATGTCGGCCTTGGATTTGAGCGCCTCGTGGAAGGCCTCTGCTGCTGTCTCTTCGTTGTTGTCTTCGCCATCTGCAGCAGCGCTGCCAGCGTCGCTGGCATCGTCCTTTGTGGCTTGACCAGGTACGTAGAGGCGCATCTCGACGAGCTGATCGCCCTTGTTGCGCCTGGATTTTGAACCGTTTGCGTCGGAGGAGCCGGTGTTTGCGCCGGGCTGCTGCTGTTCTGGGTTCAAGAATTCCATGGATACTTCTGTCTTTGCAATGTTGCTATTGGCGAGGTGTGAGAGTGGCAATTCGAAGGCTAGCTTGTCTCGAACCAAGAATTGGACATCGTGGTTGCTGATCTTTGCCTGGCCCCAATTCCAGCCTCTTGTGGATACTTCTTTTGTTTCGAGAGGCTTGTTGAAGTACTGACGGAGGTGAGAGGAGAGGCGGTCAAAGTCGTCGCGGACAAAACCATCAAAGTTGGTGCGACGAGGGTTTGGCTGTGCTGAGGAAGGAGCGTCTCTGTCCTTGCTGAGGGAGATGGCGAGCTGGTAGTTTCGTGCTACTCTGATCCACTGGAAGGAAGCCATCTGGTCTGCGGGGATGGTGATGGTGCTGCCTTCGCCTACGGAAGGCTTCCAGCCGAGACCGCCCTGAGACATTCTGAGCTTGCCGGGGGTCGTGTCAAGACCATGGTAGATGTTTTCCCACTGTGTTGTGCCCGACATGCTGGCAGTGTCTTTTGGAGTGGAATGCGATGAATGTGGTGGGTGGTGCAAAGGCTGAGTCGAGTCGGGCTTGAGCGTTCTTCTGCAACTCGAATTCTGAGCTCTCAACGCGACACGAGTCTGAGTGTTCTTCTCTTCTCTCTCGCCGTCCGTCACACAAGCGCGCTGCGCCAAGGATGAATGTGTTAAGTCGATACTACTGGTGGTCAGCCAACTTGGAAAATGAAGTCACGGCCCAGCCGATGGGCCGCACGGATCAGGGATGAGGCATTTGGCAGATGTGATTCCATGTCGGAGTAAGCTCACCGATTCAGCCCTCCGAGCGATTTCAGCCAGAGTGCAGCACAGTACAGTGCAGCACGACACAGCACAGCACAGCCGAGCCGAGCTGCCATCCAACCTTTCTCCTCACACAGTCCCCTTTCTTCTTGTTCCTCACCAACCTACTCGCCCCTTAGCCTGCTATCCCATCCACTCCCATCCTATCCTGGTGCATCGAATCGACACTGTCGCCTCGTCCAAAATGAGTCGGTTCGTACGCCCTTCCAAGTACCGTCACGTCTACCCCAACGTCGCCAAGAAGGAGGCTTGCTACGAAAACGTAAAGGTCTCCAACAATGCCTGGGATACCAACCTCGTCGCTGCCAACGGCAAGTACATCTCCATCAACTGGAACGCTTCTGGCGGTGGTGCCTTCGCCGTCCTCCCCGTCAATCGTCCGGGCAAGCTTCCGGACATCTACCCACTCTGCCGCGGTCACACTGCCACCGTCCTAGACACCGCATTCAGTCCGTTTGAAGACAACTTTGTCGCATCCGCATCCGATGACGGAACCATTGGTCTCTGGAAGATCGACGATGCCAACTTTGACCAGCTCGAGTGGTCCGACAAGGAGAGGGAGCGAAACGGCGGCGTCAAGGACTTCCAACCTCTCGCACGCGTTTCCGGTGGAGGCAGGAAGATCGGTCAGGTGGTCTGGCATCCTACCGCTTCCAACGTGCTTGCGGCTGCCACCGGTGACCACGTCGTCAAGCTCTTTGACGTCTCGACTGCTTCCACCGCCGCATCCTCCCCCAGCATCAGCTTGCGCGGATTCACCGACACCATCCAATCCCTCGACTGGGACTGGACAGGCACCACCTTGATTGCCACCTCGCGCGATCGAAAGATCCGCACTTTCGACCCGCGTCAAGGCGAGAACCCCGTACAGGTCGCCGATTCGCACGGAGGAATCAAGGGCGCTCGTGTCATCTGGTGCGGCGACAAGGACCGCGCCATCACCACCGGCTTTTCCAAGATGTCCGATCGTCAAATGTTCCTCTGGGATACCAACAACCTCGCCAACGGCCCGCTCAAGCAGATCACCCTCGACACATCCAGCGGTATCATCATGCCCTTCTGGAGCGACAACAACATTGTCTTCTTGGCTGGAAAGGGAGATGGCAACATTCGATACTACGAGCTGGAAAACGACGAGCTGCACTACTTGACCGAATCCAAGTCGAGCGAGCCGCAGCGTGGCCTCACCTTTGTCGGCAGGAGATTCTTGAACACGGACGAGAACGAGATTGCCAAGGCGTACAAGATCACCGGTACCACCATCCAGCCGGTTTCCTTCTGCGTGCCTAGGAAGGCGGAAGGCTTCCAGAGCGATATCTTCCCGCCTGCACCTAGCGCCGAGCCCGCGCTGACCAGCAAGGAGTTCTTCGAGGGTAAGAGGGCGCCGAGGAACATGGTGAGTTTGGAAACCGGAAGGGGTGTTAGCAGCAGTGGTAGCGTTCCTACCGCCACTTCAGCGGCTGCGACGACGGCGACTCCGGTGAGAGCAGCAAGCCCTACCAAACCGGTCTCTGCACCAACACCAGCACCCGCAGCTGCACCAGTGGCGTCATCGACTCCGGCAAGATCTGCTTCGCCCACCAAACCTTCCCCTGCGCCGGCACCCGCAGCGGCGGCTGCACCAGCTGCACAGTCGACTCCCACCCCCTCCTCGGAGTCGAAATCGACCAGCAACGGCGTCTCCGCTTCCAAGGAGGTGGCGGATCTACGAGCGCAGATCGAGCAGCTGAGAACAGCAGTGGAGGAGCGAGATACGCAGATCAGACATTTGGAGCAGGAGAATGAGACGCTCAAGGCGAACCAGAAGCGTGCTAGGGAGGCGTTGCTCAGCTCGATGTGAGCGTTGAAAGCGGGATAGATGGGGTGCGCTTGTGTGGTAGAGTAATCCAAGTTTAGAGATAAAATAATGCTTTCGATGTGTGTGACTTCAGGGTTTGAATACGTGTTGTCTGTACCACTTGAGTTCGTCGATACTCGCCTGGATATCGGCGAGAGCTCTATGGGAACCCTTGCCCTCCTTGTTACCTTTCCAGGGGGGTTGTTGGGGATACCAGCGTTTTACGAGTTCCTTGATGGAGGAGACGTCGACGATGCGGTAGTGGAGGTGGGAGATGAGTTCGGGCATTTCGAGGTTGAGGAAGGATTTGTCGGCGTGGACTGTGGAGCCTGCGAGGCAGGCGGTGGAGGGTGTGGGGATGCGATCGCGGATGTAGGCGAGGAGGGCGGTGCGGACGAGTGCGTGTGGGTGGGAATAGGGCGGAGGGGAAAGGCAAGCACTGGTTAGGCCGGACAGAGAGTGCTGGTTGATACACCTAAAGAAGAAAGCGGGTTAGTGGAAAAGCAACAGGATAAGAGGATTAGGGGGGTAAAGGGGAAAGGAAACGTACCATTCGTTCATATTGTCCAGCACACTCTTCTCGGTGGAAACGACATAACTAACGCCTTGATCCACCGCATTCAGCTCTCCATCCGTAACAATGCACGCCACCTCCAACAACCGATCCCCCCTTTCCACCGATAACCCCGTCATCTCGCAATCGATCCACACCAACGGTCCATCCGACGCGCCCAACTTCCGCGTTGCCGGCGGTGGAGGTATCGGCGACAACGACGACGACGATGACGACGACGACGACGAAGATGACATTGCGACGTCGGATGGTGACGAAGCGAAGACGGATGTGAGACGGGAGATGAGCGACCGTCGAACCGAGGTAGTGGTGTGTGTGCTTCGGAAGCAGCCGATCCAAGATCCAGAACCGCTAGGCAGAGGCGTAGGGCGAATGCGACTTGCTGCAACACAACCTAGGCGTGTGCGAGTGATCGAGAGTGTCGACTGAATCTTGAAAGATGTATGAGATACCTCGAGTGCCAGTGTGTCGAGCGGTGCAGGGTGAGCGAAGCGATGGTGGTAACGAGTCGAACACCAATTCATACCGACATGCAGGGTCCACTTTTTTCTCTTTCTGTAGCAACGCCTTCCCAGCACCTTTCTTTTTGCTTCCCGCGTTTCTGCGCCGCCATTTCATTCGGCGCATCGAGTCCCACAACACACACATTCGGCTGCACACGACACGAGAACAGCCACGAGATCACATGGTATCGGTATTGCAGTCCTACATTAGCAATGTCTGCGCAGTACAGTCAAGAAACAATGACGCTCTGCTCCGTGCTCGCTCGCTAGGTCTTGGGCAATTCGGCCACCTCGGCATCAGCATCGCGCGCCTTGCCCAACTTTTCCAACAAACTCGGATGAATGGGGATAGCCTCCTGGAATGCGCTGTCGGTCGTGCTGTCCATCCTAGATATCGCAGTCATGGCTGCCGAGCTAGGTCTGCCTTCTGCCTCTCCTGTCGACGGGCGTTCGTGCGCCGTCGAGCTGGCCATGGCGGTCGAGGCGGTCGTCAGCGGAGCTTGCGCTGGTGTCGTAGTTGCCATTGCTGCTTTGCTCCCGTTGGTGTGAGAGCCGCCGTTGTGCAGCGGCGATCGCCCTGCGCCGCTACCCTCGTTCAAGCGAGACCGTGAAGCATGCGTCTTGGCCGTAGCGGCGCCACTACCCTTGGTCTGGGTCTGCGCATTGATGGCATCCAGTTCCGCCAGGTTGCGCTCCAGCGCCGAAAGCGACGTCCCTTCGCCCAGCACCTGCTCCTCGTGTTTGCCATCGATAGTGTCGTACTTCCATCGGATCACGCCCTCCCTGTCCAGAACACCTAATCGATCGTACTTGAGCGTGCCGACCACATAAGGTTTGAGCCTGAGCCAAGCAACTCGCACTTTGGTCGCCAAGATGTCGCGGTTCGCACGCAGGCTCGCCACGCCTTCGGGCTCCCAGTCATCGTCGTCCTCCCACCCCTCGGTAGGCGTTGAGCCGTCCTTGTGCGCACGCCCGAACTTGGGCCGCACTCCGTTCCCCTGGGCATCGGCGAGCGCAGCATCCCCGTATGCACGTGCAAGCGCACGCGTCGCATACTCAAACTCGATGCATGCGTTTCGATATGAAGTGTCCAGCTCTTCCGCTTTCTCCGTATCCTTCTGAATGTCATTCTCGTCCTCGCTCGGTGCCGGATAGCTGAAACACCAGTCGAGTTGTCCATGCATGCTGTCCTTTGGCAGATGCTCTGCTGGCACATGATCCTGCAACTCCTCTACCTTCCACGTAAGATGGACTTTATCCCTGACGACCGGATCCAGCAGCGGACGCAAGATACTCCAGATGGGTTTGAAGATCCAGGGCGCGCCGTGCACGTAGACGCGCGCCAACGTCTCGGGATAGAACGACTCCATGGTCTTGGCCATGAAGAGCACGATGCTCCAGTCCATGTTGCGGATGCCAAAGTTGTTGAGATTGAAAATGACCACCTTGCGCTCGACGGGTGGGGGCATGAGCAGCTGCAAGCTCTCCTGCAGCAAGATGACGCCTCGCTTGAGCTCCTCTGCTGTCTGGTTCGACGAGTAGTGCGAACCCACCTCGATGAAGTAGACAGGCTCGCCCGCAGCTGTGGCTCCTCGAACGTAGGAAATGCCGTTGTTCATAATGTTGAATCCACCACGCGTTTTAGTCAGTCCGAGCTCGGCGTCTTTCATGATGCCCGAAATGTTGTACTGCACACGAAACGCGCAGGTGGAACCGATGATGGCCAGGGCACGGTCGACGTCCCACTTGCGTGCGCGCAGACACCGGAGCATGTAAGCGTCCGGATGCTCGCCCTTGACGATGGCCCAGAACTCGCGCCGCAATGCTGCGCCGCCGTACTTGAGCAGGAAAGCCTGCATGTCCTTGCTCTCTTCGAGATGGCGCAGATGCTCCTTGAGCTTGTCATCCTTAGGGATGGCGTTGGGATCGAGACGCCCCGCTGCCTGCAGGTTCTCATGAGATACGGACGCAGACGAGCTGTGCGAGACCGGTTCCGAAGCCGCTGCGCGTGCCCTTCGACCGAGGCTGCGCCTAAGTGAATCCGACGAGCTGCGCGAGGCCGCGGTGGGTTGCGGAATATCGGTAGCGGCGCCGATAGAGTCGGAAGAGTGCGATGTGATCTCGCACAGTCGGAGGAAGCGACGCCAAAGTTTGAACAATGCCAGCGTCTGCGACGGTGTGAGGTTGCCTCGGTAGCCTGGCGAATGAAGGTAGTCGACGGTCGTCGAGTCCACCATGGTTGCCGATGCGCCGACGGATGGCGGTCACGGCGACCAACCAAATGAATCAAGGCTGCGCAGTGCACTTCCGCTCAAGGTTCGGATGGCTTGCTAGGATTGAGAAATCCGAAAACTGACGACGTGGCGTGGTTCGAAGTGCAGGAGGGCTACGACGAAGTGCAAGGAGGCAACGACCCGAGTAGCGGTGGCAGACAATGGACGATGCGAGCAGTTGAGCGGAATGACAGTGATGCGATACCTTGTCGACGCCACCTTCAGAAGGTAGATGGTGACAAAGGGGTGTGTGTGTGAGCGAGTTGTGGTGGTTCCGATCAACCAAGGAAGCTTCGACGGTTGAGAACGTAATGCGGCTGTGCCGAAGCGTCGGTCAAAAAGATGAGGTGGCACGGATCGCAACCATCAATTTTACCGCGCAGCCTAACGGAGCGCAGCGAATCGCCTTTTGCCGGCTTCGGGCAGGTTGGTGGCTCAAGGGCTGCTGGTGGTAGCTTTTCCGCGCCAAAATGCAAAAGCGAAGCGCTGAGAGTCTCCCCACGGGCCAAAATCGGAAAATGCGAGAGTCTGGAGCAAACATAGCCGAGCTGACTACTTAGCCCTGGAAAGCTGCAAAGAGGAAGAGAAAAGCAGATTTGGCGAAAAGAAGGAAGACCAACCGAAGGCGAAGCTAACACACACAGACACACAGACACACATACACAAGGCTGTGGCGCTCCGCAACGGGGCGGGGGGCGAACGAAAGCCATCTCGCAGCTCGCTTGTTACGCCTAGCTTGTCTCTGCCGCACACTACAGTGTCTCTGCTAGCACATCGCGGTGCCCTTCTGCGATGCCGGTGTTGTGGCGCGGCTACCCGCAACTACCTGTTAGTGCCTTGACAAAGGTGTTGGTGCTTCTTTGGGAACGGAGTGAGGCCCTGAACTCAGAAGACAACCTGCGTATCGTCGAACAACAGCGCCGGCGACTTTAAAGCTAATTAAACTTTAGCTTGCAGCACAGCAGCTCGTCCTCTGTTCTGTGATTGACAGCACGACCCGCATCCCCTCGTGGTCGTAGACCTTGAGTTTGCGCACTGTCATCAGCGGGACGTCATGCGCTCGACACATTGCTGCGACAGCGTTTCATTTCATTTGACCATCGAGCGCGACATCTTGGACGGGGGGTGGAAGCGCAAGAAGTCGGAAGTGATTCGCGCTTCGTCGTGGCAGGCATGTCTCATTTCTTCTCATCTCGGAACGTGGTCATTCTGTCGGCTCGATCCGTGCTAGTGCTGCATCTTTCTCCCACTCTCGTCGTGCATTGAAATCGACGGTCGTTCAGCTCAGCGGTCAAGCGTGGGAAAGCTTCGAGATTCCGACGTACTCTGCACAGAAGCATCAAAGGCGTAGCAGCTGCAACACACGCCTGCCTGTCTTGTCGTGTCTGTCTGCCAGAGCTCAGTCAACCAGGTGAGTCAGTACAGTCAGTCGGTCGGTTCGTCGACTTCGGCTTTTCCGGCGTCGCAATGCTTTTTGCGGACCGGATAAGCTTCACTTTTCGTCCCGGATTCGTTGCGGAAAGTTGGTCGCATTTTGCTGAAATTTCAGGTGAATTCCTTTTCCTTGTCGGCAATTCTTTCCTTCCAAGTGTGGAGAAGCGAGAGCCCAAAAAATAAGAAGCGCAGCACCGCGGAGAACAGGAGACGCGAAGAGCAACCAACCAACGTCACTTTGGCTTTTTTTTGTAGCATGATAGCCGAGGTGGCCAGTAGGGGAAAAAAAGGCGTGGATCACACGGACCTTGCCAGAAGCAGCTTGCAGGTTCAAATAGACCAGCTGAAAGTCGGGTCCACTCCGATGTTTCTTCCGTCCTCTCACCCATCATCACCGCTCCTCCACCAGAATTCATCCCCCTTCCACTGCTCTCCCGTCCTCTAGATATTCCGGCTCGTTCAAGCATCGGGTTGCAGCAGAAGCAGCGGGAACAGCAAACATGGCGTCTACAGCCGGCGGGCTGGCTAGGCAGCAACTTCGACAGTATGTCGGCAGAGGCGGCATTGTTGCGACACCTTCCTGCTCCTACTCGACGGTGGCAGCATCACGCACCATGGCCGCACCACTGCCGAATCGAAAGCCTGTCAAAGCAGGCTCAATCTCTGGTTTGAACAGGCAGAGAAGGTTCGGCACTTGCACACCCAAACTTAGCTCATGGCCAGCCGGAGCTGTCGAAGCCGTGAATGCCGACGACTCGCCCGCTGCTGCTTCTGCTGCTGCAAAGGGCAAAGGCAGGGCTCTGACCGCCATCCCGTCTCCGCCTCGCAGCAAGACCATCGCAGACCTCCAAGCGCTCAAGCATCATCCGGACGGCAGCGTCCCCATCGTCTGTCTCACCGCCTACGATTTTCCCACGGCTCTCTCGATCCGATCCGCTGACATCGACCTGTGCTTGATCGGCGACTCGCTCGCCAATGTCGCTCTCGGCCACACCTCGACCCAACCGCTGTCGCTAGAAGCGATGATCCATCACTGTCAAGCGGTCAAGCGTGGACTTGACGCACCCCTCTTCTCCACTGCGGCTCTGCTGGACGGTGTAGACCTGCCTCGGCCTCCGCTCGTGATCGCAGATATGCCATTCGGTGCGACTTTCGGCTCTCTCGATTTTGGCGTCGCTGCAGTGGTGAGATTGATCCAGGAATCAGGCGTAGACGGAGTCAAGATCGAAGGGTCTTACGAGACCATCCCTCTCATCCAACGTCTCACCGACCACGGGATCCCCGTCATGGGCCACCTCGGTCTACAACCACAACGAGTCGGCTCCACCTCTGGCTATCGTCTACAAGGCAGGACGGCGCAACAAGCCAAGGAGATGCTCGACGCGGCTCTTGCGCTCGAACAGGCAGGATGCTTTTCGCTCGTCCTCGAGTGCATTCCAACGCGTGTCGGCGAGCATATCAGCAAGAAGCTCAGCATCCCCACGATCGGCATTGGAGCAGGGAGCAAGACCGACGGACAGATTTTGGTGATGAACGACATGATCGGCGACTTGACCGGTGCAGGCCACGTGTTGGCGCAGCTCGCCGAGGTCGATTCAGGAAATGGAGGTGGCGCAGAGACCGCGGCGCTGCCGAAGATGAGCGAGTTGACGCCACCAGCGCCGAAATTCGTGAGGAATTTCAGTCTACCCTTGGGAACTTCGATTGGTGCGATGAGAGTGGCTGCTGTACAGGCATACACTGCGGCGGTGAGGGAGCGGAGGTTTCCTGATGACGATGTGGAAGGATACAAGATCAAGAGTGACGAATGGAAGGCGTTTTTGCAGCTTGTCAAGGAATAGGAAGTGACGGCAAGATGTCGCTTTTGTGCTTCTGCTAGACAGATCTGGACAAGGAAAGGAGTTGTCGAAAACCCGTATAGTAATACAAACATGAAGCGGATCTTTGTCCTTCGTAGCGGATTAGCGTGACCCTCTCTGCTCGTGTCGACCTCTGTGTTTGGGAGGGACGAAGCTTCTGACCCAATCCTCGTCGGTCTGATTTCCGCCGAATTCGATCTCGAATCCGCCGAGTGCGGCGTTGGGATCTGCACCGCGTGGAACCAGACCGCGGTTGAGGGAGGAGCCTCCGATTCCGGAGGAGAGGAGGGGGATGGCGAAGTGGGATTCGGAGTCCGAGTCTGAGATCTCGTCGTCGTTGTTGGTGGGATTGGAGGTGGTGGTGGTGGTTGTGGTCGTTTTGGGTGGGGAGATGGCGGTAGCGGTGATGGAGGAGGAGGAGGGGGGTTGATGCGTGGGGGGGAGGGCAAGGTCTACGTCTGAATCCTGGTCCGATTCATCGTCGACTTTGTCGATTCGATCCAGTTTGACTTCATTCCCCACCAATCCCGCTGCGGTGTTCGAGACGAGATCTTCTCGCAACCCAAATTCGCGCTCCAACCCTTCCCTCACGGTACTCTTCCACCAGTTCTTCCTCCACTTCTCCCTCTCCCCCTCTCCCGCACCTTTCAACCCTCCCACATCCACTTCATTACGCTCCAGCACAAACCCCAACACCGTCTCGAGCGCAGCGATGCGCGCTTCCAGTCTAGGCCTCAGTCCTTGGGTGGGACCGCGTTTTCGTTCGGGTCGATCGTAGGTGCACGTGCGCGAGAGGGTGGTGCAGAAGGTGCAGATGGGTTGGAGACCGTCGCATCGGTCCTTTTTGAGGAAGCATTGGTCGCACGCTCGAGAGACGCGTTTGCGTTTGGGTTTGCGGTCCGAGGATGGGGGAGGGAGGGCGGATGTTGAGGCTGAGGCTGGTGAGGGGGATGGTGTCATGGCGGGAAGATGGTGATGATGAGGACGAAGGGAGATGGAGATGAGAGAGGGAGAGGAGAGCGGAGCAAAACCCCGCATTTTTTATTTAGAGCTTTGCAATTTTGCGATTTGCGGAAGAAGAGAAGGCGCCCCCGTTTCGGGTGTGATCCGAGCGTGTTGTGCAACTCGGTTCGGTGTGTCTCCGTGAAAGCGTCTCCTTCTCCTTCTCACTCTGCCGCCATCACCACTGCGACTATCCCCTGACACCATGTCGTGGTATCGCGACCCCACAGACCCCACCCACGGCTACTGGGGACCCATAACATCCACTCTCCACTGGTGCGAACAGAAATACCGTTTCTCGCCCTACGTCGCCGAACCCGTCAACACCGTCACCAACGTCTTCTTCATCGCCCTCTCCCTGTACGGCTTTCACGTCTCGCGTCGCGAACGCCTTCCGCTTCGATGGTCAATATGTCATCTCGGCGTCGCACTCGTCGGATTCGGTTCCGCACTCTTCCACGGAACCTTGCTCTACTGGACGCAGCTGCTGGATGAACTGCCGATGATCTACACTTCTGCATGGTTGACCTACTGTGTCTGCGAAACGTCCAAGGGATACGGGAAGCCGAGGTTCAGGTTGTTGTTGCCGTTGACGTTGACCCTGTTGGTGGTGTGGATCACGGTGGTTTACGTGTGGAATGGGAATCCAGTGTTCCATCAAGTCGCTTACGCCAGCATTCAAATCGTCTCCACTGTACGCGTCATCTACCTCCTCCGGAACAGCTCCCAACACAACTCTACCGCTGCAGGAAAACAACGCAAGAAGGAAATTCAGAAGTTGTACCTCTTCGGTGCAATCGTCTTCCTCACAGGTTTTGCGATCTGGAACGTCGACAACATCTTTTGCTACCAGCTGAGACAGGCCAGGAAAAAAGTCGGCTATCCAGCAGCAGTGCTGTTGGAGGGACACGGTTGGTGGCACGTGCTGACCGGTTGGGGTGCGTATTGTCTCATCACAGCGGGTAGCCAGCTGGGCGTGGGGGAGAAGGAGGACGTGGGCAACTTTAGGTTGCAGAATGGATGGTTCCCGGTGGTGAAGAGGATCAAGGAGTATAAAGCGGGGGGTGGCAGGGTGGGCAAGAAGAAGGCGTGAGTGGGGTAGGCGCGATATAGAAAGTGCCTCGATCGGGCTGCTAGTCCGGCCAGGCAATAGAGTCAACCACTACGTGACAGCAGATCTTCCACACAACAGACTCGTAACGCAGCACAAGAGAGAGAGAATGTGTGTAGGATTGCGAATGTACGTCAACGGACAAAGCAGACGAGGGTAGAGGGCAAGTGAGAAGCAATGTTTCGACACAGCGAGGGCAGTAGAGCCAGATGACGTTGTTCCGTTAGCGACGGCGACGAGCAGCCATGGCGCGACGGTGCTTGGGACTGTAGCCCTGGGGAGGACCGCCAGGCATTCCTCCGGGCATTCCACCAGGCATTCCACCAGGCATACCACCGGGCATACCACCGGGAGGACCTCCCTGAGGAGCACCCCAATGTCCTTGCCATCCGCCATGCTGACCGCCCCAGCCACCCTGCTGACCGCCCCAGCCACCGTGTTCGCCGCCCCAGCCGTGAGGAGGGCCGCCGCGGATGCCTCCGGGAGGACCACCGTGGGGAGGACCACCAGGCATGCCACGAGGGAAGGATCCACCGCCGGCGCCACCACCCGGCATTCCACCAGGAGGTCCGCCTCCGGGCATAATGCCACCCGGAGCACCACCAGGAGCACCACCGCCAGGAGCACCACCGCCAGAAGTATCTCCGCCAGAAGTACCACCTCCAGAAGATCCGCCGCCTGTTCCACCCCCAGCATCGGCATCGGTAGTAGAGCCGCCTCCGTATGCAGAGCCAACGCCAGGAACGTCAGTACCAGTCGAACCAGAACCAGATGAGCCTGGGTCAGACGAACCAGAGCCGGAAGATCCAGGGCTAGGGTCAGAGGAGCCGGTGTCAGGCGGGCCCCTGTCGATGTTGGGGTTAGTCGTGCCAGTTGAGCCAGAGCCAAGATCGGTAGAGCCGGAGCCGGTCGTACCAGGGGTAGTGCTCGAGCCAGAGCCGTCAGAGCCAGAGCCATTGGAACCAGAGCCATTGGAACCAGAGCCATTGGAACCAGAGCCATTGGAACCAGAGCCGGATCCAGAACCAGAGCCATTGGAACCAGAGCCGGATCCAGAACCAGAGCCAACATCAGCGCCTTCAGTCGAACCAGTTGAACCAGAGCCAGTCGAACCAACATCAGTCGAACCAGAGCTGGTCGAGCCAGAACCAGAGCCGGACCCGGTCGAAGACGATGACGAGCCGCCACCTTTGCCAAGATCGTTGGCACTGCCGCCCTTGATGCCGACTGGCTTGCTGCCCCACTTCTTGAACACGTCGACGATCGCAGCAACAGCGGCTTTCGGCTTGCCCTTGGCGTCGAACAGCAGAGGAGCTCCCGTCTTGCCGTGACCTACACCCTGGTCGGACTGCGTACCGAACCAGGTGTGGCTATCGACAATCCCCCACGCAGTTAAACCAAACGCACCACCTTCAAGAGCAGCCTGCACAACGTTTCCGTACTGCTGGGCCTGCTTTTCGAGATCCGACTGCGAAGGTGGCAAATTGACCGGAATGTCGACTTCGGAAAGCACGACCGGGATCGACTCGGACGTCCAGCGCTTGATGGAGGCGAGCATGTCCTCGTACTTGTTGGTGAGCTGGATGTGGAACTGAAGACCGACAACATCGACAGGTACACCTTCGGCGAGCCACGACTTGATCGTCTTGAAGGCAAAGTTCGATTTGGGATTCATCGACTCCATACCGTAGTCGTTGACGATGATCTTGTAGCTGGGACACTCCTGCTTGACGAGCTTCAGCACCTCCTTGTAACCGTCTTCACCGATGACTTCAAAGTAGCCGTTCTTCTTGAAGCCGTTGCCGCTGTCATCGAAGACCTCGTTGAGAACGTCGATACCCCAGAAGTCGGCCTCCTTCATGATCTTGGGGCACATTTTGGTTTTGACGAAGTCGGTGATGGTCTTCATCATGGCTTCCTTGCTGAAGGACTGCTGCATCATCTTTTTGTTCTGTTCGGCACCCCAGATGAGCGTGTGGTACTTCCACTTGATCTTGGTGTCCGGGTTGGCCTTGGTGACGCCGTTGAGGAGCTCGGTCCAGGACTGTTCGCTTTCGTAGACGAATTGCATCTTGAGCGAGTTTCCTGGTGTGACGAAGGGCATGTACTTGGCGAGTGGAGCTACGATGGGATCCTTGAGGTCGGGATTGTCGATGGCAGAGCCGAGGAAGAAGCCGGAGGGGAGCGTCTTGACAAGCTCCTCGCCGGTCATACCGGAAGCGTCGGTGGCCCAGTGCATCTGACCGCCGCTGGAGGAGGACACGACTGAACCGGCACCGCTTCCGCCAGCGGGATGGCTGAGTGGATCGGTACCACCGTTGCCGTATCCGCCGTCACCGCCACCGGCTCCAGACGAACCAGCAGGATGCGTGAGAGGATCAGTGCCGCCGGAGCCAAAGCCTCCTGACTGACCACCTGGCTGACCACCTGGTTGGCCTCCCGGAGCGCCGCCAGGAGCACCACCAGGAGGACCACCATGCTTACCGCCGCCGGGTGGACCTTGACGTCGAACGAGGCGGTCCAGCCGCTGCGTATCGTGAGAGGAACGGCTCATGACACCGCCAGCGGTGAGCATGAGCACGAGGGCGAGCCTGGAGCTCACCATCTTTGAGAAAGAGAAAAGGAAGAGGAAAGAGAGGGAGGATAGATTGTGTGTACAAACCAGAAGAAGGGAAGAGGGTGAAAGGACGGAGACGGTTCCATTTGGGCCCAATCAGGTGGAACTTTATAGCTCATGTCAGTCTGGAAGTATCGAGCGAGGCCGGCGCAGCAGCAATGTGGCTGCCATAATGATCCGTCTGACTATGCAGCTGCGGTGCGGTGGCTGAAGGGCTGAAGGGACAGCCGGATCAAACGCCTAATTTGGTTGCGGAGGAAATGTGTCGGTGGATGTGCTGTGAGGTGGGTCGGTTTACAAATGTCCTTGACGACAAACATGCCCACTTGGCCGCTTCATTAGTCGGTAGACGGCAACGCTTCATCTGAAGCGTGCTGTGATGCAGCTGAGCGTGCAAGTCTGTTCATGTTTAGCATGACCCCGGTCAATCGCCCCGCAACAAAACAGCGAGCGCAGACAATACCCTGCGTTCCGTGGAATTGATGATAGGTTCCTTCGCGGCGAGGCTACTCTTTGAGACAAAAAGATTGCTCCACGATCAGAATGTACTCTCCGTGAACGTGAATGGCCCATCAGCGACGATCTCTTGTACGACATGAAGTGTGGGGTTGAGGTTCATCATGGTTGCCTACAGGCTCGCAAGGATGGATAAGAGTGTAGGGCAGAAGCGATCTGATTGCATGCACGACCCCCCTTTTCTGAATCGAGTTGCAACACGGTCGAGTGTTGCCACCGACAGCGCACCGCTCATGAAGTCGTCTCCAATGAAGCTCGTCTGATTGTAACCGAGCCTTCGGCATGAGAGGGAGACCGAGGGCGACCATCGCAAACACATGATATCAGTCTGTGGCATCACTCGGGGCTCGAAACTGTTTCAGCGCTCTAGAGGATCTCGACCAGCGAATGCGCTCTAACTGGTAGCCTCATGGTCTCGTTGAGGCTAAACAGCGACGTGGCTCGACGTGTGACGACGTTGAACCTTTTACGCAAGTTCATCACACTGCAGCATCATCAACACCGCCGATTGGCTGTGCTGGCGCCACGAGCTGACTTACAGCGTGAGGTCTGTCGCTTCAAGCCGAATGCTCTCCGCGCTGCTGCAGTGCACTGCGATGGACCGATCCTAGTGTATACCAACAGAACGATCGGCACAGATGTCGAGCCTTGACACGGCCGACGAATGACGGACTAACATTTGCAGAGTGAAAATTATAGGGTCCAGAATTTTTTATCTCACAGGGGAAAGGCGATCTCCGACCATCCTGGCGTCGAAAACTGACAACTGCGAGCTGCCTTCACCACGGCGGCCCCCGCCTGCTCCTGCATGAATTTTTTCTGCCATGCAGCTCGGGTTCTTTTCCTGCTTTGCGTTGTTTTGGCCGCCGCTCACACAGCACAGCTTCTCGTTTGCAGCCAAGGTGTAGCGCTCAGCAGCCGTAGAGCAAGTCAATGAGCGCTTAGAGACCACTGATGGAAAGCGTGTGGAAGATCGAACAGAGGTGCCAAGAACCTCAAGAGTGGGTTCAGGGGAATTGTGTCAAGACCAACACGCGCAGCGGTTGTGCCTGGAGGAAAGCGACACGATCTTCAGCCCGCAGGCCCGCAGGTCCGTGTTAGTGTCGGCCTGGAGCCAAGCTGTCAGGACGCCCATGACGTCCACAGCCAAAACGTCGAGACGCCGCGCGGGAATTCTGAATTAAAAATGAACACAGGCATTGCAGCGGGGTCGCTCCACCTCGAACTTTTCTTTTTTGGCTTCTGTGGACTTTGTGACTGGTCCAGTGGCTGGCTGCTAACATAGCTGGCGTTTTATCCAGCGCTAGCGGCGATTCTCGCTCACTTGCTCGCATCGTCACATATTCTGTCGACGTGAGAGAGAGAATGTGTGTTTTCATTGATCGGACTGTCCGTCAAGCATTGGTCGGACACCATCACCCTCTCTTCGCGCATCGCTTCGGATCGGTTCCCGTTGCCATTGGTTGTGGCTCTGTGATCCGCTCGGAAGAAGCGACAACCTTCTTATCATCTTCTCACGACCATCCAGGCATATTCGCGACATCCGTTCTGCCTCAGCCATTACGACGGCTCATCCAGCTTCATTCGACAAATCAGCACATTCATTACGCCGTAGCACCGCCTTCTCCTGCTCTCTCTCTCGAAGCTTATTATCTTCCTCTCCGCATACACACACGCGCACACACAACCATGCTGAGCGTTCGATGACCTTTGAAGCTGTCATTCTCGGCAGCACCGTTTCAATCCACTGAATCGCATCTCAGCTCAAAATCCTGAAAGCGATCCCACCATGCTGGACAACTTCCTCACTTCGAGCTCGCAGGCGACAGCACCCCGCACCAGGCTCCGCTCCGTCGGACGATGGTGCGGCAAGCATCTCAACTTTTACCGAGTGCACGTTCTCGTCTTCACCTTCACGCCCCTCATTGCCGCCGCCATTTTCTACGCTTGCAACGGCGAAAACCACATCAAGTTCATCGACTCCCTGTACGTCTGCGTCTCTGCCATGACTGTCACTGGCTTGGTGACCTTCAACATCAGCACCGCAAATGGAGGTCAGCAAGCCATCCTCTTCATCCTCATGTGCTTTGGCAACATCTCCGCCGTCAGTGTCACCATGATCTGGATCCGTAGAAGCTTTTTCCGTAAGAAGTTCGATCGCGTCGTTCGACGCAGCGCCAAGGTTCGCAAGCGTATGCACGACGTCGAGGAAAACGAGCGCAAGGAACGTCGACACAACATCGCTAAGATCCAGCGCATGGTAGGTCTCAAATCCTCCGACAGTGCTACCACGGTCAGCGACACTGAAGATCAAGATCGCACCGACAGCAGCTCCAGCGGTCATATTGAAATGCGTCGCATCGAAAAGAACAGACAACAGAAGAGCAAGGGCAAGCGCAAACCACTGCGAGCAGACATGATCCGTCGAATCGATGGGCCTGCCTTCCTCATCAATTCGGCCGGTGACCCGTCAAACACTATTCCCGATCCCGCTGCAGCCGAAGCCTCTAATCAGCCAACAGGCGCAGCACTCACAGAGGAGCCGGAGCCGCTAAGCTCGCCCATCTTTGCACCTGCGCAGCCCGGAGTCAGCATCCTCAATTCCGAGCACGACCGACGCCCATCAGTCTTCTCTGACGATCCCAACCACCAGACCAGCATCCGCATCTCGGCCCCCAACGACACAGTGCCATCTACCAACACCAAAGAAGATCAGGTCGATCCGAACCCAGCCCAGCCGCCTCGTAAGAGATTCTCAATTCCGCGCTTCGACCACCGTCACGACCCAGACGCTGATTCGGATGAGGAGGCTGTAGCAGACCAAGAAGAGGAGGAGCTTGAACATGCACCGCATTCGCCTCCTCTGCGCGCAAGGTTCCCGGATCACGCGTCGCCTGGGCGGAGCAGACGAGTCTCGGACCCGCCTCAGTCGCATTTTAGACGTGGCTCCGATACGGGTCTGTTGCACACCTACAAAACCCACGAGAAGCCCGACATGTTCCCGCGTGCCCAGACCGTCGAGTTTGCAGTCCCCAGTGACTATCGTTCCGCCGCCGACTCACAACAGCAACCGACACAGGGCTACACCACCGGCAACGCCATCAATCCTGGCGGCGGCTTGCGTCAGCGCAACACGACCTTCAATCGCACCGTCACAGGACGCTCCTACGTCTCTGGACGCCTCAGCAATGGCAGAACCGGCGTCCCGCTCGCACGCACACAGACTTCTTCCAAGCAACGTGGCTTTGGTGGGTTCCCTACACCGTTAGAGCTTGCCGGCATGGCCATCAAGAAGGCTGCACCCGGCGTGCAGGAGCGCTTCCAGAGAACAATGACCATGCCTCGCACCTCGACCTTTACATCCGTGCGTTCTGGCGGAGGTCTCACCGAGACGGCCACCAAACCAGCGCCTTACCTCTCCTTCGATGCCACCGTCACCGGCAACTCGCGCTTCCATTCGCTCACCGAAGCTCAGCGTGATGAACTTGGCGGCGTCGAATACCGTGCGCTCGACTTGCTGGCAAAGCTCGTGCCCGCCTATTGGCTCATTGTCAACCTCGGCATGGTGACGCTCGTGGCCCCTTACATCAGCAGCAGCGCCTTCCGAAAGTACCGTCCTCCTTTCGAGTCTCAGGGTGAGAACAAGCCAGACTACACCTGGTTCTGGTTCTTCCAAGTGATTTCGGCCTACTCGAACACGGGCATGTCGCTCGTCGATACGAGCATGACACAGATGCAAGACGCCTACTTCCTGCTCATCCCCATGGGCTTCCTGATCTTGGCAGGCAACACCGGTTTCCCCATCTTCCTACGTTTCTTCATCTGGCTCATCTCATTGTGCGTGCCCTCCACTTCGAGGGCGTACGAGACGTTGCGGTTCTTGCTCGACCATCCTCGTCGATGCTTTGTCTACCTCTTTCCCTCGAGTCAGACCTGGTTCCTGCTGTGCGTCCTGGTCCTCTTCAACTCGATCGATTGGCTCGCGTTTTTGATCCTCGACATCGGCAACCCCGTCATTGAGTCGATCACGCTCAGCATCCGAGTCTTTGATGGCCTGTTCCAGTCGATAGCGGTGCGTGCCGCTGGTTTCACGGTGGTGAGCCTGTTGGCGCTGGCTCCTGCGGTGCAGTTCCTGTACGTCGTTATGATGTACCTCTCCGCATTCCCGCTTGCGCTCTCGGTGCGCAGCACCAACGTGTACGAGGAAAAGTCGCTAGGTGTGTACGTCGACGAACATGCGGAACCAGGCGCGGTGCCTCACGAATCGAACAATCCAAAAGTGTGGGGCACGTTCCTCGCATCGCACGCACGTCGACAGCTGGCCTTCGATATCTGGTGGCTAGGGTTTGCGCTGTGGCTCATCTGCATCATTGAACGAAACGACATTCAGGACCCCAGCTCCAACGGATGGTTCACGATCTTCAGCTGTCTGTTCGAACTCACTTCGGCGTACGGCACGGTCGGATTGAGCTTGGGCACGCCTTTCGACAATTTCAGCTTGTCGGGACGCTTCCACACGCTCTCCAAGCTGGTCGTTTGCGCGGTCATGATTCGAGGAAGACACCGAGGATTACCGGTCGCGATCGATCGTGCCATCTTGCTGCCGACCGAGTTGGAACAGGAGGATATGATGGACGACGACCTGTCACAGTACGACGAAACGTGGGACCGCGACAGCACGTTTGTCACTGACCCTACGGCACCTACGCCCGGAGCGCCACGTGCGTCGATGAATGTACCAACGACCAATCGGCAGCGCAGCGATAGCAACGAGGGCAGCGCAGCAGGCGAAAGCAACAGCGGCATGTCGAGCGTCAAACGTACGCAATCCGGAGTGTCGTTCGCCATCAACCCTCTTGCGGCGAAGGCGAGACGAAGCAGCGTGCCGCCTACGGCGATGGAGCCGCTCTCGCCGAAGCAACAAGCAGAGGTGGCAGCACAAGAACCACGAAGGAGTTTCACGCTTACGCTGCCTCCGAGCAGTCTTCCGATGCATCATGCGTCGCCCCACCATCACGGCGGACTGGGAGGTATGCCGCCGAGCAGCAGCAGCAACAACAACAACACCAGTGTCGCTGGAGGTATCATGGGAGGACCCATGGTGGTTTCCTCACCGGGACAGTTGACTGCGATCGACGAGATGCCGAGCGGACTAGGTGCGACGCCGATCAGCGAGAGTCGGTCCGAGTCTCCTGCCGTAGCAGCGGGTGTCAGTGGGCGGGAGGAGCGAACGCAGGCTTCGCCACCGAGCTTCCATACGAACGCCGAGAGCAGCAGCAGCAGCAGCAGCGACGGGAGCCTGAAGGGGAAAGAAAAGGCAACGTCGGCGGTGGACGAGAAACGCGAAAGACAAGTAGCCGAAAAGGCAGGTTGCTCTACGCCCAACGGTCGACATGATCCTGTGAGTGGTGGAGATTGAGGGGAAGTTTTTCGTTTGTTCTGGGGAATAGCAGTTTTTGGATTAGAACATGCGTGCGTGAGTGTGACGAGGAAGAGACGAGTAGAAATACATGGTGCGAGAACAGAGAGGACTTGGGGTGTCGAGAGGGTGTTTTCATGGGAGAGATTCCTTTTTGAGCTTCTTTTCTTTCCTATCCTTTTTGTCCTTCTTGTGTTTTTTGGAAGGGCTTTCTTGCGGGTGATCGAGGGGGTTTTCGCGGAGACTATCGTCGATGTTCGGGGTAGTGGAAGTCAACTCGTCGTGTTTGGAGAAGCTTTCCGCACCTTCTGTACCTTGCACATCCGCTTCCCTCACTTCTGTATCTTCCAGTACTTCCATCGGGGTAGCATCGTCAGTGGATCGTTGGTTGAGACCACTGATAAGGCTCTCAAACGCGTCGTAGTCGATCCTACCGGACAAGCCGTTCATGAGCCTCGTCAGCTGCGCAGCGACAATCCCGCCCGTTGTCGAGGAAGACCCTTCATCAGGGTTGGAGGTGGAATTGCTGGTGCCGGTTCGTGAAGCGTAGGAGGAGAGGAAGGCTGAGATGTGCGAAGAGACGGTGGTGTGATCTGTTGGGTGGGGAGGGTGGGTTAGGTCCAGACGGAGTGGGAGGGGGAGTGCTGGTTCCATTGTGAGTGTGGACTGCTGACGTTGGGCAAGTGCAAAAATTCGAGGAAAAAAAACGATGGAAGACCGGTGAGGAGGTGGTTTTTTGAAGAGAGTGCTCGATGGAGTTGACGATGAGGAGGGAAAGTGAGATCGAGAGTTGATACCAGGTGTTGGTAGTGTTTGGCAGAAGGAATATAAACCCGTGTGTTTGACAGAAAGACAAGCCAAGCTGGGAAATTCTTAACGTCCAAAAAAAACTCTCGACTGCAGGCAGCTCTCACCCCCGACTTCCGCTTCTCTCGCAATGTGTATTAGGTAATCCTAAATAATTCAAGAAGGATCCGTTGGCCGGCTGTGCTTCGCTATATGTGTGACACGTCCCTCTCAACTGCAACGCGCGAACCAACACACACAGATTTCCATTTGCCGAACGAAACACACTCATCATCAACTCGAATGATTTTCTCACCTCTTTCCCTTTCCCATCATCCAACTTTCCCCTCAGCTCTCGTCTTCATCCAGCCTTTCTTGCTGATCTCTCACTTTCAGTCGGTGGAAGCTGCGAAACAGCACAAGATCCGTACGCAAACGCACAGAGGCTCTGGTGAGGGCTGCGCTGTCGTAATACAGCATCTGCCGCTACTAGGGCTTTTTTCGGTCCTCTTAACTCAACAACTTTTCTGAAAACCGCAATACGATCCGTCCACCGCATCGCCTCTCCCTCGTTCTATCACGATACTGGACCTTTCCGACAATGGAAGCGATATCACCGGTTGACGTGGCGATGTCCAACACCACCCTCCTTTCCGGCCTCACAGGCTCCGTGCCCCCCACCACACTCACCTCGTACACCGCCACCGCCTTCTCCGCCGACCCACGTGCGCTCTACTCGAGCTTCCTCATGATCATCATCTCGGAAATCGGCGACAAGACGTTCCTCATCGCGGCGATCCTCTCCATGCGGCAGAGCAAACTCGTCGTCTTCTCCGGGGCGTTTGCATCGTTGGCGGTGATGAGCGTGCTTTCGGCGATGTTGGGTGTGATGTTCCCAAGTTTGTTGCCAAGGTCGTGGACGAACGGGTTGGCAGCAGTGTTGTTCGCGGTGTTCGGGGTGAAGATGTTGAAGGATGCGAGGGAGATGAAGGGGGAAGAGATGGAGGAGGAGTGGAGGGAGGCCGAGAGGGAGATCGAAGAGCAAGGGGAAGCGGACGAAGGGCATGAACTCGATACGCTCGAACAGGGGGACACCGTACAATCGGCGAAGAAGAAGGAGAAGAAGCTCGGGGGTATCAAGGAAGGCACTCGAAACTTGTGCGGTCTCTGCTTCTCCCCCACCTTCGCTCAGGCGTTCATACTCACCTTCCTCGGCGAGTGGGGAGACAGGAGTCAGATCGCAACGATAGCGCTAGCCGCAGCCCACAACGTAGCGTTGGTCTGCCTAGGTACTATCGTAGGTCACGCGTGCTGCACCAGCATGGCGGTGTTGGCCGGCAGCTGGCTGGCGAGAAGGATCAGCGTCAAGCATGTAACACTGGGTGGGGCGGGGTTGTTTTTGCTGTTTGCCGTGGTCTATGCTTGGGAGGCGTGGAGTGAGGGGGGTGAGGGGTTGGAGGGGGTCGTGGAAGCTGCGAAGGGGGCGGTGGGTGCCGGTGGTTTGGGGGTGTAGGAGGAGCTGTCATGTACGAAGATGCAACCAAAAAATGATCGTCGCCGATACTACGATGGGACGTCTTACGCTGCGAGAGCGTGTTGCTCTCAAAGAGTGGGGAAGAGTGATACCAGAGAGTGAGCAACTACATCAGCTGAGTAGAGAGGGATAGACAGTCACCACCACGTGTATGTTCCTCGTCTAGAGATCTTGCAATTCGGGCAAAGTCAGATTGCCCATGTGACACCCGTCCAGATGTCAGAAGCTTCAGATCTGGAAGAATTGTCTTGTGTGGTGACAATACCTTCACGAAGCGGTAACTCCGCTGCCATGTGACAATAAGTGGTGGTGACGATTCGGAATTCGTCAGCAGCTCGGCAGCTTGGAAAAAAAAGTGTCACGAGCGCTGTCACGCCAGCCAATTCCTCAGGAACTTTTGTGCGGTTGCAGACAAGTTACGATCCGGAAAGTGGAGCGGCTGAGCTGCTGCATGAGACGATTTCACACGCTCCTCGCTAAGCGCCTTCCAAACGACATATAACCCCAGCCCATCATCACCTTGATCCCTTCCCACCTCTTCCACTAACCATTTTCCAGACGCAACAATGTCGCAGCGCTACGATCTGGTCGTATTCGGAGCAACCGGCTACACCGGCCAGCTGGTGTGCAAATACCTCCTCGCACACCCCGCCAAGCCTACCTGGGCTGTCGCTGGACGTTCGGCGTCTCGACTCTCCTCTCTCAAGTCCAACCTTTCCCTCCCCGATAGCGTTGGGGTCATCGAAGCCGAAACATCTTCGTACAAGTCTCTCACATCGATGACGTCCAAGGCCAAAGTCCTCATCAACATCGTCGGTCCTTATCGACCTTTCAAAGCCATCGAAGTCGTCCGGGCTTGCGTCGAAACCGAAACCCACTACGTCGACCTCAGCGGCGAAACCGGCTTCAACAAGGACTGCATCGACGGCTTCCACCTCCAAGCTCAAGCCAAAGGAGTCGTCATCGCCAACAGCGTCGGATTTGACAGCCTTCCCTTCGACCTCAGCACGTATCTAGCCGCTCAAAAAGTCAAGCAGTTGACCGGTGGCAAGAGCGATGTCAAGATCGCAGAATGCGCCTACGACCTTCCCGACTCTCTCTCTGCCGGCACCCTCGCCAGTGCCATCAGCATGGTCAGCGAAAAGCAGCAGATGTTCAGCGTACGTGGCGACTGGCTCAGCCCCATCTCCAAACCTGCCTCGCTCGTCTTCAACACCGTCAGATACTTTGACCAGAGGCGAAAATGGGGTGCCCAAAACACGTTTTCCATTCACAACACCCGAATCGTCAACCGAACCTGGGGTCTCCTGCAACACCACAAATCCCCGCAAGCCTACGGTCAGGCTTTCAACTACAGGGAAGGCGTCATCGTTCCCTTCAAGCTCTACGGCATCGTCTTTAGCTACATCAACGCCCTCTCCATCTGGCTCCTCATGAACGTCGCTCTCGTAAGGTCGTTCATGAAGAAGAGCATGCCCGCCAACTCGGGTCCCAGCGAAAAGAGTTTGGTCAACTGCAGGATGAGACTCGATACCGTTGCAACCGCCAACGATGGGACAAAGGCGATTTGCAGTATGAGAGCCAAAGGTCACGCCGGATACCTCTTGACCGCGAGGATGATCGTCGAGACCGCACTCACCATCATCGATGACAAGAGCGAAACCCCCCTGGGTGGAGCCAAAGGTGGCGTTTTGACTGCGGCGCTCGTAGGTGCTGAGAGGCTCGCAGAGAGGCTGGTCGAGTTTTCCCAGTTCGAGATCACCACCGACAAGTTTGACGGGTCCGAGGTTAAGAAGAACAAGTGATGCGCATGGCTTTCCGATTCTCGTGAGTCAGCTCTTCGCGGATTTTTAATCAAGTTAGTCACGTTGTTGGTACATTGTCGCTGTGCATTTCGTGCAAATCAAAAATGGGAAAGGAAGCAGCATCGTTACTTGCAGCGCTGTGCTAGACAGCGCGCCGGGGGTGTCCTGTGCTTACGGATACAGGTATGATACAAGGTTATATAATACTTTGGGAACGCTTCGGATCAGGTTGGTGGATCGAAGGAAAGGGTATGTGCGACGTCGGATGGTATTGCTGCTCTGCTCCCCCCTCAGAGGACGTCTTCGACCGCCAATTGGTACTTTTCAGCCGCCCGGAACTCTTTGAGCCTCTTGGTGCGCTCCGAGTCGTCAGAGTGGATCTGCGACGACGTAATTGCACTTCTCCAGTCTTCTCGAACGTCGCTTTTGGGCTTGGCTTGCCGCTTTCCCTTGCTGTTCTTCGCCTGGGCTTTCGTGCTGCGTCGCGGCCGCTTGGTCGGTAGCTCCTCGTAGGGAGATTCGTCTTCGTCTTCATCTTCCTCTTCGGATGCCGAAACAATAATCTTCTTTGCTTTGCCTCGACTGCTCGTCCTCGTTGTCAGTGTGCGTGCAGAGCCTTTGCCGTCGCCTCTGCGAGTGGCCCCTGCGCCAGCTTTTGATTTCTTCTTGCTTGGACCGGTCTTGTTCGCTCTGCTGTTCGACTGTTTGCTTCGACTCCGAGGAAGCTCGTTGATCAGTTCGTCCATGCGAAGCTTTTTGGCCGGAGATGACCCCGTCTTATCCTTGTGCCTCCTGTCGTGTCGCGACGAGGATGGAGCGGAGGAGTCTGCCGGAGAGGACGACGAATCTGCTGCAAGCCTTTCCAGCATCTTGATCTCCTCCTTCTCAGTCCTCTTCAAGGGAATGCCTGAGGTCAGCCTGCTCGATTTGGCCGTCCGGGCGTTACCCTTGCGTGTCTGAGGTGGAGACGACGATGGAGAGGGACCTTCGACGGTTTGGGCTGCAGCATTGACCTTGCGCTTGGTGCCCGTTCGGGTGCTTGCTCGCGTCGCGCGCCCTTTTGGGACATTGCTTTCGAATTTGATTCCGACGTCATCCTCCTCGTCGGAATCAGCCTCGGCCTCTTCCGCTTGTCCAGGCTCGCGTAGTCCCACCACGACGACGGAGCTCGCCGTTGACGAAGTTTCATCGCGTGCATGAGATGCTGGGGAAGACATGCGTCCAAACGCGCTCTCGGCTAGACGTCGATCGTCGCTAGTCGTATTGACGGGTGGCTCCGTGTGAAGGTCGACAAAGACGTTGCTGTCGTTATCGTCCGCCAGGCGAGCTTCAAAGTCGTCGTAATCCTGCTCATCAGCCTGCGGCCGTGCCCGCCGGTCTCGGACGTTGCGCTCAGCAAGCAGGAAGCCGAATTCGTCCATGTTGTCGTCGTTGACATCAAGGCGCTGGTAGTCGGACTCTTCTTCCATCTCGGAGTGATTGCCCCTGTACTCTGCCGCGTCGCGACCCCGTGCATCGTCGGCCGGCCAGGAGGCGGTGCTGCCTGCGTCGCTTCCTGGCGTGAAAGCATTTTGTTGAGTCTTGAAAGCTCCGTCGTGACCCGCCGCCTTCCAAGCCATGACTTTGTTTACGCCCCGATCCTGGTACTCTTGCAGCTGTTGGGCTGATTCGGTCAGAACTTCGGCTCGACGGGCTACACCTGGAGAGTCGGCACGGCTCGAATGATCTGACTCGTCAAGAAAAATGTCGTCGAGGAACGTCTTCTTTGGCAATTTCTTCTTCGCGGCTTGGTGTTGAGAAGATACGGGCGTGGAACGCGTAGGCCGATCTCTGTCACCGAGCACGGTGGCGAGCGAGTGGGTTGGTGGCCGATTGCGGGCTCTCGCATTGGCCACGGCCGCGGTGGGTGGCACGTTCTCCTTGTCCGAAGAGCCATTTGATCTGATTGCATCTACATCCGAGATCTTGTCATCCGACTCTGAGTCTCTGTTGCCGCGTTGTGCAGTCTTGGATGCTACTCGTCCCGTTCGATTTTGCGTCAACGCGCTGACATCAAAGTATCCGAGATCATCGCTGTCCAGGCCCGGAGAGAGACGGGTCAATTCGTCGTGGCTTGGAGCTGCCTCGCGGATCCTTTGCTTTGCGGAGTTTATCTGAGAAGAATCCGCACCGTCCGTATTGGCAAGAGAGCTTGAAGCGGTAATCGGATCTTTTGCCCGCGAGTCCTCTGGCGATCGCAGCTCTCTTCGCGAGGTCGAGGCGGTTGATTTCGACGGGATCGATTTCCCGATCGCCTCAAGACGAGATACTTTGAGAGATGCGGAAGGTTTGCTTTTGCCTGAAAGGCGGCTGGTACCAGCTGAGACTGGCGCGTTACGGTCGCTGAAAGGTTTGCGAGGTGAGCCGGACGTCTCAACGACGGCGGGCTTGCGATCAGCGACGACATTCTGGATCTCTCCTAGCACTCGCCTACTCAGTGAGGCATTTTCGTCGGATTTTGGATTGCGAGAGCCCTTGGCGGACGAAGACGATGCTTGCCCGCTCGTGACTTTTGTACTGCTCCTGCTGAGCTGGGCCCCGAGGTTCAGCCTCTTGCTTGAGCGAATGTTGGACATCGTATCTTTCCGTCAGCGCTGCAAAGCGTGCGCGTATCGTTGGAACCTGACAGTGTGCTGGCGATCTCTCGGGAGATGAAAGGGGTGTGAGGTTGTCAGGAGGCAAGAGACAGGGATGCGGTATAGCTTGCCAAAGCGCTGAAGGGAAAGGGGAAGAGCTGCTGCGGGTCGGCGGGACGCGTCCGTTTTATGGCGGAACGAAGGCGGGCAGTCGATGGAGGAGGAGAGCTTAGAGAAGCCTTTGCGTTCTCTGCCGATACCGCATCCTTTGGCTGAGTCCGGGAGGTCAATGTGAGTGTGGGAAGGGAAAGGGGATCTCTACGGTCCATCCGCACACACTGCTGCCCTCGTGAGTGGAGGCTTGACAGTCGGGTCGCTGAATGCACAGTCGGCGTAAAGAGGCATTTCGCAAGGCGCCTTTCACCCGAGAAAAATCAACTTTGGCTGCAACCCAGACCAACACTTTTTGCTGCTTCAGAACTGTCGCGCTCTACGCGATTGCTCAGCTGTGCCGAGTGTGACTTGCTCGCTCGCGCGCTATGCCGGCACTCTAACACAGTCAGAGCGGCACAGCTCGAACACCGTCGTTCCGACTGTTTGGCATTGCATCGAGCTTCATTCGTCCTCGAGCAGCACTTCCACCTCGGTATCAAAGACCTGCGACAGCTCGCCTTGCAAGATCTCGTGGAGCGTCCAAGTTTCGCCCTCCTTGAAGCAGAACCATGTCTTGCTATCTGCGTCGTAGTCGAATCGCTTCGGTCCGCTGTGACGTGAGGAAGTAAAAAGCGCTTACGCAAAGGTCAACAAAGAGTTCCCACGCCTCTCGCGGACCCTGTCCGATGAGCGTCCTTTTGAGGCTTGAAGCATCATTGGTGCGATCGCTGATAGAATCTGACGGATCGACTGCACCGGTACATACCTTTTTGGGCTTGAAAGCCAAATTTGCTTGTTCGGAGGCTGCTTGTTGATCACCCAGGTGCCGTGAACTCCGCATCTTAGGTTCATCACGCCGGACTGTATTGATGAGAAGGTGAGGCGTGGGAGAGTTTTGGGGTCAGTAATGTGACCGGTTGCTCTTTGTCGGATGTGCCGATCGAACGAAGAAGAGAGAGAGAGAAGACTCACGGCGCATTCGATGTCCCATTCGGAAGCGGGCGAGCCTCGAACTGCACCTTGATGCTTGGCTCTAGCTGTCTCTTCCAGCGCGTCAACATCTGCTTCTTCTAGGAGCGTTTCGAACGTCTCGGTCAACGAGTCGAGCGCATGATTCGAGAGCTTGTGGTATTCGCCGTCGGTCACAGGAGAGGCTGTATATTTGCTTGTCGCCTGCGCCCGCCTTTGTGATCTGCTGAAAGAGCGACTGAAGGAGGTCGCGAAGCATCGCTGAGCCGACGTTGTTGCGCCAGTCACCCTTGTCGGGGTGACAGAGAAGCCTGTGCGGGTTGCTCTCGCCGCCGCCGCCGCTGATCTTGTTGAAAGTGTTCGGATCGCCGCCGTAGAGCGAAGTCCGCGCTGAGTTGTAGTCCTCAACATCATCGGAAGCGTCATCTCGTCGATCGCTTCGCTGTGTAAGCTGTGCTGATGGATGCAACCCACAAAGTCTAGTAAGTTCCAATCCTTGTGTCTTTCCTTTGATGGTTTATGTGAATGCGTTCGTCGCAAGATCCAGGCAGAATTGCGTTGTGGAGGATCACCACCAAACAAATCGGTGATTTCATCCGGCCGATTGGAAGATTTGAGAATGTGACTCGCTCTCGAGGCTGGTGAGAAAGTCGGCAACCTAAATTTTGGAGGCGTGAGTCTGAGGTGCCACAGCAGCGCTGCGAAAGCGAATGCCCATCGTCGGCTATCACTTTATTCCAAATTGGTCACTTCACTTTGCAGAGCACTGGAGATAGCGCAACCTGACTCACTGCATCAACTCTGCGAGTCATAGGTTTACTCCCTTCCCCTTCAAAGGACTACAAAACGCGGCGCAATACGGCCTCAGCTTCACACCATCACACCATCACACCATCACACAGGGAGGACCACCCGGCATCGACGAACATGACGATCAAAGGCCTCAACGGCGCCGCCGACGCTGCCGCCGCAGCTCACAAGCCTGCTCACTTCAAGCTTGAGAACCTCATCCGACCGAACATCCTGTCATTAGAGCCGTACCGCTGCGCACGAGACGACTACCAGTCGGGCATCCTGCTCGATGCGAACGAGAACAGCCTCGGTCACTCGCTTCCACCCAAATCCGTCATTCCTCACAACCCTGGCACCTCGAACGGCGCCACAGCCGTTCAGTCCTCGGAAGCCGAGGACCCACTCTCACTCAACCGCTATCCCGATCCAGGGCTGTTCGGCATCAAGGACTCTCTCGCCGAGCTGCGTGGTGTTCCCCACGATGCGTTCGTCTTCCTCGGCGTTGGCAGTGACGAAGTGCTCGATCTCGTTCAACGAGTCTGCTGCCGTCCCGGCAAGGACAAGATCCTCATCTGTCCTCCCACGTACGGCATGTACAGTGTCTGCGCAGCCGTCAACGATCTCGAGGTAGTCAAAGTACCGCTCATCACCAAAGGCGGCAAGTTTGCATTGGACGTAGATGCGGTCAACAAGAAGCTCAGCGAGGACCCCGATATCAAGATCACATTCATCTGCTCGCCCGGCAATCCCACAGGCACCTTGATCCCACCAAGCGATGTGCGCAAGGTAGCCGACAACCCAGATTACAAAGGTCTCGTCGTGGTCGACGAGGCGTACATCGACTTTGCCGAGGAGGAGAAGAGGATGGGCAAGCGCGCTGCAGACGAAGTGGTGAGCTCCGTGAGCCTGGTTCACGAGTATCAAAACGTGATGGTGACGCAGACGCTCTCGAAAGCCTTCGGTCTCGCCGCAATTCGTTTGGGAATCGCTTTCGCCCAACCAGCGCTGGTACAGATCATGAACAACACCAAAGCACCCTACAACATTTCTTCACCGACCGCCCACCTCGCCTCGCTCGCACTCTCGCCCAAGGGCATCGAACAGATGCGAGCAAACGTACAGACGCTCATCCGCAACCGTGATTCACTCATTTCTGCGCTGCAGACGTTGCCAGGAGCCGGTGCGATCTGGGGTGCTAACGAGGCCAACTTTGTCCTGGTCCAGATGCTGGATCTGGAGACCCGATCGAAGCCAGATAACGAAGTGGCTCAGATGGTGTACAAGCGCATGGCGGAGGAGATGGGACTGGTGGTGAGGAACAGGGCTAAGGACCTGGGATGCGCTGGATGTCTGAGGATTACGGTTGGTACCGAAGAGGAGAACAGGAGATGTATCGAGTTGATGAAGGGTTTGCTCGAAGGTGGAAAGTGAAAAGATCAGATGCTTGCGATTGTTTCCTCTGACAATACAGCACATGAATGCCTCTCGAACATGCTTTCCTGTGAGTGTCGTTCCATATGTGTGCACGCGAAAGCATGTGTAGCTCTGAGCGAGCGTATGATGGGTGAGAACCGCAGCGAGGAGCATCAAAGGGTTAAGTTAAACGTGTATTTGGACGTATGAGTTATATTTTGCCGCACGAGACCACTTCTCGGTGGCGGGCGGGTAAAACAAGGAAATTGCGGGAATTGGCTTTTCTCCACCTCGACGACGTTTCTTAACTGCGCACTGACCTCACACCATTTCCCTCTCAGTCATCAGCCCTCTTCTGCACCCTCTCTGTCACTCTCTCGTCTAAACCATCAACGCTTCATCTGTATACTACAAAGCGTTCCACCATTTCAGTCGATCCATCATGTCGCTCACCCAGAAATCCGCCAACAAGGTCTGCAACGGCACGCTGACCAAGTACACCTTCACCTCTTCCTCGCTCGGATCGCTCGAAACGTCCATCAACGTCTTCCTCCCTTCATCGGCCACTTCGACTTCTCCCAAGCCCGTGCTCTACTTCCTTTCCGGGCTGACCTGTACGGAAGACAATGCAGCTCAGAAGGGTGGATTCTTCTCCGCTGCGGAAGCCGAAGGTATTGCACTTGTTTTCCCCGACACTTCTCCTCGAGGAGCTGGGATCGAAGGTGAAGACGAATCGTACGATTTCGGTACCGGAGCTGGATTCTACCTGAACGCTACAAAGTCTCCCTGGGATAAGCACTACAAGATGTACGAGTTCATCACCTCCGAACTCCCCTCCAAGCTTTCCGATCTTCCGATCGATACCAAGAAGGCTTCCATCTTCGGTCACTCTATGGGTGGTCACGGAGCTCTCACTCTATACCTCAAGAACCGTGATCTGTATCGTTCAGCTTCCGCATTCTCACCCATCTGCAATCCGACCGCTTGTCCTTGGGGCGAAAAAGCCTTCAACGGTTATCTCAAAGGTGGTGTGGAAGAAGGTAAACAGTACGATGCTACGTTGTTGCTGAAGGAAGCGAAAGACGGTGTGAAGATTCTGGTGGATTCCGGAACAGCGGATGACTTTTACAAACAGGGTCAGTTGCTTCCGGAGAACTTTGAAAAGGTCGCAAAGGACAAGGGCTTCAAGGACGTGCAGGTCAGGTTGCAGGATGGATATGATCATTCGTACTACTTCATCAGCACTTTTGCTGGCGAACACGTCAAGTTCCATGCAAAGTTCTTGAAGCAGTAAGAAATCCGATCGATGCGATACTTTAAACTCATATGCTAGATAGTAAGCAATACAAGTGACTCCAGTTTTGGATGGGAATGTAGATCCTAGTAGTATCATATCACAAGTCTGTGCTTCGCTTTCTGAACGTAGCGTTTCAGGGGTGACCTCTTGCGCTCGCGCGAAAGTCATTCGACAGGGGAAGGCTTCCCAACCAACTTTTGAGTCATTCCGCAAGCTTCGCCGCATGCTCAATCGCACTTGCCACCAACACAATCACCGATCCTTCAGCCGGCTCACAACTGCCTGCACGACTTGCCGACACACCGGCACGCATCATCACAGGATGTGAAACGAACGGCAGGACATCGTTTTGACAGCGTGGTGTGAAGGTTATATACAAAGCCCTCTCTTCATCAACTTGAAGCCGGAACAGAGGGGAACAGTAACGGAAGAGGGGATGGAGCAGGGGGATCGACACGAAACAATTTTCCTTAACAGATGGTCGCAGCACCACCGTCTTTGTCTCGCTGGATACAAGACATGGACAGTGAGCGGTGCTTTTTGGTTTTCTTCTTTTTCTTTTTTTCGAGTGAAATGCTCGGTGAAAGCCATCACAGCAGAACGAAGCTGCCGAGCATAGGTCGAAAACTCGGCCAAAACGTCGCCGATCGAGGAGACAGAGAGCGTGCGATCCAGTGCGGAGGGATGCCGAACCGCCGAAGCAGGTAGAGAGAAGGGCGGAGATGTCAAAGAGAGGCCTGCCGAGATCTATGGAGGGATTCCGCTGAAGCTTGAGCGAACGAAAGGGAGGCAGCATAGCAAGGCGCATCGACGCTCACGATGGGAGAGGGGAATACAGAGACACGGGGTCCATCGCAAGAAGATCGAAGAAGAGCTAGCGCCACACGCATTCGTCGCGTTCAGGCGACGCGTGGGTGGTTGCTTGGTTCCAAGAGACTGTTCATCCTCGGGCTGCAGCAACCTTTTCAAGGAGCTTGTCCTTGGGGGTTTTGAGGCCGTCTCCTTCGATCTTGCCGGCCAACTCCTCGATCTTCTCCTGCGACAGCTTCGCGCCCACCAACAGATCCGCAACAAACGAGTAGATGGCCGGAATGTCGATGGACGCATCGTCGAGGAACTCCATGTGCGGCTCGAAGCCCTTGAAGGCGGTATCCTCGTCCAGGTTGCCCTCCTCGCTGAGCTTGGCAAACAGCGCGGCGACGTTGGCAACGTCGTCCTTCTTCTTCTCAATGGAGCTGCCGACAATCGCCTCGACAAATTGCGCCCGTCGCGACGATGGCAAAGCATTGAATGCCTCGAGACCCTCGTTGACATCCTTGATCTCGAGGAACTCCTTAATATCGTTGGCAATCTTGCGCTTGGCCTCCTCGTCCGACATTTCGGTGGCCTTGTCGCTGCTCTCGCCCTCTCCTTCCGCGTCGCCTTCGACCTCGCCATCGTCGGCGCCAGGAAGCGGCTTGGTGCGAGGTGCAAGGTTGAGCTTGGGTCGCTGTGGCTCCTCGCTGGGCGCAGCTTCGCCTTCGCCGGCCTGGTTGAGCAGCGAGAACATGTTGGTTTGCGAGCTGGTGCGGGTAGGAGGCTGGCTGCCGTCCTCGGAGCCCTTGCCCGGGTTCTTCCTTCCGAGCATGGTCGAAGGACCAAACGAGAGCGGACGTCCGGACGAGCCACGCTCGATCTTGCCAAAGTGCGAAAGATCGCCGGCCTTGCTGGGACGAGGAGGTGGCGCTGCACCGCCAACGGTGCTCCAGCCATCAGGACCGTCGCCGCGAGCCTGGCCACGCTTGGAACCGCCGCGCGAGATGGGACCGCCACGAGCACGCATGGCGTTCTCGGCATCCTTTTGCGCCTGCTGCTTGGCAGCCTCGGCGTGAATCTGAGCGATAGTCTTGGGTGCCGAGTTGTCGTGTCGGGGAACCCACCTGGACTCGCGCAGCTCGATCACGTCGACGAGCATGAAACGCATACGCGAGTTGATGGAAGCCTCGTTCTTGGACATTTCCTTCATGCGCTGGAAGTAGACGTCCATGTGACCGCGCGCCTTTTCCGTGTCGAGCAGCTTGCCGACCGTGGTCATGAGCTTGCAGAGCGACTCGATCTCCTCCTCTTCGGGGTCGGTGGCGTTGGCAAGCAGCTTCTTGATGCAGAGGTGCATGATGCGTTCTGTCAACATGCTAAGCTTGAACAGCTCACCGATGAAGCGGACGAGACCAAGACCGCGACGCTTCGCCTTCTGAGCCTCGTAGTATTCATCCGACAAGAGCTCGGCCTCCTTGGGCTCTTCGGATGACTTCTCGCCACGCTCTTCGGCAGCCTTGGCCTCAGCCTCGGCCTTCTCGTTGATGTCTTTCTTGGCCTTGTCTTCGGCCTCCTTGGACTTGGCAGCGGCAACAGCCGTATCGCGCTGAGCCCAGCCACGCTCAAAGTCTTCCTGACATCGGTTGAGCAGGTATTTTCGGAACAACGAGCCACCAACGACAGGCTTGCCATCGGCCGTGCGAAGGCTCTCGTCCTTGACTTCGGGACTGACCTCCTCCATGAGCTTTCGGCAAAGACGTGCGTACATCTCGGACCACGCAGCCTCGTCGGTGGCCTTTTCGAAGATGAGTTGAATGACCTGTCGCAGGGTGCGGCCATCGTCTTCGGACACCGACTTGTTGGCCCATTCGAGGATCTGGTTCGAGATCGAATCGAACTTCTCGAGCGTGAGCTTGTTGAGCAACGCCTTGACCTTTCGCTGTACCATCTCGGGCGAGTCGGCCTTGACCGAAGCGCCACGGCTCCATCGGTTCTCCGAGTTGGCCAGGGGAGCGACCTGGTCGAGTGGGATGGTGGGACCCCCCTTCTCGGGTGGGTTGACCTGAGGGCCACGGCTCGAGTTGGGATCGCGTTGACGACCCCGGTTGCTCTTTGTACGGCCACCGTTGGGGATACCGGTGCCCATCATGTCACGCGAAGGCAAGGCATTGCTGCCACTGCCGGTGCGCGAGAGCGGCTGCGAACGAGCGCCGGCGTTGAACGAGCCCATGGGACCACCAAAGGCACCCATGGCGCCACCGCGTGGACCAGAGGCAGCAGCGAAGCGCTCCTCGCTGGTCTTGGCCGGGAAGGCGCCCATGGCACCCTTGCCGCCAAAGCTGGAGGAGCTGCTGATGCCGAGACCCTGCGCTCGACCAGGAGCAGCGGGAGGGCCCATAGCCGAGGCACGTCGGTTGAGACGAGAGCTGGCGCCCATGCCGCCGCTTTCCATGCCGATCGAGGCCAGTGGCGGAAGGTCGAGGGGCTTCTCGGTGTAAACGTTCATGAATTGCAACAGGAAGTCTCGATCGTAGCGGAACTTGCCTGGCTCGGCAGATTCGTTGAGCTCAGATTTGGGCGAGTTGATGTTGGTAGGGTAGCTGATCTTGCTGAAGCTGTCGATGAACTTGGCCGACGTCAGCGAGGAAGAAGCACCGGAGGCCGAAGTCTCAGCCTTAGGAGCATGCTGCGAGGCAGCGGCACCGGTAGGCTCGGTGGTGGTGACCTTCTTCTTCTTTTCAAGAGCCTCGTTGTCGAGCTTGATGCCGTTGGCAGGAGTACCGAGCGTGCTCAAAGGCTTGGCGGGGAGGCCAGCGAATCCAGGCGTGCCGGGCGTGCGAGGCGTGGGTGGGAGACCCGGCGTCTTGGGAGCTTCCTGACTGGAGGGAGGCACAGAGGAGGCCTCGCGAGCCATGCGCTCGACGTCAGCGACGGAGCTTCGCATGCCAGCAGCGTCTGCGTCCTGGTGCTGCGAAGCCTTTTCGGTGTCGATCGGTGCAGGTTTGGGCTTGCTATCCTCGGCAGAAGACTGGGCTTCGGCAGCAGTGGCGGCGGCGGCGGCATCCTCCTTGGCCTTGGCCTCCTCTTCGGCCTTCTTTGCCTGCTCAGCCTTTTCGGCCTCGGCTTTTGCTTCGGCTTCCGCCTTGGCCTTCTCCTCGCGCTCCTTCTGTTCAGCCTCGGCCTTGGCCTGCGCTTCCTCGGCGGCCTTGCGCTCGGTATCAGCCTTTTCTTCTGCCTCCTTCTTGGCGGCAGCCTCCTTGGCAGCGGCAGCAGCAGCCTTCTCGTCATCTGCCTTCTTCTTTGCGTCGGCGTCGGCGTCAGCCTTTGCCTGTTCGTCAGCCTGCTTCTTAGCAGCGTCGGCGTCCTTGGCACTGCCGTCCTGCTCTGCCTTCTTCTTCTCAGCATCAGCTTTGATGCGAGCGAGGAATGCTTCCTGTGTCTCCATGCGGATAGGGTTGCTCTTGGCAGGCGTCACGATGGCGGGAGACGCCTTGGCAACGCTAGGTGAGCTGGCAGCGGAGGCAGGAGCAGGAATGGGTGTCGACTTTTGCGAGGCGGAGGGAGTCCTCTGAATGCTTTGGATGTCGACGGCAGCCTGCGTTTCGGGGTTGACGATGCGGATGGCGGCGCTCTGCCTCTTCTGCTGGGGCTCAAACTGGCGCGCTGCGGGGCTCATGGGGTTGCTGAACGAGTGCGAGGGCGAGTGGTGAGCGTAGCTGGCAGCAGGGCTGAAGCTTGGCGGACGGCCACCTTGGGCGAGCGACAGAGGCTGATGGGCAGGCGAAGCGACGTTGCTGTGAGCGGTGGAGGGAGACGGTGGCACGTTCACGCCTCTTGCTGGCAACGGCGTGGATGGAGCCATGTTGGGTGTGCCGGGAAGACCGTTGGGGCCCATGGGCGATGAGCCGACGTTAGAGTGACGAGGCGAGCGGGGCGTTCCAGGCATGTCGTATCCGGACTGCTGCTGTTGCTGTTGCTGTTGTTGCTGTTGCTGCCAGTGCTGCGGCACGGGTTGGTAGCCGTAACCAGGGTGGTAGCCATACTGCGGTGGCGCGTAGCCCATGGGCTGCTGGTGCTGCCACGGACCTCCCATGGGATGCATGGGAACGGCATTGGCCATGTGAGGCGAACGGGGCTGCTGCGGCCCGCCTTGGGGGTGACCGTGGAACTGCTGGTGAGGAGGCCCCTGCGAAGCGATGCGGGAGCCTTGAGCCTGGTGTGCCGAAGGCGAACGTTGTGGCTCGAAAGGTCTGGCACCGGGGTGGTGAGGCGTGCCGGAGGGCGGCCTCAAGCTGGAAGAGGCATGGCGAGCGCCGCCCTGGTTCTGTAGAGCCGAAGCGGACTGCGGCGTCGAGGGAGCCGTGGAAGCGGGGGCAGGGGTGGATGGCGCGGGCGATGCGGATGGGTTGGAAGCCGTCGCCTGGGACGGCGCAGGCGAGCCAGCGCCCTGGAAGAGCTTTTGGAAATCCATGGTCTTGGCGGGCGTGCCGTTGGTAGAGTCTGGCTTTCCGCCTGCGAAGCCGATGGTGGTCTTCTTCGACTGAGGGTCGTGTGCGGCTACAGAGCCAAAGACAGTAGGCTTCTCGCCGTGCAAGTGCTGACCGGAACTGGGCTGTGCAGCGGGGGAAGAAGAGAGCATGGCGTTCTGGTCGTGGACCGAGCCGAAATTGATGGCGGCGCCGGGTCTAGCGTTTGCGACACCTTTGGGAAGGCTCACTGCAGACTGACGACGGTTGTTGGCATCACCGTTGGGGCCAGCGGCGGCGACGTTGTTGGAGTTGCCCGCTGGGGAAGAATCACTCGACATGGGGCAGAGACGCAGGTCGAGGTGCAAAGCAGCAGAATGAGAAACGCTGCTTCGAAGAAGGAGGGCGCCGTTGGTGGGTGTGAGAGGGGCTCGAGCTTATTCCACGTCGGAAGCGACGAGGTTGCAGAGTCCGGGTGGTGCCGCGAGGGTCGAGCACGAATCAGACGCGAGCTGATTCGAGAAAGAGAACAGCTCCTTTGCAAACGTTCAAAGGAGTGTTGTCGACGTTCTTGGATCCTGCCGAGAAGCGGAGGTGAGAACGAAGCCGAGAGTGTCGGAAGGGAAAGACCTTGCCTGACCTTTTGATCCTTTTAATTCCAAGTTCGTAAACCGATGTCCCTCGAATCCAAACGAAAGACAACGAGCGAAGAGGAAAGAGGAAGGAGGAAAGGGAAAAGGGGGGATGAGTAGAAAGAGAAGAACACCTCACTTCGTCAGAGAGAGAGGAGGGATCGTCGTAGGTGATAGGTAAGAGGGAGCGAGTGACGAAGCCGATGATGAACCGGACGGGCTGGCTCAGTCTGTCGAGCGTCGGTCCGCCTGACCAATCGAGTAAGTTAACTTCACTGACTGACCAACTGACTGTACTGAGAGACCGCGACGACTCAGACTGATTTTTGACGAGCAGCGAGGCTGCGAGCGCTGCAGAAGACGACCCAAAAAACTTAGGCCCAGGAGCACGATGCGAAGAAGAAGAAAAAACGGCAGGCCAAAAATCAAAGCAAAATGTGGAAAATTTTGAGAGAAGAGACACACACACCCACACTACGCTACACTCTCGCCCTCCTTCTTCTCCTCGGTTCATGGCTCTACTACGTTCTGGTGCGGAAAGCACAACGGCGTCACACGCCTCCGTTTGCATCACATTGGATGCGCGCTTTCCCCTCCTCTTGTCTGTCCGAGTCCTTTTCATACCCGCTGTAAACTCTGTGTCCACCATCCTGATTCATCTGTCATCTCAGGCTTCGGCTTGTCGCCGACGCCTCGTCCATCGACGGCAACCGTGAATCATGTTTCTGCGGACGTTCCGAAGCGTGCTGCGGTGCCTACCGTCTTATCGACGAAGCCGGAACTGAGCACGCTCTCCCCTCAGCGTGTTTGTCGTCGCTGGCTTGAATTTTTCAAAAGACGAGAATGCCGCTGCCGGAGTTCCTTCCGAAGAACCCTTCTTTCTCTCGCCACGATGCTCTTTGTTCTCCTCCTCCTCGACCGCGGAACAGCCGATCATATCTTTGTGCGCCAAGCCACGAGTGCGATCGAAACCATGAGAGCTGGTGAAAGGGATTACCCAGCTCCTCTTCCTGCCCTTGCTGGTTCCAAGCATTCCTGATTGCTATTCGATCTCCACGATGCGCAGTGAAATCCCGTCGATCCCGGGCCCTTTGCACTCACATTCTCCGCCGCACGCCACTCGGAACGCGCTATTCGACCGCGCGAAAATGCTCACCAAAAGAAAGAGGCAAAAAGAGAGTTCCCGGCCGGGGAATCGAACCCCGATCTCAGCTGTTCGTGTTTACGCGATGAAAAAGCCGTATACTGACCATTGTACTAACTGGGATGCAACTTGTGAACCTTAGGATTTACTATGTCAGTATGTACCGTAATTCCTCCTGGGTTTTGGGGCTCGACCTGGGTGCTTTACGCGTTGGAACTGAGTTGGCTGACAGTCGCGTCGCGTAGATGGACACTCTCAATTGCTCTAGCTACTTCAGTATACAGGGTACAGGACAGAGCTACAGCGGCGGACCGATGATCCACGCGGCTCTTCTTCGATCGGCGCTGCGGGATGAAAGGTGACGACGAGAGGCGTCGAGGCTGGCGATTGCGACAGGGTGAACGCTATCCATGCCTGCCAATTCTAACGCAGTGGTCTTGGCGTCGTCTGACATGTTGGCCAGCATATCCGCCACTTCCAGGGCCGAAACCGCATTGGTCGAATCACTGTCTCGGACATCCTTGACTTCGAGGTGTTCTCGCTTCATTGTCGGTGCTGCGAGATTCGGAGGATCATTGTGCCTTGCTGTATCCATCAAGGGATGCTTGATCAGACCCAGAGTTGAACTTCCGGCGAGAGGATCCAATGTTGCTCTTGGCGACGGTGGTCGAAAGTCATGAAGCTGATGGACGCTTGATGGATCGATTTCTGAATCATTCCAATATCTGCCCGTGGGCGGTGACGATGTGCTGGTCGCTTTGTTTGATTGTGATGCGGACGCCGCTCCGCCAGCAGAACCCGGCGCAGCTCGAAGGCAGCTGTCGATCGACAGGCTGAGCACCAGTTCTTGACTCTGCACTTCGACCACCTCAACATTACGCGTCAATGCTTCGCTTGCCATTGGAGGGGGCGATTTGAACGACCAGGATGCTTGCAAAATCCTCGCAATTAGCTTGTCCGTCTCGTCGGCCTCTGCATCCTTCATCTTGCCCCGCACAAGCCTGTCCCTCCACACCGCTTTGATCTCCAACAGCATCAAATGCTGGCAAACGATCCACATGACCGCAGAGTACAAGATCATCAAGTCTTGCGCGTGGTCGGGCTTCTGATATCCAGCGATGTAGCACGCAATGTTGAATGCCGTCGAGAAGCCTAGGTAGAGGAGACCGTTGGCTGTCAGTCGAAATAGCAGCGGCGTCAGGTTGTTCCACCGCAGGCGCACCCACTTGGTCCAACGAGCGCCTCCTTCGCTCGAGCTTCCTGCATCGCCTCTCATCTGCATCGCAACGCGGCGATGATGCTGACAGAGCCGATAGGCACTCAACACGATGACGATCGTGTCGTACAGCACTGTGCCCGCATAGAACCAGGCGAGCGGGAAAAAGGCGTACGTGCCACCGTCGATCAGAACACAAGCGCCATTTGGGAGCTTCTTCGGTTCTAGACTGAGGACGAGCAACGACGAGAACACCATCAGCGTGGTCAGGAGGAGAAAGACGATGACGATGATCCGCGGATCCTTTTGCCATATGCCGACCGTGCGCCAACCTAGTACGGCAGAGACCGAGAATTGGACGAGCAAAGTGCAAAGCTCACGGAAGGGCAGGCAGGCACCCCCTGATCGATGCCATGTCGCGTACAAGCCGAGACTGATCGCGAATAACGTCGTGTAGCGCATCAGCACAAAGAGGATCAGGTGGGGCGCGTTCCAAGGCACTGCCCGGTGAATGCGCATCTCTGATGGCAGGGTCCTGGATCATCAAGTGGTGTAAGCATGCATCGAGAACGAGGGCCAAGGCGTCAATCGAGAGTCAGCGCTTTGACCGCGACGAGCAAGTCCGACTTACCTCAGGTATTCCCAACAGTACAAAGTTGCCGCAACAATGGCAACATCATTCGAGAATATCTGCGATACAAGAACATCGGCATGCAACAGGAAGGGGTCAGTGCACCGCACAGCGGGAATCGAACGCGACGCTAGATGGCTTCTTACATCGTGAGAGGAGTAAGGTGGAATGACAATATCGCCTATTGATGGGTCGCCTCCGCTGGAGGCTGAATTTCCGGACATGCTGTTATCATCCTTGACCGTCCAGTTCGATGGCGTTGCGTGCGACTTTGATTCGGCGATCGAGGCAGCACCCAAATGGTGGTCGGCATCAAAAGCGCGGAAATGCTGGCGCTGCAGCTTCCAGCGGATGAAGAGGCTCGAGAGCTTCCCAAGCCTGAGCTCAGCAATTAGACGGCGTCAAATGAAGCACTCGAGCCAACCCACAGACCTTTGACAACGCCCAAGGCGAACGTCGAAGCCTAAAAGGATACCAGAAGAACAATGCCATTCAGCTCGCCTGCAGATTCCGCCCACGACACTCGTGCACAGTCCCTTCTCCTGCATGAACGTTCTCGGTTGGCGATCCCACCCATGCTGTCTAGGCACGCAGTACAGTGTAGGGAGCAGTCCCTTCTCTTTAGAAATCCGCTTCATCTGGTTCTCCCTCCTTGCACTCAGCCTTGCTTCCCCTGGCAAGCTTTCAACCTTTCCTGCTCATCCGAGTTTGTTTTGCAAGACCATTGTTTTGCAAGACCAATCCTTCGTGACGCTTCGCTCAGATCTAACTCGCAAACATGTCGTGGCTCTTCAACCGGTCGCGCAATGCAAGCGGTGCAATCAGAGAGAGCTCGGAGGAAGACGACGGACCACCTGCCACGGGAACGGTCGCAGAAGTTGTCCTGCCCGAGACTTCATCGACCCTAATCGAGACAATCCATCCTTCAAGTCTGTGCACGGGACGAAAACGAGCACTCTCAGTTGCATCGATCTCCTCCTCAAGCGAGCAAGGCGAGGCTCCTGAGCAGGACTCCGAATTGATCATGGTGAAGAAGGAAGACCCGTACGGCATCAGTGATCCTGAAGACGAAGAGGATGACGGCGATGACGACACCTCCACCTCGATTTCCGAGGAGGAAGACAGCGGCGACAACTACGAGGATGAGGACCGGAGCCCTTCTGGTAAAGCTTCCCGGAAGAAGAGCCGCAAGAGAGCTTCGAAGTTGGCGGCTGGCTCGTCAGCGTTCGTCAAGCACGAGGGCGTCAAGACCACGACTAGGCCAGAGAAAGGATCGTACCTCTGGCAACGCTGGACCAGCGAGGAGGATGCGCATCAAGCACTCAAGAACTGGGCGTTGCAGAAAGGCTTCCGAGTGAACGTGTGTCGCAACAAAACAAAGTCGGCGCCGTACTTGAGATGCCCTTGCAGCAAGACGTCAACAAATTGTCCGTTCAGCGCCAAGTTCGAGTATCGTAAGGCGGATTCGACGTACAAGTTGTGGATCCTCAAAGAATTTCACAACCATAAACTTATGGGTCCGATCTCGTCTTCGGCTGGTCGCAATGGTGCATTCACAGAAGCAACGCCGCCCCCACCATTTGCCTTTCCGCCGAGTCCTGGACCATCCAACGCCTCCTTCCCGGTGCGATATCACGACTTTCCCGAGATGTCCAATAATCGTCCAACTGCCAGCCCCTCTGTCATCAAGCGGGATCGAGACTTTTCCGTCGGTCAATCAGCCTTCACTGGGTTGGGCAGTCACGACTCCCCTCTCTTTCTCGACGATGACGTCTGGGATCAAGGTCAGCAAGGGTCGACATCGTTTCTCGATGTGATGAGCTCATTGGCCAGCTTTCCTTATCAAGATCTTTCCAAGGCAGTGGATCGACTCACGGCAGAAGAGCGACTGCAACTGTTCGTGCGCACAAAGAAGCTCAACGAGCTGCTGGAAAGGAGTGGCCTTTGACCCAAAAAGCTTGGCGGGCGGTAGGATCGATCTGCAGGTAGACAGCTACATCTGGTCAAGGTTATATTTGGCACGCCTCAGAGAAATGCTTTTTGGGCGAGCACGAAGCGTGACTCATTCAGGAATCAAGTGATCGTCCTTGTTGTAATTCAGCATCTCGAACAAGCTCTTTGTGATTGAGTGCGCGGTGACTCTTGTGCTCTTGCCATCGCTTGACTTTGCAGCATAAGAGGGCACGGCGAGAGGCGATGGGAGATAGGAAAGAGGCTGCGCTCGAAAGTTTGAAGCAGACGGTTTTATGGCCAGAGTGACAAGAGAAGAGGCGCAGAGAACCCAATTGTCAGAGACTGAGCTAAATTAAAGAAGACCCAACGGTTTGCGAAGAAAGCAACCTCGGTTGTGGGCTATTGGGCGAGAAGGAACTCCCGTATCGCAAGGATGTTGAGTGTTCTTGTGCCTTCGACACTCCTGCGCGCACAAATAAGCTGAGTACTTTGCCCTAACCCTCTGCCCCGAAGCTTATTTGCACCTACTACAGCCACGATGTGTAGGCTCGGGAAGCGCCCGGAATGCCTATCGGAACCCAAGTGGAGCTGCGACCAGAATCCAAGCTGAGGTGCGGCCAGAACGTCGTCTGTCGCCAAATGTGTCGCAAACCTGATCAGCTTAAACTAGCAGCTCAAAAAACCGTAGGCTCTGCTGTGATGCCTGTCCGTTTCTTCTCTTCTTGACCAGAACTGGTCCATTGCGCAGATAAAGGAGCCTTCTGGCGCTGAAGGGCAGAAGCATATAAGGTCATTCCAAGCTGAGCGCGCCTCAAATTTGACCGTCTCATACCTGCCTTTCGGATCAACATTTGGGGCACACACCCTCTACAGACGTACTGCCAGTTCGTCCATCAAGTCAAGCATGGTTGAGCGTCTCTCCTCCCGAAGTTCTACCACCCCCTTCCTCTCCGACCGTCCTACCGTGGCGGCAGCAAGTGAACAAGCAAGGAACAGCCCTGACTTTGACGAAGAGCTCCCTGATAACGTCAGTGACGATCCTACCTGGAAGCCCGGGGGCACGGCGCGTAGCTTGCGAAGGAACGCGTCTCGAGACAGGTTGCTTTCTCCTTCTGTTCGAACTCCCGCTGATCATCGAAACAGCGTCCACGAGACCTCTCTGCCGGTACCAAGCCATCTGCTGTCCCTTACAACACTAAGGACGAAGCCAAGCGAGCTTTGTGTGGCTGGGCGGAGCAAAACGGATTCAAATTAGGAGAAGCACGCGGTACTGCGAACTTTGCGTACCTGAAATGTACCCAAGATTGGAACTTTCTGCCCCGTCCTCTGTGCAAGTATCAGATCGGACTCAAGATGGACGCTGATGGAAGATGGAAAGTTCGTGTCTCGAGCGACGTTCACAACCATTCCATTGCGATCAACAACCCTTCCGATCGGGACCTTGGCCAACCCGGACCCTCAACGGCCCGGTCGAACAACTCTCCGGTCTCCGGCCTTCATCGCGAACAGCAGTCGCAGCCGCAAGTCGAAGTCCAGCATCAGCTCAATCAACCACAACAGCAGCAGCGAGAGCAGGCGTTGTCGCAGCAGCAAACGCACGGTCACTTGCAGCGTCAACAAGCATCGCTCCTTCGAGTGCAGCAGCAGCCGTCAGCGCAAGGACAACAATCATCAAGCCGCAGCAAGCGTCCGCGTTTCGACTCAGATCACGTCCAGCCAGTTCAAATCTTCGGTCATACATTCACAGCTGTGGCCAGGTCGGAACTGCAAGCCTCTGCTTCCAGCATTGCCGCCAATGACCGGCTTCAGCCTCGACAGCAGGTGAATCACGTCGTCACCAGCCGTTCCTTCCCTGGCATCGACATTGACAGGCTTCAAGAGACAGCCTCTGGTCTCGGTCTACGAGAGCTAGTCGAGCTCTCTGCTCTGATCAAGTATGCGGACAAGCTGATCGAGCGACATCTGCGTGGTCTGTAGGCGCAAAACATGATCAACCGGTGCTCCAGGCCCGCGAAGACCCGACCGCGGCTTGCACGACTCCCAAGTTTCTCCGAACATCAGAACAGCGTACCATGTATTCCAAAAAAGCGAAATACGCGACAAGATGACTGAACAGCAAGGTACATCACGAGCGATGCTCATAATCGTTCGGAACGTCGTCACCGTGTGTGTGAAGATCCTGACCCTAACCCTAGACACAATTGTCTCATTCACAAACGTACGGCGATGAAAGCGTAAAGACCGGTGTATTAGAGAAATCAGGGATAAACACGAGAGCAAGATGCAATGCGACTGCCTCAACACTTTCCAATTCTCACCGCCAAAAAGGCTGAGAGCTGGATAGGAGGTCGAAAGTCTGACATCGAACTGGACGGTGGGGGAATCGACGCTTGTGGAAACATGAGAGAGAGGGGGAAGAAGAACAAAAAGACGATCCTGGGAGGAGAAAAGCTTTTCGTCTGGACGCTAGTGTGTGATGGATGATGATGATGATGTTGCTGCTGCTGCTAGTATGAACGACCTGACCGAAAAGATGTGATTTTTTCCAAGACCTTGAAAAGAGAGACAAAGACCAGTTTGTCCCCGAATGCGAAGCGAAAAGTTATGCCCCTGAATGAGCCTATGCCAATGATACGAATGCAATACTACCCCAAAGATTTTTAGTTGATGGGGATCGAAGTGCATCCGATGTTGACAAGACCATCTTGGCTAACGTTTGTGCAGCATACGGGGGTGGCCTTGCAGATGCTTTGAAGTGAAACGCCGAGAACGGGGATCTGCTGGCAGTTGAGGCCGATGTCTCCAGCCAAGTTGTTGAAGCCGAGAAGACCTGCGAGAGTTTTCTTCTTGCTTTCGTCGTTGATAACTTGGCTGCAGCATTTGGCCTCGCCTACGGAGCACTGACCGTTGTTGTTGTGCTCGCTCGAAGAAGAGGTACGAGGACGGGGACGTTGACCACGACCATCGAGCGACGGTGTGCGCTTGGCCATGGCTTCGTCCTCCTCCGCTGCGTAACGCTTGACGAGGTTCTTGAGCAGATCCTGGTTGGCCACAGGAACAGAGATTCCGCTGGCAGCGCCTTTGAGCAGGGAAGCGGGATCAACACCGTCCCTCTTGTGCGTAAAGTGTTCGGCGGTTCCCGTCAAGGCATCGACGTGGTGTGTCTTGTCTCCGGTGTTGGTCTTGTCCAAAACCTTCTGAATGGCATCGATCGCGGTCTGCAGGGATTCGTATTGCTTTACATCCAGCGCTCGGCGGGAGTTCGCGCTGTTGACAATATCGGATAGGGCGGAAAGGGTGGCTTGAGCAGGTGCTACTTGGTTGACGTTTTTCTTAGAATCGATCTCACCTCGTCGGGTCAACTTCTGTCCACCAACAACCTGGGACAGAGCAGCTGCCACCGCCTGGACAGGAACCACCTGGTTGTCGTTGTCAATGCCCTCACCACGCTTGGTAGCGTGCTGGCCGTTCGCGACTTGAGAGAGGGCGGCGATGGTGGCCTCGATGGGAAGGAACTGAGCGCTGTTGTCGACGGCGATCGATCGCTCGGCCTTCTGGCTGTTGAGAACTTGGGAGAGAGCAGCAAGAGTGGCCTCGATGGGAAGAACCTGGTTGGTGTTGTCGACGACGTTGTCGTGACGCTTGGTAGCCTTCTGGCTGTTGATCACCTGGGACAGAGCGGCAGCAGTGGCCTGGATGGGAAGGACCTGGTTGGTGTTGTCGACACTGTGGAACTCAGGAGCCTTACGCGAGACCTTCTGGATGTTCTCGACATCCGAAAGAAGAGCAGCAGTGGCCTGGATGGGAAGGACCTGGTTGGTGTTGTCGACACTGTGGAACTCAGGAGCCTTACGCGAGACCTTCTGGATGTTCTCGACATCCGAAAGAAGAGCAGCGGTAGCCTGGATGGGCAGCACCTGGTTCGAGTTCTTGAACTCGGGCGCCTTGCGCTTCTCGACAGTCTGGCCGTTCAGCACCTGAGAGAGACCAGCGAGAGTGCCCTGGACAGGGACCACCTGGTTGTTGTTCTCAACCTTGTGCTCGTGCTCCCAGCGCTTGGAGGCGGTCTGGAGGTTGGCGACCTCCGAGAGAAGGGCGGCAGTGGCCTGGATGGGCAGCACCTGGTTGGTGTTGTCAACCTCGTTGAGCGAGGGAGCCTTGCGAGCGTGGACTTTCTGCAGGTTGCCGACCTCGGAAAGGAGAGCAGCAGTGGCCTGGATAGGAAGAACCTGGTTGGAGTTCTCAACGCCTTCACCGCGCTTGGTGGCGTGTTGTCCGTTGGCAACAGCGGAGAGGGCAGCAATGGTAGCCTCGATGGGAACGAATTGAGCGCTGTTCTTGACATCAATGGAACGCTCAGCCTTCTGAGCGTTGAGCACCTGGGAGAGAGCAGCAATGGTGGCCTCGACAGGGACAAACTGCGACGAGTTGTCGACACCAATGGATCGCTTGGTAGCCTTCTGGCCGTTAAGAACCTGCGAGAGCGCAGCGATGGTAGCCTCGACGGGGACGAACTGAGCCGAGTTGTCGACGCCGACGGCGCGCTTGGCGGCCGACTTCTGACCGTTGGCAACAGAGGAGAGGGCAGCGAGGGTAGCCTCGATGGGGATGATCTGGTTGTTGTTCTTGACAATGTTGTCACGCTTCAGCGCCTTCTGCTCGTTGAGCACCTGGGAGAGGGCGGCGATGGTGGCCTCCACAGGAACGAACTGCGACGAGTTGTCGACACCGATGGATCGCTTGGTAGCCTTCTGGCCGTTCAGGGCGGCAGAGAGAGCAGCGATGGTTCCCTCGACAGGAACAAACTGGGCAGAGTTGTCGACACCGATGGATCGCTTGGTAGCCTTCTGGCCGTTCAGGGCGGCAGAGAGAGCAGCGATGGTTCCCTCGGCGGGGACAAACTGGGCAGAGTTGTCGAGACCGATGGAGCGCTCGGCGTGCTGGCCGTTAACGACCTGCGAGAGGGCAGCGCCAGTGAGCTGAACGGGGAGCACCTGGTTGGTGTTGTCCACACCCTCATGGGCAAGGACGGGGCCAGAGAAGGCAGAGACAGCTGCCACAGCAGCAAGGAACTGAAGGTACTTCATTGTTGTCGACAAGGATACTTTGGTCCGATTGAAAGGCTGGATTAGGGCAGGTTTGTGTGGACGAGAGTTAGAAGCCGAAAGGCGGTAAAGGGATTGTTTGGTGGGGAAGGGGGAGCAGCAAAGGGGAGAGGGGGCAGCAGCAGCAGGGACAGGGTCGAGAGGTAGGGAGAAACTAGCTTGAGGGATCAACGCTGATGTCGTCGAAGTGAGAGAGATTTATATATACCTGGTATGGCGAGATCAATACGCGAGGTGTCCGGAACTGGAATGGACATCGAGAGCAATGTAGCCTTGTTCTGCCCCCCCTCGCAAGCCTGTATAGACGATGACTGTGTCAAAACAACGTCAGGTACCGAGAATAGAGAAAGTTGTTTTGACAAGTCGTGGACCTTTGTGCGAGGCAGAAGCGGCGATCAATACATCCGGGCATCGCATCTGAGGTGCAGAAAGCAGCTCGCCTAAGACAAGCCACGTTGGATGAGGACTCTCACTGGCATGTTAGAGGCAGCCAAGATCGGCGTCAGCGATACGAAGAGAGAGAGAGAGAGAGACGACGGAAGAGTCAACGCATTGAGAGGAAGGGCTGCAGCTCACAGAGGGAAGGATGTGCAGGAGATTCCAAACGAGCAGGCGGGTGCATCGCGGAAATGAGGCCGACGGGAAGGCGCAGTCCAATGTACAGAAGGATGCGTGCAAAAGACGGGAAGCGAGACTGGTGACGTCTTTGGTTGGGATGACACAAGTATGCAGCCCGGGCGATCTTCGTTAAGCACCATAGGAATGGTCCATTGAGATATGTCCGGTGAGCGGAGCGGCCTCTGCACCAGGTGCCAAGGCTGTGTTCTCGTCGGATCATCTGGGGTCTCTTCAGCAAGCTGCGAGACCGCTCGTAACTACCGCTTTGCTCCTGCCGAGCCCTCTGCATTGGAACGAAAAGGAAACCATCAATACAGAACATTGTCAGCTTCACTGGACTCGCGGCCGTCATAAGTCGATGGGCGAAAGGGACCTGAGTCTGCAACTCCTTAGAGCAGCAGCCGAATCGAATGGGCACATTGAGGCCTGTTGGACACTCTGTGGACGAGAGCGGACCAAAGGCTCATGTCAAAAAGAACCGCATCTGTGCATATCTTGTATGCATGATTGTGGCGTTTGGACATGCAGCATCGATCGAGCTCGAGATGCGTCGTGGGGAGCGGTGCAACGCACAATTCGCCGATGTAATCATGACAGAGGCGAAGTACCGAAGAATGCTAGGCGCAAGAAGGAGAACGCTTTCAGAGAGGCAAGTCGTGAGCAGCCATAGGGCGGGACGCAACCGAAGCGTGCAGAATAAGCTCTTGCCGCATACAACTTGGTGCAGGGGACAGAAGTATCAAACCATGATCGACAGCGCTGATCATGGCGCATGATCTGCATAGACCACGGCGGAAGAAGGCCACAAGAGCCAGTGAATATGCAGGTGGCTTGGAAATGTCGAACAGCTGACATTGACCTATTGCGTCTGTCTCAAACAATGTCGAGACTGGCACGCAGAAACGCATAACGTGGCTGCGTTTGGATAGGTTTGCATCGAAGGAGGTGAGATGCAGGTATTGACGAGCTCTACGGGGAGCAATTTCTCGCACTAGAGATGGCGATGTCCAGCAGAGCGCCGAAGGTTGATGCAGGACTGGCATGAGGGATTTGACATCCAACGATGCGGGGACGACGAAAGACCGCTCGAGTTAGGTGCAGACAGCCAGCTGCAGTCGAGGCGACGAGAGAGCACTGTAAAGGTGAGGCGGAGCAAGTGACAGACACGGGACTGACAAGCGGAAATGTGCGTGGTTCGGATTGCAGAAGCGCACCAAAAGCCCGTCAGCCAGGCGAGCAGTTTAGTGGTCGTGTCTGGTACGGTCTTGTTTGCGGCTGGGAGTTTGTCCTCAAAGTCGGAGCTTTCCAAAGGATTGGGACGCGCTAGGGAAGAGCCGAGGGTGCGGAGCGGAACCACATCAGCGGAATGCAGACTAAATTCCTACGTCCAAATCCTTTGATCTTTGTTTGACAGCTGTGCACCCCACACGTCGAGATCCACTTTTTCAATTCCACCACCTACTGCAGCACAGCCGACGCGCAGCATTGCAATTGCCCGTTGTCATTCCAAATGCCTCTCTCCTTGCTGTTCTCGAGACCGGCACCCCACAAAGAGCTTCAGTTGCTGTCTGGCTCACATCCGAACCAGTGATCTTCCTTTGGGTATTCAGTCGCGTGCGAAGGTCGCGGCCGAATGACGGCAGCTACACGCTCCACAGGCGTGGTAACGGCAGAATCGATGAAGCAAGCAAGCAGCGTCAAAATACGTCCGGCCGGGGCGAGAAAGGAAATGTCTGTACCGCAGGCTGGTTCTGACGTGACATCGGGACACTGGCCAACCGAGGTTTCGAGTCGAAGCGGCTCGACCCAAGCAAGTGGCTTATAGGAGCCTGGAATGTGGAATGCAGCACGCGTCCGTACTCTGAGCCCGCGGGAGGAAAAACTCGTCACGTCAAATTGTGCGCGTTGCTTTGACAAATGAGCGAGAAGGAAGATGGCTTTCAGACGCGGAATGTGAGTTGCTTCCTGCTCTTACGCATCAACAGCTGCATCGCGAAATGGCCGTCACATCTGTCACTCTTCGCCGATGCGAGACGTTGTGAAGCGATTCACGAGACCGCCGATCGACAGAGCGAGCTTGTCGGAGACCAAAGCGTCCGTCTCGACTCTTGGCGCGATCTAGTCGGCCAAGACCGTAAGAAGCTTCTTTCTTCCTTTTGTACGCAATTAGTGGCGGCCACAGTGCAATGCGGAACGTCACCCTCTCCGGCGCCTGGCCTTCCGACCGTAGTTCGCTCACCTTCACATCTGATTGGGAGCGGTCCCACAGCCTGATCAAATCGACTATGGCTTAGCTTTGGCGTCAATTCGAAGCGTGTTCGACGGAAGCGTCCAAGAATTGTCAGCCGCTTTGTCTTGGCTTGCTCCTTCACGCCACCTGTTTCGCATCTCTTCTGTTTGCCATCGTACCGTATTCCGATACGGCGGGGCGTTGGTGCGAGCTTGTTTGCCAATCTGATAGACGAGTCCAGATGAGTCTCGTTGAGAAGCTACGCGATCATGTGATCTCGGCTGACGAGCCAAGACAAGCCGCGGCGAGCCTACTGCGAAGGATCGAGGGCGAAAGAGATATTTTTGAAGCCACACTTCTCCACTCTCTTTATCTTGATCCGTAACGAGACAAAACCAGGGAAAGCCGATCGTCCCAGCACTGAAACCGATGTCGATTCTGATGCGGCACGCTTGCAATGTGATCGCATCCGCTTGCGAACCCTCGCTCGGGAACGACTCGGCAATCCCGTAGTGCTGTCCTCGTCCGTTTGGAATTGGAGTGGAACTGCATCGATGCCAAAGTCATGTCTCACGCGCTGTCCACGTTTTCTATCTTTGCAACTCTTGCTCTGGCTGTCGGATCAGCCGAAGTCGCTTGATCCGACAGTGCAGTCACACAACTCGCCGCATCAAGACTAGGCGGTTTGATCACAGCTCGGTCAAACTCAGCCCACCTACTCAATACAGACAAACCCACTGATCTCAAGGACATAGAACGGGAAAAGATATTGCAGAAAAAGTGGAATATGCGTACATGAGTCGGATGGATGGATAGGGAATCTGGTGAGCACGGATCGCCACGACTGTAACAGCCGTTGACGATCCTCGAGAGTTCCTTTTTTGGGGTTTAGGGCTGCGCACTCAAGAAGCGTGCGAGATGAGGTGACAATGCATCGACGACCGATCAAGACAAAAGCAGAGACTGCTGCTGCTGTTGCTGCTTAACGACCACCGAAAGCCTTCTGCATGGAGCGCTTGAGGCGCAGCGAAGCACGACGGTACTCGTCGGCCGAAGCGTCCTGCACCTCGAGGATCTCGAGAGCCTTGGTGAGCTCCTGCTCGATCTGGATCTTGGCGGGGCGCTTGAGGTTGGCGGCGGGACTCGAGATGGTCTCCTCGACCGAGTGAACGTAAGCCTCGAGGTCGTTCTTGGCGTCGTGCTTGGCGGTGAAGTCCTTGTCGGCCTTGGAGAAGGTCTCGGCATCCTTGATCATCTGCTCAATCTCGTTGGAGCTCAAACGGCCGACCGAGTTGGTGATGGTGATGTTGGCCTTGCGGCCGGTGATCTTCTCCTGGGCAGAGACCTTGAGCAGACCGTTGGCGTCGATCTCGAAGGTGGTCAAGAGCTCGGCCTGGCCACGGGGCTGAGGGGGGATACCAGTCAGCTCGAACTCACCAAGGAGACGGTTGTCCTTGCACTGAGTTCGCTCACCCTCGTAAACGGGGAAGGTGACCTGGGTCTGGTTGTCCTCGACGGTGGTGAAGACTCGCGTCTTGTTGCATGGGATGGGGGTGTTACGGGGAACAACGACACCGAACACGTCACCCTGCATGGCAACACCGAGCGAAAGAGGGGCGACATCGAGAAGGAGCAGGTCGGCGGTCTTGTCGCTGGTCTGGTTGGTGAGAACGGCGGCCTGGACGGCGGCACCGTAGGCGACAGCCTCGTCGGGGTTGATCGACTTGTTGAGCTGACGGCCACCGAAGAACTCGGAGATGAGCGACTGGATCTTGGGGATACGGGTGGAACCACCGACAAGCACAATGTCGTCAACCTTGTCAGCGGGGATCTTGGAGTCCTTGAGCACCTTGGCGACGGGGTCGATGGTGCCCTTGAAGGCGGCGGCGTTGATCTCCTCGAAACGGGCACGGGTGATGTTGGCCTGGAAGTCGACACCCTGGAAGAGCGAGTCGACCTCGACGGTGGTCTGGGTGACCGACGAAAGAGTGCGCTTGGCACGCTCACAGGCCGATCGCAGACGGCGGATGGCACGCGGGTCTTCGGAGATGTCGAGCTTGTTCTTGCGCTCGAATTCCTTCTTGAAGTGGTCAAGGAGGGCGTTGTCGAAGTCCTCACCACCAAGGTGGGTGTCACCAGCGGTGGCCTTGACGGCGAAGACACCACCAGTGATGTTGAGGAGCGAAACATCGAAAGTTCCTCCACCAAGATCGTAGATAAGGACGTTCTTCTCAGTGGACGACTTGGAGTCGAGACCGTAGGCGATGGCAGCAGCGGTGGGCTCGTTGATGATACGGAGAACATCGAGACCGGCGATGGAACCTGTTCAGTGCGGAGGACGCGATGCAGAAGCGGAACGGAAGGAGGTGGGTCAGTGACAATGGCTCTTGGAGGTGTTGAAGATTAGCGAGTCTCTACGTCGGATCTGCCGCTGGTGCTGATGTGATGCTGCTGCTGGATAGATCCTCGCTACTGGAGGCCCGCCATCGTGTCCGACGTCCCTGTCCCGTGCCGCTTTGGTGGACGACTTTAACTTGCTGATGACGAAATGCGCTCAGCTAGCCGTTCTTAGTAAAAAAATTTGCTTCCGCAACGCTGGAGAGCCTCGGAATTAGCATGGAATAAATTTGTATCATCGCTGCGCAATCGTGTTCCCGTCCATCCCGGGGTGCATTCGGAACTCCTTTCCAGCTTCCTTTTCCTCTTCCTTTGCAGATCAAAATGGGCAGCAGCGGCGGATGTCGATGTGGAGTCGTCGAGAGGTGACAAAGTGAAATACATACCAGCATCCTTGGTGGCGAGACGCTGCGAGTCGTTGAAGTAAGCGGGGACGGTGATGACAGCCTTCTTGACCTCCTTGCCAATCTTGGCCTCGGCGATCTCCTTCATCTTGGTGAGGACCATGGAGGAGATCTCCTGGGGAGAGAACTGCTTCTTCTCGCCGAGGTAGGTGACCTCGATGAAGGGGGAGCCGTCCTTGTCAATGACGGTGAAGGGCCAGTGCTGCATGTCCTTCTTGACGTCAGGGTCGTCGTATCGGCGACCGATGAGACGCTTGGCGTCGAACACGGTCTGCCTGGGGTTCATGGCGGCCTGGTTCTTGGCGGCATCACCGATGAGACGCTCGCTCTCGGTGAAAGCGACGTAGGAAGGGGTGGTGCGGTTGCCCTGGTCGTTGGCGATGATCTCGACACGCTCGTTGACCCACCAACCGACACAAGAGTAGGTGGTACCAAGGTCGATACCGATGGCGCCCTGGTAGACGGTCTCGTCGACGGGGGTAGCGGGAACCTCGCTGGACATATTGACGAAGTTTTTTTGGGGGGTGGTGAGGGGGAGAAATGGGTGATGGAGAGAGAGGAAAGGTGATGGCGACCAAGCCTCAGGAAAACCTGGCTTGCTCGCCGCCTGGCTCTCAGCTGTGCAGAGCAGAATCGGTCCATGGCTACTCAACGCACTGCAAATTTGCTTGCTGTGTCAAGGCCAAGCCTGCCTTCCTGTCTCGCACTGACTTGGTGGCACACAACCTGACTTCGAACGGGCCAGACAGACAAGTTTTTTTCTTCGCTCGTCCCAATTCTTCTTGTCGCGCTGAGCTGTGGGAGAAAAGAGACTGACTGATCGCCTGCCCTGGCAAGCGAGCAAGTTCAGTTCTTCTCGAGTTTGGCATCAGAAGAAATGACTCTAGAGCCCTTGCTGTGTGCATGCATGCGAGAAAATTTTCAGAAGAAATGGCGAATGGTACGCTGCAAATCCACAAAATTTCGCCGTCTGCTGGCCTCTTATTTCAACTCTCGACACTTTGTATTCGATACGACCAGGAAAATGAAATTGCTTGTCAATCAGCCGATCCATTTTTGTATTCGGACTCGAGTGGCTGCGGCACTGACTAGCAACAAGACCTGGCCAGAACAAGGGTCCTTGTTTCGTGCGACAAAACTTACCCGATGCGCGTGACGGTTCCGAGAGGCGCCATTGCGTTGGTCTGAGAAGAAAGTGTCTCACGAAAAAGTTGGCACTCTGCCACATTCACACGCTTACACTCTCCGAACCACAGCTCAGCTTGATCTGATCGCTCGACGCTCTTCTCGATCGTCCATACCTTCTCCACCTCGAGCTTGCACGACCGGTTCCAAGCCGAAGGATGGCGAGCCCTATCGCTACCACATCGAGGATGACCCTCGGCAGCTTCATGAGGAGTGCTGTTGGCCCCAAGGCAGCCCTGCCCCGCTCCACCGTTCTTGCTCGCGGGGTCTCCAGCGGCGTTCAGCAGCAACCTTCCCCGCTTGAAGGCGATGCCACGGCTGCTGTCACTGCCGCTGCAGAAGCAGTGACCGCCTCTTCTCAATCTATCGAAAGTGACACTCACGATGACGCACTCGAAAAGCGTCGCCTCAGGCGCACCGTCATGAACCAACTATCCGACCTCGGCAGCACCCAGACCCGCTCCACTTCCTTTCGACCGCACAAAGCCCGACTCAACCCCATCGACGCACACAAGCTCACCCTCAGCCACCTCGTCGCATCTACCGCACAAGTCGGTCACTCTCTCTCATCTCTCAAAGCAGCCAACCAGCCTTACATCTACGGTCAGCGTCACGGCGTAGCCATCTTTGACCTCGAACGTGCGACGCTGCCTGCTCTGCGGAGGGCCGCTTCGGTAGTCAAGGCTGTGGCGGAGCGCGATGGAGTCATCTTGTTCGTTGGCACTCGACCTGGACAGCAGGCAGCTGTGCTTGCGGCGACCAAGCGTCTCGGTGACAATGGATTCCACGTCACTGCTGAACGATGGATGCCCGGTGTGATCACCAACGCACCCAAGCTGCTTGCTTCGGCGATTCTCAAGTCGATGGAAGATCTCGACCCTTCTGGTTCCGCAAACACGAACCGATTGGCCTCGCAGACACTCCAGCCCGATCTTGTGATCGTGCTCAACCCGGTGGAGAACTCGTTTGCAATCCGGGAGGCTACACAGGCGAACATCCCGACCATCGCTATCACGGACTCGGACGTAGATCCCAGGTCTGTTACCTACCCGATCCCGGCAAACGATGACTCGATCCGCAGCGTGGAATTGATCATCGGTGTGCTGTCAAAGGCTGGAGAGGAGGGCTTGAAGGTCAGGGCAAAGAAGCTCGACGAAGCAGACAAGATCGAACGCAAGGTCAACAGGACAATCCAGAGACGTGTTGAGGGGGCCAACTTCGACCCGCGGTCGAGATCCGCGTCGAGTCAGACTACGCGCGATCCGGAGGAGGAGGAGGATTAGCGAATTTAAGCAATTGCAATATTAGCATCATCATTTATCGGATCGACCGCAGTGTGACGAGTGGGGGTGAATGGGAACGGCCGGATCGATCCGAAACAATACAGAAAGCAATGGGCACAATACCACAGGCGGTAGACAAACATCCGTTGCATATCAGAAAAGAAGTGACAGTAGGAAGACGAAGACCCTACCTGCTCTATCCAGTCCACTCTCCGCCCCTGGTCAGCGAAGCAAAGTATCCACCCGGCATGCTCACCAGCCTATCCCAGCTGCCCTCCTCCACGACCCTGCCTTGCTTCAGCACCAGAATCCTCTCGCACTTCCTCATCATATCCACATTGTGCGTGATCACCAACGTCGTCATACGTCTCTTCCTCGCCTCTGCGTTCTTGCCCATCAAGGTCTCGACGATCAAGTGTTGGTTCTGTACGTCGAGAGCGGACGTGCATTCGTCGAGGATGAGGATCGGTGCACGGATGCGCATGAGTGCACGAGCGATGGCGATGCGCTGCGCCTGACCTCCTGAGAATTTGCAGCTCGATCCGCCGCCGACGTTGGTCGAGTAGCCCGAGGGGAGCGAGGTGATGAATGAGTGGGCGTTGGCGGAGCGAGCGGCGGATTCGACGAGTTGTAGTTCTGCGTCGTTGAGCGGGGAGGAGTTGGGTGCCTCGTCATAGATCTTGGAGTTCGAACCGTAGGCGATGTTTTCGGCGATGGATAGGGAGAAGAGCGTGGGAGTTTGAGAGACGATGCTGAGGTGTTCGCGGAGGTGAGGTGTGGAGAGGGAAGAGATGGGATGGGTGTCGATGCAGATGGTTCCGGAAGATGGTTCGTACAGGCGTTGGAGGAGGGCAGCTATGGTGCTTTTGCCGCATCCGGATCCACCGACGATGGCGACGCATTCTCCCGGGTTGATCGTGAACGACACCTTGTCCAGAACTTTGACGTCCGCTCGAGAGTCGTACGCGAAAGCAACGTCTTTGAACTCGATCGCACCCCGGATATTCCCCTTCAATTCACCCTCCTCTTCCCTCCTCGCCGATTCCTCTAGCTTCAACAGACGATCCAAGTCAACCAGCGCTTTGACGCACTTGCTGAACCCAGGTAGAAACGTCAACATCTGAGCGGCAAAAGTCACCGCAAAGATGATCAGATTGAAAACCTCCATCATCTTCTGAAACCCATACTCTCCTTCGATCATCAGCCTCGCACCGACGTAGAAGATCAACGCTTCCGCCACATACGTCAGTGCGTCGCTCATTCCATGTCCAAACCCGGAAAACACCGAACTCCTCATCCCACACCTCTGCGCCTCATCCACCGCAGCCTGATACATTGCGTCGAATACGGATTCGAGACCCATCGAACGGATCGCTCTCGAGTGCAGGATCATGGCGTGGAACTTTTCCGACACAAGCTCGCGCTTCAGCTTGTTTCGAGCTTCGTAGTGAGCGATGATGCGGGACTGGAGGAGGGTGACGAGGATGAAAACGGGAGCGAAGGCGATCCCTGCGAGGGTGAGCTTCCAGCCTAGGACGAGGGACCAGATGAGGGCGAGCGTGATCATGGAGGTGATCAGGGCGAGTTGACCGATGATCTGACCGACGAGGTTTCGGGCGTCTTCGGCGTCCTTGATGAGGCTCTGGCAGAGGCGGGCGGCGGAGTTGGTGCGAGAGTCGAAGAACCATCGGTCTTGTGAGAGGATGGAGGCGTAGGAGCGGGACCGGAGTCGAAAGAGCCATTCGTCGGCAAGCAGTTCCATGAAGAGGTAGCGCGTGAAGGAAAAGATTCCTTCGAGAAGGGCGGTCAGAAGCACGAGCAGGCTCCATTTGAGGACGATAGCTTCGGAGTGAGGTTGACCCATGGTGGACAAGAGCTGGGCGAGAAGGTAGGAAAAGATAGGGGTGAGAGTACCGGAAATGACGCAGAGGCAGATGGCGACGAGGAAAAGTGCTCGGCTGGGAATGGTACGCCAGAGGATGGACCATATTTGTCGCACTGTGGGCGGCTTGCTCGGAGCTCCGTCGGAGTCCTCGAAAGCGTGCGAGGAAGGCTTGAAGTGTGTCGCAGTGGTCGAAACGTTGTCGAGCGAAGCAGCGTCCCACTTTCTGCGTTGGACAGTGGCATTGCGTGCACGTCGATCGCTAGCGCTCGAACCGGTAGCTCTCAACGCTTCGGCTTCCTCAAAGTAGCTGTTCATCGCTTGCCTTTCCGCCAGTCTTAGCGGCTTGAGGTGAGAAGGAGCGCCATCGAGCTTCTGCGAGATGATCAGGGATAGGTGCTCCGATAAGATGCTTCGATCGCGTTCCCCCCATCCGAGCATCGATTGATACTTGATTCTATGTCGACAAGGATACGTCTCATCGGTCGACTGCTCGATCCTACCACCCTGCTCCATCTCCTCGACTTCCTCCACAACTTCTCGTGGTTCTCCTTCGCCCGCGCCTCGCTTCTGCTGCAACGACATCGACCTAAACAGCCCCTCCCTCCCCTCCAAATCGCACCTATACCCCTGCTGCACCACCCTCCCACCATCCAACAAATACAAAAAGTCCTCGCCTTCGATCTGCGACAAATCGTGCGTAATGAGAATCGTAGTCTTTCCCCTTCTCCACGCCTTGATCGCCTCATGCACCAAATGTCTCGTCGTCGGGTCCAAAGCGCTCGTCGCTTCGTCCAAGATCAAGATCGACGGATCCCTCAACTTCGCCCTTGCGATCGCCAACCTCTGCTTCTGACCTCCCGACAATGCCGTCGCTTTCGAGCCCAACGCGGTCTCGTAACCTTCGGGAAGATCGCGCACAAACTCATGGAGAAGTGCAAGGCGACACGCTGATTCGATGTCGGATCGTGCGACGAGAGGTACGCCGGTATCCGGGGAGGTGGGAGTGTCGCAAGTGTTGGCGAGACCGAGAGCGACGTTGTCGTGAACGTTCATGTCGAAAATCATCGGATCCTGGCTGACGGAAGCGATGTGTTGGCGACACCAGTGCGGGTCGAGAAATTCGATGGTTTGATCGTCGATCTGGATGTGACCCGAGGTCGGTTCGTAGAGTCGCAGGAGGAGTTGGGCGATGGTGCTTTTACCGCTACCGCTGCCGCCCACAACGTAGGTGGTCTCGGAGGGAGCAAAGTAGAGGTCGACTCGATCGAGGACAAGGGTCGAGGGTCGGGAGGGGTAGCTGAAGCTGACGGAGCGGAAGTGGATTTCGCCTTGACATGTGGGTGGGGCGATACGACGCATTCCTTGCACGGAACGTTTGGCGAAGCGAGTCGGGGAGGCGATGAGGGGCGCTGTTCGGTAGGTGAACCTGTCCGGACTGAAGACGCCGGGCGATGGGGTGGCGGGGATATCTTCGATCGACATGGGTACGGCTTTGGCCCGTCGAGGATCGTACTCGAGCACGTCGAGGTGGGAAGCCGAGTTCGGACTGGTGGGTGAGTTGGGAAAAACCGCGCTCGTCGCAGTGGTCTTGCCTTCCGTGTAAGCTGACGACCGTACCGATTCGGCTCTGTGCGAACTCCTGTCCGCCGAAGGTGGTGTGACATCCGACGAACTGATCAGATTGATCAAGTTGGCGGCTCCGACCTTGCCCTTATCCAAATACGTCAACGCCTGAACGATCTCATTCAACGTCGAGCTGACCAGCAAGCTCGCCATGAACACCGTCATCACCTGTCCCGGTGTCAATCTCCCCTTGGCCACCAAATGGCTCCCGAACCAAAAGCCCTGCACAAACGTCGCAAAGACCAAGCCTCCCGTGACACCGTACCTCGCCGCCCACCAAACCAACAGTCTCCTGTACGATTTGCACCCGTTCCTCAACTCCCCCTCGAACCTACTCGCCTCCTTCTTCTGAGCGTTGAACGCCTTCACCGTGTTGATCGCCTCCACTACCCTCTCCACCATCGACGTCGCTTGACTCGTACTCATCCTCTCCTTCTGCATCCACGGAGCAGCAGCTACCTCGGTCACCACCGTCAGCACCAATATCACCGGAATCGACGAGAGGATCACCAGCGTCAGACTCCAACTGGTCCACATTGCCAGCACCAGACTCGCCACTGCTGTCGTCAGACTCTGCACGATCATCCCCACCTCCCTCGAAATTGCCACCCGGACATCGTCGCTCTCCCTGGCGAACTTTGTCATCAACCCTGCCGGTGAGATCTCCACCTCGTCGTCACCCGCGGAAGAAGAAAGTGACATGCCGGTGTCGTACCACGACATTTTCTTGCCCATGATGCTGGAGAATACCGAACGTCGGATGCGCGAAGCGGTACGTTCTCCGAGACAGATCCATATGGAGACAGAGAGTGTGCTGATGATGAAGATGATGGCTGAGAGGGCGAGGAGCGCGTAAACGGTGTTCAGGATGCGAGAGAGGAAGTGACGATTCGCTGAGGAGGGGATGGATGTGGAAGGCAGAGAAGTCGGATTGTAGGAGGCAAATGCGTCGAACGCTTTGCCGATGACTTTCGACATGATCGTGGGGACCATTCCGACCACGATGGAGCAAAGTACTGCGGGTAGCAGCAGCAGAAGGACATCGTGAAGTGTGAGGAATGCGAAGAGGAGTCGAAGTGAGGGCTTGGTAAGTGGCTTGGCTGCGGATGGACATGTCTTGCTGCTCATAGCTGGATTCAGCTTGCCCGAAGACATGGTGATGCTCCGATTGAATTTGTCGCCCAGCTATGATGGTGGTGTTGACGCTGTTCGCAGAAGGGGTGGTGGAGAGATGATGCCAGAACAGACGATTTGAAGCGGAACGAAGGAAATGCTCTCGACGATCAGGGTCAGTAGCAATATGTGCAATGGTGAGCTCGATCGACGATGGTATCGCATCCACACCCAAGATGCAAGCGCAGAAGCATACTGCACATGCTTGCCACTGTTCGCCTTTGCAAGAAACGCCGGGACAAGGCATGTCCGAAATTGTCTTCTGTCATTCCGATTGTCCTGCATGCTTCCTTTGTGATAAGAGCTTTGTTAACGGAAGAGCGTGTGAAGCGAAAGCACAAAGGGCATCGGAGATGTGAGCGTACAAAGGGGACTCGCGCACACGGAAGACAAAGGGAGCCAGAGGGTGGTGTTTCATGAACTGCTTCCCTTTGTGTGTCCAACAGTGCCGAATGGGAAGCAAAACCCGCCTCGTGGTTTCCGATCTCGATCCAATCCCCCGATCAGATTCCTTTTTTACACAATGTTGCGGCGCTACACAGATCTGGTGGCGTATAGGCGAAATCTTGGTATGCGGCGGGGCGGGCTTTGAAAAGCTCTAACTGCACGTTGCAGCCCTAAAAAAAGAAGGTTTAGCGTTGTCAAGCCACGAATTCTCTTTCGACCCCGCGTTGTCAAGGCCCTTGGTTGCCTCGCGACCACCCGTCGGCGCTGCTCACCGAGCTTGCAGTCTGTGCAACGCTCCCCCTTGGAAGCGCACCTGCATCTATGTCACAGCTCCGAAGATCCGTTGTCGTGGCGTCGTTGGATCTAAAGCAAGGGATCCTTCCAACAAGCCTTTCCGCTTTTCCCTCCCCCCTTGCAACGTGAATCCGAGGGGCATGAAAACCGTCCACAGAAAAATGTTCCATGTTGTCTTTCCCTTTTCTTCGTTTGTGTAGCAATACCAGGTTTTTTGGTGGTCTTTGCATAGCGTCTCTTGCTTTCAGCGCTCAAAGATGTCTTCCTCGTACTTTCTGCCAAGAAGCACTAACTTCCTCCAAAAACGCTTCTAGGCCGATCCCTCTAGTGGCTAAGATTGCGCTCAATTTTCGGCACACGACTGCGAAACTAATTCTGGGGGCTGAGCTTAAATATCGGCACCTAGGGAGCCGAGATACAAGGTGTGCTGCACTTCGGACGGTGTATCACCGCAACCCCTCCCTCCGGCAGCACACACGACGGTCATCGCGCCACACACCTCCCTCCTTTCCTTCGTAGACACGGTCAACTCTTTTCCTCTGCAGCGCGGAGGTCTATTCGGATCCCAGAAGAATCACCCAAAAATTCATTTCAGTCTCAGCCGCGTTCCACAGCGCGAAAAAGAAAAAGAAAGTGAAACCGGGCCCTTAAGCTGATTCGCCCCAACTCAACCGGTCCCGTCCTTCCCGCTCCCACCTCTATAAGTCTCACCGCCGCTTCCCGCATCCTCTCATCCATACGTCACTGTCGAAAAGTCGGTCAATCTTTATGTCCAAATTGTTATTCGATACGAATGCGATAGGAAACCTAGAATTGCATCTTGTGTCAACGTGCCAAGAGAGGAAAAGCGGGTATCTAAAAGGAAGACAAAGTCTTCACACAGCCCATGTGAAGCGTGTGAAATGCAGTGAAGGGGGAACGACGTCATGCTAAGCGGAAGTTCTAAAGAGTGTCTTTTGTTCATCTGGACCGGAGCATCTCGTTGTCGAGGCCGAACCAGATATCAGGGGATTGCTTTTGAGGGGAGGGAAGCTGCGTGATGCGAATACGATGCTGAATGCAAAAAAGGGACTTTTGTTACGATCTCCAGCTGTAAGGGTGAAGATAGGGATCGGCAGCGGCGCCGTTGAAGCTAGCCTGCTGCTGATGTTGAGGAAGCTTGTACGCAACCGTGGAAGTGGGGCTGAGATCGATCTTGGGATCAACAGCATAGTAGCGAGACTCCTCGAAATGCGTCATGTCGAGGTCCGAGGGCGGAGTATCCGGAGTCGTTCGACCGCTCATGATGGAGCGAGAAGCGTACGGCGAAGGTGTCGCAGACATGGCGCTCGAATGAGCGTACGACGAGCACACCGACGACGAAGAGATGGATGCGGCAGGAGAGTTCGAGTAGTATGCTGCCGCTGCCGAAGACGACGACGACGACGAGAGCGGCAGACTGTGAGCAGGCGTCGAGTAGGGGCGACACCTCTCGCGCGCAGAGTTGATGAAAGGGTGGATGAAGCTCGGTGCGGTGGCGCTCCTCTCCTGACGGTGGCTGGTGCTCTTGACCATGGGAGCAGAGGATGGCATCGAAGTGCTGGCAGGGATGTGACCGGTCGAGGCAGATGAGATGCTGGCGCGGGTGCTGAACGAGTGCGAGACGCTCGACTGCCTCGAGTGTCGGCCCGACGGGACGCGGTGAGGGCCGGCGTGCGAGTCGATCGATGGCGACGAGAAGCCGGACGACTCGAGCGCAGGTGTAGGAGGTGCCGACGACTTGATGCTCGAGACGCTCTCGCATCGTTCGCGAGGCGCGTCGTGCGAATCCACGTCGACGCTGGTGCGACGAGACATGAGCTCGAGAATCTTGCGAACGACGAGGTCGATGCGACCTCCATCGACGTCCTGCTCGAGCTCATATGTGAACATCTCAAGGTCATCGGGTGAGACATTGACCTTGTAGCCGAGGTAGCCAAACAGCTCGCGCTCCATCTGGTTGATCTCGCGGAGGCTGAAGAGGCCTTGACCGACGATGGCCCAGCTCTTGTTGGAGTAGGTGTCGTCGCAACTGCTCTTGCTGGCAATCATGAGGGCAGAGATAAAGAGGCGGTGACCGGACGAGCCGCGTGCTGCGGGGAAGCGAATCTTGAGACGCAAGAGCAAGTACAGCGCCTGGAAGGTGACGGCCTCGGGGAGTCGAGTCCTGTACAAGGCGTAAGCGATGAACTCTGAGAGACGAGGAGCAGGGTTGCCATTGGAAGTGGCGGGGAGCGATGCTGATGCCGAGGTGGAGTCGAGAGGACAAGCAAAGAGGTACAGGATGAACCTTTCGCAGAGCTCAGAGGGTTCTGCGGCGACGAAGAGACGAGGGCGAGAAGATGGGGGAGGCGGTGTCAGCGGAGAGAATGGAGAGAAAGGGCGCGCCAAGCCTGAACAGCAACTCACCTCGGTAGCCGTAGAATCGATCCTGCTGCTCCGATCGTGATGCGGATCGTGAAGAGGACTTGCTCGATGAGGCAGAGTGCTTCGACTCGGTGGTCATCTTGGACTGGTAGCCGTGAGCGGCAGCATTGTATGCGGAAGCAACGGTGGCAGCCATGTTGACGAAGGTCGACTCGAGGAGGGGTCGGCTAGACGATGATCAAAGTTGCGATGGAATGATCTGGACCGACGTGCACATTTACGTTGGTGATGCGAATTGACGATGCGCTGCAAAGTCGAGTCCGACAGGTGTCGTTAAGAAGATAGACGATTTCTTGCTGAAGAAGGAGGTTGCGAGAGGAAGGGAGCAGAGAAAAAAGTGGTGGAATGGCGGTTGCAACGTATGTGAGGTCTAGTCGGAGGTGGGGGTGACTGGTCCTGATGGATCGCTCGTCGGGGATGGGAGATGAAGGCGGACGGAAGTGTCAAGGGGCGCTTCTTGATGAACCGTGACGAGTAGGAAGCACGTTTCGAGGCTGAACCTAACGTGGATAATCTAAGTTTATGCTGCTATTGTCGAGGATGTTGAAGAGAGGGAACTACACGCTCGCCGGTCTATGAAGTTGGCGGGTGGCAATCGTAGCGCGAATGGATGCGTGACGATAGTGATCGGCGCCTGGAGGGACGAGAAGATGGTGTCGACGGGGGAGTGGGATGGCAAGGAAGAAGGTAGAGGACGATGATGGGATCGAAGAGGAAAGGGTGGAAGGATATATGCCAACCAAGCTCGAGCGACGACTCGGACCACGGCTCACGGCAGGCCAGGCAGAGGACGCGCTTAGGTTGCGGCGGCAGGACGGGCAAAGTAGAACGAGGTTCGGCTTGTACGGTTCAGAATTCGTTAGCCAGAGGCAGAGCAACGGTATCGATGCACCAGGGGCTGTTGGCAGGCAGACGACGTGTGCAAGCCAAGCGTTAAGGTTTTCGGACACCAAGCCAGGCTAGGCCTCATCTAAAGAAGGCAGGTGGCGGAACGGCACTGCAGAAAAGGGGAGCGAAGGAATCGCTACCGGCAACGGGCCACGGGGTGCAGCGTGCGAGACACGCACCACACGCACGCACTGCACGCATACACTCCACCCATGTTGGAATCTCGCAAGGAAAGAGAACGAACGGCAAGTTTGCGGGTGGCGGCGATTTCTTGGGTGTCGGAAGAGCGACCAAGGCGAGAGACTTCCTACAGCACAGGCCTCGGTCGCAGTCATCAGGAGGTCAAAGGGCAGAGAGACAAACGACACCGGTCGGGCTTGGCCCGACGGGGACGAGGGCCACATCCAGGTCCTCGCTTCGACTCGAAAGTGTTCGAAGCGAGGCGAGGCGAGACGAGGGCCAAGAGAGGCAATGGCCCGAGCAGAGTCACATACACACACACTCCCACTCTCTCTTTCGCCTTCTCTTGTTCCGTCGCACCACCCGCACGCAGGCATTCACGCAAACAGGTCAACAAGGGCCCGACCGCTCAGACAGCCTGTGTAACCCTTTCGTGCAAGGGGCAAAGGACGCCACAAGGCTAGAAAAAGTGTGGCGATAGCTACCGAAGCAAGATCAAACTTTGCTGCTGACAAAGGCGACAGAAAGAAAGATCTGTACCAGTTCCCGAGCAAATATCGCCCAGAGGGGATCAGGGAAGGCTGAAAATTTCGACAAAGCTTAGCTCGAACCGAGTCTCAAATTTCTTCGGGGTGCAGAATCACAGAGGTCAACATTCGTGACGAAATTGAGAAGAGAGAGAATGGGGAAGTTGCCTGCTGCAACGGCAGGTTTTCTGTGGAAAAAAGGGGCCCGTTGCACCGGACGGCAGGGTTCCAAGACTGGACGGTGAATCCCAATTGACTGTTATTGTCCCTCCTCCCTTGCAGGACGACGACTACCATTCCTGCAGACTCTAAATCGCAGGCGTCTGACAATCGGAGTCGAATTCCGCGGGTAAGGGCGCTATGGGCGTCAAGTGCAGCTCCCAAAATTCGTTTTGAATTGAAGTCGGCTGAGTGAATTTGAATTTGATTGATTTTAAACCTCGAAGTTTCCGCCGTTGTGTCAGGGGTTAGAGACAGCCAAGCGTGAACCAGGCCTGCGGGAGCGAGATTCGGTCGAACAGGTCTCACCGACGGATGAAACCAAACACACGTCGACGGAAGCCAAGTAAGCACGAGTCGGACTAGAAAGATTCGTTCGTCGAGCAAAAAAACCGAACGTCCCTATTGACACACCGTTTGGTCATGCATGAGGTCCACGCTTGGGCGGTGCACGCCAGCTTTGTGATGCACACGAGCCACGGTTCAGCCGACACTAGATGCTTCGACAGAGACGATGTTGACGATACGAGTCGTTGTGGCAGAGGAGTTGCCGATGCATGCAACACGCGTTGTTCTGCCTGTCGCTCGAGAGCCACCAACGTTTCAGACTCGAGTGAATTGCAACCGGCTCGTTACCCCTCCGGTTCCACTTGGCAGAGGAAGAAGGGAAAGATGTGTCTCCATGTGGGGACCCAATGTGAGGGGACGAGGGACACGGAGCCCATCTCTCGTTTTAGAGAGCAACAGGCAACCTGCACAAGGGCGTGGACAACAGTGCTGCTGCCAATGGCGGAGCTCAAACGCCGACGTACGGCGTTGACATGCTTCGTTCGGCTTTCCAGTGTAAGGGGTGTGTCGGAGCTGTGGTCGGACCAATCCTGGTCGTCCTGCAAGGATTGCGATCTGAGACTCCCAACTCTCCGAGCTCTTCGTGGGGTGTGGATGCTTGCATTGGCCAGCACTAGAGTAGCCTCGTCATGCGGCGGCAGCCGACGCAAGGGCCTATTTTGGGTCCTTCTTGTCCGATGTAGAGGTTCACATCGTCCCCGGAGGAGGAAAGCGTATGTACATCTTCTCGCTCTCACTAGCCGACCTCGTCTCGTCACACGCGAGATCGTTTCTTTTCTTAGCCGAGCTACTGCATGGCCTTCCTGTTTGGGAGATTGCCATTCTTTCTGCGATGAGCATGACAAGGTAGTTTGTGCGATCTTACATTCATAGAGGACTCCGTTTCAATTCTCTCGGCCGCTTGGGTAATTTCGGCGTGCGGGCTTTGCCGCGTGCAATCGCGATTGGGGTTGCCATCTGCCTTCAGCGATAATGAGGAAATGTTGATCCTCAGCTTGTCGAGATGCAACCATCCAGGTCTCTCCGTGTGTATGGGGGATCGATTTGGTTGAGAAGCGATGGTCGAACGTGGCCATCAAAAGATCACACGGGATCGTCGAGGCGCCGATCGCGAGCTGGCGGCGTTTGAATATTTTGGCCGAACCCCCATTTTTGTCTCGACATGTTTTGGGGCCTCAGAAGAATCCAGAGGCAAAATCAAGGCAGCGAAATTCTGAGACACAAAACGTTGTGCCGATGTACTTCTGTTTGCCGATGTATCGGGTGCGGCACGAGCGAGTCCGAACACGCGATCAATCGACCGGCGTCCGTTCCCGTCAGCGAAAGACCACCGACTTTTCACTGTGGCGAGATAGGAGAGCAGAGGCAGGATGTGGGTTAGGGTCGAATCACGCGCAGTTCTCGATAGACGCGTCTCGCTGTCGGTGTCTGATCAAACGACGTGATATTGTCACAGACCGACGATCACATATTGTTTGTTGATGACCCCTTTGTTTGTTCCCCCCTCTGCACGTCCTTTATGCAGCCGAATTTCTACTCTACGGGCGACAAAAGTCTTGATCCTTGGCGAATTGCATTGCATAGCATAGCATGGCATGGCATCGTGTGGATCTCTTTCTATCATCACACCTGGAGAGTCGGCAAACAATGAGCACATGTCGGGTTCGGAGCATGTCACCGACTGCCCGAGAAGATCGCTCAACGGGATGAACGTACAGAGGCCTTGCCTTGGATTCGACCACACCTGACATCCAAACAAGCATGTGCACGCTGAATCAGGGCAAGGCTAAAACCGCTCTCTTTGCATATCGGGGCTGCATATTGACTTGCCGGTGTCTCTCTGCCAGATGTCAAGCACGAAGGGTATAGTACTGCTGCGTCACAAGCGAGCGGACATGGTGAGGTGAAACAGAAAACAGAGTCCGTTTGTCCAGCCTTTCCCATCCGAGGCAGTGGCAGAGCTTTCTGTGAAGGATTTTCGGGCTCCGCAGAGCCTTGCGGACGAACTCATCCTCGTTTGCGCGTGGGCGTGGACGTGGGCGTGGCAGCGGAGTTTGGCGCGTTATCGAAAACTCGAGGAAATAAGGGCCAGGCCTGGAAGCACTTCTTGGCTTTGAATCTCCGATTTGCGTCTTGTTTGTTGCAAATCCGATCCCTGCCCTTTCTCTCTGCTGCACCGCGAGCCGCTTGCACGTTTTGCAAATGGTTCGATCCTGGTGTTTTGCCACGATGTTATCAACGTTGATCGTCTCGGGCTCGACGTGTGTCACGACTCCAGCAGTTGCGAAGGATCTGAAAGGGACTGTCGAACGATCAGACGCTATGCAGTGTGCGGGGGGTGTGTCTTTCGGGTGTGACCTGGAATCTCAAATCGGACCACACACGTCTTCGCCACTACGGACGCCATGACGGTCTCGTCTGCCATCCTGTAGGTGTCTGGAAGAGTCACGCGAGCTGTTAGCATGCGAAGGCAAAGGCGGAGGACCGCTAAAGGCACACAGATGACTTGGCGAGCGCTTCCGGATCCCCTTCCGCACGCATGTTGGCTCCGGAATTTTCCTTGAACAAATGCCATTGAAGGAAACGGTGCTGGCGATTCTTCCGATAGCACCGGGACGGGTCGACTGTACTGCATCAGCAGCGGTATGCTCCAATCATCAAGCAGAACTTGCGATTGCTTCCGCTGCATCGCGGTCAAGTATGCGGGCTGCAGCGTCTCCAACCATGTATGGATCGGCGTTCGAGACGTTCGAGACCTTTCTTATGATTTACGGCACTGCTCAGAACGCCCGTGATGTCGCACGGAAAAATTTGGATGCTCACATTTCTCCACAAGCCTTGAAAATCTCAAACGACATCGGGTCCAAGGCCATCTACAGAACATCGTAATGATACAAGCCGCCGTCAGCGAACAAGGGTCCTACCAGCAACTCAGTCGCTCATCAACAGGGTTCAAGTCACCGGAGCCGCTGCTCGACAGGTTCCAAAAGCGAGCGTGAATTCAACAGAAGCATCACAGCCACCCGACGTGAACCAGACTTGGGTCAAGGGTCCGTGATGATGTTGTCGACAAGGAACCAACGAACCAAGGTCACCGGCGCATGTGATCACGAGCGTGCCCCGAAAAGCAGCAGACAAGCCGAAAGCATTCTTCCAGCTTGAACAATGACAGCGGAAGCCGCTCGGACCTCGTCGTGTCACCCCGAGCGCGATGTCACAAGGTCGAGCCAGGCACATCTGGGTCCTCAGGGCTTTGTGAACCGCAGATTTCGTGATCGATGTCAAGGCTCGGTCTCTGTGTGCTCTTCCCTGGAGGAGGTCCGAGCGGAAGCGTGGGAGGTGCGCTAATTCTTTGTTGCGGGTGTCAAAGGAATGACGACGCGTGTAGACGGTGGCTGGGTTCGGATCGGACAGGCTCGAGCGCGCCACCCGAGCCGAAAGCGGTGCCTCTGCTCAGGACTGCGGAGAAGGAGAACCGATCGAGGGCCAGTGTGTTGGTACAGGTGGGCAACATGTGGTTGACGGTCCGCTGGCGTGTGCGAGACTCACCATGCACAGGCTGGATAGAAGCACAGCCCTTCTGACGGGTCTCCGCTCCGAATAGAAGACATTTCAGAAGCAAGAACAGCTGCGCATAGGGTGCACTCGCATAACAGTATTCGACGCGAAAGCTCCGTGGCTGTTGCTTTGACCTACAGGTCATTGTCATCGGATCAACTTGACCGGGTGGAGAGGTCCAAGCGTTCGCTGTCTTCGGACCAACTTGACCTGATGGAGGAGGTCCAAGCGTCCCGAAGTGGTCTCGGTATCCAAGGTGCTTGACAACGAGATACAGAGTGGTCGACAATGACGAAAGTACCCAGGAAAGGGTTGATGTTTTGTGTTGATGCGCAAAGCATTCCACTGCATTCAGAACCGTCCTTTTGTCGGATCGAGGGTCGCACCATTTTGAGTTCCGATCCATACGTTCGACGCTTTGTCCTATGCGGTTGAAGTGAGCCGCTGTCCGACGCATGTCAACTATGGACTCATGGCACAAGATCAAATGCTGAATCACGGCCGAGACCTTTGAGCGACATGGTGCGATTGTCATTGCTCTTTCACGGCAGGCGGTTCTATGTGCCGGAGCGATCTTCAGATCTGCACCTCTTACATATCGGGGGTCAGTCTGTACCTTGTCCTGAAGCTTCGGCCCCGATCATGACAGAATCATTGACAAGACGCTCATTCGCTATGCCACCTACGATGGTCAATGACTTCATTCCTTGCCGTCGGTGGACTCTTTCAGAAGAAAGCCACACGAGATAATCGTTGAGAAAAGTCCGGCAACTTCCGGCAAGTAGACAGCGGAGCGATACGCGATACGCGCCGACTCAACATTTTGCGAGCGATCGAACATTCCAAAAGTAAAACTCAAAAGACGCGTTGCGCTTTGACCGTGTTCCGTCATCTCGTCTGAGCAACAATCTTCTTCCGCATCCATCATCATCATCCACCGCGGCCACGAAACACAGCAACGTGTTCGGTACTCATCGTTGGAATCTGACCTCAATATGACGATCGAACAGCACGTCGACGGTCTCTTGCGCCATGTTGGTCTGCGAATCAACCATGGATTGACACCGCTCTCCGCATCGCTTGCAGTGCTGGCGCTCATCGGTCTTCTGTCTGTCGGCACCTTTGTGCTGCGACTCGTCCACCTCTTTGCCGATGTCTACGTTCTCCCCGGTACCTCCGTCTCGAAATATGGAGCAAACAAGAAGGACCTCGCTCGCGCCTCCTGGGCGGTAGTCACCGGTGCCACCGACGGCATCGGCCGCGAGTTTGCGCTGCAACTCTCTCGCAAAGGCTTCAACATCCTTCTCGTCTCTCGTAGTCCTGAAAAGCTCGGTTCGATCGCAGCCGAGATCGAAGCTGCCACTCCCGGCGTTCGAACCAAGACGCAAGCCATCGACTTTGCCCTCGGAGACGAACGTCAGTACGAATCCCTCCAACACACCGTCAAGGATCTCAACATCGGTGTCCTGGTCAACAACGTCGGAAAATCGCACAACATGCCCGTGACCTTCGCAGAGACAACCGAAGAAGAGATGGAAGACATCATCGAGATCAACGTTGTTTCCGTGCTTCGGGTTTCGCGAATGATCATTCCCGGAATGGTCGAACGCAAAAAGGGGTTGGTGTTGAACCTAGGAAGTTTCGCCGGTCAAGTGACCACCCCCATGTTGGCAACGTACGCTGGCAGCAAAGCTTTCCTCAGCGGTTGGTCCCAAGCTCTGGGCGAGGAGCTCAAGAGGAGCAAGGTGGATGTCAGACTCTTGAACACCTACTTTGTCGTTTCCAACCTGAGCAAGATCAGGAGAAGCAGCGCCATGATCCCTACGCCGAAACAGTATGTAAAGCAGGTGTTGAAGACGTTGGGTAGCCAGGGTGGTGCACTGGGTAGACCGTACACTTCGACTCCTTGGCCAGGACATGCCGTGGTGGATTGGGCTACCACGTTCCTGTTGCCGAGGGGTTGGTTGTTGAGCTACACGTATGGTCAACAGGTCGCGACGCGAAAGAGAGCGATCAAGAAGAGTCAGAAGGCGGTGAAGTCGGCCTGATCAAGGAGACGACGGTCCATCGCCGAATTACATCAATCGCAATGGGCTTTTCTTTCATGAGCATCGTATCACTCGCTGTAACTCATGTCATCTTGGCACCCTGCTTTCTCAGTGAAAAAGTACAATACAAAACGTTCCGCATAGTTCTTTCTTGCACAAACCCGCTCGTCGCAACGTGATGGTAAGCCAAACCGATTGCCTTGAATTGCTAAGTTTCAAAGGTAGCCCCAACCTTCTAAGGAGTGCAACGACCAGTCCATCTAGGGTACAACGAAGCCTCACGAACGGTCCACCTGTTGGTGAGCCACGCCAAGAAACGCTCGACACCCAAGCCGTAACCGCCGTGCTCACAGGTTCCGTACTTGCGCTGGTCGGTGTACCAGAAGTAAGGCGCAGCGTCGATGCCCTCGTTCTTGTACGCCTCCAACAGCTCGTGCTGGTCGGCCATCCTCATACTGCCACCGACGATCTCTCCCACACCGGGCATGAGCACATCCACGGAATCGGTGAACTCCTCGTCACCCTCGGTACGCTTCATGTAGAACGACTTGATCTCGCGCGGGAAACGGCAGAGGAAGATGGGCACATTGAGCTCGTCGGTCATCTTTCGTTCCGCCGCCTCAGCGATGTCGTCGCCAATCTTGTGCGGCTGACCGTCTTCGTTGGGGATGTCGTGGTCGTTGAGCCACTGGATGGCCTCCTTGTAGTCCATGCGACGGAAAGGTCGCGAGGGCATCTTGAAGTTGGGGTTGAGCTGATCGAGCAGGGCCTTTGTCTTTGGATCTTCGAGCACGCGCGAGAGGGTGCCGCAGATGAGCTGTTCGAGGTGCTCGAGAAGATCGTCGAATGAGATAAAGGCGAGCTCGCCTTCGAGGTGGGTGTATTCGGACAAGTGTCTACGGGTGTGCGACTTTTCGGCGCGGAACGACTCTTGGACGCAGAAGACGTCGCCGAGCGAGGGAAGGCAGGTCTCGAGGTAGAGCTGCGAACTTTGGGTGAGGTAGGCGGGCTGGCCGTAGTAGTCGAAGCTGAACAGGGTAGAACCACCTTCGACCTGGGTCTGGACCATGCAAGGGGGAGTGACTTCGGTCATGCCGATGTGGTCGTATTCAGCGCGGAAGGCCTTGAGCACTTCGGAGCGAACCTTGAGGACGGCGGAAGCGGTCTCGCCACGGATGACGAGGTGACGACGGTCGGCCAAGCTGTTGGGGTCTGCGGTCTCTGCGACGACGTTGGTGTAGGCCTCGTCTCCACCGGGAGCCTTGCCGAGGCACTTCCAGTAGTCGGCGACGAGCTCGTGACCACCGGGAGCGGTCTTGCCTTCGGGGACAGCCTTGAGCTGACCCTGGATCTCGACGGTGGACTCGGTGGTGAGGGTGAGGGCGTCGTAGGTGGTGGTAAGCTTGCCAGAGAGCACGACCTGGAGGTAGCCGGTGCCGTCACGAAGGACGATGAAGGTCAAATCCTTCTGGGAGCGCAATCGGTGGACCCAGCCGGAGATCTTGACGCGCTGGTCGCGGAAGTTGGCGCCTTGGCTGATCTTGATCTTCTTGGCCGAGGTGGAGGGCTGCTCGAGGACGACCATTTTGCTCTCTTCGAGCCTCTTCTCGTCGTTGGCGGCCTGCGCCTCGTCCTTGGCAGCTTGCTCGCTGGCCTTCTCCTTCTTCTTGAGGGCGGTTGCGTAGAGCTTGCTGACCTTCTTGGCAGCCGAGGCCGAGATGGGCGCGAAGCCGTCTGCATCGACACCGTCTTGACCTGGAGTGGCATCGGCCTTCTTGACAAAGACGGAAGCGTCCTGGCCCTTTGCGAGGAGAGCGGCTAATGGGGTGGCGAAAGGCGAGCTCTTGGAGCCGTCTGCAGAGTCGTCGTTGCCGGCCTTTTCGTCAACGTAGACGGGAGCGCCACCACCGATGGACTTCTTGTCCTTGTCGCCGGAGATGTGAAGCGCCTCTGCGGCCGAGGCCAGTGCGTCCTTGATCGCGGACATGCTTGTGTGGTCTTTACTAGATTGGCGAGAGTTGCTTGATGATGATGATGATGGTGTTGTTGATAGGCGTAGTCACGGAGGAGTTCTGAAGCCAATGACAGCCAATGTCCGTCTTGTTATGTGATGGATGTGACTGCGGATGTGATGGACGAGAGGATAGAAGCGAGATAAGAATGTCGCGATTGTGACTCAGAACAGCAATCCGTCGTTGCGCCGCCAATTCGGATGGGCCGAGCGGGAAAAAGAAGATGGCCGCACGCTTTTTTCGTTCCGTTGGTGCGCTTCCGCCTTCGTGTCACTTTGTTGTGGCTGCAAGGAGCAAGCTTGCTGTGACTCCACGAGGCTGTATTATAAAAATAGGGTCCAGATGTGTGATCTTGGAGAGTTGACTCGAACACGGATCACCCGATCATCGTTCGGACGTTGAGAAGATTTCACTCTCCCTCACACGGTCCACGTGAGATTTCCCACACTTTTTTCTTCTATGGCAAGGCAGTGGTGAGTGGGAAAGTGATTTGCTGCTTGGGCCAATTGACAGTTTCTTCTCGGCGATGCCGCAATCCGTTCTGCGCTCAGCCATCTTGGTCCACTCAGCTCGCATCCCATCTACCAGCGCGCTTCTACCAGCGCGCTACAACCAAGACTGCACGTCGGGAAGCTTCTCCTCCTGTGCCACAGAAGCAAGCTGCTGTTGCTGCGACAGTTCCGCGTCGCATGCTAGCCAAAAAGCGAGACCTCAGAAACTGGATACAGCGTGCTTCGACTGAGCCGCACCAGGATCCCTACGACTCGGACGACGACCTCGCTCCCGCAAAGATGAGCGTCTCGGGCGACGAAGTCGACAACATCGACCCTCTCGTCGATTGGCCTGCTTTCGCTCAAGCTGCTCAACTCCATCTCTTCTCCACCAGCACACGCCAGCGCATCCGTTTCCTGCAACGAGATGCCGCAAAGGCAGCGCAGCTCACCGAGCTTCAACCCATCCAGAGAGCAGAGCTAGTCACCATCCTACTCCGAACCTACTCACGATACGTTGATCGCGACTCTCGCCTCGCCTCTCTCAGCGTCTTTTCTAAGCTTATCTCGGTAGACCAGGCAGCCGCCTCGCAAGACTCGACGGGTGCTGTCGCTAAGCATGCCCTTGCGTGGCTCAAGAGGGAAGCCGAGCGCATCTGCAAGCCTTCCACCGCTGCTTCCTCCAGTACCACTCTTCCCACCATCACAGCGCTCCACGCCTACGTGTGCGCACTATACTCCACCGTCTGCGCTTCAAGCACCGATGCTCCCAAAGCACCAGAATCGTCCACGTGGGATTCGCTCGTTCAGCTCCTCGCAACCACCTACGATGCCGTACTCGCCGATACCATCGGAAGATACAGCGTAAAGAGCAACGCCATCACGCTCACCCGGCGCACCTTGCGCAACGCGCATGCCTACCTTCCTCGACTCATACGCACCCTCTGCGCTACTGCAGCCCCAGCTGCAGCCATCCGAGCTTCTGCTCTTCTCGGAGAGGCTGTCGGCGTCTGCGTCAGGCTCCGCGCAGGCTCTGAACAGGTCAAGGGTGCTCCCGACGGTGTTGGACGCAGCTGCGTCAATCAAGCCAAGGAACAGATTCTCGCCTTCTACACCACGCATATTGTCGCCTCCAAAACAGTCGTCCCAGAGCACTCGTTGATCGCTTTCGACGAATTCATCGCAGAGCAGGTCACACAGGATGATTTCACTTCTACCCTCCGACCGCAACTTGAGAAGATGCTTCTCCGCTCTCCTGAGGTCGTCCTCCCCATTGCAACACGCATCTTTGCTGCCGTCAAGCTCGACGTCGGCCCGCATGCAAAGCCGTTGCTGACCTCAGTCGTCTCTGCCTCGAGATCTTCCAATGCAGCCACCCGAGCAAAGGCGTCCGCCTTCTTCTCGGTGCTATCCGCACGCATCAGCCAAGACGATGCCGCCAAATCCGCCGTCGTAGACGAGCTCCTGGCCATTCTCAAAGGCGGCAAAGCAGCTACTCCCGAGGCCAGGACCTCCATCTATCTCATGCTCTCTTCCGTCGCCCCAGGACAAGCATCAAAGAGCTCCTCCATCGTCGAAGTCGTTGCTTCCCTTCTCGCAAAGGAAGCGCAAGAGGCGTCCATGCATGCCGCTGTCCGATGCATCGCAGTCCACCTGGAGTGGCTCATCGGCCAGGCAGACACCGTGCCGGCTCCGTCTGTCTCCGCAGTCTTGGTCAAAGAGATGCAGAACTCCAAGGTCCCGATCAGAAAGGCCGTCTGCATGGCCATCGGCGACCTCTTCTGGCACATGCCCGACGAGCAGAGAGCCACATCCGCCACCCGCACATTTGCAGAGACGCTCTTGCCCGCCTTTGAAGCCAACCTCAAGAACGCTTCCACAAACCCGCTCACTGCTCCTGGTGGCCCTCTCGAGGGCTACGTCGCCGCTGCAGTCCTCGAAGGTCGTCTTGGCGGTCTCGGCTCTGACAAGATCGACAACGTGGTGCGCAAGAATGCTGCGCTCGAGGCCATCTTGGTCGTCGACCCAAAGCCATCCTTCCTCCTCGCCGACAAGGTCTTCCGCAAGATCGCCACTCCCGAAGAAGAGTTGTGGCTTTCGCACGCTCTGCAAGCTGTCATCGTGCGCCGTTCCCAGACTCTGGCCGCTGACAAGCCTGCACAGATCCAGGTTGCTCTCGCTCTCATCCACATCCTCTTTCACGCAACGGGCCCTAGCTCGAAGCGTTCGGTCCTCACCCTGGTACAAAACCTTGCGCAGACCGAACCCATTCTCATACACGACATCATCACATCGGGCATCTCCGCCTTTCTCGAACAGTCCCAAGCACATACGAGTGGATCCGTTTCATCAGCTTCCAAGCCGAACGGCACAGCCTCCTCGACGTCGGCGACCGGTGCGGCTGCGGCATCTGCTTCCGCCGACGCCGAAGACGCAAAGCCGTCTGCCGAGACCCGCGCACGCGACTTGCGCCGTCTTTTGTCCGCGGCTTCTTCCTTCTCCGAACAACTCGATCCGGAGGCCAGGAAGAAGACGCTCGTAGATACGCTCGTCCTCTCGCATCACGCCGATCTGCTCGACCGCGGCACCTCGTGCTTCACGGATCTCACTTTCAAGGCCAAGATCCTTCCCGTCGATCTCATCACCTCCAAGCAGCAGGACCTCCTCTCGGTCGTGCGCACTGCCATCGATGATGCAAGCATGCGTGAAGCCGGATTCGCCGCCCTCACGACGCTCGTACGTTTGGCTCCCGACTCTGTCATGGCCGAGCTCGTCACGCAGATTGAGGCAGACTCTCCCTTTGACGATCTCCGTGCTCTCACGCAAAACGATCTGGGCATGTGGCGCACCGAGCCCGGCACCTTGTACGTCGACGTTCTCTCCGCAACCAAGGACGATACCGTCGACAAGAACAACAAGAATGCAAAGATGGAGCAGTGGGAGGCTGAGCTTCGTGCCGACATTGCCAAGAAGAAGGCAGCTCAGAACAAGACGCTCACCAAGGACCAGAAGGCGGCTGTCGAAGCGCAATCCAAGATCGAGGCACAAGCTCGCGCCAAGGTCGAAGAGATCCGAGCCCGCTATGTGCGTTCACTTCGCACCGTCTCCTCCATCGTTGGCGCTCGAACTGACGAGATCGAGGGATACATGCAGACGCTCGTCAACTTTGTGATCGCTACGTGCGAGATCTCACAAGCTCGCTTCCTGTTCGAAAAGGACGCAAAAGAGGCCTTCTGGGCTCTGTCGAGCTGCTGTTCCCTGCGACTCGAAGCTTACTCCATGTTCGTCGGTGTTGCGCTGCTGCGCAGCATCGATCAGGAGCTGGTCCGCGAGGACTTCCGCGCTGAACCTATCAACGAGCTCGTCCTTCGAATCCTGTATCGACTGCGTTCCTTGTCCGAACAGTCTCCTCTGGATCCCGCTTCTGTTGCCTTCATCGACCCGCTCATCGTACGCATCGTGCGTGCCGGTGGCTTTGGAGTGGATGCCGAAGATACAGACTCGGTGCTAGAGCAAATCCAGCTGTCGCTCGACTTCATCGACTTCCATGGCTCCGCTTGCGAAGACATGCGTTATCCACGCTCGTCCTTTATCGACAGTCTCGTCACTATCGTCGCCAAGCACACTCAGATCTCCAAGGATGCTGTCTCGGCGCTGCGTGATCTGGGCGAGGCGCTCCGAGCCACTGCGCTCCCCGCTGAGGTCCAGAAGCTGCTCTCCAATACCATGGTCGACGAAGTGTACGTCCGCAATGGCTGTCTCCAAGCCATTCAGCCGCTCGATCTCACCGACCTCGACTTCCCTGTGGAGCTTTGGCTGGCCTGCCACGACGAGGACGAGGAGAATGCTCGACTCGCCGAGAAGGCGTGGGAGGAAAATGGTCTCGACGTGCCAGAGTCGTTTGCCGATCCGCTCATCCCTATGCTCGAGCACAAGAACACCTACGTACGCGACAGCTGTGCCCGCGCTCTGGCGGCCGCCACTGAACAGCATCCTGAGCAGGTGTCGAGCGTCGTCGCCAAGCTTTGCCAGCTGTACAAGGACAGGAACAAGGTGCTGGCTCCCGAGTACGACCGATTCGGCATGGTCATCGAGTCGACCAAGAATCGACAAGATCCATGGCAGACGCGAGCGGCCATCGCTGTGGCGCTGCGCCACCTAGCTCCTCACCTCCAAGGCTCCGACGTGCCTGCTTTCTTCGAATTCCTGATCGATGGACAAGCGCTCGGAGATCGCAGCGAGGACGTGCGTCCCAAGATGCTCGAGGCTGCCACCTACGTGATCGATCTCCACGGCAAGCAGCATCTCTCCAAGCTGATCGCCATGTTTGAAGCCTTCTTCAGCAACTCGGCAGGAGCAAAAGCAGACGACGGCATCACCGAAGCCGTCGTCATTCTGCTTGGTCGTGAGGCCCGCCATCTCGATCCCAAGGATCCTCGCGTCAGCAAGGTGGTCGATCGTCTCATCGACGCTCTCAAGACGCCGTCCGAGCTTGTGCAGTCCGCCGTCGCAGACTGTCTCCCACCCCTCGTGCGAGCCATCAGCAAGGACGTGCCGCGCATCTTCACTTTGCTCTTCCGCGAGCTGTTTGACGGCGCCAAGTACGCGGGCCGACGTGGTGCTGCCTATGGACTGGCCGGTCTTGTCATGGGTCGGGGTATCGGCAGCATCAAGGAGTTCGACGTCATGAACAAGCTCGCCGACGCTTTCGAAGATGCAAAGAGTCCGACGCGCCGACAAGGTGTTATGTTCGCCTACGAAACTTTGACGCTGACGCTCAAGAGACTGTTTGAGCCCTACATCATCGGGATCTTGCCGCAGTTGCTCGCCGGATTCGGCGATGTCTCGAGCGACGTGCGCGAGGCGACGCAGGACGCGGCCAAGGCGGTCATGCAGAACGTATCTGGCCACTGTGTCAAGATCATCCTGCCGACACTGCTGTCTGGTCTTGACGAGAAGCAGTGGAGGACCAAGAAGGGCGCCATCGAGCTGCTCGGCGCCATGGCGTACTGTGCTCCCAAGCAGCTGTCGCTCTCGCTGCCGACCGTCATCCCGCGTTTGAGTGAAGTGTTGACCGACTCGCACACGCAGGTTCGCACAGCAGCCAACAAGAGTTTGAAGCAGTTCGGCGAAGTGATCAACAACCCAGAGATCAAGCAACTCGTCCCCGTGCTGCTCAAGGCACTCATCGACCCCAACACCAAGACCGGCGCGGCACTCAAAGGTGTCCTCGAGACGAGCTTTGTCCACTACATCGACTCGCCGTCGCTCGCGTTGGTTGTCCCCATCATCGACCGTGGTCTCAAGGAGCGCAGTGCGACCATCCAGAAGGATGCTGCCCGCATCGTTGGCAACCTGGCAGGTCTCACAGATTCCAAGGACTTTGTGCCGTACCTCGGCAAGCTCATCCCCATGGTGCGTCTGGTGCTCATCTCGCCCGTGCCCGAAGCGCGTGCGGTGGCTGCCAAGGCGCTGGGTACGCTCGTCGAGCGTCTCGGAGAAGTGCACTTTGTCGACCTGGTGCCATCGCTTCTAGGTGTGTTGCGATCCGATGCCACCGGTGTCGACCGCCAGGGTGCCGCGCAGGGTCTCGCCGAAGTCTTGGCGGGTCTCGGTATGGAGCGCATGGAGAATCTGCTGCCCGAGATCATCAACAGCGCCTCGGACCCCAAGGCTTACGTTCGAGAAGGTCACATTTCGTTGCTCATCTACCTGCCGGCCACCTTTGGTCACCGATTTGCTCCTCATCTGGGCCGCATCATTCCTCCCATCCTCAGCGGCATCGCCGACGACGCCGAGACGGTGCGCGAGGCATCGATGCGTGCCGGCCGCATGATCATCGCCAACTACTCGTCCAAGGCTGTCGACCTGCTGTTGCCGCATCTCGAAACGGGCCTGTTCGACGAGGCCTGGCGTATCCGAATGTCGTCGCTGCAGCTCACTGCCGACCTGCTCTTCCGATTGTCGGGCATCTCGGGCAAGAACGAGGTGGAGGACGAAGGGGTCGAAGAGGACATCGAGCAGTCGGTTGCCAACAACTCGGTGCAGCGTGCGCTCGTGGATGCGCTCGGCCAAGAGAGGCGCGACCGCATCTTGGCGTCGATCTACATCGTTCGACAGGACCCCAACATTCCTGTACGACAAGCGGCCATCCACACGTGGAAGGCGCTGGTGCACAACACGCCACGCACCGCCCGCGAGGTGCTGCCGACCATGCTCGACATTCTCATCAAGTCGCTGGCCTCGAACGGCGACGAGAACCGCGAGATGGCGGCCCGAACACTCGGAGAGTTGGTCAAGAAGCTCGGCGAAAAGATCCTGCGAGAGACCATCCCCATCCTGCGCATGCGTGGTGCCACCTCGGAGGACCCCAAGACGCGATCGGGTGTCTGCTATGCCGTCACCGAGGTCTTGGCCAACTCGACGAAGACGCAGCTCGAGGACCACGAGGATGCCATCATCGCGGTGGTGCGACAGGCGCTCGTAGACGAGTCGCAGTCGGTGCGGCATGCTGCCGCTCAGGCGTTCGATGCCACACAGACCTACATCGGCCCGCGTGCCATCGACGAGACCATCCCGACGTTGCTCGAGGCGCTCTCGGACACGAGCGGTGGCACGTCCGAGACGGCGCTTGCCGCGCTGCGCGAGGTGATGCGTGCCCGCTCTGATGTTGTGTTCCCGGTGCTGGTGCCGACGCTCATTGCACAGCCTATCACTTCGTTCAATGCACGTGCACTTGCCGTGTTGGTGCGCGTTGCAGGCACCGCCCTCAACCGACGCCTTTCGAACATCCTCACAGCGCTTTCCAAGGCCCTGGACACAGAGAAGGACGAGACGATCCTCGCGGACCTGCAGACTGCCGTCGAGGCTCTGCTGGGCTCGGTCTCGGACGTCGACGGCCTGCATCAGACCATGCTGCTGTTGCTCGGCTGGGCCGGATCCAATACGTCGCCGCAGCAACGTGTTGCCGGCTGCAAGTTCTTCAAGGTGTTCTGCCAGGTCAAGAAGCCGTCGGTGGATGTGTCGGACTACCTGGTAGATTGGCTGCGCAAGCTGGTGTCGCTTCTCGACGACCCGGTTCCGGCTGTCGTAGACGCGGCGTGGGAAGCGTTGGAAGCCAGTCTCAAGACCGTGAGCAAGGACGAGCTGGAAGGACTGGTCGTACCTCTGCGTCGCAGTCTCGAGAACACGGGCTCTGCGGGCCGTGATCTTCCAGGTCTTTGCCGACCCAAGGGTGCTTCGCCGCTGGTACCCGTGTTCCTTGCCGGTCTCATGAACGGCACTCCGGACCAGCGACAGAACGGTGCTTTGGGTCTGTCGGACATCGTGGAGCGAACGTCGGCCGATGCCATCAAGCCGTTTGTCACTTCGATGATCGGTCCGTTGATCCGATTGTGCGGCGACCGCCATCCTCCTCCGGTCAAAGCGGCGATTCTGACGAGCTTGGACACCATGGTGCGCCGCATCCCCGCGCTGGTGCGACCGTTCTATCCGCAGCTGCAGCGATCGTACCAGAAGGCGGTATCGGATGCATCGAGCGCCACGGTACGTTCCAAAGCCGGAGTGGCGCTGGGCAACCTGATGGGGTTGCAGACGCGTGTGGATCCGGTGATTGTGGAGCTCGTCCAAGGTGCACGAGCCGGTCTGGGCGAGGGATCTGGTGTCAACGCTGCTGCGGCCTCTGCCGGCTTGGCAGGAGCCGCAGCAGGTGGATCGACCGATCCAGCCGACTTGGCCGACTCGTTCGCTGTGGCGCTTGCGCATGTCCTGTCGAACGCGCCAGCCAAGAACGTCGGCCAGCCGAGCCGCGAAGCCATCGTGTCGCTGATCGACGCGTCTTTCTCTGCACCTGCGGGAACGCGCGATGCGTTCCGAGCCGGCATGGCCGAGGTGGTGGGTTCGTTGATCAAGTTGGACGCGGCGTTGGCGTCCGAGGTGTTGCAGAGGCACGTGGTGGGTGGATCGGGCGACGCGGCACTGCAGTCACAGAGTGTGCGGGCGTGCTTGGAGAAGGATGCGGTGGCACTGCACGAGCTCGGATTCGCGGATGAGCTGGTCAAGCTGGTCATGTCGTGGATCAGTCAAGGATCGTCCATCTCGAGACCGGCCAAGGAGTCGAGGGAGATGATTCGGGATTCAGACGCCTGGAAGGTTCAGGCCAAGGCTGCGGATTGGATCTAGTAGACGAAGCACAGTACACAGTACAGAGTCGGGATGGAATGCGATACATTCCCAACAAGAACAGATTCATCATGCTACACAAATGGCGTGTGATTGTTCGATGTGTGAAATGAGTCGTATGGACGATGGGGAGGGAAGGGTGATGAACACCAGGTCGCCCTTCATCAGAGATCGGGATGGATCGGTATATGCCGGCGCCGAGATGCTGCCAGATCAGGGCAGCGAGCCTCGAACGACGTCATTTCTCTTGGACTGGAAGAGGCAATTTCTAGAACTTTTGTTGCGTGCTGAGCCAGGCCTTCCGCATAGAGACAGAGAAGACGCACGCAGACAGCTGTGGAGGTTGCAGGCAAAAAAGGCGGGATTTTATTTAAGGCTTGTGCTCGCAAAGCAGAGAGACCCTTCTTTCTTATGCTTGCAAGACTGCTTTCGAATTCGCAACTGCAGGCCGCGCTATTTTTTGGATCCGGTTTTGGAAGCGCGAAATGGATTTCCTGTTTCGTGTGAATCGCTCAGAGCGGTGCAAAGATAAGTCGCGGTGCACTCCGCAATTCGGTTAACAGGCAAGAGGAGAAGCCGGCAAAGTAGCTGCCAGAATTTCTAGGGCCATCCGCAGTTGGCTCTGCGTTTCGGGCATCAGTCAGACTTTCTCCTCGTTGTCCTTCACCACAAAACCACCACCATCAACATCATTGTCTTCGATAATAGCGTCGACGTGCTCTCTAGAAGCTTTTACGAGAAGATTGAACTCAAGCTTGGCGACTATCACAAACAGGTGCGCTTGGCCGACCGTCTATATCTTCAACCAAATCGCTTGGAATTTCGTACCAAGTGTCTCTCGCAGATCACGACCGCCTCTCCAGACTAAAGGAAGTGTCGATCCCGGGAGCTCGACGTCGTACACAGGCCGATCGAATCGAAGCTTTGGAACACCGCAGTCATGGCTCAGTCTGAACTCCCGCCCTTCGCCCAAGCCACAGCGGGTGCGTTGGGCTCGATCACGAGCAACACGCTCGTCTATCCACTCGATCTGCTCTCCACACGCTGCCAGACGCAATCACGAGGTCGAGATGGCAAAGGCGGCTACCAGTCGATCTCTGCAGCTCTCCAGGAGATTGTCAAACAGAACGGCGTCAAAGGTCTCTACCAAGGACTTGCGTCGGATACGCTGTCCAACACGCTGTCCAACTTCCTCTTCTTCTACTTTCGGTCGTTCTTCATGGATGCGGTGAAAGAGAGGAAGAGGGCAAAGCTGCCTCCACCGCCGGCGAATGGGAAGGGAAAAGGGAAAGCGATTGTGATCACAGCAGCAGAGGATCTGGCGATCGGAGCGTTGGCAGGGATCGTTTCGAGGTTCTTCACCACTCCACTGTCGAATGTGACGGTGAGGATGCAGACCTCCGCGAACCCAAAGGAGAAAGCGAAGGAACAGGAGGAGAAGCGCAAAAGCAACGGACAGCCCAGCTCGGATAGCGAATCCGACGACGAAGGTGGATACGCCGCATCTGCCGGCATCACCGACGTTCTGCGTCAGATCGTCGCCGAGAAAGGCTGGCTCGGTCTCTGGTCAGGCTTCGAAACGGCTGCGCTGCTCAGCATCTCACCAGCGCTCACGTTCTACAGCACCAACGCCATCTCAACCCTCCTCATCCCAAAGGACAAGCGAGAAAAACCGTCTTCGTTGCAAACTTTCGTCACCTCGGCGATCGGCAACAGCATCTCTACCGTCATCGTGTTCCCGCTGATCCTGTGCAAGACGAGGTTGCAGTGGAGAAGCCCGACGGGAAGGAGGATGTATAGGAACCTGCTGGATGTGTTGAGGAAGACGGTGAAGAGGGGTGGATTGAAAGGGCTGTATCAGGGGCTGGATTCACAGTTGATTAAAGGGCTGTTCAGCTTCGGTACGACGATGATGGTCAAGGCGAGGATCGAGGCGTTGTTCGTGATGCTGTATTTGGCGCTTAGAAGTCGCAAGGCTGCGCTGGCGTGATTGATTCCACAAGCTGGTAGCTGTATCATACAACCTAGCGTTGTCTTGCTTCACTTTCCGTTATGATGAGGACGAGCAGCGATCTTATCGGCTCGAACGAGTCTGTGGTGCGAGTTGTACAGTCGTGGTGTAGTGAGCGCTCTGTGTGAGTTCGCCAAGGTGAATCACACACGATGTGGAGAAAAAGTTTCCGATAAAATAAAAGGGCGCAACATGACGGAATCATGCCTCTGGACAGTGACAGCGGCAGAAGCGTGCGGCTCGGGGCGTCCGTGCATATTCTGACGTGCATTGCGTCAAGCATGTGTTCACAGCCTCGGCACGCTCCGACTTGGTTTGCTGATTGCGCTGCTCGCCCCTCTATCTCTCCGAAGATATAGGAGCGTCTTTCTACGGTTCCGTGGTTTCGTCACGACTTCCAACATCCGCCTTTCACGTTGACCAACCATGAACGGCGTCAAACACGACGCTGCATCGGGTGGTGGTGTACCCGCTACCCCACCCAAACCCAAATCTACCGCATCACTCGCCGACAGCGTCGGTGCAACGGCTTCGAGCATCTCTGAAAAAGCGTTGCCTCCCATCCAAGATGCCGTCTCATCCGTCCAGAAATCGGCTCAATCACTGGTCGACTCGGCGTCCTCGACGACCATCAAGTCGACATCCTCCTCATCCGAGTATCCTATCCCTCAATCTCATGCGGACTCGCAGATCGCCGACTACGTCCTCGTCTTCCAACACGTTGCCAAAAAGTACCTCCGCGCCAACGCCAAGGTCCCCGCTTCCGAGAAAGCAAAGATCGCGTCCGAGTACGATGCGCTGATCTCACGTATTCGCGCAACGGGGCTGAAGGTGACCAGTCGAGAAGGCGCGAAAGCGTCGGGTCAGATCTTGATCTTTGTCAAAGCCGACTCGTCGCTTCTCCAAAAGCTGGCGAGGCAGGAGGCGCTGTCCGACTACCTGCACGGTGTGTTGTCCGTCCAGCCTCCACCACCGCGCTCTTCGAGCTTGAAAGGGAACGATCAGGCTGCGGGTGTCAACCTCACACCCGCGTCGAGACTTCGGCTTGTGGACTCGCTGCTCACCTTGCCTACGCTGGCGAGTCACGCGGTGAAGGATGCGGGTGCACAGGTCCCCAGTGGTGCAGGTTTGAGGATTGGGCTCTCCGAGTTCCCGCATCTGGTGGATATGAGCGCGATCCACGACCCGGCCTACAACTCGGACTGGGTCAAGAGATGGTCTCACACCAGTCCTACCAAGGCCTTCTCCGGAGTTGGGTTGGAAGACCTGGACTCGATCAGGGAGCATTTCGGCGAAGACGTCGCGCTGTACTTTGGTTTCCTCAACTTCTATTTCCAGGCTCTGGCTCCCGTTGCACTACTGGGGGCTGGATTTTGGATCGTGGGCAGACCCTTTTCGCCGATCTATTCGTTGGGGTTGGTGACATGGTCGTGTCTGTTGGTCGAGGTGTGGAGGATGAAGGAGCGCAAGCTCGCGGTCCGGTGGGGCACCCTAGGTGTGAGCGAAGTGGATCGGAGGAGGCACGACTTCGTTCCGCGAACCACTCGAATCGATCCTGCGACGGAAGAACCCGAAGAGGTGTTCGAATGGTGGAGGCGAGAGCTGCGCGTCGTCCTCTCGCTGCCGATCGTGGCGTTCTTCGCTTCGGCGCTGGCGGCTACGATGACGTTGATGTTCGTCGTCGAGATCTTCGTGACGCAGCTGTACCACGGACCGTTGAAGCAGGCGGTGCCGTTTGTGCCGACGGCGTTGTTGGTGGTGGCGATTCCGCAGATCATGGCCGCATGGCAGGCTACGGCGGTGGCGATCACCAAGTGGGAGAACCACTTTAGCGCCAAGTCGTACGACTACTCGATGACGTTGAAGAGGTTCGCGATGCAGGCGATCACCGCGTACGGGGCGTTGACGCTGTCTGCGTACGTGTACATTCCGTTCGGAGAGACGATCATGGAGACGATGGTGCAGCGCGGGTTCTTCCAGGATTCGATCCGGGAGGCGATCCGACAGGGCAAGATCGGCGAGAAGGGGATCGACTTCCGCATCAATCCGGATCGCATGCATACGCAGCTGTTTGCGGTCAGCGTGACGAGTCAGCTGGTGAATGCGTTTACGGAACTGGCTTTGCCCGTGCTGATGCGAAAGTTCAGCGAGTGGAGGGAGGAGCGTTCCGAGAAGAAGACGCCGCAACGCTCTGGTTCGATCGATTCCTCCGCTTCCTCCTCTTCCGGTGCCGTGACGCCGCTGGATGGAAGCGAAGAATCCGAACGACGCTTCGTCTCCCGCGTTCGCAAGGAACTCCTCCTCCCACCCTACGACCTCTTCGGCGACTACGCCGAGATGGCCACCCAATTCGGCTACATCACGCTCTGGTCCGTCGTCTGGCCGCTCTCTCCCGTCATGGGTTTCGTCAACAACTTCTTCGAGCTGCGCTCGGACGCGGCCAAGATCAGCCTCAACAACCGACGTCCCATCCCCGTGCGCTCGGAAACCATCGGGGCGTGGCTCGAAACCTTCTCCTTCATCGCCTGGCTTTCCGCGCTGAACAACGCGGCGCTGGTGTACCTCTTCCAGCAGTCGGACCAGGCGCACCTCGCAGGTCACTCCAGGTACGAGACTACGATGAGGAGTCACATCCACCCGAACAACGTCACTGTAGGCGGAGGAGATGGACAGTCGATGTTGAGTTTCAGCAGGTTGCTGCCCAAGAGCGTGCCGACGGCGGGGGCGGCGGGGGCGATCGTCGCGGCGGTGTTGGTGGCGTTGCTGGCGGAGCATGTGTATGGGGTGGTGCGGGGTGGGGTGAGGCATGTGTTGGAGAGGTTGATTTGGAGGGGAAGCAATGAGGAGATGGTGGTGAGGAGGAGGGAGTGGGTGTTGAGGGTGGAGACGTTGAAGAGCCATGTGCATGGGGAGGGGGAGAAGGAGCTGGTGAAGGAGATTGCGGGAGGTGGTGGAGATGCAGGGTTTTGGAGTGAGGAGAAGGACGTTGGTGCTTCGGCTATTCGTGGAGTTGGCAAGACCGAGTAGATGGGGAGATGTGGGAATGTGTCGATATACCTTTTCTTCAACGCGCTGACAACCGTTTCAATGCGATCTGTTTTCCTCCCGAGACACTTGGACTGTGCAGCTCTTGGATGATGGATGAGCGAGTTCATGCGAGGAGATACTGATACAAGTGTTTTCTTTTCGCTGAGTCGAAACGCTTTTACTGGCCTCGACCTCTTCCCCTTGCACCACCGCCTCTTGCGCCCCTATCCGCACCACCACCTCTACCGCCTCCTCTTCCATGACCGCCCCTTGCGCCGCCTTGGCCACCACGGTTGCCCAAACTGACACCACCGGACAAACCACCTGCACCGTGTTGACGTTGTTTCCTAGCCTGCTCTTCGTTCTCCTTGACCGAGTCGATGACTGAATCTGCGACCCTACAGTATTTGATCTGTTTTTTCCAGAGCGGTTCATTCGTCAGTTTTTCTTCTCTCTGATCATCATTGGAAGAGAGGGGTAAACTTACAGTGCTTCCACGAATATAACACTCCTTTTGCTTCCAGAATTGTTCTCCGCTCTACAACACACAGAGGATTCAAGATGTCAGTACAAAGAGAAGAGATTTGTGAAGCAAAAGCAAGAGGAGGGGTGAGGGGTACGTACAGCGCTGGTTTCGTACACCTCTCGCAGGGTGAGGTTCATAAAGTTGTCGCAGGCTACGAGGTGACCGTTGAAGGTGGATCCGTTTTTGAGCTCTACGAGCATAGGTTTGTTTTGCGCCGCGTTGAGGAGCGATAGTGGCAACATCGTCGGAGAGGATGAAAGCTTTCTAGCTCAAATGAATCGCGATTCGCCTGGGTGTGTTGACTGGAGAGAGGTAGAAGTAGACACAATCCTCGAACCGTGAGGTGACAGACAAACGCCGTTTAGGAGAGAGCGCAGTGAGCTTGTGGCGTGGACGATCGAGTAGGATGGACTGCAGGGCCTTGAGATTGACCTTAACTGTGTCGCGGTTGGTGGGTGATGGGAAGGGTCGCGAATGAGGGAGAAGCGGGAAGGAAAGAGGGAGCGATGGGGAATTGCGATGGTTTGTGCTCCCTTCTGCGAGAGTGTCCTTCTTCCCGATCCTCCCCCGATACTGCCCGATCCGATCGCTCGAGTCGCAAGACACACTTTTTCAAGATTCCAGAACTCCACATATTGTGTGTGTTGTTCTCCTCCTGCGCTTTCACCCTCACTTCCCCTTACCACTTCCACCACTCACTCGCACTTCACAATGTCTCATTTCCGCATCGCAGACGTCAAAGCGCCCAACATCCAACAGCTCCAAGCCAGCATCCAAGGCCAACTCGCACAACACGGCTACTCTTCCGAGGATGATCCCGTCATGGCCGAGTACATCGTTGTCATGCTGGCGAATCAGAAGACGGCCGAACAGATCACGGCAGAGATGAAGGAGTTGATTGGAGGGGAGTACGATGCGGGTTTTACGGAGTGGGTCTGGACGGAGACGGAGAGGTGGGTGGGAGAAGGAGGGGAGGCGTCGGTGGAGGTGGGTGCGAGTGCGGTGGAGGGGACAGCGCAGAGGAGGACGACTAGGCAGAGGAGGAGCAGGTCTCCGCAGCGCGCAGTTGCGAGGGATCAGAGGAGGAGTCGATCGCCGGTGGGAGCGAGGAGGGAAGAGAGAAGGCGGAGTAGATCACCACCGACACAACCACAACGACGAGAAGACGTCCGCCACAGGATGCCCAGAGATCACAGCAGTTATGAGGCGTGGAAGGCGTCAACAGCACCGCGTCGTCAAACAGATGAACCGTTCGATGGAGAGGCGTTCTGGCGCAAAAAGGCGCAGGAGAAACGAACCAACCCACCGCCACCCGTCAACGGCGGTGCGCGGGAGACTCGAATCTTCAACGCTGCATACGACCAAGCCGTGCGAAACTCGTTGGAAACACATTCGAGCGAAAACGCGCAAAGAGAACTTTTCCCAGATTCCACGGCGAGTGACGATCCACCACCTCCGCCGTATCCAGCTTCGAATGGGGTCAGCATCTTTGGTCGTGCGGGGATCCCGGATCCTCGAGCACCCGAATTCATCCCTTCCTCTTCCTCTTCAACCGAACCATCGACGTCAGCGTCACCCTCCATCTTTGCTCGAATCGACCCGATGCTTCCCAACAACCAGCCGCTTCCTCCACCACAACCTTCCGCGCCAACACACTCGAACGACTTCCCCACCGCTCCCACCTCTACTTCGATCTGTCGGTGGAACCTGAATTGCACCAACCCGGTGTGCATCTACTCGCACGCCTCCCCTGCCAACGCCGGTCCGGGTGCGGGAGATACGGATGCGCTGGTGCTGAGTCAGCAGAACTGTCGATACGGAGCGGAGTGCGGGGATCGAGAGTGTACGCGCGCTCACGTGAGTCCTGCTGTAGCGAGGATCAGGGGTGTACCGGCGACGAGGAGACAGGAGGTGCTGTCGATGGATACGGCGTTACCCAGCGGACCGGGGAGCAGACCGTGCAGGTTCGGGGTGGCGTGTACGCGCGCAGATTGCTTCTTCGATCATCCGCAGGGCAGAAGCGTCGCGAGCGTCGCGAGCGGTGGTCAAGTGCAGTGCAGGTTCGGGCTGGGATGTACGAGAGCGGATTGCTACTATGCGCATCCGAGCGGACAGAGGGCGAGTGCGGTGGCGAACACGGCGGGTAGGTTGGCGGTCTTCGCGCAGCAGGGGGAGGGGGAGATGGAGAGGGTGCTCCCCGGAAGTGCGGAGCAAGCGCCAGTGGTGGCGGACGTCGAACCTGCAAGTGCGAGTACGTAGGGTTGCAGAATGACATTGCGAAGAATATAGAGCGATGATGAGAGAGAGAGAAAAAGGTGCAGAGATGTGTCTTTTGCGTGTGTGTTGAAAGCAAGACAGCCGAAAAGCGTGGTGCCTGACTGAAACTTGTATCAGCTTTTGGCTCGCTTCTAAGCGTGTGTCGTCAGACATCAACTCAACGACTCAATCCATCGATCTCTGAAGTGTTCTTCCTCGTCCGATCCACTGCACGGACGAGGATCAGATGTCGTCGACCGGTCGAAACGGAACCCCTACCGCCACCGCTTCGACCATTGTCCCGCAGGGATGACCCCGAAATGAAGCTCTTTCTTGTGCCAATTCGCTCATCTCCCCTTTCATCGTGCACGGGACTTTCTTTGCGAAATTTTCGCTGCTGCGCTGACTCTATCGCACAGACCTTTCCGAGCCATTGCACAAGCTGTCTCTTTCTCCCAACCACACCAATCTACATCTCGAATCCCACCTCTCAACCATCTTCGCAGGAGGAAAAATGTATGGTGAACACGAGCAACACTGGAGTGGGATCTGGTATCATAGAGAGCTAGATGGAAGCTGTGAGATCTGGACGCGTGGAGGTTGGGTATGGGGTGTGGAGGGAGGAGCAGATGATTGGAGAGGTTGAGGTCAGTGCAACGTTCGGGGATGGTGAGGAGGGTGGATCGGAGGCGAGACGTAATCGTGAGGCTCAAAACGATCCGGCGGGGGGACTGGTGGCGATTTCTGCGACGGAATTGCCTGCGGTAGAGAGCGAATGCGTCGCTGACCAGCCAATGACGATCAATCCAGATCAAAACGACAATGACGATCTTCAACATCAATCGAACCACAACGACGACGATGATCAAGTTGAATCGGACGAAACCGAGCACGACGAACTACTAGACGAACAAGCTGTGCACGTCCTACATCGACCCGACTCATCGCCCGTCCCTACGAGTTGTCCGGAGATCGACGAGCTGGAAGACGCCTCGCAGGCGATCGAGCTTTCCTCTGACCGTGCTTCTCCAGCGGTCAGCCAATCAGCAGAGCGAGAGGACCACCACCCGGAGGAGACGCTAACAATGCCGATGGGTTATGGACTTCGATCTAAACACCGTGCGTTATCGGCAGCACCGGAGGCGACTGTTGCGTCTCAACCGACAAGATCCTCAGACCACGCTGTACCTCCACAGAAACCCTCTCACATCGCCGTCAAATCAAACCGATCTGCAGCACGAGCCCTTCCCACATCTCCGATCAGAGCCGCAGTTTCGACTTCTACCCGAAGGCAAACAAGGGACGAATCGCAACTGCCTCGCTCCGCAGCCGATACATCTCCGCTTGCTACGAAGCAGAAACGAACATCGTTCGTCAAATCAGAATCAAGAGTGTCACAGATATGCCTGGATCCATTCGGGAGGGCGACAAAGTCGAAGCGCAAGTCGTTGGACTCTGCTGTTGACCCATCGATTCGGAAGGCGGCGTCGAGAGGAAGGCCGCGAAAGGTCAAGGAAGAGAGGATCGATGCAATGACAAGGCCTGCAGCGGTAGCAGAGTCGTCGACTGGAACTCGTCGTCGAAGAAGAGAAGATGAAGAGGAGAGGATGGCGAGGACAGCAAAGGCGCGAGCGGCGCTGGCTGAGAAGGTGAGGGTGAAGAAAGAGAAGCAGGAGAGCAAGACGTTGAGAATGGTGCAGGAGGAGCGGGGTAGGGAAGAGGGGGGGAGGAGAGGACGAGAGAGGGGCAGGTTTGCAGAGGGCAGCGAGTGAGTTCGGGGATCTAAGTACGGAGGTGGTGGAAGAGCTGCTAGAGGCGGTAGAGGCCGTGGAGGCGCAGCACTCGTCGCAAGGGTCACCAGTGGTTGGAGATGCAGCAGCGGAGGAGACCAGGGAGACGGTTGCGATGGCGACGCAGGCGGCGTCCACAGCACCTGTATCACACCGCCCAGACGCGCCACTCGAGTCGTATCCAGCGCAACTTTCGGCGCCGTCTGCATCCACCCATGACACGGTTCGAGACACCACCCAGCCGCCAACCCGAATCGACGAAGGAGCAGAAATCCCCACACGCGCTCGAGGCGAGATCAGCAGCGAGGTCACACCTCAACCCTCAATACCTGCTGTCGTCGTTCGCAATCGGCAAGCGGAGCCACTGCCGGCGCCTGTCGACACACGTGCTCAAGCCGAGACCAGGAGCCAGTCAGCTCAGATCTCAGTACCGAGCAACGACAGCGGTCATCAAGCGAGGCAGCTGCAGTCGACAGCAGCACCCTCCAGGTCGTTCATCCGAAGCATCTCCGCACCGAACCTCGTCAGGCGCGACACCGCCGAACTCGCTTCGCCACTTCCCGACCTCAGCCTCTACACTCTGCTCGACGCAGCGGATTTCTTGCCGCAAGTTGGCGCGAAGTCGATCGATAAGGGTAAGAAGCGTGCGATCGATGTGGTGGATGTCAGCAGTGACAGCGAAGAGGATGGTGGAGACGTTGCGGAAGATGGCGATGAGGAGAGCGAAAGTGGTGAAAGCGGTGGCATGAGGGGACGGGGAGAAGAGACGGAGGATGAGGCTTGTCGGGACTTGAATGTGGCAGTCGCTGGGCTGGATGGTGAGGAGACAGAGTCGTATAACGAGGATGAAGAGGACAGCGATACTGGTAGCGAGAGAAGTGCTCTTCGGTCAAGTCAGAGGACCTCGCCGTCGAAGCGAGGACGTCCGTCACAGGGCGGGGAAGCCTCGACAAGAAAGAGAGGAAGGCCAATAGGAAGCGGTAGGGGAAGAGGAGGGAAGATTCGTGGGCAATTCTCTGGACGCACCATTCTCGGATTCTACTCTTCCAATCGCCAACAGACACCAATGTCGACAGAGAGCCGACAGACATCCCACTGTACGGAGAACCGACCTACGTATGCTTCGCTGGATGTCCCGACTCGGAGAGGTTCCTCACCTTCCTTCACCCGACTCCAGAGAAGCTCCTCACTCTCGCTCGCCCGTGCTTCACCCAATATCTGCGACGACGGCGATATGTCGCCACATGTGTCAGTCTTTGAATCCCCATCGACGTCGTTCTCTGCTCATCCAGGCGAAGATCATACATTGCCCTTTCGACATCGGACTCAGGCTGCTCCTCCTCCCACTCCATCTCCCTCGCAACTCTCTACAACATTCGACGATAAGAAAGTCAAGACGCTGCGACGCATGCACGAAGAAGCCACCACAATGCGATCCGTCGCCGACCAAATGCGCGATTTGTGGATCGACTTTCAAAACGCATACGACCGCTACACGCAGGATCACGTTAGCTTGGGACAAGAGACGAGCGGATGCCAGGGCAGAATCGCCGAACACGTGCATTTTCACGTCGGTCTGTCGAGCGATGTACACCTGTTCGCGGCTGCGATGCAGCGGGCGCTGGATGATGGGGCAGACGCGCCTCCGAAGTTGAGGTTCAAGGGTGTGGCGAGAAGGGAGAGGGACGGATGATAATGATTCGGGATGCTGATGTGATAGGTGAATACCAAGGCGAAGGCCCGAAATGAAGAGAGCGTGGCTTGAGATGTTTTCTGTGTCGAGTTTCGTGAAATGAATCCGCCAACGAGACACGAGATGAAGGAACGGAAGCGCATCTAATCTCGCGTACGGCGGCTATGCGTATTGATCCGCAGAGGAGAAACACCCTCCGCAGCCGGCGCAAACGTGATGGTACGCAGGCTGTTGTAATCGTAGTGCGGGCGGAAGAGATGTTCAGCACAAGTCGACCGGCAGAAAAAAGAGGCTACCAAACACGATCGAGAACATAAATAGATCCTGTAGATTTGTCTTTTGTCACCATAGGTGCGACACACAAACACCGTTCACAACACCGGACTTTGGCGGAGGATGGACGTTCTGCGACTCGTGGAGGAGGTGCACCTGACACTGCTGATGATAGTGGTTGTGTAAGGCGGGATCCTCGAAGACGTGTTGTCCGAGCTAGGTGTTGAGGAACACGGTGCATGTCGGGAAGTAGGGAGCTTCGACGGCGCGGTCGACTTCGATATCAAGGTCAGAGCCAATGACGAGCCTGTTGAAAGCGGCATCACCGCTGTTTACATGTTCAAGCCGATTCAAGAGGCACCTCCTCGGACAGAGAGACACAAAGAGCAAGCGGTCACCGGTGCAGGCCCCTCGTCCGGCGTGCCACAGCATCTCAACGACGAAAGCGATACCTCTATCTTCTCAGGTACTCGAGTCTCTTATGCGACAACATGGATCATCGAAACACCTCCCTCGACGCCTACAACCATCTCGAGCTCGCAACGTGATCCTCACGCTGCTGACTCAGCCAACAGACGGAAAATACCAAAGCTGAAGCATCTCTTTCGACGTCAAGAGAATGACTGGACGGCCCACATGAAAAAAGCCAACACTCTCGACGATCTCTTGGCTCTGCAAGGCATCGCAATCTCCAATGACTCCCAGCAGTCGACAATGGATTCGCATGCAGACAACGACGGAACATCGACTCGTGGCTACATGGGAAATGCGGAAGCCTACATTGAAGCCTTGCGAGACACGCGCAACGCCCAAAGCCGTGCTTGTCAGAAGCGGCAGAGTTTGAGAAAGCAAGGACTGCCGTACGAGCACATTGTTCCCCCGCGTTTAAAGGACGTGCTTGCGGAGAGAGGTATACCGAACCCCATCAAGCGTCCTCGCTCTCAGGTCGTTCTACCACCGCCAGAGATTTTTCGCAATATCGAGGCCTCGACAAACGTTGACATGCCGCAGTCAACGACGTCTCAGACGCGATTCGACGACGAGGCTAGTCGCAGCCAGCGACAGTATTCCGAATCAATCTTTAGCAAAAAACAGATTTCTGTATCTTGTCTGTCAGTGTGGGACAAAATCGATCTTTCCGACCCGCTTCAAGACGATCCGTCGATGCTTGTTGACGACGACGACGGTTCAACACGTAGCTCGTCGACCTCAGACTCCAACTGCGAGATGCGAACTTCAGGACCGCGGAGAGTATGGGATGGATTCCAGAGGAACAAGGAAATGTATCTGCGACTGGCTGGACGCAGCCAAGAAGAGATCCAAGCGAGGATGACCGCTCCCAGTAGCAGTCGGAAGAGGAAGCCCGCTTCCACGAACACATGGACCTCCACTCCGGCAAAGCTGAGACGGCTCAATATCCCGGACCTCCTCCATCCGACACCTTCGCCTACGCCAACGGCAGACGTTTCACCTACGTTACCTCCATGCAGTCGACGTTGGCCGGAAAACTTTCCCTCATCGATGCCGCTCCCTACTCCTCCTCTTTCCCTCGCCTGCACTCCAGGTTCGGTGGATGTGACCGCGATCGACTCCGCCATAGCAGCTGCCTGTACACGCCTGAGTCAGTCTCCGGGTCGACCCGAGCGCGTCACAGGGCATTTCGATAGATTTGACCAGGACTTGCCTGACGCTAGCGATTGGAAGACGGCCACGGATCGGATACTGAGGTGTGCGGAGGACTTGTCGGAAGCAGTAGGACGGACGATGGAGATGCTCAAACGGATGGGCGGTCAAGATGGCCGCTAGAGGTGGACCTTCGAGGACGTCGATCCTTGTCATCCACGTTCGCCCTCTTTCCTTGCACGGAAAAGATACCTGTCAAATTTAGCCACACGACCTAATATACACTTGCTCCCTCCCAACGCCTACTCGATCTCCGCAGGCTCCGACATCTTGACCGCCTCTACAAACGCCTTGTAGTCAAAGTACTTGCCGCTTTTATCCATAAACGGTCCGCTCAACAACCTGTCGATCTCCCTATCGCTCATCTTATCCCCCACCTGACTCAACCAAAACCGCAACTCTTCCGCCTCGATCCTCCCCACGTCCTTCTCATCAAAACACTCGAATGCCTCCATCAACACCGTCTGATCGTCCAACTCTGCCAGATGTTCGCCGAACATCGTCAAGAACTGCGTAAAGTTGACACCTGCGGATCCGGGTTTGATGTAATCCTTGGAGGAAGAGGAAGAGTCGATGCCGAGGTTGGATAGCATGGTGGCGATGTCGGCGGGGGAGATGAGACCGTCCGAGTCTGTGTCGATCATGTTGAAGGCTTCTTTGAAGCCTTGGATCTGTTTGGGGGAGAAGGCGGTGTAGAGGGAGGAGGAGGTTTGACGTGGGTGGTTGCCGATCTTGCGGGAGGAGGAGGTGGAGGGCCCACCGTTGAGGAATGCCGCGGCTGAAGAGGTGGCGGTGCTACGAGATGCCATGATGCGAGGAGCGAGTGTGCTGCGTGTGCTTTGATCGTAGGGTGGAAGAGTTGCAACTTGAACTGCCAGATGGTTGGATGATGGTCGCGAATGATGATGTTGAGCTGTCGAAAAGTGGAACTTGACCCTGCAGCTCGAGTGTTGGTCTTTCGCGCCTTGATTCAGGGGCTCTTTCAGACACTCTCGCCTCGCGCCTACAGCACGCAGCTGTGGAGGCGCGGAAGCGGAATAACACTCGAAACAACAGGCTGGCCGCATCGCTCACGTGCTGTATCAAAATGGCAAGGTGTACACGAATGATGGTCTCACATTCCCCACCCTTTTTCGCACGCGCCAGCCTTAGCGGAATGTCCGAAATCCACAACTGTCAATTTTTGGTGTTTGGATCATCGACGACGACGAATCCTTCGCGACGCTGCTTCCTTGTTGGTCACCATCATCATGATCATCAAGGGTCGCGAACCGACAAGCCGCTAGCACTAGCGCATCGACATCATACCCCAGCGACCGAGCTGCACCTCTAACAAGCCCAGTACATCCGATTCTGGCCATCGACACCGGGACCCACTTCCTTTCATTTCCATCGCGCGGCACCAGCTCAGCCTGCATCCAAGGCCGCAGACATGTTTCACTCCGCACCATCACCAGGTCGCAGCGGCCCTTCTTCTTCGTCGTCCTACGGCTTCGCAACACCGGTTCGAACTCCCTCCACCTCCTACCACGCCTACTCTCAAGCCTTGACTCCCGCCGACGCCTCAGCAAAAGCTGTCCGATTTCAAAACCAGCCTCTACCTCCACAGACACAGCAACAGACCCAAAGCTCAGCACTGAACTCCGCGGCTACGCCGAACAAGTCACCCTACCAAGCCGCGCTTTCGACGTCTACACAGCCGCAGCCGCCGCAACAACAGCAATTGACGCAGCGGAACGCGGTGGCTTCCTCAGCTGCCGCTCCAGCAGCAGGCAGTGGGAACGGCAACAAGATGACCGTAACTAGATCAGTCGCGGCAGCGGGGGGCGCGGAGTCCACGATCGCGTTGAAGAGGCGGATCAAGTGGAACCTTTCAGCGTTGGGTCTTTTGTGGATCGTACCGGCGGTGTCGACCCGACCTCGAGATGCGTATTGGTTGGTTCTGGATCAGATCTACATGCACGTAGGAGGAGATACGGATGAGCTGGTAGATGGCATTGTCGGGTGGATCATGTGGGCGGTCAGCGTGGTCTTGCTATTCAACGCTGTCGAAGCAGCCGTGCTCGTCCAACGAGCTTCTTCCTCAAGCTCACCCGCACCAGCACAATCGACTCTTACCACCACCACCAGCGCCGCGCTTCCCGCCCATGGAAAACAACCCCAGACACCGGTTCTCGGAATGCACTCTCCCTCCATCGCCAAGTCCATCAACTTTGTCGCCGCCAGTCGATTGAAGGGTTCCCCCAAAACCAGAACCAGCGACATCGGCGCCGGCTCCCCCATCTCTCGATCCAGCCCCAAGGCATCACCGAAACAAGACTCGCCCAATACCACCGTCGATTATTCCCAATTCTCCCCTGCGAACCGTCGTGCTTCGAGTCCGATCTCTACCCCGAACAGCTTTGGAAGTGCGAGTCGGGCGGGCACTCCAACGATGACAGAGTACGGTCGAGGATTGGTGGGGAGTGGCAATGTGTCTGGCTCGAGTCCGTTGGCTGCGTTTAGGGCGAGGCACGTTTCGAGAGGCTCGAGTTCTCCGGCTAGGGCTAGATCGATCACGCCTTCGGTCAGCGGTAGTGGGTTGTCGGAGCTCAGCTTCGATGCCAGTGACAGCTTGGGAGGGGGAGCAGGAGGGCAGGAGGAGGAAGAGACGTTTTTGGGCGACGAGAGTTTCGAGGTCGATCGCGCGTTGAAGAGTTTACGGGGGTCATTGGGTGGCGTCAGTTCGACGCCTGCTCCCGGATTTCGTTGATTACAGGTAGACACGAGTTACAAGCGATCTCTAGCACTCAAAAGCCAAACGACGATTGTCGGAAAAACTAAGCGTCTTCCACTTCGATCTCCTGACCGGCACCACCAGAGCTGTAGTCCTTGATCACATCCACACCACCACCCACGTTGTTCCCCGTTGGAATACCAAACCTCCTCTTGACCGCCAGTACCTCGGCCGGATCGCCCGTGTTCTTGGTCAGCTCATCGCTGATCTTGACCACCGGTCTGTCTTCCACCGAGTCGAGCTTGATGACGATATTCAACGGTTTGCTCTTCTCCCCACTGCCTCGTTGCTTGAAGTCGTTCGTGAACGACGTCCCCACACCGAACCCCGCACCGATGCCTATCTGCTTCGAGTAAGCTGCCAGTTCCAAACACCTCTCCACATTGAGCCCGTCGGAGTAGATGACGACTTTGGTGCTCGGATCGACGCCGATCTGCGCATACGCCTGGAGCGCCTTTTGGGCGAAGGCCTTGCTGTCGCCGGAATCCTGTCGCAACCCACGCCAGCGACGAGCGATCTCGATGCCGGAGGGATTGTCGAGCAGGTCGTTCCAGAAGACGCCGGTGGAGAAGGTGTCGGTGAGTGCGATGGTGAGGTCGTGCGTGGGACTGTTGGGTACGAAGTCCGGTGGCGAGTAGACCGAGTCCCAGAGTTGAAGGGCTTTGAGGTTCGAGTGCGCGTAGCCTTCGAGTGCTGCGATGGCCATGGTCCATTCGTGTGCGACGGTCCCGATGGGGATGAGGTTGTAGAGGTGTGCGAAGTGGACGTTGGACGTTCCTAGGAGTTTTCCAGTAGGGGAGGAGGCGGAAGAGTCTCCAGAGATGAGACCTTGGATCACGATGCGGTGCGTTTGGTAGGATCGCCGCCTACGTGTGCCGAACTCCGAGTAGCGGATTCCGTGAGATGTCAGCTGGAATGCTTTGCCAAACGCCTGCTGATGTTGCCCTTCCAAAGACCAGTTTGTGTCGACAGTGCTGAAGTACACCTCGGATACGATCGCCATCAACGGCACCTCGTAAAAGATCACATCCGACCACACTCCCGAGACCTTCAAGCTCAGATCCCCCCACTCCCCATCCCCTGTTGGCACAAAATTCACTTGCACCTGCGTAGACGGTTGGAAGCGGAACGCCTCCAGGTAATCGAGATAGTCCGGGCGCAGGTACGGACATGTCTTCTCGAGCCAACTGCGTTCATCGGAAGTGAGCGAGAGGTGGACGAGGTTGTCGACGTGACGGCGGATGAGGTCGACGGCGGATCGTGTGAATTTCATGGTCGAAGCGGAACGGTTGGTGAATTTGTAGGCTACGCGAGTGGAAGGGTAGTGCCGAAGGACGGCTTGTTGCATGGTGAGCTTGTAGAGGTCGGTATCAAGGATGCTGCGAATGGGCGCAACGTCGGGCCCATCTTGGGCGACGGCGTCGCCTGACGTGGATGCCGCAGACATAGTCGAAGTTTGATCCTTTGGGAAGCGATCGGAAGTTCCGATGGTAGATTGAAGGATAGCTAGATGGTGGGCAGGGGGAGGGGAGGCAGGAAGGCAGGAAGAACACGATCTCAAGACTGCAAAATGAGCATGCGTCGAGTCAGGGTGTGGAGGCCAATTGCTAATATTCGAGTCGTGTTGGTCTGGGCGCAACAGAAGGAAACAAGAAGTCGCCGAGAGATACGTGTCCAGCCAGCAGCTCTCACATTGCGTAACTCATTTAGGTTACCTCTTTGTGCTCACACCCACTCTGCCAACTCAGCGGCTCTAACACAGACCCGTGGCAAAGGGATGAGGCGCTTTGAAGTAGAGCTCTCGATCGAGTCTAGCCCACAGCAAGAAGAATAATGTTCAGCTGAACGTCGATTCGAGATACCGAGTAAATATTATAATAGATTTAAGCTTTCATCGCATGGACGCGCAAATCGCTTTTTGCCAAGGCCGGTCAAACACGAAGTAGGTTAATTTCGAGGGCGACTGGAGCGTGCTGGCTTGGCCAAGGAAAACGTTGGGTCGAGATGTCGGGCTCTGCTGCTCCTCATTTTCCGGGCATTGTCCGCCACTGCAGTGGGATTTTCGGGCTGGATTTCGGCAAAAGCCTGAAATTTGTCGCACAGCAAACACACAGAGGCAGGACGGAGCAACCGCCGCATATTCAGGCACCGCCGCCAGTGGTCATCAAGCGGAAGGAGTTGGTTGGTCGGCTTGCATCCGACGTTCACCACCATCCAAAGCGTATATCGATCGGCTGATCCGAGCCGTCCCCTAGCATCCCTTCTGCGATAGTCACACCACAGCAGAACGACACAGCAGTACAGCAGTACAGCAGTACAGCAGCACAACAGGCGCGGCTGCATCTCCAGCTCGAATTCAGCCGTCAAGCACAGCAAAGCAGAGTTTAGAGCTGGTTTCGAGTGGGCAGATCGCTTCCTCCGCCTCGATACCGGTTTCCGACGCAGCTCATTCTGCACCATCCTTTGTCGATCCAGTCTCGTATTGGCACGGTCTTGGATCCAATAGGCGATGTTTGCGTGACATCCGATCCTCGATCCTATCACATTCAATTCCTCGACACGTCGCTTCCACTTGCCTATCGTTCGCCATCATGTCCAGCATCTTCAACAAGTACACGCGCGTCCCCACCAACTCCACCCTCCCCACCAACGTATCCGATACGCGCGGCTCCTCTTCATCTTCCGGCTTCGGACGCGCGCGTACACGGTGGGCCCTCATCGCAGCAGCCCTCCTCACCCTCCTCCTGTTCTTCGGCTTTGCATCCTCCGATTCCGAAACGTCCGCCAACTGGAAAGCGAAAGCCGGCGAATACGCGGGCAAGCTTCCGTGGTCCAAGCAACATCCCACTGCAACATTCTCCAGCGTCACGGATGTGGATGGCAACGAGTTCGGTCGGTGGATGAACGGGTCCGGTCGAGCAGATCTGTCGTACGATTCGCCGTTCAATCCGGAGGATCTGACCTTGACGGAGGATGAGTGTGATGCGTTCTTCCCCGGGTTGTGGAAGGAGATCGATCGAAGCGTAGAGTACTATACGGAGCATCCGTTGACGATGGAGTATCTGGACAAGGTGTGCGACGATGGGATCTGGTCGCATGCCAGGGTGGTGATTCACAACAACCGCGTCTACTTGAAGTACTTCCAACAGTCGGCGTTTACTCGCGTCAACTCGGCGTTGGCGTTGCTGTTCCAGAGCGTCGTGGGTGCCAGGGAGAAGTTGCCGGATGCCGAGTTCTGTCTCAGTGCAAACGACTGGGGGTCCATGGGCAAGTTTTCGCTCGACCGGGCTCCCTATCTGGAAGATCTCTGGTTGATGCCAGATTACGGCTTCTACAGCTGGCCAGAGCCGGGCATCGGATCATACACAGAGCATCGAGAAAAGACGCTCGCCATCGAACAAGCTACGCCGTGGGACAGCAAAGTGCCCAAACTCTTCTGGCGTGGAGCCATGGGCGTCGGAACCGCCGACCGCAAAGCCCTGCTCGCTGCAGCCGAGAACCACGACTGGAACGACGTCAAACCCCTGGACTGGGGTAACAGGGAAGGCTTCGTCACCATGGAAGAGCACTGCAAGTGGAAGTTCCACGCATTCCCCGAAGGTATGACCTACTCCGGTCGACTGAGATACCTTCAAAACTGTCGTTCCGTCATCGTCACGCACGAACCAAGATGGATCCAGCACTGGACGCACCTCTACAACGCCGACACCAACTCGCCCGATCAGAACATCGTCTTCGTCCCCGAATACAAGGGCGACGAACCAGGTGTTCAGGTCGAAGACGACCGAGGTCAGGCGTTCCGAGATACCACCTGGATGCGTCTACCCGAAGTCATGGACGAACTGCTCAAGGACGACGCCAAGGCAAAGAGGATCGCCGACAACCAGTGGTCCTACTTCCGAGAGAGGTACGTCAGCCCTGCATCCGCAGCTTGCTACTGGAGGAAGGCCATCAAAAGGTACGCGGGAGTGCAAAAGTTCAACGTCAACTACACAGGTACCGAAACCAGTTACGAGAGCTTCCTGCTGCTCGGTAACAAGCTCAAAGGCGTCGCAGAGTAAAATTTCAGCCTCGCTTCGGGACGAACACTCTTTGGTTTATTGTAACTTGTTTCTTAATTTATTCACCTTCAACGTTGATGGAAAACCATCTGCAACCAGAGGAATGTGCGTGTCTGTGTTGCTCGATCTTCGATGATTTGCGAAATGCGTGGCGGGCTCACTTGCTTCCCATCTCAAGCACGCACAACGGACCGTATGACCAAGCAATGAGAGAACAGACGACAAAGAATGACATACGGGAATCAATTAACAAGTTTTTAGAGATGATGTGTCGAGGATCAAGGCAAGGAAACTCTGAAAGACAACCCGACTGCTTCACTTCTACAAGTGCTCGTCATCCGACGCTTTCCTGTTCAAGTCGAAAGCATCCTTCAGGTAAGCCTCGACCTCGGCCTTGTGCGCAATCTTCGATCCGGTGGCAACCGAACTGCTCGGTGGTCTCGAGGCCAAGATGACAATGTCGTTCTTGTGATGCTGCGTGTGTCGGCAGGCGGTCCTCAACCTTGGCTGCAAGTACGACCAAGCGCCGTTGTTCAAGGGCTCCTCCTGGCAGAAGACCAGGTCGGCGTTGGGGTACTTGTCCAAAGCCTGCACGACCGCCTCGTAGTGCAGCGGCGAGAGCTGCTCGATACGCGAGATGGCGACGTCCTTGATGTTGTTCTCCCTCCTGTGCTTGAGCAGTTCAAAGTAGGTCTGACCGAACGTCAAAATGTGACGCTTGATCTGCTCAGGTGCCACCAGCTCGTCCTTGCCCTCCGATGCGTGAGGGTCAGGGATGAATCGCTGGAATCCAGTACCGGGCAGGAAATCCTCGAGGTTGGATCGTGCTTCCGGGTGACGAAGAAGCGACTTGGAGAAGAAGTTGACCAGCGGCTTACGGAAGTCGCGGTGCACCTGGCGACGCAGCACGTGGAAGTAGTTGGCGGGCGTGGTGCAGTAGACGACAGCCATGTTCGAGTCCTGGTGCTGGCGGTTGCTCTTCTCTGGCGTGGGGAACTTGAACGGGTGGTCGTCGCAGAGCTGCAGGAAACGCTCGATACGTGCCGACGAGTGCTCGGGGCCTTGACCGTCGTAACCGTGGGGCAGGTTGAGCACCAAGCCGGTTCGCTGGAGCCACTTGCGCTCACCCGAGGCGATGAACTGGTCGATGATGCACTGTGCGTTGTTGGCAAAGTCACCGAACTGCGCCTCCCAGATGGTCAAGTTCTGGGGCGAGACGAGCGAGAATCCGAGCTCGAAGCCCATGCATCCGAACTCGGAGAGCGACGAGTTGCAGACCACAAATGGAGCCTGACCCTCGCCGACGTGCTGAAGCGGAGTGTAGGTGGCCTCGTTCTCCTGGTCGTGCAGCACCGAGTGGCGCTGCGAGAAGGTACCACGCTCGACATCCTGACCGGACAGACGCACGTAGTTGCCCTCGAGAGCGAGCGAACCGAAGGCGAGCGCCTCACCGGTGCTCATGTCGATGTTCTTGCCCTCCTCGACAGTCTTGCCACGCGTCTTGAGGATACGGCCGAGGTTGCGGTGGACGGTGAAATCTTCAGGGTAGGAGGAGACGGTCTTGCCGATGTGCCTGAGCGTGTCCTCCTTGACACCGGTGTCCTTGTGGTCGAGGATCTGCTCTGCGAGCTCCTTGGGCGAAGGGAAGCCCTCCCAGGCGCTCGAAAGCCATTCGCGCTCCTCGGGACGGTAGTTCTTGCTCTTGTCGTACGCCTCCTCGAGCATACCCCACACCCACTTCTGGTGCTCCTCGATGTCCGACTTGGTGAAGCTGCCTTCCTCGACGAGGCGGGCGGAGTACTTTTGCAGGGTAGGTTCCTGCTTGGCGATGGCATTGTACATACGAGGCTGGGTGAACGAGGGCTGGTCGGTCTCGTTGTGTCCGTGACGTCGGTAGCAGACGAGGTCGATGACAACGTCCTTCTTGAAGGTGGCACGCCAGTCGGCAGCGAGCTGTGAGACAAAGGTGACGGCCTCGACGTCGTCGCCGTTGACGTGGAAGATGGGAGCGTCGATCGACTTGGCAATGTCCGAGGGGTAAGGGGTGGAACGGGCGAATCGAGGGTCGGTGGTGAATCCAATCTGGTTGTTGACAACAATGTGGACGGTACCGCCGGTGGCGTAGTTGGGAAGGTTGTACATGCCCATGGTCTCGTAGACGACACCCTGACCAGCAAAAGCAGCATCACCGTGCATAAGGAGGGCGAGCGAGGTGGTGTGCTCCTTGTCCTTGGCAAAGTCCTGGAGGGCGCGGGTCTTGCCGAGCACGACGGGGTCCTCGGCCTCGAGATGCGACGGGTTGGCGACGAGCGAGAGGGCCACCTTCTTGCCCGAAGGGGTGGGTCGAACGTAGTTGGCGCCCAAATGGTACTTGACGTCTCCTCCGCCCTCGCCGTCATCCTCCTTGGCGGCAAATTGGTGGAGGATACCCTCGATGGGTCTGCGAATGACGTTGCCGAGCACGTTGAGACGACCACGGTGGGGCATGCCGATGGTGACGCTTTCGACGCCGTGCTCGACGGAGCGGTCGATGAGCGTCTTGAGACCGGGGATGAGCGACTCACCACCTTCGAGACCGAAACGCTTCTCGTTAGGGTACTTGGAGGCGATGAAGCGCTCGAGCGAGTCGGACCAGATCAAACGGTCGAGGATGGTGCGCTTCTCCTCAACCGAGTACTTGAAGGGCTCGGGCGTCTCGAGGCGCTGTCGAAGCCAGTCACACTTTTCGCGGTCAGGGATGTGGACGTACTGGACACCGATGGAGCCGCAGTACATGCGCTTGCAGGCGTCAATGATCTCGCGAATGGTGAGTTCCTGGATGCCCTGGTTGACAAAGTTGGGCAGGAGACCGGGACCGAGACGCATCTTGCGGTCGAGGTCGGCCTCGGACCAGCCGTAGTGCTCAATCTTGAGCTCTTCTGGGATGTTGGGGTCGAGGTCAGGGTCGAGGATGCCGAGCGGGTCGAGACGGGCGATGCGGTGACCGCGAACCTGGTAGGCACGGACGAGCAGCTGGAGTTTGAGGTGGTCATCGACGGCGTCGGTGGAACCGCTGAAGCCTGAGACGTCGACAGGAGGAGCCTCCATGGGCAAAGGCATGAGAGTGGGGGGAGCACGGAAGGCCTGCTCGCTGGGAAGACCCTTTGCGAGACCGCTAAAGTAGACGTCCCACGAAGCGTGGACAGATTTTGGGTCCTGCTTCCAGAGCTTGTGCATCTCCTCGGCGTAGTAGGCGTTGGTGGTGTTGATGAAGTTGTCGCTTCCAGAAGGAGCGTTGGGCTTGGCAGGAGCGGGACTGGCCTGCTCGGACTTGGCGGAAGACTGGTAGTATCTGAGCGATGCGCTCACAGAGCTGGGTCTTGCGATGCGAGCCGAGGCGGAGGGGAGGGCGGAGGCCCTCCATGCCGCACGGGGCATGGATCGCGAAGTGATGCTTCGCAGCATGTTGATGACGAAGTGTTGCGACGTGGATCAGACCGGGGGGGTCTCGATTCACTCGGTGAGGTAGGTGATGAGGAGGAGGGAAGGGAGGATGGTGGCGGAGCGGAACGACGAGACGAGGTGGGAAGCGGGCTCAGTTGTGGAGTAAGTTGATTCGAATCGACGAGAGCCAAAACGAGGCAATGGACGCAACGTGACTTGGACTTGCCAACAACAGCGCCTTGGGCAGCCACAAAAAAATGCCATCCAACCACAAACAAGAGACAGCTGGAAAAGCCGGAGCAGCCAGCGCGGTGCGAGAGAGTGAGTGAGGATGAGGATCAAGGGTTTTTCTTCTTGCGCGGTCGAGTTGTTCCGAAATTTCGATTTGTGTGCCTTTTTGCAAGAACAGACAGCACAGCACAGCACAGCACAGCGCAGCTTGGCGCAGCGCATCCAAAGCAAAGGCCATGCCGACGCTCCGTGCTTGCTCTAACTTATGTTGTAGGTTGACGAACATCGGACGCTTCCCGAACAAGAGCATGTTGCACCACGCACAAACACAAGTTGCTGTGTCGAGTCAGATTCGCGGCTGTGACGGCGACTGCCTCCGTGAGCCTCTCTGCTCGTGACGGACGTTGGGGCGAAGGGTGCGGCCAAAGCGGAAAGAAGCGAACAGCGCAGCAAGTTACAACGGACACGTAAAAGAGCACACGCAGCTTGACAATTGACCGGTCATGCCGACGAGCTGCGGGATCAAGGGCCAACCGCTTGACGCGGTCTCTCCGTCCGACGTCTTGGAATGGTCGGCAGCGACACCTGTATACCCCGAGACATCCTCCGTCGTCGCCGGCGAGCTCTGCCTCGTTTGTGTAATAGAACCTGCGGTGTTGGTTGGAATTTCGGATCATTCCGTCTACGCCGACACCCACACACGAACCAAAAAGAGCACCCGTGTCGCGCATTACACCTTCGGGCTCGATGACGGATACTCACGGCTCTGACACGACTACTTGGCCCCATCGACGGCGCTCTGAGCTACGTGTAGGCTGCTCATGCAGTGGTCGCAACCGGATCGACGAAGCTTGAGCGTAGGAGGCCCGCTAGAGCTCGTGATCAGGAGAAAACGCCTTCGACCAAACGCTCAGGCTCGTCCATGATCCCTTTATCAAACTGACCAGAATAGCGATAAGCAGACCGGTGAGCGCCTGAGGCTGTCGCATGACACTGTCCATGTTGCTGATCTCGGAAGCATGCCAAACATCTGCGCTGAGCGCCATCAGCAAGTATCACAGCCGGAAACGTCGCCCAAGAACCAACTGAACTTACTTCGTTTCCACCTGCGGAGAGATCCGTGTGTCGCTCGGCCAATGACCGCGCTCGAAGCGAAGCTTCATTTTCCACATTCGGATTGTCGTTAATTCACTCTAACATTGGCCTGTCTGGACCTGCTGCCTTTCAACCCGCACGAGCAGAGGATCTCGCTTCTGAGTGAGATTTGCTTTGTGAGATGTGCTTCGCGCAGGTTTGTCGTACCCTGCGTGTGAGGCGGTCACCTTACGTCATGGTGATTGCACAACAAAGGAACAACAATCTGTTTGACCTCGACGACGATGCCACAACATACACACAGAGCCAAGCGCGTTGGAGAGGCTGAGGTGAAGCAGGACCTCTTGCCTCTTTCTTGCCTACAGATGCCTGATCCCCAATGTAGCTGCGGGTCGTGGGACGAGAACCAATGCTTGATGCACACGAGTCGGGACACCCGCTACGTTATCACACACAGTAAAGGCGTAATTGTACCAACCTTTTTTTCTGCTTTTTTTTTTTTTCTTTCTTTCTTTTTTCTTTCCCTCCCCTTTCCTGAAAATCGAGCCAGCGGTTCGGAATTGTGTTTCTCTCTCGCGCACCTGCGTTTCTTCTGCGCCTGAGCATCACCTTCAGCAAGCCAAGGCTGATGCTGAGCCGAGCCAGGTCTTGTTCTTCTTACAACTTGTGACGGCGAGGACGCCCACAATCGAACGACACCGCCTGGGCTGTGTGAAGGTCAACCCTTCTACTTACAGTAGCTTTGTTTGAATGCTGATTGGCTGGCAGTTCGAGCTTGTCGAGTTGTCGAGTCTCGACCTCCAAAGCCCGAGCGAGATGCGGCGCCCAGAAACGGTGCTTTGCAATGCGCGCCAAATCTCACTGCAGCCAGCGCGGGGCGAATCAAAGGGTGTACTTCACACAAGGAGGGCAGTGACGCACATCGAACATGTGATCGCCAAGCGTTTTTGCGCCCTGAGATGCTACAGTACAGTACATTGGTGCAGCTTTACCCCGGACCACCGGCATCGCCTTTGCGATCTCAGTTGGAGCCGAAGCCATTGACGTCTACACTATGCATATCATCACGAAAAGTCGGAGAGAGAAAGAAATCTCGAACCGAAGTCGAGGCGGTGATCTCGGTGCGCGACCTGCCATTTTCGAACGTTGAGAGGTCAAGGTTGATCAAATAAGGTTACCGTCGCCATGCACAAGTGACGAATCGTCGTCATCGACCCTCATCTGGTTGCAGTGCGCGCAATTCATTGTGGTCTTTCTCTTTTTCGAATCATTTCTGCACAATATTCCCGCGATTTTTCGACATGGCCGCATTACAATTGCCGCTCGCTCTCTTCGAGAGAGCAATGTGTGCGCAAAGCCGCATGCTGTCACCTACACTCGCTGCTGCTGTCTCGCCGTTGCATCATCTCACCGCCGAATAAATTTTGTATTCTCCATTTTAAGCACCACAGTCTCGAGAGGAAGCCTGACAAGCTGGCTTACTGACCGACTGGCGACAATGGACGGGTGCATTGCATGTCGCAACACCGTCTTTCCTTCCCTTTGAATGAGTCAACTCACCTCGTCTCGGACAGTGAGAGTGAATTTACTGTAACCGCGCTGTGCTCCTCAGTTCTTGAGCGATAAGCTTGGCTTGCAAGGAGGCTGTTGCACGTCTCTATCTGATTCTACTGGTACCATCTCATGCTCGCTTCTCGTCAGCTCGGCTGCCACGCAACGCCGGGTTGCGTACTTTGTCCCTCATTTGTTCTAAAACAATAAAATTACACTCTATTTGGACGCCGCATGAGCCTGACACGGCCAATTCAGAGCTCGATTTGGGTCACTCAGCACAAAGCAGCAAGTTTCTCTTGCTCTACGCCCGCTGATCCTCACCCGACTTGAAGCTCAGCGCCCGTCTCCACTTTGGTCCCTTTTGGTTCCTCGTACGGCCGTACCTAACTTAGCAACGGCGTTTCTGTGTTCCACTGTGCTAATCACTCCACGCCACTTGGCACGCCTCGCATCCAACGCACACAACCTTCTGTCGAGCTCTTCCATCTTCACCCTCACCCTTTCTGTCAAACGACGATTGGTACCCATTCCTCCAACGACGCCTTCGACATCGCCTCCCACTGCTTTCGCATCTGCCTCCGTCGCAACCAACACACCTTTTCTCGCCCATCGCATCAGAAGCCATCATCGCCTTCTCACATTACTAGCCAGCTAGCTAGCCTGCCGCATTCCTGTCATCCCACCGCTTCGCATCTCTCCGCTTCTGCTTGTCCGATCGAGCCATCCGTCTTCATCGCAATCGGGCCCGGTGCTTGACGGTGCGACGTCTCCATCTCCTCCTACGCATACAGTCCATCTCGGTCGTCTCCCACCCTGACTCGCCGTATCTTTCGACCCAGCCACCGCACCTCGAAGGCAACAGGGACAACATCGCGACCTTCGACTCTCTGACGTGCCTGCATTGGAGAACCACCTCAACCTGTCTTGACTGCCCCAGTAAAAGAGCACCATCGCCATGCTACTGCTCTCCTGATCCTTCGAACTCGCATCCCGCATCGCCCTAGATACGCAAGGAATCGTCATCTCGTATTCGCACATCCGCATCAGCTTCATCTCGCTGTACGACCCTTCCTACAGGCTCTCCTTTGATATAGCCATGATGTCGACCCATCCTCCAGATACCACAACAAAGCAAAAATCGCGGCGATCTTTGCTTCCCTCCCTCAATTTTGCGTCTTCTTCGTCTGCCTCCTCCTCCTCCCACACAGTGTCCGGCCCCTCCATGCGAGCGACACCCTCGACCTCTGCGGCCGCTTCGTCTGGCGCAGAACCCGACTACTTTGCTAGCATCCACGTGCCCGACGCAAACGCACCTGACCCAGGTGCTACACGCATCGCCAGCCCGTTTGCTCTCGCCACGCCTTTGGTCTCGTCTTCGGGCGCGCGTCCTTCGCATTCGACCTCCGCCGATGCTTCTTCGCAGGACAGAGATGCGCATCCTTGGGCTAAGCTGTTCCCGGATGGAGGCATGGCGACTGCTCTGCCAGAGGGCTTCCGCATGGCCAAGCTCGGTGTGCCGCCAACACCCGCTGCCACCGCGGCCGCCTCGACCACCAACAAGTTGAAGCTGCCCGGCTCCAGCTCTGGCTCGCCTGCTCTTCCACCAGACTTTCGCCGCACGCTCAACCTGCCTCCCAAGCTCAACGGCGGACTGTCGTCTAGCGCATCGCTGCCTCTACCTGCAGGCTCGTCGTCGTCGAACACCAAAGCTGGCGCTGCTACCAACGACCTCACCAAATACAAGGCGCTCGATGTCGACGGTCTCGCCGAGGCGCTCAAGCTACCATCCTGGAAACGCCAGGCGAATGCGGCGTCCTCGGCTTCGCAGCCAGCCACCTCGGAGGATGTTCTGGTTCTCGACATTCGCCCCTCCACGTCTTACTCGATGGCTCGTGTCGCATCCAGCATCAATATCTGTGCTCCGAGCACGTTGCTCAAACGACCCGCGATCACCGTTGAACGCATCGAGGACGAGATGCTCGGCAGTACCAGCGATCGACGACGTTTCATGCGCTGGCGAAAGGGACCGCTCAAGCCTAAACCCGATGCTGCCAAAGCTGGCACGTCAAGCGAAGCGTCGCTCGAAGCCGTTCGAAAGCGCGGTGCAACGATCAGCTTGCCCGATGAGCCAGGTGTCACCAAGATCATTGTGCTCGACACGGACACAACTCGCATCGACGGCACCGGCAATGCCACTGCTGGTGGTGGCGGTCCTTGTCTCATCGGCGTGCTCAAAAAGTTCGAAGCTGCTGGGTTTGCTGGCGAGCTTTGCTGGCTTGTTGGAGGTTTCAACAAGCTCGCTCGTTCTAAAAAGGCCCAAGACCTCATCGACACGAACGCGGCCGGCAAGCATGCTCCGGAGGAGAAGTCGAGCAGCCCCGACTCGACACGCGGGCAAAGCCCCGCCGATGTACGTAGCCGAAAGCCTCCAACTCTGGAGCTCAACGGCTCTGCTGCACTGCCCGCTTTTGGCAGTCCGGCCGGAGTAGACGACGAGCGCAAGTCGCTCGTCCAGCCTCGTGGTCTGCCGATGGAAGCATTTCAAACGCAGAGCACAGTTGCTGGTTGGCCTGGTCAGTCGGCATCGCCGGCTAAGGAGGCAACTCAGCGCGGCGGCTCCGGAGACGGCTTCCGACTGAATTTGGCGGGTCGTTCGCAAGGTCAAAAAGGAGCCGAGGCCGAGACCAACCGCTCTGCTGCTGCATGTGCCAATCCGTTCTTTGACAACATTCGCCAGAATCGCGAATTGCAGCACGGCATCACCGAAAAGATTCCAATGGAGCTGCCACAGATGAGCGAGGCGCAGACGCGCCATCTGCCTCCATTCTTTCAGAAGCTGGTGCAGCTGTCGAATTCGGACCGAGCACTCGCCCTTGCGCAGGTTTTCTTCGACGTCGAAAAGGCCGAGCAGAATCGACTGATCGCGACCATGCAACAGCACTCGGCAGAGTCCGACCAAGATCCTCGCTCCAAAGACTTTGCCAAAGCTCAAGCTGCGGCTCTGCTCAAACAGTCGTCGTCCGGCGCTGGACAGCGACAGACACTGGATCTCTCGGGCCACGCCTTCCCTTTCAGCATCGCTGCCGCTCTCGAGCGTGGCGCTGACAACCGCTACAACAACATCTGGACCTACGAGCACAGCCGTGTTCGCCTCGCGAAGCCGCAGTCTGTCCACGATTCTGGCTCCGACTACCTCAACGGCTCGTACGTCACCCCTCCGACGGGACTCGGCAGTAAGCGCCGCTACATTGCCACGCAAGCACCGCTGCCCAGTACCTTTGCAGCATTCTGGACCGCCGTTTGGGAGCAGAACAGCCGTGTCATTGTCATGCTCACCCGCGAGCACGAGAGCGGACGCTTGCAGAGCCATCCTTACTGGCTCGACACTGCCTATGGCGATTCAATCCGGCTTACTAAGCTCGAAGAGGTTGTTCTGGACGAAGCGGGCCACCAGATGCGCTCGGAGGAGTCCAACGCTGTGCTCAGCAAGGGCCAAAATGGTGGTGCCCTCTTTCCCACCATGCCCGCATCGCAGCAAGATAATGAGGCGAGTAGTTCAACCGCATCGGCAAGCAAATGCGAGCCAACTACCGTGCGCAGGACCTTCCTCCTCAAGAACTTCTCTGAGCCACAGGCTGCTCCACGCAAGGTCGTCCAGCTGCAGTACATCGCCTGGCCCGACTATCACATCCCTGAGACTCCTCAGTCGCTGCTGACGCTCATGGACCTGGCCGACTCAATACAAAACACCGCCGACATTGAGCTGGGTAGGTCGATTACACGCGGTCCTGCTCAGAGTGCTGGTCCTATGGTGGTGCACTGCTCGGCCGGCGTTGGTCGTACGGGTGCCTTTATTGTCATAGACGCAGCACTCGACGTGCTTCGCAGGGTACGCCGCCGACAGAAGCTGTCTGCAATGCGTCGAGATGCCAGCGCGGTCGCAGAGCCGTCAACCTGGGACAACCATTTTACCGACGATGGGAGCATTTCGATCGCGAATGACACCCAAGATGTGGACATGGCAGCACCCTCTTCGCCTCTTGCCGATCGTTTCCCACGCACACCTCGGCGCAGCCTCAAGCGCGAGCTGTCGCCTACGGGCATGGACATCGACTCGGGCAGCATCCAGGGCTCTGCACGCGACTTGAGCTCGCCGCCTCCGATGTACCGTTCGCGCTCCAACGAGAGCGGCAATGGTGCAGACGCCTCGAGCCTGCTGAGCAGCAGTCTGAGCAGTACGGGCAGCTTCAGCAACCGCAGCGCAAATTCGTTGAATGCCGCTGGCGCAAAGCTGGGGCCCGCTGATACACCGATGCGATCTACGCAGTCGACGCAGACCTCGGCGGCTGGCGGCGAGAGCAACTCAGGCGGTTTCACCAATCCCTTCACTTCTCCGACGTTCCGCTTCAATCCACTTGCCAGCGCTAGGATTCGAAGTGCGGGCACCGCAATGCAGAACGCCTCGAGCCACGATTCGTCCCTGTCGCCGCGACATGTACAGGACTCCTCCGATCTCACGTTATCGCCGACACGTCCGAGCGGGCTGCAATTGTCGTCGCAAGATGCATGGCGCCAAGCTTCTTCTCCGTTCTCAGAAGTCTCGACGCCATCGTTCCAAGGCGGCGGCAGTGGCTCGGCACGTTCCTCTTTTTCATCGGCTGCGGGCGTACACTCGCGTCTGTCGAGCGGCGGCAATGCGCTTTCACCAAGCGGATCCGATGATGGCGTACGATCGATTGACGAGGCTCTGATGTCGGCTGTGAATCCATTCGACGTGTCCATCTCTCAGCAGAACCAGAGCCAGACTCAGGGTGAGAGCAAAGCCGACTACGCAACGGCAGGCGACACGACCACGTCCACCGTCACCGGCAGCAACGAACCCACGCCATTCGACGCATCATCCACCTCGAACGTCTTTGGATTTGCCAAGCAAACCACGCGCGCCAGCACCATGTCGGACTCCAACTCTGCCGACTCTTCGCTGAACGACAACGTCACGCATCGAACCACGCCTGGCACATCGGTTCACTCAACACCTGCCAATCACGCACAGGATTCGTCGCAGGTGTTGACCGCAAGGGACGATGCCAAGATGGCATGTGGAAACGCAGGCGAGGTGGATGAAGCATACGTCAAGGGCGAGGACATTATCAGGACGATCGTGGAAGGGGTTCGGGAGCAGAGAATGTCGCTGATCCAGACGGGTCGACAGTTTGTCTTTGTCTACTCGGCGGTTCTAGCCGCACTATTGAAAGATTTGAGTCGAGAGGGTATCTATTGATAAAAATTTGGCTCGTCATACACTGTTATACATCGTACTTGCAATTTGGACCCGATACAAACCGTACAGAGAGTATCCACGTCTGTGCCTTCCATCCATCCACCGTGCGCTACTTGATATACCGATGCATAAACTTCCTATGAAACTCGGACCTGGTCAGATCATTTACGAATCCACCTTTGCCATCCTGTCTACCCGTATTTCCAGCAGCGCTAGCTTGGTTTTTGAAAATGACGTCGTGGTCCCATCTCTTTGACACTGCGAAGTTGGGAGAATCCTCTGTCGCCAAGGGCTGTGGTGTGTCTCTTTGGAAGGCATTTTGCAGGTTGAGGAGGGGATTTCCACGGGCGATCTCGTCTTGTCGGGAGAGGGTTTCCGTGGCAGCGTTGAGGTGGGCGAGACGGGTTTTTTCGGCTAGACGTTCTGCTTTGATTTTTTCGAGTTCGAGGAGAAGTTGGGTTTGTTCGTCTTCGGAACCTGAGTCTGATCCAGATTCGGAATCGGACTCGGATGATGAGGAGGCCGAAGCATCGTCATTGGGTGGTTTTGCTTCGGATGGATTATCGGAAGAGACAGACTCGTCGTCGTCGTCGTCGTCGTTTGAATCACGATCCAATTCGATCGCCTTTGCAATCGCTTCTCTTCTTCTCTTTCCGTCCTCATCGTCCTCTTCTACCCCTTCATCCGCTCGAGATGCAGGCAGCGGCAAAGGCTCAAGACCTTGCTTAGCTCTTCGTTTGTTCTTCGCTTCCCACTCGGCTACCTCCAACTCCCGCTTCAGATCTCTCCTCTTGGTCACACTCGGACCTGCAATGGAAGGCGCAACGGAAACATTCGACGAAGAATCAGGTGCAATAGATGAGGACGAGGATGCAGAGGCAGATTGGGCAGGTTGGCGGAACTTGAGCTTTGTATGTTGTGGGAGGGAGAAGTGGGAACGTCGCTGCGAGTTGTGGAATTTGGATTCTCGACCTTTGGCTGCGGCGAAGGTGGGTCGGTGGGCGGTGGACATGATTTGGGGTCCAAGACGATAGAGCGAACTGGCTAATGAATGCGTTGGTGGACGGCCGTCGTGGGTCGTGACAGCAATCTGGTGTGAGAGATGGTGGTGTCCGATGAAAGAGGAAGGGAGTGCATGCCAAGAAGTGCCAAAATCCAGATCCAAGCTTAAGCTCAATCTCTCCACATCATGCCTGTCCCGGCCGATAAGAAGACCAACCAAGACTCCACGTCGAACCCTTCTCCGCTGCATATGCGCACAGACTCCGCTGCTGTCCAACCTCCCGCCAAGACCCTTTCCCCTCACCTCCTATCTTCCTCTCAACGACCTTCACAACCTCTCCTTCCTCGTACAGCCTTCAACAATGAAGTTCACCTCCGGTCTCATCCTCGGCACTGTCGCTCTCGCCGCTACGCTCGTTCGCGCGGACGCCAGTCTGCCCGACAAGCTGCAAGTCGGCGTCAAGTATCGTCCGGAGAAGTGTGATGACAAGTCACAGGCTGGCGATCTGCTGTCCATGTAAGTGACGACGCTGTCTTTGGGTTGCTGTGATTGGGGCGAATTTCTGATATGCTGTTGATCGCTTTCTTGATTGATGTTGTAGGCACTACACCGGCACACTCGTACGTAGATCCTAGAGGAAACGGTACAGCGAAAAGGGTTGTGGTTACTGACAGTAGACATGAACCTCGTTGTGACAGGCCGACGGCAAGAAGTTCGATTCGTCGCTGGATCGTGGTCAGCCATTCGAGTTCACACGTAAGTCACTCGACACCTACAGTATCCGTCCCCGGGTCTCCTGCGTATTTTCAAATCTGACATTCTTCTTCTGTATCTCTTCCCATCGTACCTCTTCTCCATCGGTCCACCTGTGCGACTCATTATCGCCACCTGCTCGCAGTCGGAACCGGTCAGGTCATCAAAGGATGGGACAAAGGCCTCCGGGACATGTGCGTCGGCGAAAAGCGCAAACTCAAGATCCCCCCCTCCGACGGCTACGGCGCTTCCGGCGCAGGTGGCGTCATCCCCCCCAACGCCCATCTCATCTTCGAAGGTAAGCACCACCATCCTCCTTTCTCCCTCCACTTCCCACCTCACCACACCCAGACTGATCCTGACTCCTCCTGCTCATCACACAGTCGAATTGCTCGAGATCAAAGGAGCCCGTGCAGCCGCCCGCTCCTCCTCCTCGCACGGTGAACTCTAAAACCCCTCACACTCTCGTCTTGTACAAAATGCATCATGCTTATAATTCCATAATCCTAGAAATCCGGGAACAAATGTCCCAACGCATCCGGTAGACCATCCCGACTGTACTCGCAGACATCGTTCTCCGGGTACCTCTCGAACTGACTGCTATCGCCATCCGCCGTCACCGTCGGCAGATACGGTGCCGGAATCTCCCTCCTATATAACCGATCCCAATCGACCTCTGCAAACCACATGTGACCAAAGATATCCTTGCTTCCCCTATGAAGGTTTCCGAAGCGCTTGCTCAAATCCGCCGTCAAGAGGTTCTTCAACAAATCCTTCACCCCCGTCTCAAAGTACGGTGGGTAGCGTACCTTGCAAGCGATGATCTTCTCATACAGCTTGATCGGGTTCCCGTCTTCGGTGAAGAACGGTGGGTGACCGGCCAACATCTCGTACAGCAGCACACCCAGTGCCCACCAATCCACGCTCTTGTTGTACCCCTTGCTCGATACGATCTCCGGTGCCAAGTAGTCCGGTGTACCGCACAGAGTCCACGTGACATCAGGGACGTACTTTGCAAAACCAAAGTCCGTAATCTTGAGATGTCCATCCGCCGAAAGCAAGATGTTCTCGGGCTTAAGATCGCGGTAGATGATGTTGTTCTGGTGCAGATAGTCGATCGCCAACGCAACCTCCGCCGCATAGAACTTTGCCACAGGATGCGGGAAACGCTGCGACTTGCGCAGCAGCGTGAAAAGCTCTCCTCCCGGTACATAGTCCATCACCATGTACAAGAAGGTAGGATCCTTAAACGTGCCCCACAGATTGACCAGAAAGGGATGACGTACGATGGACAGAATGGCGCGTTCGGAGTTGGTGTGTTCGACCTGCTTCATCTTGACCACCTGCTCCTTGCGAAGGACCTTGATGGCGTAGAATCGGTGGTTGTGACGCGAACGCACGAGGTGGACGCGTCCGAAGCTGCCGGTTCCCAGGGTGCGTTCGACGGCAAAGTCGGAGAGCGCATATCGACCGCTCAGCTTGCGTTGCTGAGCAGCGATGGCGAGAGGAAGGGCGGAGGAGCTGTAAGTGCCCGCAGAGTTGGCGCTGGCGACGTGAGTCGAAGCGCCGGTGGCACCACTCGCACCAGATGCCGGATGCTGTGATGAGGAGCCAGCCCCTGCTGCGGCTGCTGCTGCCGCCGCAGCAACGGCAGCTTCGTGAGTGGCCGAATAATCGGCAGGTTGATGTGGGATGGCCGACATGCTTTGAAAGAACGAATCCTGCTCGATTTGTGCTTGAAAATGAAGCGGGGCGCGGGCCTGGTTCGCGTGACGAGACGAAGCCAGCGGTGAGAGGTGGAGAAGCTTTTGAGGAGGTTGTTTGGGCGACGCAAGGTCGTCAGACGCCTTTCGCTTGATGGAGGTCAGTATGGCGAGAGAATGTAGTTGGTGGTGGTCTGCGAATGATCCGAAAATGCCAGAGATCAATGACACAACGCGAGATCAAAGATTGGCTGGTGAATGTGGCCAGCAATGGTAGTGACACCGTGCAGCGTCGATGATGGACGTTGTGGCAGCGACGATGATGATGATGAAGATGGGAAAGGTTGTCAATTCGATTGGTATGCGACTGAGACTGGAGAAAAGAGATGTAGCGGTGAGGACGAGAAAGAGGGCGGCGCGGATTGCGAGGTGGACCGTGTGTCGTTCCGGCTCCGTCTCGCTGTCTGTCTTGTCTGCGTCCGGCGTTTGCAGGTGCAGTTGCGAGAAAATGAAAAATCGGTGGCTTTTTTCAATTTGCGGGCGTGATCTGGAAGTTGGATCGCCATCTGCTCCTGCTGCTTCAGGACGGAAATTGTATTTCAAAATGAAAAAAAGAAATTCCGCTCAATTTAGCGCCGTTGCGAATCCGGAGCCCGCCTTTTGTCCTGTCAAGACTCTTGCATCGACAGTATGGCTCATGCTTCTCATTCTGGTCAGAGGACAGAACCACTTACCTTTATTGTGCATAAGCTGCTGCTTGCTTCCTTTCATGAACTGTGACAGCCCTTGAATAAGCGCGGAATGATGATCGTACCAGAGGCGGCGGCGCTGTCAGTAGCGAGACACGGTCTCGAAGCAAAAAAAAAAAAGAGCCTCGCTGTGTCTGGCTGGCTCGATTGTCGCGAGCTTGCTGTTGCAGTAGTGCAGCCCCGTAAGTTACTCTTGGAAGCGAGCTCTTGTTGGCTGGCGGGCTGACGGGCTGGCTGAACCTGCCGCATCCATAACGGATTCGAGCGTTGGCAAGACGAGCGAGGCCGAGGCTTGGTGGCTTCCTGAGCCAGAAAAGAAATGCCGAAAGCGGTCGAGAAAGACTGAACGCAAGCGAGGTTGCGCACGCGCCACTCCCACTTTGCTTATCACGGGGTTTGGCAATTTTGGAGATGCGTGTTACATCGCGGCGAAGTAACTGCTTCACCTAAATTTCATATTGACGATGATGGTCCGGCTCCGCGAAGTGCAACCGAGATGTCGGTGAAATCCTCCACACGCTGCCGCCTTGACGTTGGCCGTTCACCGTGCGCACCATCTTCACCTCTCACTATCGTTCATATCTGATCGCTTGCGAACAGGACGGGCCACAACGCAAGATCAAGAGTACCTAGCGTCCGTTCACGACCAAAGCTGCCTTTGTCACAGGCTATCTCGCAGCGGGCGTTCAATCGGCGTAATCAAGCTGAGCTTTGGCATCCATCCACTCGTCCATCAAATCCCAAGCTACACGACGAGCATCGCGACGCTCACACCCATCCAAACTCGACTAGACGAAGCAGCACGGCTCACATCATAATGTCGCTCCCACGCCGATCCTACGATCCCAGACGCGTCTGTCTCATTCCCCTGCCTCAACTCCCCGCCTTCATTCAAACCAGCAAGCGTCAGTTCGGCATCTACCTCTCCGGCGCGCTCTTCGCCCTTGGATGGTGGTTCTTCCTCGATGCCACCATCATCTCTTCCATGCGACGACGCACCCCCACCGACCCCACCATCCCATACGAACCACCAGCCACCTACATCACCTTTGCGGACTGGGTCCCCGGCCTCTGCGGTACACTAGGCATGATCGTCGTCAACCTCATCGACAAGCAGCATCTCACCGACGTCGGTGCCGCCTTCTCCTTCGGCGGTGGAGGAGGTGGTGGCTTCTCGGGTGACAGCGTCCAGTGGAGGGCGAGGCTGTTCTTGTTCATCGGGTTTGCATTGATGGCGGGAGGTTTGGCGGGAAGCATCACCGTGTTGACCGTCAAGTATCTGGTACCGTACTTGCCGGAGGGATACGAGTATTATGGCGTGGCTAATGTGGTTCAGAATGCCTGCATCATGAGTAGCACGGTGCTGCTCTGGTTGAGTCAGAATACGGAGAGCGAGTACGAGTACAACTTGACGCTCTGATAAATATACCAGCTCAACACGTCTGCTGGAGCGTCCTTTCGTAGGCGGGCTTTGAGCAGCTTGTCACGATGCAGGATCCACGATCCACGAGCGTCTCCCAGACGACTTACTCATCCTCCCACATTCCCATCGCAACCGACCCGGCACAGGCCAGACAGCCCAGGCTCGCATGTACATACTCCATTGCTTCTCTCCCTTCTCGTTTGCTCTTGTTACCGTCACGGCAATGCAACTCTTTCTGTTCGATAGCTGTTCGATAGCTTGGGTTCTGATCATTGTGACTCGGAAGCGCATGGCGCTGTAGAGTTGATTGCCAATGCCTCGTCACCTTGTTCACGGCGGCAGGTCTAGCATTTCTTGAGTCGTGTTAGGTTTGGAAAGTGGCCCCGGCTACACAAATTCAAGCGCCAAAATGGCGAGTTGCCGGCATAATGAGCGCACTTCCCCGGGTCGAATGCGATTTCCCCTCACACATACGACCCGACTTGCAGTCCTACTCTTCTTCCCATCATCTACCTCATCCCACCTTACTGACGAAGATGGCTTCCGCACCGGTACACATCCTCATCGTGGGCGCTGGAGCAGTCGGCTGCTTCTACGCCTCCAAGCTCCACCAACCGGACTCTTCGACTCCCGTTCTAGTCTCACTGGTCTGCCGATCCAACTATTCCACCATCGCCTCCTCTGGCGTATCTCTCGAAACGCATTCGTTCGGAAACTATCATTTTGCACCACACAAGGTGTTCCCATCGATTGCCTCCGCTGGGGAAGCGGGGATCAAGTGGGATTTTGTGGTCGTCACGACCAAGGCGCTTCCGGATGTGACCAACGATGCACACGATATTCGACCGCTCGTCACCAGAGGATTGGATGGAAGCTGCATTGTTCTGATACAGAATGGTGTGGGGATCGAGGAGGTTCATCGGGAAGAGTTTGCGGAGAATCCGGTGGTCAGTGCCGTCACGGTGATCAGTGCGGAACAGATCCGACATGGTGTGATCAAGCAGAACAGGTGGACTAGGATCACCATGGGTGCCTATACAAATGGACAGTCCAAACCGAATCAACTCGTCTCTTCCGAACACCTCATCTCACAGCTCACTCAAAACACAGATCATCACATCGCCAACCTGGTCGCGTGGTTCACAGCTACGGGGATCAAAGATGCAGAGCACGTCTCGGAGATCTCGCTCCAACAAACGCGGTGGCACAAACTCTGCATCAACGCCTCCATGAACCCTTCCTCCGTCCTCTCCGGTGGCACCACCAACTCTCGCATGTCTCTCGATCCGGAACTCCGCACCCACCTCAAAGCCTGCATGGATGAGATCTTCACCACCGCCCCTCAAATCCTAGGCATCCCATTCGATGAGAAAAAACACGCAAGTCCAGATCGAATCCTCAAATCGACAGAGCGCAACACAACCGGCAAACCCAGCATGTTGCTAGATTGGTCGGCGGAAAGACCGATGGAGTTGGAGGTGATTCTGGGAAATCCGATTCGGATCGCCAGGAGACAGGGGTTGGAAATGCACAGGTTGCAGACGCTGTATGCGTTGCTCAAGATGGCTCAGCTGAGGAGGAAGGAGGATCGAGCAGAAGCACAGAAAGCCAAGTTGTAGCAGAATTGCAATTTGAATTGGGGGTTTTTTTGGCTAGATGGATGTCCAACTTGATCTCAACGCTTCCAAGATACTCTTCAACCCGGGATTGGGTATGCCCAGGTGTGTTTCTAGACGTTGGATCTCTGCGCACGCCTGTGCGTACAGACGCTGAAGAACGTCGGTGGTGTAGTCGAACGAGTTGGTGACGTTGCGCATGTACGATACGGCGTACTGCTTGGTAGCCAGGTCGGTGGGACGTTGTTTGAGGACGTTGAGGATTTGTCTGTTGGCCGCTCCTGTTGCTCCTGTTGGCAGCACTTTGGGATTCGGAAGGTTGACACCGCCTTCTTGGGCGCTGGACCCAGATGTGGGTTCGGATGTGGTGGCGGATGTGGAGGTGATCTCGTGCGCGACGCTCGAGCGGATGGAGTGGATGATGGGGAAGCTGAATTTGCCTTCGGTGAGGTCTTCTGCGAAACCCTTGTTTTCGGCGTATTTGCTGCTTTGAAGGTTCATAAAGTCGTCGAGGATTTGAAACAGGAGACCGATCAGGTTCACCACGGGGATGAGATCTGGGAAGCCCGCTGCGGAGGCTGGTGGTGATTGTGAGAGCATGAGTTTGACCGCGATGCGAAACAATCCTCCGGTCTTGTTGTTGACCATCTCGACGTACTCCTCTTCGGTAGGGCAGATGAGGCTGTCCCTCCACAGAAGATCCATGCCCTGACCTCTGTGAAGGTTGATCAGTTCATCGACGACCAGCCTCTCCACCGTCGCCTTTGCCACACCCGTCGCCGTCGTTGTGCTCGGTGAAAGCGGCGGGGAATCTGTTCTGGCCGAGGTCGAGTCTTCGTTCATGCGAAAGATCTCGCTAAACACGAGAAAGTAGACATAGTTGGCGGTGTTGATCGTCTGAGGTACACCGTAGATCTTGTGTGCAACGGGAATACCTCGCCTGAGATCCGAGTTGTCCTCGACGTCGTCCATGAGGAGCGAAGCTGTGTGGAGCATACGTACGACATTGCAGATGGCATCGAGTTTGCGCGGGGGCACTTGTAGCCAGACGTTGAAGGCTTCGATGAGTTTGGTGCGCACCTCTTTGCCAGGGTTGGAGTCGAGGTAGGTGTAGGGCTCGAGGATGGCGTCTTCCTTGTCCGAGGGCCAGGGAGGCTGGGTGGAGAGGTGGGTGAGCATGGAGTTGTACCAGGAGGCGTCGCCGCCGGTGGTGGAGGAGGGGGTTTGGGAGAGGTTGGCTATGGATGGTCCTGGATGCGCCATCTTTGAGTTTGCTTCGAGCACCGAGATGCTCGACAGGGAGAGACAGAGGCGCTCTTTGCTTTGTGGCGAGACTGAGGGTGATGATGAGCGGAAAGCAAGTTGCTGTAGAGACAGGATCGAAAGGTCGAAGCTGCCAAAAGCGGTGTGGAGGAAAGCAATGGAATGTTTGAAAAGTGCAGTTGCCGATGCAGAGTAATCACGCTCCGAAGCTTCCTGGCATGCGGTCACAAGAGCAGGTTCAGGGTCCAAATATTTCGGTTCATCTCGCCAGTGTCTCGCCTGAAAAAGCACAACCGGTGGGTGTAAAATGGATCGAATCGATGGGAGCCCGATTTGGTTGCTCGTGGCAGCGAGTTCCGAGAATTTTTGCGAGAAGAAATGAGCCGATTTGTATTGATGGAAATGGCGCTTCGACCTATCTATCTCCTCGTCATCACCGACAACATTCACAAACACACCGATCGTTCATACAGCACGCTGCTGGCAGCTCTCACAGCGCAGATCGGACCTTGAAGTCATCTTGCTCGACTCGCATCTCCTCGACAGCACCAGACTGATCGTGCACGCACAAGGACGTCTCCAAGATGGACCCTACCAACCTCTTTGACACGCAGTTCGTCGTCAGCCAGATCGATCCAGATGGCAAGAAGTTCGACAGAGGTAGGTTTCATGGCTCAGCGATACGGTGCTTGGCTTTCCATTCGTCGTCGCATCGAGTGACTTGAAAAGCTGACACTCGCTCGTTCACTCCTTCCCTTCCGCCCACAGTCTCGCGTATCATCGCATCATCTCCATCACTCGACATGACGCTCTCGATCGACATTGCAACCGACGTATGGCCCGTAACAGAAGGCCAACAACTCACTTTCCAACTCGCGTCCACCCTGAAAAAGGAGAGCGCCTCCACCAAAGCCGATGCCGTCGACGGGGACGCACAAGACGCAGCAACGCAGGCGGCAGAACGCGATGCGTGGAGGCTCGATCAGCCTGGCAACGGCGGCATCGCAGACGACTTTGACTATGTCATGTACGGCAAGATCTACAGGTACGACGAGAAGGTGTCGGACGAGGTGACCGTGTACGGCTCATTTGGCGGGTTGATGATGGCGTTGACGGGCAACTTTCGCCATATGAGCAACATCACTATCGGCTCCAATGTGTACCTGCTCATGCGCTGAGAGGGTAGCTGTCTGATCATGCTGGTCAATGCTCTGGCGAGGAAGTGCACTGCAGTGGAAGCCGTCGCGTCGTGTTGTCGCCACGAACCAGCCTCGAATGCATCTGCTCATTCGGCACCATCTGCACCGCCATGGATGCCCGCTGGTGTCCGGTCTGCAGATCTGCTCTCACATACCGTACAGTAGACGTTCGCTTGGTAACATGCATCGCTTTCATCCACTGGCAGAAGGGATTACATCTACTGTATCACCTTGAACGTTCTCACAGCAGCCTCGACGCCATTCATTCGCTGTCCATTTTCTGTCCTCCATTTTCGATTTTCTCAGTTTCCAAAGACCTTTTGTACTTTTAGCCAGCCATTGCCAAAAACACAGATCATGTAGTCACATTTCTATCCTATCTGTGAATCTCATCCGTGCATCCATCGAGCCTGAAGTCTGATCGGTGCAGATGACCATGGAGCATCGAATGTGTGTATATTAGCAGCCAAGATCGATGCTCGTCGCCCTGAAAGAGATGAAGCGCCAAGAATAGGATTTGAGGCGGCGATGCCACGTTTGCTAAATAAGCTCGGATTTTCCTGGCTGATTCCGGTCCACCGGAATGGCAGAGCGCGTGTTCTGGCGCTGGCGTTGGCGTGTGATGTGTTGGAAAGGCACGGACTTTGGAATCGAGACGCGACATGCACATGCAACTCAGACTTGGCACCTTGACTTCGGCTTTCTTCTCGTCCTTCTCTTAAAATCTTTGCAGCAGCAACACCTGGTTCCATATCATTTGGCATCGCAGACAATGCTGACATAGCCGTCTGGGTAACGGTGTATCCTCCATAGCAGCTAGTGGCACCAACAGCGCCAAGCTACGCTCACCCATCATGGCTGCCGCCAACCGGTACCGCTCTGTACCCACATCGGAATACGACATACAAACAGCGCCAATACCACCGTCCACATCGCAACTACCACCACCAGATCAGTTTGCGTTCAGCACCACGCTCCGCAAGGCAAACCCGGACGAGCCTTACGTCGGCGCTGCATCAGGTCACATCGCATACCCACCGCATCGTGCCACGGGTCACAAGCCAAACGCATCGGACGCTTCCTTTCGTCCAGCAGCATCGATCGACCTTCACCACTCTTCAGCGCCCTCGTCGAGCGTCTCAGCATCAGCTCACTACACACACCTCTCGGTGCAGCAATGTCTCGAGAGCTTGCACTGTCCCTCGCTCGACACCGGTCTCTCACCGCTCCTGGTCCACGAGGCGCGTAGAGAGGCGGGCGGATACAACGAGTTCGCCGTCCGTGCAGGAGACGAGCCCTGGAAAAAGTTCCTCGCGCAGTTCCAAGAGCCGCTCATCCTCCTGCTCCTCGGCAGTGCTGCAGTCAGCTTGCTCATCGGCCAGATCGATGACGCCGTCAGCATCACCATCGCCATCGTCATCGTCATCAGCGTCGCTTTCTACCAGGAGCAAAAGTCTGAAAAGTCGCTCGAGGCGCTCAACAAGCTGGTGCCTCACTACTGCCACCTCGTCCGTGATGGCGTCAACTCAAGCGTGCTCGCCAACGAGCTGGTTCCCGGCGACGTGGTCACGTTCAGCACCGGTGATAGGATACCAGCCGATGTGAGGATCTGCGAATGTGTCTCGCTCGAGGTGGACGAGAGCACTTTGACAGGGGAGATCAAGCCCAGACGAAAGCATGCGGATATAGTGCCTCGAGCAGCAGGCGAAACTGCCGCAAATGGCAGTGCCAACGGGTCCAACGCCAATGGACACGCGGCCGCCAACGGCACCCATGACGATGTCGCACACTCCACAACATCCATCAACGAACGCGAGAACATCGCCTTCATGGGTACTCTGGTCAAGTCCGGTCACGGCAAAGGCATCGTCGTCGGCATCGGTGCCACCACCGAGTTTGGCATGATCTTCAGCATGGTCGATGAAGTCGTCGAAAAGCGCACCCCACTCCAGCTCAGCATGGACGAGCTCGCCAAGAAGCTCAGCATCATCAGCTTTGCCGTCATCGCCGTCATCTGTCTCATGGGTGTATGGCAACGACGACCGTGGCTCGAGATGTTCACCATCGGCGTTTCGCTCGCCGTCGCTGCCATCCCAGAAGGCCTCCCCATCGTCGTCACCGTCACGCTCGCGCTGGGTGTACTGCGCATGTCACATCGCAAGGCCATCGTCAAGAAGCTTCCCTCTGTCGAGACGCTCGGTTCGGTCTCAGTCGTCTGCTCAGACAAGACGGGCACGCTGACGACCAACGAAATGACGGTCACAAAATGCTGGACCGCCGAGGACGACATTGTCGATGTGGCTCAGCACATGTCTCACAGGCACACGCAAGCGCTTTCGAGGCTGCTGCTAACAGGGAACCTGTGCAACAACTCGCACAGGAACGAGCTGGGCACCAACGTGGGGCAAGCGACCGACGTCGCCTTGGTCAACATCCTCAAGGTGTTTGGATTGGAAGACCAAAGACCCTACTTCAAGCGGAGCTCGGAGGTCGCTTTCGATTCAGAGAGCAAGTTCATGGCGGTGACTGGCGTGCTGAGCACAACAGGTGCTGGCACAGCTGAAGCAGTGTACGTCAAGGGTGCTTTCGAGGTGGTGCTGGCCAAGAGCAGTACAGTGTTGGGCGCAGACGGATCGCCGCAACGACTGGACGAAGCGTCGAGAGGGCGGATAACGCAAGCAGCCGAGAAGCTTTCGAGCCAAGGGTTGCGTGTGGTGGGATTTGCATCAGGTTCGAGCGGCAGTCTGGAACAGCGCACATTGACCTTTTCGGGTCTGCAAGCCATGCAAGATCCTCCACGACCTGGAGTCAAGGAAGCCATCGCTTCGCTTGCACGTGGCGGTGTCCAAGTGGTCATGATCACCGGCGACTCGGAGGTCACTGCTGTAGCCATGGCCAAGCAGCTCGGAATTTTGTCATCCTCCGCTTCGTCGACATCATCCGTCCTGACCGGGCGTCAGATTGATGCGCTGACCGAACGGCAGTTGCAGGAACGCATCCCCTCGATCTCAGTGTTCGCACGCACTACACCTCGGCACAAGATGTCGATCATCTCGGCGCTGCAATCCAGCGGTGCCGTTGTAGCCATGACGGGAGACGGTGTGAACGATGCACCTGCGCTCAAGATGGCCGACATCGGAATCAGTATGGGCAGAGGAGGCACGGATGTAGCCAAAGAAGCGGCGGACGTGATTCTGGTCGACGACAACTTTGCCACCATCCTCGCGGCTGTCGAAGAAGGTAAAGGGATCTTTTACAACATCCAAAACTTCCTCTCGTTCCAGCTGTCCACTGCGGTTGCAGCGTTGACGTTGATCACCTTGAGTACAGCGTTTCGACTCAAGTTGCCTCTCAATGCGATGCAGATCCTCTTCATCAACATCCTCATGGATGGACCGCCGAGCCAGAGCTTAGGTGTGGATCCGGTGGACAGGAAGAGCGTCATGTCACGACCGCCGCGTGCCAAGAATGCTCCGGTGCTCAACAAAAGGCTTCTGTACCGCATCGCATTCAGCGCAACAATGGTGGTGTTGGGAACGCTGTACATCTACATCCACGAGCTCGTTCCCGTCGACATCGAAGTGCCCACCTCACCCGACGGCATACACACGTTCGAGATGAAGCCAGGTGCGAGGATAGCAGATCAAAGGGATTCGACGATGACGTTCACCTGCTTCGTGTTTTTGGATCTGGTATCTGCGGTTCAGAATCGTGGATTGTATACTCCGATCGGAGCGAATAGGATGTTGGGTTTAACGGTGAGCATCTCGTTGGTGGCTCAGTTGGCGATGGTGTACTTCCCACCGCTGCAGGGAGTTTTCCAGACGACGGGGTTGGCGTTGGCGGACTTGGTGTTTTTGGCGATGATCGCGGGCGTCAGCTTTGGACTGCACGAGGTGAGGAGGACGTGGGAGAGGAGGGTGGCGGATGAGGAGGTGAAGGAGTTAGTGTCGAGTGGCGCTGGCGAGTGGGCTTAGATGGGATCAATAGATGCCCCGACTTTGGATCAAAGGATGCTCTCATGTGAGTGCCATCTAGAAGAATGTAGCATGTGTGGTCGCGATGTGTGAGTCTAGAGTGAAATGGTGCGAGTTGTTTTTTTGGAGGAGGTGGGCCAGAAATGTTTTAATTAAATGTTTTTATTTTTATTATGGGTCGCACGGACAGTTGAGAAGAAGCAAAGCACAGATTGACAGGCATAGAATGTCATAGCTCTTGCACACCATCATCGCCATCGCTGGACCCTAAGTTCCTACCGACACCCTCGAGCGTCTGGACCGGGCGGGTCTACATTCGCTTCGTAAATCACTAGACACTGGCTGGAAGACACACACAAAGCGGACCGATGATGCAGCACTCTTAGCAACCTCTGGCACCTCCGGATTCATCACCCCAATTACCCCGTCACCACCATGTCTGGACCGTCATCCTCGATCGCGGGACCATCGACCACCCCCGAGGTGCCGCTCACCATCGAACCGGTCCACATCTACCACACTCCTCAACCCACTCAAACCCATCACCCTTCGTCGCTGGATATGTTCGACCGCGAACCCGCGTTGCACGACATCACCCCCTCCGGAACCAACATCTTCCAACCGCGCAAACCCGCCGCCGCCCAGCTCAGCGAAGACGTGCTTCGCCTATGGAGTGAACGAGGAGACTTTTCGCGCTTCCAAACATCTTCTTTGCTCGCGAAACGTCCACACTCCCCCTCGTCCTCGAGCAGTGGCGATGACGATTCACCTCGTCCTGCTCTCGAACAACAGGATGAGCTGACGCGCGGAGGGAATGAGAAGATCGGAGGAACCATTGCGGAAAGCGAGTTCGTCAAGCTACGCAACACCGTACTCGGCAACCTCGACGTGGCACACTTCAATTCGATCCATGCACATCAACTGCTCGGAATGTTGATCAAACAACATCGTTCCACGATACCCAGCAATACACTGGCAGGCGGGGGTGGGGGAAAGATGGGTTCGCCAGCACCGAGTGTTTCCGGACAATCTGCACGATCGGGCTCCACCACCGCGGCCGTCACACCAGCTGTGACGAAGGCACCTCTGGGGATATTCGGTCATCTCAACGCTCAAAAGGCGGAAGAAGAGTTCATCCTCGATCCGCTAGCCATATCCCTCTCGCGGACCTCCCTCAACCCTAATACTACCCGGAAGAAGGAGAAGGAAGAGGAAGACGAGGAAGAGGACTTCGATGTGGATCCGACCTCGGCAGAGTATGCGCTGAAACAGGCCTCCAAAGAGCAAGAGTCTGCGCCGGGGTACAGAGAAAACCAGTTGAAGGAGTTCAAGATTGTGCTGGAGACCAAGAGGAAGGCGATGGAGAGTGCGGCGGAGCTGCTGAGTGCGGCAGCGGGGGAGTTGAGGAGCGGACAGGGGGCGAATAGGGAGAGGTGGAGGGGGTTGATTGGGTTGTATGGGAGAGGATGGGGGGTTACACCTGGAAGGCCGTTGTTGGATGTTGAGAGGTTTGGGGTAGCGGGGGGAGATGATGAGGAAGATGGTGAGGTGGTGGAAGGTGGAGAGTCAGGAGAAGGGAAGGAGGTGAAGAGCAAGAAGAAGGATGTGAAGCGGAAGGAGGGAAAAAGGGAAAAGGCGACAGCGGCTGGATTGCAAGGCTTCGGAACACCCATCATTACATCGGATGGCAAAGTCAAGGAAGAAGGTGCGCGCGACGCGTGGATCGGATTCGGCCTCCCCGAAGCGCCGATCGAGCTGCGCAGGCGAAGTCTCGCCTACTGGGCCGACCTACCCAGCAACCCCAGCGATCCCGCTGGGTTGACAGCCGAAGAGGTCAAACGCAAACTCGTCTTCCCGGATCGAATGCATCGTCGTCTCCGAGTCAGGTTCGTTCTATGGCCTCCTTCATCCGACGGAAAGCATCAGCAAGACGATCGAATCGAATGGTCCTCCGATCCCATCCCCTCAAAGCAAGAGGCAGCACCGGTGGCACTTGGGCACGTACTGGATCAGGAGCTGCAACAAGCGTCACGAGAGGCGACCGACGAATTGGTTTTCGGGGATGTCGTGGCGCAGGCGAGGTTGTTGCCTCCGACGTTTGGGGTGAGGTTGACGTCGAGCTCGGTGCGGATCGTGTTGACCAAGAGGTTGGATTGTGTGGTCGAGCTGGTACCTACTGGCAAAGACGATGGTCCAACGGAGGATTCGTCTCAAAAGGAAGCCGGGGAGCCGAGCAGGGAAGCAAGGTACGCGCCGCACGCAGCGCTGCTACTAGCATTCCTGCGGATGGGACCGCTTCGCAAGTACCACGCCTTCGTCAGCGCAACACACGAAGCGAGGAAAGCAGATGCGGCTGCGCGTGCAGCTGCGATCAAGGCTGCTGCACTATCCGTGCCGAAAAAGTCCAACGCCGCAGGATCGGCGGAGGCAAGTGCAGCGAGTAAGACCGAGGCTGCGACCGGCGGGAAAGGCGGGGTCGGCGCGGGGGGTCGTTCGACCAGCGCTGCGTTGTGCAAGCTCGACTCGGTGGGTCCCGTTCTGGTTGGACTTCACTACTGGTCCTTCGTCCACCGTCTGGGTAGCGTGCTACGGGATGTTCAGGAGAAAGCGCTTCAGCGTGGACTGAAGGTTTCCATCCAACTCATTCCCCTGACCGTCCCATCCACAGCCGGTGGTTCGGCGAGCCTGGCACACCTCACCTCGACACTAGCTCAGATGTTCGACGCAACCGCATCCCACCCTTACCCCACCACGCCGAACACCGAGAGGAATGCAGCCAACATCCATTCGATCTACACGTCCCCCGATCAAACCGCACTGTCCGCACTCAAGGGACACGCCAAGATCTTCGTCGCTACGCAGAGTGGTGGTGCGCGGGTGGCGGGGAACAGGTTGGTGTGCACGTGCAGCTTTGCTCAACCGAGCTTGCTCAGCGTCCAGTTTTCAGGTGGTAGAATGGGGAAAGGCGTGGCGTTGACGAACAAGCCGCTGGCGGTAAATTTGGACACGTTGCGTGAGCTGGTGGAGAAACAGCTGGGTCAGCTCTGAAGGGTGATCCTCGTCGGGACAGTGTCGATAGCTTGACACCTGCATACGAGGAAGTGACGATGTAATTTGATATTTGCAGAATGAATTGCGTTCGACACTGCAACGCTGTACAAATGAGACCTTTTTGTGAAGAAGAACCTCCTTCCACCTGCGCATTCAGAAACGCTTCATGTTCTGCCTCTTCTGATACTGCCACGCCAACATCCCCAACGCTCCTACCGCAGCCAAAATCAACCCCCACTTGATCAGGAAAAAGATGAACCCAAACACACCCTTGACAAAGCCAACGAATCCTCCTCGTCCAGCTCCACGACCGCTCTTGCTGCTGCTGCTCGAAACGTCGCTCGAGTAACCCTTGGTGTTGCCACCGAAGGACCATCCCTTCTTCTTTGGTTTGACGCCGAACTTTTCGGGGAAATGACGGATCCTCTCTTCCCTTAACTGCTGCGGTGTGCGGTTTCGGTAGACGATGTTGCTGGTGGTGATGGAGACGACGTCGTGGTTGTCCGAGACGTCTCCCGTCAAAGCTGAGAAGCCGAGGTAGGGGTTTGTGGGTAGAGTGATGTTGTCGAGCTTGAAGCAGGATTCCCAATGATCCCATTCGGTGTGATGAACCAACAGCTCGGTATACACGTCCTTGACGTGGACCAGTTTACCCTTGGTAGCCACCTTGGCGTTTCTGTAATCGATCGAACATCCAGCGACTTCCTGCCTAGCACCATCCTTGTCGTTCTCGTACGCCTCTACACCGTTTCCGTTCATCAACGAGATGCGTGGGAACGAATAGGGATGCCTCGAGTTCGGATACGTGTCGAAGAACAACCCCAACCCGGTAAAGTAGTTGACCGAACCAAACACCGGTCCTGGCTTGGCCCTCTCCTGCGCAAGCCACACAGCCATGCCATCGCCAGCGACGTGCGACGCGTGTCCGTCGATCTTGAACTCGAACACGATCTCAAAGTTGTCGGCGGTGAGCGGAAGACGCGACCAGAGCCAGCCGGTCTGGGAGGTGCGATCCTGTGTGAGACGGATGTGCTTGTTGGTGTCGACGATGGCGTCGGCGCCAAAGTCCCAGAACTTGTTTTGGAGGTTGGAGTCGACGTAGGGTGCGTAGAGCGAGTGGGAGCGGAGGGGGACGATGGCGTCCGAGTCCATTTCGCGCATCTGGATGTTTTGGGATGAGGCTGATGTGGGGGAAAGGAGGGCGAGCAGGGTGAGAAGGAGCGAGAGGCACATGGTGAGCAGACGTGACATCGTTGCTGATGGTGATGTGGGTGTCGAGGCCATGGTGGGCACGGCTTTTGGTTTGGGATTGCGCACCGGGCGCGAAAGGGTGACGCCAGATAGATCAGCCAGTGATCGGCAGGCGCTGAGGTGTACGCTGCACTTGTAGCTTTCACCGATCCAGACCAAGTATCGGAGCGGAAAGGTACAGGACTGAACGACTCGCTGACGACGATGATGATGATGAGGTCGTGACGATCTCGCCGAGAAGAAAGGTTGTTCTCGCTGGCGCGGTGAAACACACACACGTTCGTTGTCGTCCACGTCTGTGCGACCTGCCAAGCCCTATTCGATGCTTGAATTCTGTCTTTGTTAAAGCTACATATGACATTCAAAGAGAGATGTTAGACCGAAAGATACATGTGGATACCGGGAAAATAAGGCTGAAATTTGAAAAGCGTTTCGAGCTGTGCGATTACGAGATTGGGCATACGATTCTGACGAGCCGGAAACGAGCAGACCGGATCCAAGCCGATCGGTGGCTGCTCGCTCCTCACTCATCCGCGAAAATCCGCCGTTTGGGTCACGATCCCGATGCTCGACGCCCGACAGCGAAGTTTGAGTTCAATTCGTGCTCGACTTTCTCTTGAAACCTGGCTGAAATACTGATCATCTGTGGCTTGCCGACAGTCAGTCAGCTAGAGCCAGCCGAGCCAGGGTCGACTTGACCCGCTAAGAGCGACGGCTACCTCAAAGGCGAGACCTCTTTGTGCGGTCTGGCCTTTCATGAAATTTCATCTTTACGCTGCACCTGACTGTGTCGTCTCCACTAGCCAACCAATCAGCAACACACCGACACGAGCAGCGCATCCTTCGTATCGCAGTCCGAACAGCAAGTTTGCCTGTTTCAAGGTTTCTTGTTGCACCACATCATCCCTCCCTACATCTTGTTCGAAAGTATCGACGTCGCTCAAGCACTTTGTCGCCGCCCCGGGCCTTGCAGAGGGTATCCAAGCTGGCGTGCACAGTCGCATAAAGCCCACGTCTCCTGCGTCCAACTCGCCTCATCGCCGACCCACTTCTAGCCCCATCGGTGAGCAGCGACCCGGGCGACAATCGATCGTCGGAACACTACCATCTCAACACCCGCTCTTCTATTCTGCAGCCATCTTTCCGGACATCCCTCGAGACTCGCTCGCTCTCAAGCCTCGTCCCACTCTACCTGCTCGCCTTGTTCCGAATCGATCGCCTTTTCGGTCCCACACCGAACTCGAACTCGAACTCGAACTCGAACTCGAACTCGAACTCGGCTCCGGCTTCGGTCGTTGCTCTCTCGCCGCGCAACATTCTGTCGTCGGCGTTGCTCCGATCCTCTCGCATCAACTCTGCCTGCTCTAGCGCCGGCCGCTGCATATCCACCATCCCTTTCGATCACAGCCTTGGGCTCGCGTCTGGCCGTATCACGGCCTGCAGGCCCTCCAATCACCCTCGCCAATCGTCCTGCAGCACCATTCTGCACACGCAGGACTTCTCGGCCCTTTCACATCTCCTCGGCTACTCCGCTCCTTCCTTGCGCTGTGACCACAATTCATCATGACAACTCGCATCCCGCCCTACGACATCCCCGAGCCAACTCCTTTGACCAAGGACGAGGTACGGCAGAAATACGCCCGCTTCGAATCGCTTCGAGCGCAGCTCGCTGCCTCCAACTTTCGCGGCCAGCTCGCCATTCGCGGCGAACCTGTATTTGCAAAGAGCATCACCATCTTCAACGATGCTGCTCCTCTTGGTGGCTGGATGGTCGCCATCCCCCTCGACGTTCATGACATTTCGACCGTCGTCAAATTCTGCAACCTACACTTTCTGTCACCCTCCGTCAAGTCGGGTGGATTTGCAACTGCTGGCTGGGCTATTCAGGGCGAGGTCGTCATCGACACTTCCTTGATGGACGATGTCAAATTGGTGGTGCCCAAGCGGTCGGCTGCCGACGGAGCATCAGACATGCACGATCCTGATTCTTCGCCCTTGACAGTGCCCGCTGTTGGTCCGGCTGCCACCTATCATCCAACGGGCATGTGCGCCAACGGCTCCGATGATGCCTCTTCATCGTCGTCCAACCCGTCGTCGTCACAACCCATCCCCAGCCTCGGGCTGGCGCCGCCTGCTTCGTCCGCATCGACTGCCATTGATCCCATCACTGCTCATACAGACGCAGACTCGATCACATTCCACAGCGACTCGGTCAGCGCGGCAGACCGACAAGTCACGCAGCAGATTCACAACCCATTGGCCACTCCTATTCAGGACCAGGCCACCAAGACTGACATGCCCAAAAGCGAATCTGAAGACATCGATCCACAAGATGCCGTCACGAATGCTCTCAAGCGCAAAGCTCGCGAGTCGGACCAAGCTTTCGTTGGCTCCTCTGACGTCGCAAGCGTGGGCGGCGCCGCCGCCTCCGCAGCCAAGCGCAGGGCCGACTCGCTCGTGCCACCCGAGGAAGCCGACATCAAACCGCAACCCATGCAGCAGGGTCAAAGCCACGAAAGCGGCGCAGACGCCGACAGCGAGAGCTCCTATGCAAGCTCTCACAATTCCGACCAACAAGCGCAACATGCTCAGCAGCACGGCTCCAGATCAGATCGCATGCAGTCCTCAAGTGGCGGGAGCAATTCTCGCAGCGTCGCCGCGACAAGAAGCGACTTCCTCAACGCCTCCGAGCCCCGTGACTCTGCACCGCTGTTTCCCACTTCTGGCTCGGCCTTTGACTCCGGCTCTGGATCCTCTTCATCTCTCACACGCGCCGCACCCGTTCCCGCCAGGGCGTGGGTCGACCGCCAGCTTGACTTGTCCGGCAACGCTTCTGATTCGCCCAGCGGCAGCAATTCCGGTTCCACTGGCGGCACAAGCTCGTCTCATCTCGCCTCGAGCCTCACTTCGGCGTCCAAGCAGTCTACCGGCAAGTCTTCCGGCACCGGCGGAAACCATGTGGATGGCAAGGCAGACGGTGGTGCTGACGAGGGCGTCACCACTGACGGCGTAGGCGACGAGAGGATGCCTTTCAAGCGTCCGTCGACGATCCTTCTGCCCGAGAGCGAGGCCATGTCCGCGACACAGCAACGCCGATCCGCGCGCTCCGTCTCTGGCTCAGGGTCTGGATCCGCTTCGGATTCGAGTCGACGCCGACGCGATATGGCCGACAGTCGAACTCCTGATGATTGGGACACCAACGCGAGCGCGGAGCATCTGCGATGGCATCGACACCATCGCCCGCCATCGGGCACGCTGGGAGAGAGGCTCAAGCTGCCCGAGGGTGGCTTCGTCTGGCGAAGCGATGGCGCGGATGCTGGCATCTCGAGCGTCTCGGCCATTCCTGGCTCCTTGCCCTGGGACTCGACAGCGTTCGCAGCGAGTCCCGAGGCACTCGCGGCTACACGAGCCACGTCTCGTAGCTCTCGCTCCTCGTCAAACGAAGGATCGTCCAGCGAGCTGGAGACGGGTCGTACGAATGGATCGGGTTACTTTGGTGCATCAACGCTCAGCGATCTGCAAGACGCTTGGCCTTCGGGCACGTGGGCGGTCAACTCGGATGTCAACAACGACGCCAACTCGAACCTGCCGCGCTTCATCCCTTCGCCATTGCAAAAGTACGGCTCGCCTTCTCCGACGCCCCAGCCACAGGACGCTAGCAATCCGTACGTGTTCGACGCTCGGCCCGAGGGTTATCACAACGTAGCTTCGGCCATCCTGCCCCCTGGTCTGTACGAAGACCGGTACGCCCTGGCAAGTTTCGGACCAGGAGTGGGCATTCGCGGTCTGGACGCCTTCACCGATCGGGCGGGACGCGAGGGCAACTTTCTGGCTGCTCAGGATGAGAAGGCTAAAGGCAAAGGCAGGCAAGTAGAGCAGTCGGATGTCTGCCCTCCACTGGTCGTCAATGGCGTGCCTTACCATGTGCCCGTCTCGGCATATCCTGTCGGATCCACCGCCATGACGACAGGTGGATTCGGCTACCTGACGAGGGCGTACGGCCTTTCGCTGGACAATATTGTCGAGGTAGAGATGGTCCTAGCCGACGGCAGCATCGTGACGCTCAACGAAGAGTCAAAGACCAAGACGCAGCGGGATCGGGATCTGTGGTGGGCGGTCAGGGGTGCAGCGCCGTGTTTCGGTATCGTCACGCGGCTCACTGCCAAGGCATATCCGGTGCCGTCGGTGTACTCGGGCAACCTGATCTACCCGCTCAACCCTGCAACGGCGAGCTCGTTGATTCGGCACTGGCGCGACTGCCTGAAAGCGGGGCTTCCACGAAAGTTTTACACCAACCTGATCCTCACTGCAGGGCCGAGCAAGACGTCACATGTGATTGTGATTCAAGTGTGTTACTTGGGTCCCAAGTCGGATGGCGAGGCGCTCGTGCAGGCTATCAGTAGCTGGACGGGCGAGCGGCTGTTGTTGAAGGATGTCGAGGAGCGAAGTTTCCTGTCGCAGCAGGACGGGGTTGCTAAGGTGCTCAAGGGTGGAACGGGAAGGAGGTGGATGGTGCGCGGAGATTTGATCTCGACGTTGACGGACGATGTGATCGCCAAGAGCGTGCGCAATTTCCAAGGACTGGGGAGCAGAGCGGTGTGGTTGTTCGAGCTGATGGGCGGAGCTGTGGAGGACAGTGCGGCGGACGAGACGTGCATTTGTCCGGAAGCGCGCGCTGCCAAGTTTACGGTGGGATCGCTGCAACAGTGGAGCGGCAAGGAGGAAGACAGGACGTGCATCGAGAGCGTCGAGCGGTGGTTGAACGAGGTGGTGGACAAGGTGAGCGTAGGTGGACCCTACCCGTGCTTCTTGGGCAGGTCGGAGCGTATGGATCGCGTGATCGGGGCGTACGGTCTGGACAACTTCAAGCGGCTGTTGGAGATCAAGAGGAGCGTGGATCCGGGCAACATGTTCAGGCACACGTTTGGACACGGGTTTGTGGTGGATGATCCGGCTAAGGTGCTGGAAGAGCTCGAGGAGAGGCAGACAGCGAGGAGAAGCATGCAGCAGCAGCAGGCGCAACAGGCGGGCCAGTTGAGCGGCTCGAACGGGTTGTCCGAGGAAGCGTGAGGCCATTCTCTCTTGCTCATATCAGTCGTGAAATAGATTTCCATGCACATCAGGTGCTTGTTCATGAGACATATGGAGCGTTTGAGTGAAGCGAACAGCGCCGGCCGGACTAGTTTGTCGCAGGAAGCGTGAGCTGCGGTGCCTGGCGTTGGCTTTTGCTCAAATAGAACTATATGTCCGTACCCGATAAGAACTTGTCTGTGAGACACATGGAGTCATTTATGAAGCGATAAGCGCTGTGAGCTACGATACCGATACCTCGCTAGCACTCGTCCTCATACCAGTTGTGGAACAGATCTCCATGCATATCAGGAGCTTGTGTCTCAAGAAGGCTCCGACTTGGAATTGAGCCGTCACAGTCGCGAGGAGGCCGGAAACGCGCGAACGCGGTTTTTGCGAGCCGAACAATTGAGAAAGTGCGGAAATCGGAATTTAGAAGACCGACGCCGAATTGGCAGCTCGCCCCCGCGTAACTGTGTACCTTTTTCCCGGCTTTTGCCAATCTTTCCTTTCCACCATCATTATCAACAACAACGACTACGACCATCACGCACATTGCCGTGACGATTTTCGACCGAGAGATCGGCAAGGTCACGAACGAGTCTACCGAAGGGAAACGGATCCACCCAGGGGGAGGTCACCGGCTAGGTGGATCAGCAGCGAACGAGCGAGCCCCACACACTTGATCAGCGTGGACGCGTGATTTGGAACATCGTCAGGTGGGGACGGCAGCAGAGGTATAGATTGTTCTGCGTTGTGACTGCTTATTGCTCCACTTGAATCGCGCTGGGATCACGCTGGAGCATCTGCTGTCTCACTGGACGCACCGGCTCATCTTTAATGGACGCAACACCAGCTCGACCCTCTTCATACAGACACATGATCCGGACAGGAACATCAGAGCTCTCCCTCGGCTCATTTACCTGACTCCCACCTCATCATGAAATATCTGCTCCAGGCGATCGAAGCCAAGCGAGCTTCGGTCAAGCTTGGCGATGCCGAACTTCGACAGCTGCTCACCGAAGTCTGCAAGGGCCGCGATGAACGCGAGGAATTCCTCGAGTCGATCGACAGAATCGTCACCGAGCTCAAAAACTACAGCGAGCATTCCACCGCCTTCCTCTCCAAAGTGTCGAAACGCGATGCGCCCGACTACTACGACGTGATCAAGCACCCCATGGACCTCGGCACCATGCAGAAGAAGGTCAAATCCGGACAGTACAAGACCAAGAAGCAGTTTGCTCACGATCTCAATCTGATCTGGGACAACTGTTTGCTGTACAACTCGGATCCGACGCATCCACTGAGGAGGAATGTGGCGTTTATGAGGAAGAAGGCGGATCATCTGTTGGAGTTCATCAGTGACAAGAGCGATGTGAAGGACGCGTTGGTGCAGTGGGGGACGCCGGTGACAGCGACCGTCGAGGTCGGCGCGAAGGCGGCGGATGGAGTGATTCCGCCAGCAGCAGCAACGGAGGCAGCGACAGTGAAGGAGGAAGGCAGGAAAAGGAGGAGAAAAGGGGATGAGGTCAAGTTTGAAGATCAGGAAGCGTTCGTCAGGACGCCACAGAGTATGATGGAGTTCGCGAGGATCGACGCAGGTTTGAGTTTGGTAGAGGCGAATGGAGTGGCGGGACCAAGTTCCAGACCCATGCTGATGGCGCCCGTTGAAGCGATGGATCGGGTGAAGAGGGATGCCGAGGAGGAAGATCCGCTCAGTGCTGTACTCGGATCCATCTTCCAGCCGCTGTTGGGTGAGAAGGGAAAGGAGAAAGCGACGCCGGAACCTCGATCGCAGTCCCAGCCGCCGTCGCAGGCTCCGTCTCATTCGGGCTCCACGCCTGCTCCACCGGCCAGCGTGGACGTGTCGCCGTTGGATGCTTCAGCCCTTTGGTTCACCGTCACTGGCTCGCATCAGCTCATGTCCGGTGCGCTGCCGGCGTTGCCTTCGTCCGCGCTTGTCTCAGCTTCAGCGGAAGAAGGACTTCCGAGCAAGGGAAAGAAGCGCAAGAAGCCGTTTCATCTCGTCCCTGCAACACGGCGAAAAGGTCTTCAAGGCAAAGTAGCACGCAACATCCGTACCCTGCACAATGTGCAGTCCACGCACGCCAAGTTCCTGTCGCTCGCGCATTTCGTCGAGAACGAAGCGCCCATCCCGGCCTACCTGACATCCATGTCGTCGGACGAAGAGTCGGATTACCCTTCCGATCCGGAAGACACGCCTCCTCATCATCAACACATCAACGGCACCGCTGCAGCACTCCGCAACCCGCTCGCTCGAATCTCGGCGGAATCCGCGCGCGATCACGCCAGCTACAACGTCCGCATGATGCTCTCCCACGCCGGCTTCGAAGGCGGTCATCGATGCGCCGTCGACACCATCACCGACGCGCTCGGCGAGTTCCTCGGAAACATGGGTCGCATGCTCCGCATCTACTCCGACCGCTACGCCTCCTCGCTCTCCGCCGAAGAGATGATCCTGCACACGCTCCAGGAGTGCGGCAACTTTTCCGTCGCTTCCCTCGAGAACTACATCCGGAACGACGTGGAGCGGTACGGGACGAAGATGTCCGAGTTGCTGCGGAAGCTGAGGTCGAGTTACCGGGAGCAGTTCAACATGAGCACGGAGAGGGGGGTGGTGGAGGACGAGGCGCTGTTTGCGGATAATGGAGAGGCACTGGTGGCGGGTGGGTTTGCGGAGGATCTGGGAGACGATTACTTTGGATTTAGGGAGTTGGGGCTGGATAGGGAATTGGGGATGAGTGGGTTGACGGTGCCGACGAGGCTGTTCTACGGGAGGGGGAAGGGTGGGGTTTCCGCTGGTGGTGCGGCAGGTGCAGCTGGTAGACCCGGTGGGATCAAAGTTGAGGTTTTGCCGTATCCGCCCCCACCCAACCCAGTCGAACTCGTCGCCGCAGCCATTCCGGAACAGATCGGCCTACTGCAACCGTTCTACCAGGAGAAATTGCGGGAACACCGTCAACGCTGCAAACACGCTCAGGAGAATCCCCCCTCCACCACTACCAAGGAACAGGACGCACAACAGCAGGATGGAAAAGAAGGAGAAGAAGGAGAGGAGCCAGAAAAGGTGGATCCTGTGGTGGTGACGAACACGTTGCCGGATCAGGAGCAGGAGAAGCAGAGGTACAAGGTGCCCCCGACGGGCAAGATGCCGAGGAGGATGATCTGGAGTGCTGCGGCGGAGAGGAAGCAGGCGGCGGAGAGGGTGGCGGCGGAGAAAGCGGCGAGTGCGGCACAGGTCGCCATGTCGACCGGTGGAGTTGCGGTAAGTGGCGGTGGCTCAGGTGGGAAAAGTGGTGCGGGGATGAAGGATTCCAAGCTGGGCAAGAAGAGCATTGCTGCATGAATGTATAACCATTGGATCTGCAATCACATTTTCGTCTGCTCTCTCTCTCTGCGATACAGTTTGATACGAGTTTCAGTCAATCCGACGCGGGGAGCTTCTGCAACGCTCCTCCATCCACCCTCATAGTGCAGCCGTTGGCAAAGGCACTGTTCCTACTCGCCAAATACAGCACTGCACTCGCATGTTCCTCGGGCCTCCCACACCTACCCACGGGAATATCCGCTCCATTCGTATGGCTCAACCTCGCATGACCCGTCTGCTCATCCCTTCCCTCCGTACTCGTCAGATCGCTCGGGTACAACCCCGGCTCCACAACGTTGGTTCGCAACCCATGATCGGCGAACATGGTCGAGAGGATCTGACCGAGCTGCGAGAGAGCGGTTTTGGAGATGTTGTAGATAGGGTTGAGGATGGGCAGTTTAGCCCACGCTGCGTTGGATGAGATGAGGATGGTCTGGGAAGGGTAGGTGGTGGACGTGGCGAGTTTGAGGAGCGGAAGGAAGGTGAGTGCGGTGAGGTAGTTGCCGGTGATGTTGGTGTTGAGGATCGAGTTGATCTCGGATTCGGAGAAGGAGGAGAGTTCGTCGACGATCGAGGTGAATTCCTTGTCCTTGTCTTCCTTCTCAGTGGGCGCGGAAGTGCCGTAGGAGCGAAGGAATCGGCCACCGATTCCAGCGTTGCAGATGAGCAGGTTGATACCAGACCTGCCGCGAGAAGCGAGGTCCGCGGTGATCACCTCTCGAGCGGCGGAAAGAGACTCTTTCGATGTGATGTCCGCTTGAACCGCAACGAGATCCCCTTCCTGACGCGAAGATGGGGTGGGGAGCAGGGTGTGGAATTGAGCTACGGTAGAGTCGAGCAGAGGCTTGCGTCGCCCGAGGATGTAGACCAGTGCGCCGTTGGAGGCGAGTGCGTGCGCGGCGTAGAGGCCGAGTCCGGAGGAGCCGCCCGTGACGACGCAGGTGAGAGAGGTTACGTCGAACAGCGAGGGGATGCGGAACGAGGAGAGCGGGGTCGACTCGTCGGTGTGAGGAGCGCTCATCGTGCCGTTTGATGTGCCGAGAATGGTAGAAAGACGACGTGGTAAAGGGGAGAGGAGGTGTAAAGGGTAGGAAGGAAGAAGCACCAGGAAGATCCGAGGCTCCACTTACACACTTGTAAATATGAAATTTAAAGCAGACCCCACAAGATTGACTGACTGAGATGGCCGGTGGTAGTGGGCGATCCCAAGACACATCTCACAACCGGTTCACACAATCTACTCATGTTTTGCATTTCATTCTGGGGCGTAAATGCTGCGCTAAATACGCATGCATCTACAAAGGCTTGTGCGCGGGGGAAGCGAGCTGGATCTCCTGGCTGGTAATTACGACGAGCTTACCGGGGCTAGCAGCGTGACCGCTGATGGCCGCCTTTGCGGTCTGAGCGAGTGCGCTGAGCTTGCCATCGGCCTTGAAGACGCGGATCTCTTCCGGGTGCACATCGAGCAGAACCACCCTAGGGTCGTTGTGGTCGCCAGTATGCTTTCCATCCTTCTTGTCGTCGAACCAAGCCGAGAGCGAGCTGGACCAGTGCTTCTTGATCTTGGACGAATCCTTGTTGAGGACGGCTTTGCCCGAGATGGAAACCCAGTCGGTGGTCTTGGGGTCAAAGTAGGCGACGTTGACCTGTGGGTCGGTCTCGACGTCGTCGGTCTTGCCAGAGTCGGTGTTCATGTAGAAGCTGAAGACGAGACCCTCGGTGGTGGCGGGTGCCATGGCACGCGAGGCGAGCTTGCCATCGGGTGAGCGGGAGGTGAGCATTCCGGTGCCAATGTGCTTGGTGATCTCGAGGAGGGTGTCGATCTTTTGCTGCGGGGTGAGATCGGAGCCCTTGGAGTGTGCGCCCTGGGCGGTGGGGTCGTGAGTCTGTGTGTTGGTCGACATGTTGGCTGCGAAGTGGCGTGGATGAGCCTGGATGGGGATGGGATATCGAGAGTTGGATCGTGGGATCAAGGTTGGGAAGGCCGAAGGATGCTGTCGGCTTATATGGATCAAAGGGCTTCTCGAGACTGTGTCGACGGCTTTGTGCGCGTGGCTGACAGTGGACCTGAGCATGGGGCGAAAGCACATCATCGGGCAAGGGGCGTGGCAGGTGACTCTCCGACTCTTCGACTGCGATGGCGTGCCTTTTTGAACGCGAGAAGCGGTGTGATCTCATATAGGACACCGCCTCTTCCTGCTGCGAACAGAGTCACACACGGTCACGAGGCGCAACAGCCCTGGGCAAACGAGCAGAGAGGCAGCAGCGGGATTGATTTAGTCATACAAGCAGACGTAGAGTGTCGTCACAAGAATAGCAATCAAAACGTTCATCGGATCATCCGAGCGTGCAGCAGCAGGCTCACTTCAGCCGCACAGACGCTCAGCGTCATGTGGAGGCAGCGACGAAAAGTCATCGCGAGATGCATCGTTACGATGCTCCCGATGTTTTTACCCTTTCAGATTCGACGTGTGAATTGACGACCTTACATCTCATGGATTTGCTGGATTCTTCGCAGCAAGGCACAATCCAGCTGACGTCGAGCTCTGCAGTCTTAGCCCGAGACGCGGCAGATAGGCGAGAATCAGCTGCTTCCTCGGGCTGGTTGGCGTCTGCCGATCCCCCGGCAGCCGCGCGTCGGGACAAGGTCGTTCCTCTCGTTGCCGTTGCTCAGAATTACTGTAGCTCGCGTGCAAGACGACTAGTCACAGCAGCTACCTTTGGTCCGACGTTGCCGCTGCTGCTGTCATTGACTGAAGGTTGCACAATCCGTTCGTCGGCACGACAGCCGGGACCGGGATGCCAATCGGGCTACATCGTCGTCGGCATGCTTTCATTTGTGTAAGCAGCGACCCGAAGCTTCCCAGATTGAAGCGAACCGCCGCCACTGCAGATCGACACTGCGTCTTTTGTAAGAGCACTGTAGTTCGTAGCCGATCATCGTCATTGGAGCGCGAATACAGTGTAGACCCACTTCGGACGAGAATCCGACTCGGACATCTGCTGCCTCAGCAGAGGTCGGAGTACAAAGAATCACCTCTTGGCACTCGACAATGCGGAACGCGGTGCTCTTTCCCTCGTGTGTCTTCCACGAGCGAGCAGGGATCGCACGGCACCAGCTGACAGATTGATTATGCGGTGTTGATCTCGAACTGGTGCTAGCTTCCTTCATGCCGAGATCACGCGTCGCTGCAGAGTTGCTCTTTTCGGCTGTCTCGAGTGTCGTGCAACAGCAGCAGCAAGAAGACGGCGTTTTGGCGGAGAGCGAGAGAGGAGGGCTCTGGGAAATTTCAAACTTGTCCTTGGCTCTCTGCTGGCTGTCGCGTCGCAGCTTCGGTCTCGCGTGCGTGGTGGCACGGCGCTGCAGGAAAATCATTTCTGGCAGAACGCGTCTGCTCAACACAAACGGTTAAATTTCAGCACAGCAAACCAACACACCGAGGCTCAACGTTCGCAAACAAGAGAGGGATTTGAGCACAGCCGAGCCGAGCAAAACCTCGAGCTTCGAATTTCACCGCATGCCAGCGCGGCTCAGGGCACTTGAGCAGTCAGACGAAGGATGGCTTTCTGTCTATATGGCAGAAAGGGGAGCTGGCAAAGCAGCTTGTCTGCAGTGCAAGTCGGATCCACCGACGCCCTTGCTGAGATGCTGCTCTCCTCTCTTGTTGACCGTGGGGCTTGGCCGGCCAAGGGGTCCATGGAAGCAATTGAAAATGGCCAAGCCTGTACCTCTTCTTGCTCGCAACCTCACCTCGTCGCCTCAGACACGAGCGAGACACGACAGACTTTTAGGCCTCTCTGGCCTCGCCTCGCCACGCTTTTGCATTCTCGGCGTGTGTGTTTCATTTTTTGTTTTCCCTATTTTCTCTTCTGACAGGTCAACGAGTCAGCGAGCGAGCGAGCAACACAGCCAGCCAACTCGAAATCGAAATCGAAATCGAAACAAATTGTCTGGCAAAAGCCACGGTAGCCAGCCGCTGGTGGACACCGCTTCGGCCTCCTAAGTTGACTCTGAGTCCGCGTTTGTTTGCTTTCCTTCATCTCTCCCCTGCATCCATCATCTCATTTTTGGCTCGGCCCTCTCTTCAACGCCTCTCTTCGGCCTGTCTGCGCGTGCCGGTCACGGCGACACTCGTTTAGGCACTCTACGCTCGTCTTCAACTTCAACAGCGAGACTGACCGCACCATATCGCGTCGCGACACCTATCAAGATCGGCAGGACAATCGATCCCACAGAATACCGACTCGTACAGCCGTCGGTCAAGGAATATCACGCTTATCTCAGCTCACGATCCAACCATCGCCTCCCCATCCTGGGACTCTGCATATCACCAAAGCGTTGCATGCGTGCTTCCGGATCGATCGCAAGTCGTGTCGAGCCGCAATCCAACGCATACCACATCACAGCGAAAAGTTGCATTATTGGCATCACAAAGTCGTTGTGAAGTACGGCACGTCGTTCTACTCTTGCCGGGTCCACAACTATGATGCCAATGCAACCTCCTCCACAACCGCCACACCAGCACTTCAATCCGAATCCAATGTCGGCCATCAACGCAAGGCAAGGCCCCGGTCCGAGGTATCCTCCCTCTTCGGGCGGGTCCGCTATGGGCTTTTACCCTTCTACAAATGGCACCGGCGGGCCATCCGACTCGTATGCATCATCACAACCGCCAACATCACCGCAGCCGACCATCACATCTCCACGCGGCGCTCCCGCCATACAGCTGCTTGACGCCCCCCTCTCCAGCCCACAAGATGCCTCGTTCGCCTCTTCCTCGGCTTCATCTGGCCCCTCAGGTTCCAGGTATCGCCGTGCAAGGCCGGATACCGAGGAGATCAAGCGCGTCGGCCGGTCCCACTACGTCGAGCTGCTTGGCTTCCTCCGAAGCCACCTAGCCAAAGTCGAGCAGACAGCACCGCGCTCCAACGCGCGCGAAAAACTCACCCGTCTCAGCAAGCAGCAGTTCACCGAGCTTTCGACCGATGTCTACGATGAGCTCATGCGACGTCAGAACAACGTCAAGAACGGCAGCAGCCAGCCCTTCCTCGCAGTCCGCGACGAGTTCCATCCCAAACGCAACCAGGCCAGGCAGAAGTTGGCCACTCTCCCCAAGAACCGTTTCAAGGATCTCGCTTCCGACGTCTTCTTCGAGCTCGAACGTAGATTCCCGGAACTCAAGCAAGAGTTTCGCCCAGAAGTCATTGCGCGCGAAAAGGGGCGCGAGCAGCAGATGCGTCAGGAGGCAGAGGCGGCGTTGCAGCGAAAGGATTCCATGGGCCAACCTCAGCCATCAATGTCGGATCGCATCGTACCCGCGAAAAGCACGCTTGTTGAAGAAGATATTGCAGTCCCATATACGGCAAACGCATCCAAGTCAAGCAATCGCAGCAACGACATGGACGGCCTGTCCGAGCGTATCTCCTCGCCTCTGCGCGACTCCACCGGCTCAAATGGAGTCAACGGCATCCCTGACAATCGCAGCACCATGTACAGTCAAGCGAGCAGTCTAGGCACTGGCTTTTTCAACGGCTATTCGGGCAGCATCGCTGCAGGTAGCGTCGCAAGTCCCAATCTAGGTCGTGGCAGCGCCTTTGAATCCATTGACGTTTCCTCTTCAGCAGCCACCGAAAAGATGCGCTCAGACTACGAGCTTCGCATCGCCAAGCTTCAGCAGCAGATCAGCTCGCTCGAGGCGCAGATGGCCGAAGCCGGTCCGCGGGCGCGCAAGGCCGACGAGCTTGCCGGCCGCAACGAAGAGCTCGATCGACAGCTCACACAGCTGCGCAAGGAGCTCGACGAAACCAAGCAGAAACATCAGGATGACCGCGAAGTGCATCGCACTTTCGCCACCGACAAGGAGTCGGAGCTCGACGCTTTGAGAAGGGGGTTGCAGGACAAGGCGTCCATCGGCGGCCAGGCTGATTTCGAGGCGCTGCAGAGAGAACACGCACAGTCGACCGAGGTGGTCACAGAGCTCAAACAAGAGGTGAGCAACCTGCTCGAAGAGCTTCGCGAGCTTTCAGCGCGCAACGACGAGATGCAGGCCGACCGCGATAACGACATCGTCGTCATCAAGGACCTCAACGCCCAGATGGCCAACTACAAGCGTCTCTACGAGACAGCCAAGACCGAGCTGCGCAACCTCAAAGCCACCTCGCAGCTCTACGTCCAGCCACCGAAAGCTGACGACTTTTTGCCAGCGTCCGAAAAGGGTGCGATCGCAGATGTCAACCTCACCGCTTTCCAGAGCTCCATCGACGAGCTGCTCGCCGCTGCTCGATCCAAGACGCCAGGGAACGTGCTCCTCTCGATGAAGGAGGTGGTGCTCGCCACCACCCTCGTGACGGACGACGTTGCCAAGTACGAACAGATTCCAGCCAACCTAGCCGAGCTTTCGCACGGGGACCAGGAACAGCTCATGGCGCTCAAGTCAAAGTGCTCGGCTACGCTCAACAACCTCATGACTGCCTGCCGCAACCACGCCTCGTCGCACGGACTGTCCCCCGTCAGCTTGCTCGACGCTGCCGCCAGCCACGTATCGGCGACCATCGTGGATCTCGTTAAGCTGCTCAAGGTGCGAAAGGCGAGCAAGGTTGAGACGGACGATTTCCAAGACAAGTTTGGTGAGGATGCGGCGGCGGCGACGCGTCTCAAGCCGCTTCACATCAATGCGCAGGCGGCCAACCGCGAAGCGAGCGCCACTCTGTCTCCCAACACGGCCAACACGTACAGCTTTGCCAGCCTCAACCCCAGCTCTGCCGCCGGCGAAGATCGGTTTTCGCCACGCATTCGAAACAGCCCGACCATGGGCCGCTACTCGCCGATCGGGTACAAAGCCGAGGCGATACGCAAGGATTCGGGCGGAGACCAGCAGTGGCGCAGCCGAGCCACGTCGTTTTCGTCAGTTGGCAGCGCCAACGCCAGCACACCCAACATGTCGACCATGCCCGAGATGCCCAACGTGCACGGAGCCAAGCGATTCGTGAGCGAATCTTCGGTGCTTGCCAGGGAACCAAGTAGGGCGGCAGCCAACGGTGTCTTGCCGCGCAGCGGAGCCATCTCGCCCTCTCCCATCTCGAGCGATGACCAAGTGCAGAGATCCGAGACGTACGACAGCCTGCAGACGGTCACCTCGGCGAGCGGCAGCGGATTCGGCAGTCAGAACGGCGAGGAGAACTGGTCGGAGCTGCGTAACTACATCGAGGTGCAGACGGAAGCCATTGTGCACTCGATCCAGGCGTTGCTCTCGGCCATCCGAGAAGGCGCGCAAGGTGTGCAGCTCAGCGAGAACCTGACGCAGATCACAACCATCGTCTCGTCGATTGTAGCCATCTCCAAGGGCAACGTACCAGCCAGGAGCCGAGTCGAGGGCGAGAGGATTCTGGACGAGTTGACCGACAACTGCGAAAAGCTGAGCGAGATGCAGAGCCATGACACATTCGACAAGAGCACCAAGTCGACCATGGCCAGCGCATCCTACGGCGTCGCAAAGGGTTTGAAGGCACTCAATGCTCTGTTCAACGATGCCGAGCTCTCGCAGTAGCGTGCAACACGATATGTCAGACTTGTACAACGTCAATGATACCCACCTCGTCACAGTGCTCTGAAAGCGATTGCCTGAGCGTCAATGAATGATTGTGGGGTTGTCGTGTATTTGCTCGTCCTTGATCGTGTCGGACACTGAGACCAAGCTTCCTTCGAAAAATCGGATCTGCAGGGGTGTCAGATGGGGATGCTCGTCCATTCGGTTTGCGATTCCATCCGAGGAGAAGCAGTGACGTGATGGGTCGCAGGCATCGGGGCGCGTCCTAGCTGAGCCTGATTGATTTTAGAGAAAAACAATTGCGGTATTATTAATACTAAACGAAAAATGAATCTTCAAAGGCCAGAAAGAAGAGTCAGCAGCTGCAGAAAAGGCGCTCGATTACGTTGTCGCTCGCCTCAAACAATTTCATCCTGGCGATCTGCGGTCAGCGATCTGTAGCGCCAATGTCAGTGTTACTGCTTCCAGCGTCCTGCAAGCGTTCAAAGACCACCATCGATTTGATATGATACCTCCAGAAGCGTCTGACGGGTGTTCACTTTGACAGCTAAAGCATCCATCTGTAACTTGGTCGATCATGTTCGAGTCGAGTCTAACGCTTTGAGTAGTGTCGACAGAGTGCGAAAGGAACAAACAAGCTTCTGACACCATGCACGCTTTTGCAGTTGTGCAGCTGGGCTTGGTGCAGCCGATTGGCGCGGTCAAAGAAAGCTCGCGTGTGCGCGTGTGCGTGTGCGTGGGTGTGCGTCTGTCTCCATTTCACGCTCGCCCTCCTCAGCTAACGGTAACGACCTGCATCGGACGAGGGGAAAAATCTAAATTGTCAGAATCTCTGGCTCTCCTCCACCTCGCTGCTGTGAGCTTCTGCAGCGTCCAGGCACAGCGGCTCGCTCAACTTGGTGTTCCGTCAGATCGGCTTTGCACAGGCAATACGACCGTCTTACGTTTGTGATCTTTTGGAAGCTCGTCTGTGTTGCTGCTACAGTCGGTGATGGCCAGGGAGCGACATCTTGCATTGTACCGCTCTACCGTCCATCCTATTCCGCAGTCACTGCATCTTATACTGCTTCGACATCGACCTCGTAGTAGATTTGTCAAGACCCAATTGTACTTCCAATCACTGCTTGAAGGGGTGTTCGATCCTTGCAGATCCATTATCGGATTCCGAATCCGACGTCGGAACCACTCCGGCTTCTATAAATCAAGACCATCCAGCGCTCTTCGACTCTGATCATCACCGTTGCCAAGTCAAATCAATCAGTCGACCCTTCACTTTTTCTGGCAGACGAGTCAATACACCTAGCTGATAGGCCCAGCCGACAGCAGCGTCTCGATAATCCTCTACCTCGTCACACAATACGCACTCGAATTATACATCACAACACCTTGCAAGACCTTCAGAGTCACTTAATTCTTTCCCACGCCGATCGTCACTCCGGCCGCACATGCCCGTCCGACCCTAGAACTAGCCGACAGTATCAAGATTGTATCCGTAGCATCGACTCACACTCGCTGTTACCCAAGCTCGTTTGCCGCTCCTCGAACGGTTGCATCCGTCCACCATCGGCAACCGCCCGTGAGTCATCGCGATGGCTTCGATAGCCAAGATGACAGGCCCGCAAAAGGATTTCATCCTCTTTGATGAACCCACACCGCCCGTTCCTCGCGATCAGCCCTTCTCAACACCGTCGTCGGGTAGCGACGCACCCATCCTTGGCTCTTTCAGCAAGCACCGCTCGCCGCGCCAGTCGCCCAACTTCAATGACATTGTCACCCCCCAACAAGACACAATAGACGATGCAGGTGCACCAAGACGCAAGCGCCAGAAGAGCGAGGTATATGCAACCTCCTCTTCCTACTCACGGTCCAGCAGAGAAGGCTCATCAGGCCAAGCTTCCAACGACCGAGTCACTCCTCCCGATCCGCCCAGCGGCAGCTTGGGTGCTCCCATGCACGACCTCAGCCTGGGCGACTCCATGCCATCAGCAAAGTACGACCCCGACAGTGCGGCCTCTGCTCTCGCCTCGCCGGCAACAGCCGCAATGACCCGCGAACAGCAGGAACGTGTCAAGGCACAGATCCGGGCAGAGCTCGCCGGAGTCGACACTCGTGCCTTCAAAGGTCCCCTCCGCGACATCATGCAAAAGCACGACTATTCGCCTAGACACAACGACATGCAGACCAGCCCGCTCTCGGCATCGTCCGATCCCATGCAGGCAGGCGTTGCACCGTCCTTCAGTCTCTTCCCCGACTATGAGGTCGGAGGCCAGTCACAGGCTCAGCCTGGCCAGCCCATCAAGAGGCAGCCGCAGGTTCCTGCCGATACCAACCAAGAGATGCCTCCAGTCGCGCATCGGCCTGCCGAGCTTCGTAAACGAAGCAGCACCTTCGAAGGCGGTTTCGGCCCAATGTCGTATCCACCGGCACGTCACTCGCAAAATTACTTGCCCGACTGGGCTCGACAGTCGCAGTCCAGCCAAGCATCGCGCGACGCACAGTCCCAGCAGTTCCGATCATCTCAACAGTCCCCGCAATCTCAGCATTCTCAGCCATCTCCGCATCAGCAACGACCACACATGCCACCACCTATCATGTCGCAGAGCCAACTCGCTCAACGTGGTGGTCCAGTATCCATGGCCTCCTCCGCTGATCCTGTCGGTGCACCTGTCAACGGCTACAGCCCCGGTCAACGAAGGGCGCTCAAACGCGAATCCAGCGGTCTCACCGTCAGCCCTCAGGAGGCGTTCTTGGATTATGACGATGTCGAGAACGCTCTCTCGCACTCGGGGCTCGGCAAGATGCCCAGTCTCTTCGCAACCGTACCGCCGGGATTGTCCGATGCAAAGTCAGGCTCGTCGCTCTACTCGGGATCGCAGAGCGGAAGCAACACGCCTCGGATGACCTCGCAACAGAATGTTCCGCGCGCCAGATCATCTACCGGCGAGCCTAGCTATGCGGTACGACCGGTACCAATGAGCAGGAATGACACGGCCAGGCCGCATCATTATCAGAATCAGAAGCGGCCTGCTCCCACCGCTCAGCAGCCTACCGTCGGACGATCCCCTTATCCAGGCCAGAGCGATGGTCGTGGATCCGTCAGTCAAGAGTCGGGCTCTCAAAGCAGCCTCTTCAGCCCCGTCGACAGCGGCGACACGATCTCGACCGATGACGACGAGGACGAGAGGCCATATTACCCACCCAACATGCGACCCAGCATGATCCGCGGCGGTCCCAGCAGCCTGTATCTGAACTATCCGACCAAATCGGACGGTCGCGTGCCTGCGTCGCCTTCCGCGATGCCATCGCGACCGCTGATGGGCAAGGAACGCACCTCGAGTGCGGGAAGCGGCGCTTGGTCCCACGTTCGTAACGAGCCGTGGGCCTTCCGCCAGGCGCACATGCAACATCCTCGCTTCTCTGACGTGTCGGCGTCGAGCAGCGACTCGGAGGACGACCGCAACGGCAGGAGAGGTGCCTACTTGCAACGACAGGAAGCGGAACACCACTCGCGTCAGGCATACCCAAGCCACCATCACCACCAACACGGTTCTGGTGCGCACCTGCATCCACACCATTCGCAATCCCCCCATTCGCGCTACGCTCAGCCTGGCCCACGTCCCCCTCACAGGCCTAGCCTAGGTGGGCATCAATCATCGTCCGAGTCAGTCGACGACACGGACGACAAGCATGCACGTCCCACGTACCCCTCTAGCAGGATGGATGACAGGTATTTGCCGCCGCCAAGGATGAACATGCCGGGTGCTCTGGGAGGTTACGGGTACATCCCTGGCAGTCAAGAGTCTGGCTTGAGCGTCAATGTAGGTGTTGCTGCGGCAGGTGCTGGCAGCAGTCAGGATGAGGACAGCCTGAGCCCTTTGAATCGATCTTCGGCAAAAGCTAGCGATCCTCACGCCAAAGGTGCAGCCGAGATTGGGGCTCCTCCTCCGCTGTTGACGTCGAGACAGCCGGCTTCGGCTGCAAACGTGCAAAGACCGGGAGCAGCAGCAAGTACGCCCAGTTCGGGTGACTCTCTGCCGATCAAGGACGACAGGGTGGAAGCTAGTGGCGAAGAGGAGGAATCCGAAACGGGGACCAACAGCGTCACTGGCGATGGAGATGAGTCCGACTATGAAGCTTCGCCCGAGAGCACCTCTGCCAATGCCTCGAAGAAGGCCGCCGCGCGTTCCGCACCCAAGGCGTCCAAACCGCGCACATCGACCGACAACACTGCCAAGCCGAGCGCGACCGTGGCTGCGGATGGAACGACTCAGTGCGACTACATTTCTCCCATCACCGGCATCGCTTGTCAGACGGCGTTCCATCGACCGTACGATCTTGCGAGGCACAGGGAGACGATCCACGCGAGGGAAGAGGCTGGCTTCATGCGGGAAGGCAAGTTGAAACTGGAGGACTGCGTCGTGTTGGGCAAGGAGGTCGATCCGAAGAAGAGTACGGCGGTGGTCGAGTGGAAGTGCAAGACGTGTGGGGCTAACTTCAGTAGGAAGGACGCTATGTTGCGGCACGAGAGGTTGAGGCATAATGCTGCCAAGTAAGAGGTTGGTAGAGGAATAAGATGCGGTTTGGGGGGTTGTAGATGCGTGTGTGTGTGTGCGTGCGTGTGTGTGGGTTAGTTGCGTGATCGAGGCTTCTGACAGTCGTGGTGATACTTCTCGACCGTACACGGGTGTAATCTGCTGCCGAGGTGACAATTCGGCTCCTTGAACCTCCTTCGGTGGTAGAGCGCTTGAATGGGTCCGAAAGCGCAAGACAGTTGCGAGTGGGCTGGGAGGCAGGTACAAGCTTTGTTCTCGATGCTTGGTGAGAAAGCTAAATGGAGGTGACGACGATGTGCTGCAGTAATGACGGAGAGAGGTGATGAATGAGGATGCGGAGGAGTGTGTAGGTTGTTGAGGTCGACACTGCACGAGTAGTGGGCCTTTTTTGGCTGGCAGCCTTCTCAGTCATCACTGCACAAACCTACGAGAGGCACACATTCACATCACCTGACACTCTGTCACCATGATCACAAATTCAAAGATTGCGTTGCACCAAACGGAACATTGTTTCACCCTCAACCGGCTCTGTAGAGAACGATAGCGCTCCTACTAGGCAGGTAGACCTGGACAAAGTTTCTCCTGCCATTCCACTCCATATCCGTCGTAAAGTACTCGGTGGCATGATCGACCCGTCCGTGACCGCCCAGGCTCTTCTCATCCGTATCCAGCAACACCTTGTACTTCCCGGGTACGTCCACACCGACCCTGTAATCCGTGTACGACTTATCCGCATGCCAGTTGAATACAAACAGCAGACCTGCGCGTTCGAACGCAACCACACGGTCCGATTCGTGCTTGAGCGAGATGTACGCCTGAGGCGCCGCCAACCACTTGAACTTGTCCTCGGCGTTGTTCATCGCGGCGTCGAAGGCGTACAGGTACCGGTAGCGGAGGAGGTGGTCGTCTACGAGGTTGAACTGTCGTCGTGCGTAGTGGAACGAGTTCCCATTTCCCTCGCGTGGGAAGTCGAGCCATTCCGGGTGACCGAATTCGTTTCCGATGAAGTTGAGGTAACCTTCGCCTCCGAGTGCGTGGGTGATGAGTCGGATCATCTTGTGGAACGCCAACCCGCGGTCGATGACCTGCGTGCGCTCGGTGAGGTCCGACATGTTGGTGTACATCTCCTTGTCCATCAACCAGAACGCCAGCGTCTTGTCACCCACGAGTGCCTGATCGTGCGATTCGGCGTAGGCGATCGACTTTTCGAGGTGTCGACGGTTGGTCAAGGTGAAGCAGATGCTGCCGAAGTCCCAATCTTCGTCGGAGGATTCTTTGAGCAGCTTGATCCACATATCGGGTACAGCCATCGAGAGACGGTAGTCGAAGCCTACACCGCCTTCCGAAACAGGTCGGCAGAGCGCAGGCATACCCGAGACGTCCTCTGCGATGGTGATGGCGTTGGGGTTGTACTGGTGGATCATCTGGTTTGCGAGCATCAAGTAGACAACGGCTTCGACGTCGACCGAAGGACCAAAGTACTCGTGGTACCCACCGCTGAATCCAGTGCCGATGCCGTGGTGCGTGTAGAGCATCGACGTGACACCATCGAATCGGAATCCGTCAAACCCGTACTCCTCCATCCAAAAGAGACAGTTGCTGAGCAGGAAGCGCAGCACCTCGTGATGGCCGTAGTTGAAGAGGCGCGAGTCCCACAGCTCGTGGCGTCCCCTTGCGCCTTCGTGGAAATAGAGGTGGTCGGTGCCGTCAAACATGTTGAGGCCGTCGAGGACGTTTTTGCAGGCGTGCGAGTGGACGATGTCGAGCAGGACAGTGATGCCCATCGAGTGGGCCACATCGATCAGCTCTTTCAGGTCTTCTGGGTTGCCGTAGCGGCTGCTGGCTGCGAAGAAGTTGGTGACTTGGTAGCCGAACGAGGCGTAGTAGGCATGCTCCTGGATGGCCATGAGCTGGATGGTGTTGTAGCCGAGCTCCTTGATGCGTGGGAGGACGTTCTTTGTGAACTCTTTGAATTGACCAACGCGTGCTTCTGGAGTGGCGATCCCGACGTGGGCTTCGTAGACCTTGATGTTGTCCGGTTTGGGTGGTTTGGGAGATCGCATGGTGTAGCGCTGCTCCTTGGGAGGATTCCAGAAGCGAGCGTCATAAACTGGCGAGACGTTGAGATCCTGAGTAACACGAAGAATCCACGCAGGGAGACGCTCGATGCGTTCGCCTGAAGGAAGGACAAACGAGATCTTGATCTTAGAATCGTGCGGGATGGCGCATTGGCCTTGAGCTAGAGGTGGGATGGTGATGTGCCACTTTCCGAACCCGTCCTTGGTCATTTTGTGAGAGTCGCGCGACCAGTTGTTGAAGTCGCCGATCAAAGAAGCCTCGACTGCGTTGGGCGCCCACTCGGTGTAGGTGACGGCCTGAGTGGAGGCGTCGATTTGAAAGCCCATGTTTCGGTACGAGCGGGAGAACTTTTCTAGGCCGCCTTCGGAGGAATTGATCTTGTTGACCCAGTCGGCATAGACGGCATATCGATCGCGGAGAGCAGGTGCAAACGGCTCGAGCCACGGGTCACCTGCGATGACTCCAGTACCATCATTGGCATTGGAGTAGTCGATCGGCGCCGGAGCTGATGAAGTAGCAGCTGCCATGGTTGCGGCGCTATGGGCAGAAGTGGCGGTCAAGGGTATCTATGCTGGCGTATAGGGAGAGACTTGAGACTTGGAATGGTAGAGGGTTTCGTTGAAAAGCTGTCTTTATACGAGACGGATGATCAGGTTGTGCCTCGGTCGTTTCGTGTCCCTGATTGAGTGCTGCCGGTGCAAGAGGAAGAAGGAGAACCGAATCGTACCTTGATGATATCCAGACACAGGACAAGGGTGGCAATCGAGTGGAGTGTCTGTGCGGCGAATTCCGACAACTCGTGCAGATTGGCTCGTGCTCTGCTCTGCTTGACTCTCGCCCTAGCTCTGGCTCTAATCGACAAGAAGGTTTCGCCGTCAAAAGAAAACCCCGGAGGAGAAATTGTGGGAAACTTTCCCGCTTTGGGATTGTACATTCGGGCCCCCGCAGTCTTCTGACTTATCCAGTGTAGTGCCAAAAGTCGGAAGGGTACATGTGAAGCAGAATGACTGCTTCGGAGCTGCCGTGGATCACTGATCCCTGCATCCGATAAGTGAATTCGTGCGTCTTCTCCCTTCTGATGTCGCCTACGCCACATGCTGCAGAGGTCAAAGTGAATTTCTCACAATCTTCCAGCTCGCTCGTTCCGGCTTGCCGTGTCAAGGTGAAATTCGAACTTCGCGTCCGTCATTGCCCACGTCTACCTCGCTTCTCCAAGAAGCTCTCTGAGCATCACGGTCTAATCGATCTATGCGTTGCCGCAACAAAGTGACGTATGACTGCCAATCTCGAATTGACATCCTTGCTTTTACCCGCTAGGATCGTTCAGACTGACACAGCATGTATGCGTGAAATTTGGGTCTCAGACCGGACCTGTCCCTGGCTTTCTTCTCGACGGCCTCCCTAGCTGGGTGGACGCAGCCTCACAGCAGGCATCTGTACATGAATAAGCAGTGAGATATATATGTGCAGTCCAGCAACCCCCTTACATCCTTCGCCTCCTTAGCTCAGCGGTAGAGCACTTCACTAGTAATGAAGAGGTCAGTCGTTCGAGTCGGCTAGGAGGCATTTCATTTTTTCCTTTTCGTCCTCCTCTTATGCCACTTGTCACGGCTTTATCTACTAATGACAGACTGCTTTGCGTATCGATGCTTGTTCACGCTCCGGTTGCTCATGAAGTTGCAGCCACACATGCATTACGCTGAAGCTGCGAAGATGGAGTGGTGGTGTCGAGGTTTTGCTTTTTTCGACCAAAGTGCGTGCTCTTGCGTCAATGATCGCCTCGAGTGGTCGCGTACTTGTCCTTGAACTCGTGCAACCCCGCTACTCCTCCTTCGTGATGCGCCGAGTCTCCAGCTTGCAGGTCGTACTTGAGCATAGCCTGGTCTGTTGCTGAAACCATATCCGCCGACGCTGATGCTGCTGCGACTCCGCCTGGGTTTCGCAACGACGTCCGCAGACCTTTCTCCGCGCTTTCCACCGCGCCTAGATTGTGTTCGAGCTGCTGTCTCGCAGTGATGTACGCTACGCCGGTTCCCGCCAGTAGACCAGAGAGGTAGCTTGCGTTCTTGGATAGGTTCAGCGCCTTTCGAGAGATGAAGGCTGACAGCACACCTCCGCCAAGACCCAGTGCGATGCCTCGCAGTTGAGCTGCACGGTTCGCTGCGCCCACTTGAGCGACGGGAAGGGGTGGATGCTCGACAGGATCAAGCTTGCCAGCGTTCCGACCGAGCAGCACGCGCGAGTGCGATGGACCGGAAGAGTCGGATGCCACGCCGCCACCATGATTCGGTGCTGGTGCTGAAGACATTGCTGGTGTTTCGAAGATCAGTTCGGGATTGGATCTGCTAGTGAACTTCGATACCGTAATGTGCGGATTTCTGCCTGTGACAGACGAATTCCGTCGCCAGTCTAGGCGATGAAGCAGGAACGTGAGCTATGTCGATGCGATTGGTGTCGAAGGGACGATGTCTTTGTCGATTGGTGACCTCCACACGGTATGTTAGTCACCGACTCCCGGCCAAGACTCAGCTTTGCGGTGCTTTGAAATTGGAAAGAAAAAACGGCATACGATAAAGTCGAAATTTAATTGGGTCACTAAAAGCAGAGCGGGAAGCATTGCCCAATACACAACCACACGTACGATGGTGCTGTTGGTAAGACTGCACATCTAAGAGCATGTGCGATTGCATTGAATGGGGTATAACGCACAAAAGGCGTGGATTGTAGGATCTACATGCTTTGTATCTAGGCGCCAACACGAGCAGCTCGTGCGAAAATGGCTTCCTGCTCGGCCTTTTTCTGCTTTGCGATCTGGGCCTTTCGGATGATTAGGCGACGGTTGAGGTACTCAAACACGTAGAGACTTTGCGAATTGGTTCCGATCTGCGTTGCCTTTTCCTTCTCTTCGGCTATAGCAGCAGCAGCAGCGGCGACGACCTCTTCGTCGCTGGTGGTGGGCGCACTTGTCTCCTCGGCAGACGCACTCTTCTTGCTCTTCTTTGCGTCCTTGTCCTTCCTCTTGTCTTTCTTGTCTTTCTTGTCCTTCTTCTTCTTGCCTTTCTCCTCGGATGAGCTGCTTTGAGATCGAGCGTCTTGCTCCGTTTCCAAGCGTCGATCTACGTCCATCAATGGGATCTCGCTACCTCCGGGTCCTGGGTACGTCTTTGTTGCTTTGGTCGTTGGGGTGGAGGTGCCCGATGTCGCTTTCGGAGTGCCAGCTGCAGAGGAAGATGGTGTCGATGCAATACCCAAGATCTCGTTGACACTCGCAAGGTCGTTCGCCGACACCATGCGTTTGGCTCGCAGAAACTTGGCCCGATGCGCCATTCTGACGGGCCGGCCTTGTGCGATATCCGTCTTGATCGCATCGACTGCTGCCTTGTCCGCTGCCAGCGTCGGGTCTGCACCTGCCACAACAGCCACCACATCCGCCTTCTGCTTTTCCAGAGACCGCTTGCTTTTCTTTGACTCGGACTTGTCCTTTTTGCTCTTCTTAGTTTTCTCTCGAGAAGAATCGTCCGAGTCGTTGTGTTTTCGCTTCTTTTTTGACTTCTCGTCCGTCGACTTTTCCTTCTTTTCCTTCTTGTCCTTCTTCTTATCTTTCTTATCTTTCTTGTCCTCCTTGCTCTTCTTTGACTTCTCTTCGTCGCCGCTGCCATCTGCGGGAGAGGATGCTGAAGCTACCGCAGAAGACGACGAAGAAGCGGCATTGGCAGCGTTGAGTCGCTCGAAGAGGCTGCCGAGGTCGCCACCACCACCGACCCAGATGTCCTTGCCGTTGGCTCTCGCCTCCCGTTCGTGGCGCTGAGCACCGATACCCTTATTGTCCATCTTGTAAGCCACTTTGAGGTTCTCTGTGAGGCCGGGCATGGTGAGGCCGAGACTTTGGCCTGTGGACCAGCCCATCTGTGCGAGCATGCGTTGTCCCGGTGCGGATGCATCGTTGAGCCAAGCGGTGTTACGGGTGCTCGCAGACCCCACGAGTCGCTGCTTCTGCTTCGGTCCTGACAGTCCCATCTTTGCGGATGCGTGAAGACCTTGTCTAGATGGATGGGAGCAGGTGGAAGAGGACAGATGGTGGGATGAGGAAGCGAGCGGCTGTCCAAGCCTCTCAATTCCATGCACGCCTTTTCGACTTTCTTCTGCCTTGGCAGGCGGCCTTTCGAGAATGTCTTTTCTGAAATTTTTGGCAAAAATCTAAGTGAATAATTCGGCATTCGGGTTTTGAAGACCCTGACTCACCCGATCATCGGGACGGTGCACATTCCACCTAATTGCAAGCATGTTGGCATTGCATATCATTAAGCCTTGTCACAATCATCTCGACCACCGAAGCAGCCAAGGCACATCGGTGCATCTGCGAAGTCGTCGAACGACATCCCTACAGTGATTAGCCAGCATCAAAATCGTCACGGACCGTCCGAGTGCGCCTGGTCGAACCGCGGCATATCTATCATGCGGAGGTGAACCATGCACCCAACATGATCTCACGTCCAACACCTTTGTGATCAAGGCCATTCGCGCCTCGACGCTCTTTCGCGGGCCAATCTATTGCTGAAGTGGAACCAAAGGTCGAAGGGATCCCTCAACGGACGGAAACCCGAACCTAGTCCGCCAGCATGCCATCAGAGAGGGACAGTCCGGCACTGCCCTCGACGGAAATATCGGCGGCCGTGTCTTCGCCTCCTCTGACCTTGCCTCCAGCTGGTCAGGATGGGCGAGACGCACAGCGAGCCGTCGCCGGCGAGACTGACCCAGACACTACGGCAGGTGTCGTACCCATACCCATACCTTCGTCAGAACCAAGACCAAACAAGCAGACCGTCTCTCAACGTCACCCCTCCAACACCTTCTACCGCTCATGCGAGATATCCTTCATGGAACCGGTTGGATCCATGTCGATCAGCCCTGCCAATCGCGATGTAGTGCTCGCGGCTCGTCAGGGACTCTTCATCATCGATCTCGAGGACCCCTACGCTCCGCCGCGCTTCTTGGCGCACATGACCACATGGGACGCTGTCGACATTCAATGGTCGCCTCATCCCGCAAGAAGCAACTGGGTCGCCAGCACCTCCAATCAAAAGCTGCTCATCTGGAATCTCGACAGACCCGGGGATCCGCGTGCAGCTGCACCGTCGACAAGAATGCTGCATCGCGGCTCGATCCACAGCAGCATCAGTCCCGTCATACCCAGCAACGCACACTTCTCAAACCAACGCAGCAGCACCTATCAAAGCGTATACAACAGTCACAGTCTGCATTCGGGCGTCACTGGAGGCACGCGCAGTGGCTTTGGCGCTCTTTCGGCTGGCTCACCGTATGCCGAGACGCACGCATCCGCCGCTTCCCGACTGCAACTATCTGCTCCGAGATCCTCGGCCATCGAGCACGTTCTTCACGCGCACTCAAGAGCCATCACGGACATCAATTGGTCGCCATTCCATCCTGAACTTGTCGCCTCCAGCTCGATCGACACTTGGACTTGGGTGTGGGATCTGCGCATGAGTGGCGGCTCTGACGGATCCGGAAGCGGTAGACAGAAGCCAGCTCAGGGCTACTCGGCCTGGAACGCCGCGGTGACCCAAGTCAAGTTCAATCGCGCGAGCGAGCATCGTCTTGCTTCCACGTGTGACAACAAGGTGCTCATATGGGACGATCGCAAAGGATCCTTGCCTCTTGCGACCATCGAGGCGCACGAGAATAAGATCTATGGCATCGATTGGAGTCGAGACACCAGCCTCGGCTTGGACAGACTCATCACCTGCTCCCTCGATCGCACCGTCAAATTCTGGAATCTGGCGTCCGATACTTCGCAGGCTGCCATCGGCGCAAGAGAGCTCGTCACCGAGGCAGAGTCGGTCATCGAGACGCGGACGCCAATCTGGCGTGCACGTCACCTTCCCTTCGGCAATGGCTGCATGACGTTGCCGCAGCGCGGTGACACCACACTCAGCATGTGGGCCAAGGACCAGCCCGAAGAGCCAAAGGCTACTTTTGCCGGTCATACTGATATTGTCAAGGAGTACCTCTTCCGAACTAAGGGTGGCCAAGATCGAGGCAGCGACGACCGCCAGTTCCAGCTCATCACCTGGTCCAAGGATCAGACACTGCGACTCTGGCCCGTCAGCGATGAGCAGACGCGCAAAGTGGGTCACAACCCAGGCGCACCCATCCGCGTCTTGCTCACTCGAGCCAACGCGCCAGACATCTCGTATCGTGATCCTCCTCTCGTCCTCGCCCCGGCTGGTGAGGACGCTGCTCAGCTGGCAAGTCAGGCGTCTGGCAGCAACATCACCACTTCATCCATTTTCCCACCGGAGCATGCTACACGCTCGCTGCTCAGTGGAAAAGGTAGTGGCAGCAAGATCCCTACCACCTCGCCCTACAGCTCTTCGGTATCGGGCTTCCAGAGTGTGCTGCGTGACGGTAGGGCGAGCCCGCTGGCACCATTCGGTGCTAGCTCCGGTGGTCGACAGAGGGGTCTCAACCACAGTTCCAGCCATGGCGATCTCGGTGCAGACCTCAACCAGCTGTCCCGCAGCCCAATACTTGCACGATCGTGGGGACGTGTCGAGGGACAGCGAGCATCTGAGAAGGGTTCCGACCGCGTCCACACCACTCAGCTGGCGCGCTCGTTGCCAAAGCAAGCGGGCGAGAGCAACATGAGTCGTTTTGGAAGCTCGCTTCACAGTGGAACACACGTAGGGGGCAGCGCATCCCAACACAGCGGCGGCCATTCGTCATTCAAGCTACCTGCCAACCTTCGCAACAAGTCAATCGGAGGATCTGGTGCGACCGCCAAGCAAAGGTCTTTGACGCAGAATAGATCGTCCGCGCGTCCGCTGCCGATACAGGAAGAGCGCAGTGGTGCCCGTGAGCATTCGAGGAAGCATTCCGAGCGCAAGGACAAGGACAAGGCCGCCAGGAGAGAGGAACGCCGTAAGCAATCCAAGAGGTCCGACCCCCGAGACGGCAAGAGGGGCGTGGGCGCAGCTATGCGGTTGGACAGGGGTCGTGCAGCCGCTGCTGCGGTAGACCCGATCGAATGGATTGCCAACGTGCGTCTGGAGAAGGAAGCCGACCACGACAGAAATCTTTCAGAGGATCAAACGGGTGGAGAGACTAGCCAGACGCGCGACTCGGATGGCATCGGACCGCCTCGCCTGGCTGCCAACAGAGGTAAGCGCGGGGGCGTCGCCTTCGGTCGAGGCGGGCTCACCACGGAAGACGACACCGACGTCGACACAGGCTACACGGCGCAGGGGCTAGGAGAAGAGATCATCAGCATCAATCGCAAACTGCCGCGCATCGTGTTCGAAAAGGTGGAGCTTACGCGTCGCATGTGCGTGCTGACAATGTACGGTCCATGGGCCGACCACGAACCGGCGTTCTTGCGCATCAAAATCAAGTTCCCGTCGAGCTATCCACGACGACCGCCACACTTCGACTTGGAGAGGGGCGCCAACATCAGTCTCAAGACGCGTGCGTACCTGCTGCGCGGATTGTCGCGTCTCTCGACCAAAGCGGCGAAAGCGGGGCGGCCGTGCATCGAGGTATGCGCACGTTTTCTGATCGGGGAGCCGATCAAGTCGCTGGACGACGGTGAGCCACACGGAGACGATGATGACGACGAGGTCGAGCTCACCACGAGCAGAGGCGGCGGATCGATAGCGACGGACTCTGATTCGGATCCCGAGCCGCTGGCGTTCCGACCTGCACGATCGATGTCGATCAAGGCAGAACAGATACTGCCCGGACTCAAGATACCTCCCAGGAGGATGGGAGCTTCTTTCGGACCGAACAATGAGCTCGTTGTGTTTGGCGGGTCTCTCAATCTGTATGCCCAATCGCGCGTCTCGTCTCGCCAAGCGTCGCGTCAGGCATCGCGCCAAATGTCGCGGCAGGCCTCACGATCGACGTCGCAGGCACCACAGGCTGGAGGAACAGCAGGGCGGAGCAAGTCTGTCTCTGCGCTCGCGCGAACGCGGTCAAAGTCGCGCTTAAGAGCCAGCAAGGAGGAAGCAGAGAGCGAGAGTGGCGGCGAGCAGAGTCCTGGACGACGCGGCAAAGACAAGGAGGAAGACGATGGGGAAGGGTCACGCTTCTTGCGTTCGTACACAGCGCTGTCAAATGCCATGTCGTCGCTGGCACGCTATTCGAGGATGACGAGCGAAGGCGCGGGCACGGGATACTCGGTGCGCGACTCTGATGTTGTGCAGCTGATGAGTTCCGACTTTTTCGCGCGTCGACTGCTTCAGAAGAAGGATTTCTTCGAGGTCTTTGGCAACGCCGTTGCGGACAGCGCGGGCGCGAAAGGCGGGATAGACACTCCTGTCGGCAACAAGGATGTGCTCGTGGCTAGGCAGAGAGCGGCGTCATCGCGATTCTACAGCGGAAGTGGGGCTTCGACTCCAGGAGCGAGGCGAGGCCCGGTTGATGACAAGACGGGCCACGTTTCGGCTGATGAACACGCGGAGACAAAGGAAGGCGGTAGCGGAGCCAACTTTGCGCATCATGCAGATCTGCTCGGATCTTTGCCAGCACCTGCTGCATTCTTGGCGATTGACAGGCTAAAGGAGTCGCAAAGGAAGAGACAGATCGGACTCGTGACGATCTATCAGCTTGTCGAGATCGTCGCTGACGCAGCAGAGGACGCATCCTTGCTTCAGCAAGAGGAGCAGCAGCAGCAGCAGCAGCAGCAGCAAGGGTAAAAGCGAAGCATGTGAACATGATGTAAGACTCCATAAGTGCAAGTGTGCACACTCGCCGTGACGACCAGTAGATATCAAACTCAGACTGTGCGAGAGGGTGGTGCGGTCTAGATGTATGCAAGGGTCCAATATCAGACCCCGGTGCAGGGGCGGATCACATGCAACGGCTGTCACTAGTCTAGACACTCTAAGTGCCCGTCTCGATCCGGCGGACAGCGTTCGGAGCCATTTGCACACGCTCAAGCAAACTGCAGCAGTTCCTCTCGAGACAGGAAGAAGTGCGAAGGGTGTCTTGGCTTGACAAACAATTTGACGACAGCATGAGCTTGAAGATTCCGGTCGAACGTTGTCTATCAATCGTTGGTGGAAGGTGATGGTGCAACGTGGTTGCAGGTTAGTGTTTGTTGTTGGTCCAGCAACGTGGTCGCCTGCGGCCAGTCTAGTCCAGTGTGATTGCAGTCAACCGTCGTGCTCGGTGCGGCTTGGCCTGTCCAAGCTGAAGTGAATATTACAATTTTGCAGCTCCGCGAACAAGGTTTTTGGAACTCCGCTCGAGGATCCGACCAGACGCCGTTGCAGCGCATTGCATCGGACAGCTCAAGAGATGTGCATCTCTGGCCTCTTTCCGATTCGGGAGTTGACGATGCTTCCAGGAGCAAGGTACCAGGAACACCGATTCACCCCTTACTTGACATTATTTCGGCGGAAGGTAAGAGGAACAACATCAGGCAGAATTTTCGACTCACACAGTAGACCCTCCTCCCGACTGAGTCCTGCATGCCATCGGACATCGCGCTTGGATAGGTGCCGCTGCCGTTTAGGGTGCGGACCGCGTCGGAAGCGCAAGTCACGAATGGCGCCAAGCCCTTAGCGAAATGGGTTCAAGAGAAAACGATGGGTCCAAGCACAAAGTAGTATCGAGCCGCGTCAAGAACGCGCATCGGTTCTGACGAGTAGAGAAGTAATCGTCTGATTGATGCAATATGGTTGCATGCTAAGCCGACGCCAGCTTTCGCGAAGGCCCGTGATATCGTGATGGATATGGAACCGAACCGCGAAGACATGTACAATGCAGGTCGGCACCATTGCTACAATGGAAGCGAGAAGCGGTTCAGGAAAACAGGGTTTCAGCGACGAGGCGCGCAGCGCCATACCTCGCCTCGCTTCGCCTCGCGTAACGATTGGAATTGGTAGTATCTAGGTTGATACGAGCTAGCAAGCGGTGCAGAAGGGACCAGAGACGAGTCAAGGCCGGTTGTAGGCGAGCACACGCTGCCATTTAAGCGCGCCGGCTGCTGGTCAAGGCAGAACTTTCAAGCGCTAACCGAACGCTCGTGCTGTCAATCCAACGCACGCCCGGCAATGGGAGGTGGGGCGTGACGGATGGGCTGATTTTGGGCGCAAAGTTCGCCAGCTGATGAACGACAACCGAAGTCGTCTTCGACGCCAATCCATAGATGGTGCAAGGCCTGCTATGAACACGCATAGATCACGACAAGGGCAATCATCGTCTGGTCCGCCATCCAGTCCATTAGTGCACAGTATCGACGAGCTCAAGACCCGGCGTAGAAATGTGTCCGAGCGATCAATGTTTGTCCGCAATTGAACTGTCTCTTTGATCAAGTCGGAAGAAAGCGCAAAACAGAAAAGAAAAAGCAACGGCGACAGAGGCACAAGGGGGTGGCCAGATGAGAAAGGCGGCTATCGACTTTTTTCAGAGTCCGCAAAGCCATGTCCAGTCACTTTCGATTCCTCCTCGATGGAAACCACTCGACACTTTTATCAATGATTCACAGCCTCATGCGGGCTACTGATCTCCAATTGCAAAAAAGGGCGCACAAGAGTATGAAAAATATCAAATTATAAAACCCCTCTTATTTTCTAAAATTGCACCTTGCTTGGGCCGCGGCAATCCTCGAGCCTAAACCTACATTTCGCTACAATATTTATTAATAATAAATTGTCTGTCTGTCCGGTCCACTGCGCTTGGAACGTGAGGCTCGTACCTTGGCTCGTTGACGGCTTGGATGGAATTTGTTGACTTGAGAGAGTCGAAGGCCGAGCTGCAACGCTGCTCCAAGAAGCTCGCTTAACTTCGACGTTCCACAGATGCTTCACTGGCGCCTCTTTTTCCTTTTTCTCTCTCTCTCTCTCTCTCTCCAGAGCGGCTGTCTCTCCTCGCTCCCAAATGGGTGAAACCAGCCAGCACGGCACATTATTCAAAAACACTGTAGCTGCTCCCCACCGTCACCGCCGCTGCCGCCTGCTGCTGCTTAACGGAGGCTGCTCGGCTTACCGTCCGTGCCTTTCTTTGTCCCTTTGGCACAACAGATCCAGTCGCCGGACGAAAATCCAACCGCGTCGTCTGCGAGACACACTGCACGGCAACACAATTGAGACTTCTCCATCCGTCGTCGTCTGGCTCGGCTTCATTTTCTGCATCCCCCTCTCTCTCTAGCTCTTGATGATTTCACCCTTACGCTAGCACCTCCCACCATCTCCTCCGCGTCGCATCCTGTCCTTTCTACGTCGTTCGCGCTCGGGTCTCGTCCATCGTCCATCCTCTCATACCAGACACGTCCGCCTCCTCTCCGTCTGCTACCGAGCATCTCGTTCTTCGTCAGCCAACATTTCCGTGTACGAGACGACCGCGGCTGCTCTACCCTCCGCTTTCTGTTCTCGCTCGATCATTCGGTCCTCTGCTTGTCAGTCCTTGCTGTCCACTTTTGCGCTGTTTCGGCCATCACACGGCACTGCTCACAAAGCGCCGGCTTGCTTAGCTCTTTGCGCCTTTCTCTTCGCCAGGAGCTGCCCAATCGGTCCATCCGACAAACACTGCCGCTGCCGTGCTTTCGGCTGCTGCAACGAATCCTTGATCTCGTACTTGCTTTGATCTCGCCAGATTCACGTCGACAACGCAGTTTGCCAGCAGCACAACTTTTGCGACGCGCATCCGTTCCAACTTACCGCCAAGCCTTTTTTAGCGTGGCTATCCGGAAGCACCGCATCGGAAAGTCACAGCGAGCGACCTTGCCAACATCGGCGCCCACATCCAACCGAGCGCTGCAGATCCGGTGTAGACACAGCTAAACGGCGCCATCCTGCGACCGGCTCGTGGATCTGACCACCCGGACCAGCACTTCGGAGGTCTACGCATCTGCTCAAGCTGTTTCTGCCGGCTTGGCCTTGGGCGACTGAAACGAACCACGATAAGGCGTGTTAGGCGAAAACACTAATCACTTTCAACTTTCATGGACCGTCTCGATAGATCTTCGAGCAACTCTTGAAGCACGCAGCCTGCTCCTACACCCAGATCCAGCATCTCCACTGGACGGCTCGATCGGCAGTCTCGGCACGAGCTCGAGCTGCACCACTGATTCCCACAGTCGCACTCACACCCCTCCTTTGTCCCGGAGCAGGCCCAAACCGCGCCAAGATGGGAAACTGCCTGTCTTCCACAGACCAGAAGGATGCCAAGGACAGGAGTGTCGCTATTGACAAGCAGATCGAAGAGGACAGCCGCAAGTTCAAGAAGGAATGCAAGATCCTCCTACTCGGTTCTGGTGAGTCGGGCAAGTCGACGATCGTCAAGCAGATGAAGATCATTCACCAGAATGGCTACACCAAGGACGAATTGCTACTCTATCGACTCACCGTCATCAAAAACTTGGTCGACTCAGCTCAGGCCATCGTTCTTGCTCTTCGCAAATTCAAGATGGAGCCCGAGATGCCAGAGAATCGCGAGAATGTCGACGCCATCTTGCAGTATCGAGTCGATGCCGACCCGGGCGCTACGCTCGAGCAGACCATGGCGAGAAAGGTCGACTCGCTCTGGAAGGACCCCATCATCCCCGCCATCATGGAGCGCAGCAGCGAGTTTTATCTCATGGATAGTGCCGCCTACTTTTTCGACAATGTCAACCGCATCGGCCAGTCCGACTATGTCCCCAACGAGAACGACGTGCTTCGTGCACGTTCGAAAACAACCGGCATCAGCGAGACACGATTCAACATGGGTCAGCTCTCAATACACCTCTTTGACGTCGGAGGACAGCGTTCAGAGCGCAAAAAGTGGATTCACTGCTTCGAGGCGGTAACGTCTATCATTTTCTGTGTCGCGCTGAGCGAATACGACCAGGTGCTCTTGGAGGAGAGCGGTCAGAACCGCATGGCTGAATCGCTGGTCCTCTTTGAATCGGTGGTCAACAGTCGATGGTTCCTGCGCACTTCGGTCATCCTCTTCCTCAACAAAATCGACATCTTCAAGCAGAAGATCCCAAAACAGCCCTTGTCAAAGTACTTCCCAGAGTACAGCGGCGGGCCGGACATCAACAAGGCGGCAAAGTACATTCTCTGGCGATTCACACAAACCAACCGTGCGCGCTTGAGCATCTACCCACATCTCACCCAGGCCACCGATACCAGCAATATCCGTCTTGTCTTTGCAGCGGTCAAGGAGACCATCCTCACCAATGCGCTCAAGGACAGCGGTATCTTGTGATACAACTTGCTTGCCTGGCTTGCTTGCGCGGACAGACGCCGTCGTATACACGGAACGATTCGGTGCCGTCCGTGCTGAGCGTGACTCCTTCTTTCACTTCGTACTCTTGTTTTAATGGAAACCTCTTTTTAGACCCGTGCCCGTCGGCATCATCACCATCAACAATCTCTTGTTCTCATCGACTTGTCCCTGTCACCCTCTATTTTCGATGCCTCAAAGGCAATCACAGCAATATGTCACCCTGAAGAAGCGCCTGCCGGACCGAGTTGATGGATCGATGCGTTTGTCGAGTGTGAACATGCAGCATGCAACCTGCTATGGGAGGTCCAAACGCGCTTTTACTCCTTTCCTCCGCTCTCACGACCTTGCGGTAAAAGGGAAGCCAAGTCGACGACCGTCACGGTCCTCGTCATGGTCACTCTTGACAACAACATCGAACTTTGAGCTGGTCTTGATGGCGGCTGTGACGCCAGCTACGCGGCATCGATATTCCTCCAGCAAACGTCGCCCAAGTTATCGCTTGGCAGGCCCACCCTAATTGGAACCGTATCGGATCTGTATTTTGCCTTTGTCGGCTTATATGCGGCCACACTGTATCTGCATCACCTTTGTACTCTTTGTTTTTCCGATTGTTTGCTTTTGATAGCTCGCAAACACCGCTGCGTCAATGCTACACATACAATGGATAGTATAGGCATGCCATCCAGAAATGGCCAGCCAACTTGACCACCTTTTTTCCGTCAGCTTGCTACACATTCATGCAAAGAGCCACGGTGCCGAGCGACGTGCATGTTCCTCACTCTGCGACGCCAGCAGCAGCGAGGCAGCGGTGGAATCGCCTGTTCAAAGAAAATTTCGCATGCCATGGAACAAGTGCTGCTTCGGTAGCGTTGCAGCCTCGGCTATTCCGCCGCTTGCAGTCGGGAAACCAAAAAGGCTGGCAATTTGGCTCGGCTCGCATCCTCTGCGTTGGAAAAGCTCGAACCCTTTGCTTGTTGTCTGGTCCCAAGGCACCCGCTGCTGGTGTTACAGCGGTGCTACAGCAGAGTGCTTCTGTTTGTCACGCCAACTGAGCGGCTTCTGTTGATCCGCGTGTCGGTGCAATCTGCAAATCGTTTCCAACGGATACGCTTGTCTGTCCCTCTGTCTCCCTGGCCGCCTGCGTGCACCAAGGGCTTCTTGGGGTCGCTTGTCCTCCCTGACTCACGTCTGTAAGCGCCTTCTTTTCTTTCGACGCCCGCTAGTGGCTCAGCTGCGCCTCACCTTGCTCCAGCCCCTGATCGCGCTTCTCCTGGATTTGCAACTCCTCTCCGCCGTCATACCTCCTTCGGTCTTTTCATCGTGGTCCGTATCCTCCTCTTCTCTTCCCGCACCCTCACGACCACATCTCCTCTGACTGGCAAGCAGGCCGGCGGTACTTTCGCTTCCAACCAAGGCCAGCCTCTCAGTCGCTGGCTGTCGCTAGACTCATCCCCCCACCCATCCTACCCAACCGCTGGACACCTTCTCAGCGTCTCCTACCGGAATCTGCTTGTGTCTTCACGGCGTCTGGAATGCTCTCTCTCTAATTTCAGCTCCAGAAAGACCCAGCTACTGCTTGTGCAGGCATCTGTCACAAATCGAATCACCACGGCGTCTCGTCCCAATACGCTCCAGACCCATCGCGAGAACTGCCATCACCATGCGCGACCGCCCGTGTCTGTGTGGTTGCGGCTCGAATGCCGCCGGCTCTAGCCGACGATCATCATACGATGCCGCGTCGACGGGCATCGCCGCTCGAGGCGAAACGTCAACGACCAGGACCGGTCGTCCTCCTTCTGATGCATCTGAGGTCACCTGTTCGGGCATACGACCGATTAGAGTTCAATCACGTCGAGCGCTTAGTACGGCTTCGGGCAACGATGCTCAATTCTTGTCCCATCATGATGCCAGGTCACGCCCTTGGGCGAGTCGATCGAGAGGCAACGCGTTTATCCTCCTTCCGGCGCTGATTTGCGCGTGCCTTGTATCCGTCGTGGCCGCCATTGCGCCTCCTGCTCCAACCCCAGCGCTTCGTAGCTTTGATTCGTTGTATGCTTCAAACACTACCACATTCGCTTTGCCCACAGCTTCACCGGATCGACGGTCTCCAGACGCAGTCATTCATAAGCAGCTCGCCGCCGAAGCTGTCGAAGCTACCACCTCAAACGGCCCGCCTGATCACAATGTCAACGTGCAAGTCTCGCAGCCAACCATGTGTCAGCCCATGAATATCACATTTGACCCAAGCCGAGGTACGCCTCCTTACACGGTCATGATCAGCATCGAGGACTACTGGCCCGTCACCATCAGCCTTCCTGCATCCTACGATGACGCCACCAAGGATCTGTGGCTCTACCAGTACAGCGTCCCTTTTTACAACGGCAACACCGCCAATCCAAACATGATCGTCTCGGTCACCGATTCGACCGGTCTCATGTCCAACTCCTCCAGCTTTGTTCAAGCGCTCAGTCCCAATATCGGTGATACATGTCCCTCTGTGCAGTACGACGCCACCTTCTACTTCTATACGGAACACCCGGCATCCATGTGTCAAGATTACGAGATTTTCTGGAACGGCAGCTACGCTCCTCCGATCACGACCATCTTCTTGCCCGAGTCCGCCCCTCCGATCAATGTGCAAACTCCCTCGGGCACTACAAACAACATGACTTGGCAAGTCGCCATGACGGGCGGCACACGCTTTCTCATGACCATGGCCGACAGTCGCGCGTCTGGCGGCTACGGTGGTGTCTCGAAGCTCAACATCGTTGCACTCAACGAGTACGTTAACAATTCCTGCATCGCCAAGACCAACTATGCGCACAACGTCTTTGCTCCCACCATCACCGCTGCACGTGCTTCCATCTTTCCGGACGCAACATCCACAGTAGCATCGCTCACCACTGATGGCGGCATGGTCGCCACCGTGACTGTCATCGAAACCATCAAGAACGGCCGCAGAATCCAGGGCGGCGGCGGAGGTCTCTCTGGCGCTGGATTCCTCATCCTCATGGTAGTCCTTTTCGCGAGTATCGGCCTCATTGGTGCTGCTGTCGGGTGGTTTTGCTTCCGAAGGCATCAGAAGCGCAAACAAAACATTCGCGCATGGGATCTGCCCAACAATGATCCATCCGTGCCTTTCAGCGCGGATCCCAACATGCCCATCGCGCCGGGCATCTTTGGCCGCAGCGACACCCGGCAAGACTCAAATGCCGCCAGAGCGCGCGAAACTAGAGCTGCGGACCGCAATAGTATTTCTGACGCTTCGCGACCCCTCACCCACGCTCCCTCTGCTCGAGCTTCGCTGCGCAGCTGGACATCAAGTGCATACGATCACTGGCATGCTGCTACAGGCACGCAGAATGGCCGTCATCAAACCGCATCTACCGACGACTATGCCATGATGGATGCTGCAGCACGACGAGACGCTTCAAGCGCACACAGCACACGGATAACCACGACCGGGAACCTGCCAAATGGCTCGAGAGATGCATGGTCGCCCACCGACTCGATCCAGCGTGCATTTGGCTTCTATTCGGATGACCCGCATACACACGACAGCGCCACTTACCACGAGATGCAGCTGCAAAGCCGTACAGGCAGCCCACCCGTGGCTTCGCGCACCATCAGCTCAGACGGCGGATCAACCAAATCAACGCGTGTCGGTCCTGGTCCCACATACCGCCCAGATGCCGCCTCGCAGGCTGCTTATCAGGATCTGCTAGCTAGCAACACTTCACCTGTCAGTGGAACGGAGCGCACCTTTCCCTTCAGCTCGCTTCGACCGCAGACGGCTGGCTCTCCGACCTCGCCAATCTCGAGAAATGGAGGCTGGGCCGAGGTGTCGGAGGGCGCCGATCAGTCAACGCGCATTGTTCGCCACGCCGATGCCGGCCTTCTGCTGGACGACAATGACAACGGTGACGAGCTGATTAACCTCAGGTCCGGTCGACTGATGGAACTGCCTCCCCAATACGATACGATTCATCCCGGAACGAGGTTGCCGCAGCAGAGACCCTTGCACGGTGGAGAAGACTCCCTGCCCGAAGATCCGTTCGCCAATCCGCCCACTCGCGGGCACGCACATGGTCTTGCTTCAGTCGACATCTCGGACGCTCGCAACAGCACGGCTGAAGTGCATGCCGCGGATCTGGTCGACGACAACGACGACGAGTCGGCTTTCTGGGCTCACTAGATACACCCGCTTGATCTGATCTCTCTATGCGGTCGTTGATGGAAGATTCTGTGACTTCCTTTGCCTACACTACGCTCTTTCTAGGCCTTCCATACCTCGTTTTGCTTCAGTATCGTCACGAACGAGCATTAGTCCCGTCCACCATCCTCTTTTGCCTGGCTACTCTGTCCAGGACGTGCAACACGGACCTTTTGCATTCTTTCTTTCGCTTGAACATCGTCACCGCGTGCATGAGCAACCAGAGCCGTGCCGGTTTCTGATGCAGTTACAATGTATGTGATAGCTGATGCAATGAAGGAGGACTGAGAGATTTCATATCGAAAATGCGAAATGACGTGCTCAGGCCACATGCTTCGTCTGAATTTGGATAACCGCGAATCTTCTTGTGACAACCAAGTTTGAGCCTCTCAACCTTGACATCTGTCCATCAGACGTCAACCAGACGGATTTCTGCATGGCCTTTGCCACTCGTGCGTCAAGATGTCCTCTCCTACCGTCGGCGAGCCATGGCCACCGTTCGCATTGCCTTCTGGCGATCTAATTGCTGGTTCACTGGCTGGAGCGGCGCAGGTGATGGTAGGACAACCGCTCGACACGGTCAAGGTACGCTCGCAGATCGCATCACCGGGCACCTACCGTGGACCCATGGACGTCCTGACCCGAACCGTCTCTGCTGAAGGCATCCTCGCACTGTACAAAGGCATGGCATCGCCTCTCATCGGAATCGCAGCACAAAACGCACTCCTCTTTACAGCGTTCCAATCGGCAAAACGTCTCATCTCTCCTTCAACACAGGCCCTCTCGATACCGCAGATCGCCGCTGCAGGTGCAATCGCAGGTGGAGTCAATTCAATCCTCAGCTCTCCAGTCGAGCTGTTCAAGATCAGAATGCAGGCACAGATCACCTCTCGAAACTCCAACAGTGAAGTTGCAAAGTCGAAGAAACTTTCGGCGGTTGCGAAGGAGGTCTACTCGACATACGGTGTCAAGAATGGTGTTATGAGAGGGTTTTGGGTAACAGTCATGCGCGAAGTCCCCGCGTACGCCGGATTCTACACCGGATTCGAACTGGCCAAAGGTGGATTCCGAACATACCTCCCCAGCGAAACAACGCGGAATGGACTACCCGTGTGGGCGTTGATGCTAAGCGGAAGTTGCGGTGGAATCTTGAATTGGCTAGCGTGCTACCCCTTGGACGTGATCAAATCCCGGATCCAGCTGAGCGACCATCCCCTTCCCAGAGGTTTGGGAGGTCCACTGGTGCTCAAGTACGTATCGGAGGAGGCCAGCAAGATCTACCGAACAGAAGGTGCAAGAGCCTTCTTGGTAGGGTTGAGTCCGACATTGTTGCGTGCTATCCCTGCCGCTGCCGCTACTTTTACTACGTTTGAACTCGTCAAGGCCGCGTTGGACGAGTCATGACATTCAAATCAAAACGAGAGCAGATGCGCTCATACACTATCACACAAAAGCAAGTGAAAGGAAGGTGACATTGAGTGACAAGATGAAAGCAATTGTTCTGGAGAGGCTCCGGTGCTCACGACAAGGGTACGAAGTTCTCCCGTTCGACCCATCCAGTCAAGCCGAGTTCAGAATGGCCGAACAGGTGTGCACCGTCCTGGTTCGTCACCCTGAACAAGTCGCCGACAGAGTATTCAAGAAAAGGGTATCCGTTCCTGGTCTGGTTGCTGCTTCTCGATCCGCTGTTTGCCACTGCGGCCATCGTCTCGATGATTTCTTTGCGTGTCGTGTCGTCTGCTTCGCTGCGCTGTTCCGATGCTCCCATAGAGAACTCAGTGCCCGACTGACCAAAGAAACCAGAATTGAAGGTTAAAGCGGGCAACGTCGGTGGAGCAACAGGTCCGTGCCCGGCTGACACAGAGTCCGGCATCACTGGCGTGTCTTTACTGATAGGCGTAGGCGGATCGGACCCGAGCGCGTCGACGAAGCTTTCCGCGGCGGTGTCTGTCGACTGCGAGTTCTTGCGCGAACCCACGGCAGAGCTGCTGCCCACAGATCGGAGGAGGCCGATGAGCCCGCCTCCTGACTTGACGGATCGTAGCGTAGGCTGCAACTGCTGCTGCTGCTGCTGCTGCTGCTGCTGCGGCTGGTGAGAATCGATAGGAGCAGGTGACCCGAGAAGTGACTGTTGCGGAAGCTGCGGCGACAGAGATGGTCGGCTTCCCAAAGGTGGGGTCGCAAAAGGGCTTGGACTAGGGCTAGCTCGCGCCGTAGTTGATTCCAAGAGCTCCTCGCTACCTGCGGCTGTGATGGACTCGATCTTCCTGCTCATGCTCATGGCGTCTGGCACCCTGGATGCGAACTCCGGATCGGGCAGAGACCGTTCCGCTTGCAGCGGTGAGAAGTGGTTGGTGCTCGAAGGACTCAGGCTGCCTACCGCAAGGAGGTCGCTTTCCATGCTGACCGATGCGTTGCGAGACCGAGGTTCGTCGGCGAGGCCGGAAACAATGCCCATCGACTCGGCGAACCCAGCGATGCTACTGTGCAGCGGCCAAAACATCTTGACCGGATGGAGATGTCGCATTGACCGTTCTTTCGTCTCTTCGCTGATCGCGATATCAGCATTCCCCTCTGGTCCGTAAACTTCCCAGAACGCGAGAAGGGCACGGTGGACGCGAAGGTGGTACGAAGCCTGGGTGCGAGAAAGCGACTCGATGCATAGATCCAAGAGAGTCTGGATGCCGTAGTTGAATTGCGGCATTTCGTTCATCAGTTGCATGTGGAGCGCGATAAATGCGTTGGCACTCTCTGTCAGTTTCTTGTCCACCGCCTTTGACCCACCGCGAGCAGCTTCGGCCAGGTAGCGCGTGTAGTCTGGTTCGCGATCGTCGCGTTTTGCAATGACCGACTGCGGCGGAGGGAAGAGCCCAGCGATGCGTTGCAATGCAGGAGTCAGGCTCGTGCGGATCTCTGCATCCAGCTGAGACCAATACTCGCCCAGGAAGGTGGCTTCGACAAGCTGAACAAAGGCGTGGACACGGTGCTCAGCCTCTGTGTCGGCGCTCATCCCATCAACTGCGTAGATACGGCACCATTGATTGAGGAGAGCGAGCTGCGCTTCGTGCGCATCCTTGACCCTCGTCGACCAGCCAAGACAACGTCTCGCAAAATCGCTCGTCGCCTTGTCCAGCTGGCGGAACTGCTCCACAAGTTCTTTGTATTGACCGTCATCAGCGAGGATGTCTTCTGCTGGGCCAAGAACGAGCTTCTTGACCTTTTCCTGACGACGCAGCAGCTTCTTAGTCGCGCCGTGTTGTATACGTTGGCTGGTGCTGCGTTTGGTCGCCTTGCCGCTGACAATCTGATCTACCAGATCCTTGCGTTTCTTGACCTCGTTGATGTTGTCTGCTACCTTTTGAATCTCGGCCGATGCCGCCGACAGACTCTCCGCATCTGGATGCTTGAGGCTCGTAGACGCCAAGATCTCCTTGAGGAGCAGAGGATACTTGAGTACACGCTGGACAGGCTTGATCAGCAAGGAGGAAAGATCCCATGCGTTCGTATACGCCCGTGCAGCAAGGGTGCATTCGCCGATGAAAGCGCTGACTTTAGTCTGCGTACTGATCAACTCTTGCAATCTAGCCATGGAAGCCTCATGCCGTGAACAGTAAGCTGTATAGACCTGCTCGATACGAGGCATGAGTTTCAAGAAAGCTTGACCGACACGGTCCGTCTCAGACTCTTCCACCACGATGCCCTGAGCAAGCAGCTGACCCGCTTCCTCTGCTGTCCCGCTGCAAACCCTGCCGACCGCGGCCTCGAGCACCACGACCATCTCGTCCGCGAATGCAGCACAAGCCTCAAGTTGGGCAAAAATGATGCGCACGTCTGCAGCACTGAGAGGGGCGTCTGACACTCCGGTCGCAGACCCGTCCACTGGCCCTGGAAAGCCAGGCGAGAGGATGCCCGAAGTCGTCGACATGGATGGTGTGGCAGGCATCGATGAGATGGGCGAGGCGCTTGTGCTGGGCAAGCCTATAGGTGCCACGGCGTGCGGCTTGACTCCGGAGGTGGGTGATAGCGAGTTCCCGTCGATCGAAAAGTGTGTTGGAGGACCGCCTGCAAAAGCGGGATGGCCTGAGAGCGCGAATTGGCTCGTATCGGAAGTCTGCGAGCTCTGCGAAGACACAGTGTACATCGACGAACGGTTGCTCTGATTGCTTGAGGCAAAAGACGTCGACGATGCGGTCTGGTCGGCAGAGCTCGCGGTCGCTGTAGCATCCGCCGAGGCATTGCGGAAGAGCGCACGTTGAGGCAGATTTGGTTTCGCACCTGGTGTACCTGTGCCTGGATTGATGACCGTCCCGCTTCCTCGCTGCTGAAGATGAGGCTGCGACGATCTGCCGAGAGTGGTCGGTTCGGGAGAGGCAAGCTGCGAAAAGACACTTGCAGATCGGACGCTCAAAGGGGACAGAGGCGCTGTGATGCCGGCTCTCATCTTCGCCCTTGCCAGATAGACGTCACGCGCCACAGCGAGATCCGATGCGTAGGCTCTTTCTGTGTCTAGCAGCTCGCGCAGAACGAACCAGCGCTTAACAAGCCGCTTCTGATCTTGCGACAGATCGTCCTGCGAGATGGACCACGCTTGGGCGGCGAAGCTGGGACTGCGTGGGATCGAGGTTGCACCGAGAACGCTACCAAACTGGGGGGTGAGGTGGTGACCGGATGTAGGCGACAAAAGATCACGAGCAGTGCTGGCGGATGATGACACGGAGCGGGCCCGGGTGTCCGATGTGCTGGGAGTGCGTGGTAGGGCGCCAGCCGAGGATTGCAGATCGACCGCAGAAGATCCAGGACTGACGCCGTCGGTGAATCGCATGGCTGAGGGCAGTCCAATTTCCATGGCCTGTACCTGAGCTGCAGCCGCCGCATCAGTCTCCAGTGGTCCATCGTACAATCTGCGAATGACGGGGCGCGATACCGCGTCTGCCTTCTTCGACTTGCTGCTCTTCCCAAGGCGGAACGTGCCAGAGCTTGGAAGCGTGCTACCCTGGTCGCCGCTTCCTTCCCGATGAGCGAGGTCACGCGCGAAGGCGAGCACTTTGCTTCCGGTGCCTTCCTTCTTTTTCTTTGTGCCGGAAGACGCTTCGGAATGGAGTGAGGTTGTCGAAGCTTCTGGCCCGAGAGAAGAACGAAGATCGGTGAGTGAGCTGGTGGCATCACTTGTCGAGCGCTCGTGTCGTCTCGAGATGCGTGCTGAGGCCGAACCAGTTGACGGTGCTCGTGCTAGGTGCTGACTAGAGCTCAAGGAGTTCTGCGCCGGGGATGTCGAGCCGCTGCGAGCACTATGCAACAGGCGAGGTGAGCGCTGAGACAGCTGTCCTAAAGGCGCGTCATGCGACCTGACAATGTCACGAGAGCGGAAGTAGTCGCTCGAGGTCTGTCTGTCCATTGGTGAGGGCTGCGGCAGATCCGATGACGGTGTCCGAAAGTCAGTGATCGATGGCGTTGAGCCAGCAGGCGAGGCTCGACGGGTCCCAGCAGTCACTCTGGTTGCAAGGCCGAGCGGACGTTGTTCAGCTGTCCGGCTAGTCGAGGCATCAGGAAAGAAGCCAGCCTGATGAGCTGAAGCAGGCGAATGACCAGACGCGGAGGGAGAGCCGGTGACGCTGGCGCCTGAGGGCCTTTGTCTGCGGAGGGGATTCTTGGGCGGAAGACCGGGTCGCTTGGGGTCAGTTGGCGAGGCTGTATGTAGTGGAGATGCCGTCAGGTCACGAGTCGGATCGAAACGCCCTGCATCGGTGTCAGGAGGCGTGCGGTAGACTGCGCCTTCCTCCGAGATGGCGTTGGCTACCAACAGAATGTCTCGAAGACTGGAAAGCGAGCCAGAATAAGCGTGTCCGCTGTCGGCGGTCTTGGGACGACTTGCTCTTCGCGTTGCACGATCGCTAGTTGATAGGGCCGAATATGGCGAGCTCGTGAGTGATGGGCTGCCTTGAGCCGTCGTAGGCCGGCGCGCGGTGGAGCTTTGGGCAGGCGAGCTGGTGGTTCGCGGCTGTATCTGAGGCGAGTAGTTGGTAGCGGAACCAGAGCGAGGCCTGCGACGAGGCGACGTGACTGTGGCACCGTCTTGATCCGATGATGCTGTAGCTTGACGCGATGACAGCTGCGAGGCGGCCGCAGCAGAATTGCTGCGACTGAGCGAGCCTTGGAGGCTGCTGCTTCGTGGTATGTGGCCCCGAGCACTTGTTTCGAGGTACGGGGTTGCGAGCTGATGCCGTGACGGAAGACCAGAGTCCGGTGAGTTCGTGGCAGCGGAGCGTATCGGAGACGGAGGATGATGCTGGCTGAGCCTTCGACCTGCCCTTTGGGATGATGAGCGCCGCAGTTTGGAAGATGCCTCGAGATCGAATTCATCGACGGCGGACAACAGGCCAGGAGCATCGCCCGCGTTCCGAGTGCTGGGCGCAAGCGAGAGCGAGTTGCGATGAGGCGATGAACTCGTTTCGCGATCGAAATCGTCGGTGGACGTTCTGCCATATTGAACACCTCTGCGACCGCTGATCTGCCTGTAGCCGGCTTGTTTTCTGGTCGCGTCGTCGAGGTCGGTAGCGGAAGGGGATTCAAGAGGCGAAGGCGGGACCGAGGTGGTCAGAGAGGTGGCTGATTCTGAGGCCATGGAGGAAACAGAGGGACGAGTTTTAAGAAAGGCCGACTTGTCCTTGAAGCGAATCGTTTTTCGGAGGAAGCTGGAAGTGCCGCTTGATTTGCGACTAGAGGCGGCATCTCCTCGCGTATCGCCTGTGCCATAATCACTTGGGTCGTCATCGTCATCGTGACCGAGTGCAAGATGTGATGCGGGATGGCTGGGCGATGGCATGGGTCGTTCAACAGACCGGGCGTCGCCGCCGCTATCTAGCAGATTCGGATCACTATGCGAATCCTCAGAATAGATGGAAGGCGGGAAGCGGGCGGATCTAGGTGAGGGTGTCTCTGTGCCCGAGTCGAAAGAGGGAGTGATAGGCGAAGCGACTTTGGGAGACTTGGATCCAAATATGCGGGATCGGAGACTGGGCTTGGACGAGGTGGGTGCCAGTGTCTTGGGGTTCTGGCTTGTCGTTGCATGCGCATCCTTTCGTTCGACTGGGATGGAGGGAGAACGCTGAGCATCTCTAGGGGACGGCAGTGTGAGAGAGTTGGCAGAGCCCGCTGTGCTTTTGGAGCGCGGTCGAGGAGAGGAAGCATTGTCGAGCTGAACATGGGTGTTGGTGGACTTGGAGGTAGAGATGGGTGTCGGCTTGTGCTTGATCGGACTGCGTGATGTGGAAGCATCGCCGCTACGCAAAGAGGGGGACTTTATGTTGGCCGAGAGGGACCTTTGTTCGTAGGCCGCGACAGTCTGCATGACGGGCGAAAGCGAGTCGGAGCGGTCTGTGTTTTGACCGTGCTTGATAGCAGCATCGGCTCGTGCTTTCGGCGCGCGTATCCTGCCAGACGCAGCGGTCGGTCTTCCAAAGGTCGATGAAGGGTGCGACGAGAGGCTATTATTTGTAAGGTCGAGCGGAGAAGCATGCGCCGGAGCAAAAGGAGTGGGTGAAGCTGACCGCGGGTGCTGCGACATATGAATGTGGTCTGCCTGCATGCTTCCCTGCCGCGATTGACGAGGGGACGTCAGGGGCGCCTCGAAGGAGGAGTAGAAGGAGACAGGCGAGACATTTCGGTCAGCCTCTTCGGTTCGCGAGGGATGTCTGGCTTTCTGCCTTGGAGTGGTCGGTCCACCGCGTGAGCTGCTGCCGACGGAGCGGATGGACTCCCTGTCAGACGATGTCGCATTCGAGCCGGCAGCTTCTGTGGCGGATGCGAGGATGGATGAGCGAGAGCCGCGGCGGTTTCTGGAGCTGTCGGGCGAGGTGGAAGCGATGTTTGTCGTGGCCAAGGGTGGGCCGATACCGATCCCGCCTGGGGCGAGGCCCGAGGCGGGCACCGAAAGCAGATGATTAGCGTATGATGGTCTTCGTTGGGAGGGCGAAGCAGTGGGGCTGGTTGCAAGTTCGCCGCGCTGAGCGCGCGGGGTTGTATCGGAAGGCGGCGAGCGCGAAGAAGAAGGAATGGACCTGGGAGAAGACAGAATGGCGGCGCGACTCGCTCAGCGAGCTGATTCGTGCTGGAGATTGAAAGAAGGATGACGAAGAGGCGTCGAGCGTCGTCGTCGTTGTTTCAGCGATGCGAGGCGAAGTAGACAAAGATCATGACAGGGTCCAAGAATGTAGCAATGGGTGCGGGCTGTCCGGACAGCGAAAGAATGACCGCACGCTGGCTCTCGGAGCAATAGAGACAAGTGTTGCGAGCGGGGTGCGGAGTGCAAGGCGATGATGTCGATCGAGACGATGTGATGCTTTGTGATGTGGTGAGAACAAGGATCGAGACGGCAATTGTGACTGTGATTGTCTGAACGCATTCACACCAAAGCGGCCTATTCGAGTCCGAAACAGCCGATTTCCGCTGAATCGCCGGTGCAGATTTGCATGATTATTGTCTCGTTTATTATGAGATAGGTTGCGATTGCTGGTCCAAGAGCAGAGGAGAGTAGATCACGACCCCCTTTTCCTTTCTGGCCCGCACACCTCAGTCTGGAGCAACTGTGATTATCAGCTGGGCGTTTGCTTCCTTGTCTCGCATTTTCGACAGCTCTCACAGGAAAAAGATCACCACTCAGATTGAAGTGCGCACTGCAGATCAATATCAACTGAGTGATGAGTTGCAATCGGAAGGACGGCTGGTTCTTTGTTCGGAACAACAGAGGAGGTGCAGTATGTGCAGTGCAGCGTCCGGAAAGAGCGCAACCAACGTCCCGAAGAGCGCGGCGTAGCAAGTGGATTGTCACATGCAGCCCGGCTTTTGTATTTTCAAAGTCAGGCCAATGATTGACGCCAATCTTGCTGCTCCGGCTGCTCAGGCTGCACGGACAAGCGAGCCGAATAGCTACAAAGTTCACACGTTGACCAGACATGTGTAGCGAGTCACAGCACGGCTGTACAATGTAGTCCAATGGCTCTATCTCTTGGTCTATGACAGAGTACTGGTGATTTGAACGTGGGTTTCCGCCACCACTTGGCCCGCATCCGCAACACAGTCCCGCATCGTCGCTTGATTATTTTCGCGATGGGGCCGATGGCGGTATTCGCAAAGCGTGTTAGGTCGAGTACGGGCAGATGCTATCTGCTAGCAAAGTGGTGTGTGTACAGCCGGCTGAACAGTATCATACAGATAAATGGATTTGGGAGCACGGATCCTTGAAAGGCCGCGCCAACACCGATCGGCGAAAGAAGTACTCATCGTAAGCGCCGAAAGAGGCTCATGGCCTGCAACATGATCCTCGATAGCATCCATCCAGCCAGCCGCCCCTTGTCGGACCCTCTTTTGCGGGGCGCTCAACTTTGATGCGTACCGTTCCTTACCCCACACTCGTGATCTCGCTTTGGCGTGTCGGTGGAAGGCCACCAGATTGCGGGGTCGCTGTCACACAGTGGACCAATTGACCGGCCCTCGACGACGACGTCGTCCCTGTATCACCATGAAGCGCGTTTTCCACTCGTCTGTCTGTCCGCCTTCGAGTCCTGGCTGCTTGGATGAAAATCTTCTCACTCCTTCTCCTGCCCATTCATCTTTTCGTGCGAAAATCAGTCAGCCAACGCAGGACGGCGTCAAGACAAAACAAGAAATTTTTTCCTGGCGTATCTCACGTATTTTCTTGTCGAGTGTGGCCATAGAAGCAAGCACAGCTGAGACCACCAACCGAGAAAGATCGCCGTCGAGCCTCCGAACTCGGCCAACGTTGTATCAAGAATGCCCCGAGCCGTCTCATCTCTTGCGCTGCTCTACTTGTCAGCCCGGACCGTGAACCGTGAACCTTGGTGCTGTGAATCCCTTCACTTCGCTTTTGCCATGTCTCTGATCCAGTCGATGTTCGAGAGGACTTGGCTTAGCGACAAAGAATGCGCCAGCCGCGTGTTAAGCGCTGCCAGGCCAAGTCGGAATTTCATTTCGCATTTCGCCGAGAATCTTCCAGACTGCACGCAGCCTGTGTGTCGTGGCGCACCGGAACTACACTCTAGAAACAATGGAAACTTTCCGAACGGTCAATTTCCCATCCGTACACCAAAATGGCGACTCGTTGCACTCTCCATTGCGAATGCCTTCATCCTCTCATTAGGGAACGATCTGAAGCGAGCGAACAAACGCAGCGTGTGATGCTTTGGCGGATCGAATGTGTATGATGGTACTAACAATTCAGAAAGGATGGCTGTTAGCGGCGCAAGCGACATGCAAACGACAACAATAGCATCCACCTTTTAGCCGAGAAGCTTGGTAGACGAGAGTGTGCGCCTCGTCCTTCGGGCTGCCCGTCTGTTTTGAATCGACTCGCCGGTCCGCTGTTGCCGTGGCTCGACTATGCTCGAGTGTTCGACAGCATCGAAACCGAGTCGTCACCGCATGTGACCGTCCACCAACGGCAAAGGCGAGACGAGCGATTTCGGATGCCCACGCGATGGAACGCGAGCCCATTGGAAATCCTTTCACCTCCCTTCGTCCCGCTTCGTCTCTTGCTGTGCCACTCTTCCTTCCTTCCTTCCTTCCTTCCTTCCTTCCTTCCTTCCTTCATCCATTCCGTCCAATCTCATCTCCCTACAGCACCCAACCCCGCACTTCCAGCATCTCACATATAACACCCACTTTCTTATTCTAAAACCCCCACACAAGTCTTTCTTTCACTGCTTACTCCACCTGAGTCGCATCGGCATCCCGCCCCTTCCCCTGTGTCTCCTCCTCTTCCCTCCCCATCGCCGTCGTACAAGTCTGAGATCTCGCTTCACATCTACTGCAATATCCCGTACGCCTTCGACAAAGAACAAGCACAGCCCCCGACAATTACACATCCACACGTACACGGATACTTCCACCAAGACATCGCTCCCTTGGAACCGCCACCATGTCTGACCACGATAACAACCTCACTCCCGTTGACGAGAAGCCTCAGTCTCTTCAGTCCGACGACAAGGTCACCTCCAAAGAATTCGCGGACCATGATCAGCTCAACCATCTTCACATAGCCACCCGCTCCGTCGTTTCCACCGAGGGCGTCATCGACGCCGCAGAACTCAATCAGGTCCTCGACGAAGCCGCCATCGAGGCCGCTGGTCAGGGAGAGAGCAACAGTCTCTACCTCTGGGGCCTCACTTTCTTTGCCACCATCGGAGGTCTGCTTTTTGGATATGACACAGGTGCCATCTCAAGTGTTCTCGTCCAGGTTGGCAGCGACCTCGACAGCAGACCCCTCACCGATGGAAACAAGGAATTCATCACCGCTGCACTCACCGTCGGCGCCATCATCTCTGCGCTCTGCGCCGGCGTCGTCGCAGACAAGATCGGCCGAAAGTGGACCCTCGTTATCTGCGACATCATGTTCGTCATCGGTGCCATCGTCCAAGCCGCCGCTCACAAGAAATACGAAATGGTCATTGGCAGAGTTCTGCTAGGATTCGGAGTTGGCGCTGCAGCACAAATCGTTCCCGTATACATCCAAGAACTTGCACCAGCTCGAGCACGAGGCCGCCTTACATGCTTGAACAGCATCGCCGTCACGGGCGGTCAGGTCGTCGCATATGCCATCGGAGCTGGATTTGAGAATGTATCGTCGGGATGGCGCTGGATCATTGCTCTCGGAGCCTTCCCTCCCATCGTCCAGGTCTTCGGAATCCACTTCTTCATGTCCGAGTCGCCACGCTACCTCGTCAAACAGCGACGCGAGGATGAAGCTGCACGCGCTCTCGCACGCATCTATCCTCTTGCTACCCCTGAACAGATCAATGCAAAAGTCGGCGTCCTCAAGAAGCACATCCAGGTCGAGGAGGCTCCTCTTCGCCAAAGGATTGCCAAAGTATGGACCGATGTACCTACTCGTAGGGCGGTCTTCTTGACAAGTAGCACGCTCGCGGCGCAACAACTTTCGGGATTTAATTCTCTCCTCTACTTCTCCAACACCCTATTCCAGAAGGCTGGCTTGCGCAACTACACCGCCACCAGTCTCATCGTCAGCGGCGCCAACTTCGCCTGCACCTTCATTCCCCTCAAGTATATCGATCGCGTCGGCCGTCGTCGCTTCCTTCTCGCTACAATGCCCTGCGTCATTCTGTTCTTGGTTTGCACCGCTGGCATCTTCGCCAAGATGCTCCAGCCAACCAATCAGCGTCTGGTCGAGGGCTATTCGTACCCTACTTCATACACTTCAGCAATGCTTGTCTTTATGGTTCTCTACGTCTGTTCGTACGCCATTGGTCTCGGCAACGTCCCCTGGCAGCAGGGCGAGTTCTATTCCACCGAGACTCGCATGATCGGCACCTCTATCTCCACGGCCGTCAACTGGGCAGGCAATCTCGTCGTCTCGTCCACCTTCCTCAGCCTCATGAACGCCATCACTCCTTCGGGTGCCTTCGGTTTCTTCGCAGGTCTCACCTTTGTCTTCCTCGTCCTCATCTACTTCCTCTACCCTGAAACATCGCTTCTTTCGCTCGAAGAGGTGCGCACTACTCTCGACGGCGGTTTCAATGTCAAGAAGAGTCTCAAGGTCCGAAAGGAGAAGATCGCTCTCTGGAAGGCTCAGAGGGAGGCTGCTCACGCTGAGACCTCTGCCTAAGCCGGGTCCTTGAACGGAGGCTAGCGTTGCTGGCTAGCCCGCATTCTCAGCAGGATACCCCTTCTCTCACCTGCCATATTCTCATGACAAGTTTATGTCTCGCACAAACTGTACTAATATTTCCAAACCATATCCATGATGACCCTCTCTGCACGAGTGATTGCTTCTCGAAACCTATTGCGAGTCATCTGGTCTTCAATCATCCACAGTTCCCTTTGCTGTTACAGATACTCAAGACTACCAGCTTTTATTGTGCTTGGTCGATCGAATGGTGTATTCCTTATTGGAAAAAATCGCAACCATACGCACAGAGGATCCTATGTTGGATCGCGCTGCAAGCTCGCCGCCTCATAACCGTGCCTTTTCACCTGTTGACTGCTTCGACTGTACTTCAGCGCTCAGCAGTTTGCGAATCTCTTTCCGCAAAATCTTGCCGCTCGCGCTCACCGGGATCTTGTCCAAAAAGCGAATCCCACCGCGAAGATACTTGTGATGCGAGACCTTGGCTCTTACGAAGGAGTCAATGTCCTTTGCCACCTTTGCATCTTTTGCGTGACCTGCCTTGAGCTCAACAAAGGCCAGTGGAAGTTCGGTGCCTTGTTGCTTGTCGTAGACACCGACAACCGCTGCAGCTGCGATGGCAGGATGAGAGACGAGCACGCCTTCCAGCTCGGCTGGGGCGACCTGGAATCCCTTGTACTTGATCAGCTCCTTGAGTCGGTCCACGATGCTGAACTCGCCAGTTCGAGGATTGACGATAGCTATATCTCCAGTGCGAAGGTAGCCGTCCTCGGTGAAAGTGTCTCGTGTCGCCGTCGGATTGCCATAGTAGCCTTTGCATACCTGTGGACCTTGGATCAGCAGTTCGCCGCGTTGGCCTGGCCCGAGGTGCTTGCCACTTTGTACGTCTCGAATCCGTGCCTTTGTTGCAGGGTAAAGACATCCAACTGAGCCCGATGGTTCGTCGCCGGGAAGGCCGAGCGCACCAACAGTGGTCTCAGTCATGCCAAATGCTTGCTGAACAGGTACGCCCGTCTTTTGTGTAAAGGCGTGTTGTGTCTCAAAATCTAACGGAGCCGCTCCACAGATCGCCTGCTTGACGCTGCGGAATGCTTCTGGTGTTGCATCTGGATGTTTGGTCAGCAAAGTGAGGACGGGCGGTACCAGCGTCAGAAAGTTGACGTTGAGGTCCGCCGCCAAACGGCAGTACGCTTCCGGCTGGAAAGGTCGCATTATGCTGGTATGTCCCCGCGTGCGAATCGGATAGTGCAGCATGAGGATGAGTGCGTATGCATGGAAGAAAGGCAGGAAGTTGAGAGCACGAAACTGCATCTCTGAACCGTCCTCATGCTTTGGGAAAAGAGTCGGCGTGTGGCGGAAGATCTCGACCATGTTGATGACGTTGCTGTGCGAAATCTCGACGGCTTTGGGTAAACCGGTTGTGCCACTGCTGAAAGGCAGATATGCCGTCTCGCTGAGATCTGCCGGAACGTGCAATTTGGCTTGCTTTGCAGCAGCCTCGTTGGTCATGAGGCCTTTGATCGACAGAACCCCGCCAAAGCCAGCCACGTCTCCGTCGGTGATGATGACAGACTGGCCACCGATGGCCGCCTTGCTGAGTCTGTGCATGTAGCGCGACTGGACGAAAACCTTTTTGGGCTTGGTGAGGCGGTACACATGCTTGAGCTCGGTCGGTAGGTAGTCCGGATTGGCAAGTGCGACACGAAGACCGGCAAACTGAGATGCGAGAAGAGCAACGGCAAAGTCGATGGAAGAATAGAGGTAGAGCAAGACAGTGTCGCCAGGCTTGAGCTTGCATTTGTGGACCAGGCCGGTGCCGAGCCTTTGCGCATCTAGCTTGAGTCGACCGAGACTGATGGACCTTCCGCCGCTGCATTCTCTCAGCACTTCTTGCTGATCATCAAAGTCGACAGAGCCGAGAAGATATTCGTATACACATGATGCAGTCTCGGGGCTGTAGTCGACATTCGAGGTGTAGATACCCGTGTCGGCATCACACCGCGTGTGTGTGCCTATCTTTTGCATCGCTGAGGAGTCCTGTCAGGCGAGCTTGTTGATCGCAAACACCAACGTCACAATGAACGGTAGCTTGTACGCACAGATTGTGACCAGGAGGCAAGCCGAAACGGGAACAGGTCAGACAGGAAACGAGAATCGTGATTGTGGATGGGATCAGGACAAGGTGGCGGTTGTGCTCCATCTGAATGCACCTTCGGCAACCGGTCACGGGGACAGCCGGTAGGATACACCACAAGTCGGGAAGGGGCCCCGCAATTATAGGTGTCACCTAATTCAAGCGTTGCATGCAGTACGAGTCTCACTGTGCCTTAAACTTGCTGGCGGGTCAAAAGCAGATTCACACGGTGCGCGGATAGTACATGTCACATCGCCTCAACTCGCTGAGCCTTACACGATCGCTGGTCGATCGGCGATCGTTCGACAGTGGAGGGAAGCACGGGCGTTCCGGTTCAGGGTCCAACAGCGACTAGCATATGTACAGTGTACCGTTTCAAGGATATTCTGCCGCACGGCTTCTGTCAGCTTGACCACCATCGAGCACACGAGACGACTGCTGGCTGATCGTCGAGACAGCATGTGTGCAGCAGAACCACACTTTGAGACGCGCGAGATGGCGGCGGATGCTGACCAGCCTCCGCCAGATCTCGCAGGCCTGTTCGTGGATTCGCATTGCCATCCCACCGACGATCCAGCCGCCTACACCTCATCCAATCTGGACCAACTTTCTGATCGCATCAGCAGCACGACAGTGGGTCGACTGGTATGCATGGCAACGAATGCAAGAGATCAGGGCATGGTCGCCGAGCTGGCATTGCGCCATCCCACCAAAGTGGTCCCTTGCTTCGGATGGCATCCATGGTTCGCCCACCACATCTCACTGTTCGACCCGCCACCGAACAAAGCGAAGCACTACCACGATCTATTCAGCATACCAGATGCATCCTCCGAAGAAGGAGATCGAAGCAAGGAAGAGCTCGATGCAATATGGGATCAGCTGCCGGATCCAATATCGCTCCGATCCGTGTGCCAGGGTATTCGCGAGCAATTCGATCGCTTCCCCAATGCGCTGCTCGGGGAGGTAGGCATCGATCGAGCTTTCAGGATACCTCGGCGTGCCTGGAACTACGATCCGCACAGGGCCGAGCCGGACACAACACTGCCGAAGTTGACAAAGCTCAAAACACCGCAGACGCACCAACTGTCCGTCTTGCGAGCGCAGATCGACGTGGCTCTCCACTATCGACGCAACATCTCGCTTCACTCTGTTCAAGCAGCAGGCCTCACAGTGGACCTTTTGACCTCGCTGCGCAACGCAGACATTTCGGCCTTCGGCGCCGTGCGCGTGTCGCTACACTCGTGCACGCTCGACAACAACGTCGTACGATCCATCACCAAGAAGCATGCCAACGTCTACGTTGGCTTTTCATCGACCATCAACCGCAAGCAGATTGCCGCGCGCGAGTGCCTCGGCAGCGTTGAGCGTAGTCGAGCATTGATGGAGAGCGACTACCACACGGTCAAGGGGATTCCGGGCTACCTGATGGAGGCAAACGACTACTTTGCTCAGCTGCACGGACTGAGCCCAGAAGCGGCGGCGCAACAGCTTCGATCAAATTGGGAGACCTTCTATTCTGGAAGAGCTCAATCAGACGGTTCAGGAGACGAAGAAGATTCCGATGGCGACAGTCAATGAACAATTTAATTGAATGAAATTTGGCTCAACAGAGCAATGCGAGTCTATTATAGGGGCGATGGTTGTGCTAGGAACGTTGGATGAGATGGTATGCTGGTGTAGCGCTCTATGCGTGCTGCAATTTTGCGTCGATGTGCGCTGCGGCGTTTGACGACGCAGGAAGGGTGCGGCCAAACTCGTCGACGGGAGGGAAGCGGGCCATGCGCTCGAGGTCGTCGAGATCAAGATGAGAACGAATGTACATGTTCTGCGTGTCGGTAGGCACCTGATAATCCCAAGAGGTCCAGGCGCCCTGCTTGAGGCTGGAAAAGACGAAGCGTCTGCGGCGCTGCACCGCCAGCACGTCCTCGGTGATCTTTGCCATGTCCCAACGCTTGAGTGCTTCAATCTCGAAAGCTTCGAGGGTCGCCCTTGTCTGTGCGTCGAGGGAGTTCCTGTCCGAAGCGAGGTTGATGAGCTCCCTGGGGTCGTGTGCCAGATTGAAAAGCTGAGGGGGGTCGACGGGACAAGTGACGTACTTCCAGGGGCCGCGACGGATCATGAAAAGGGGGGCGACGGTACCTTCTCCCATGTACTCTGCGATGACGGTGTCATGACCCGTTTGTCCGACGAGGTGCGGGAACATGCTGGTGCCGTCGAGCGGCAATTGAGGTTGCAGCGGGATGCCGATGATATCGCAAAAGGTGGGCAACAGATCCATGGTTGATACGTTGGCCTTTACCCTGCGAGGGGCAAACATCTTTGGGTAGTTGAACAGAAGCGGCACACGGACCGAGCTCTCAAAGTAGCTCATCTTGTACCACAAGGATCGCTCGCCAAGCATGTCTCCATGATCGCCACTGAAGACGATGATGGTGTCGTCGCGTAAGCCGCACTTGTCAAGCGTGCTGAGCAGCTCGCCGATCTTGGCATCAACGTACGAAACGGAACCATAGTAGGCGCGCTTGGCACGCTTGACCTGCTCGGGCGTAAAGTTTCTGCCCTCTAGGTCGCAGACGTGACGGAGACGCTTTGAATGAGGATCTTGCCTGTCTGGGTGGATCTCGACTTCGGGCATGTTGATGTCGACGCCTTCGTAGAGGTTCCAATACTCCTCCTCGATGGTGTAAGGGTCGTGCGGATGTGTGAAGCTAACGGTGAGAGCAAAGGGTCGCGCATCGGCGCCACCGCCACGGCGGCGGGCATGGTCAAAGAGATACTGCTTGGATTTGTAGAGGGCCTCTTCGTCGTAATCCATCTGGTTGGATCGTACGCATGGACCGGCTTGAAGGATGCTCGAGGCGTTGTGGTACCACTCCAGTCTGCGGTCCGGCTCATCCCAATTGACAGCCCAGCCATAGTCTCCTGGATAGATGTCGGCAGTGAGACGCTTTTCGAAGCCGTGGAGCTGATCGCCGATGAAGTGCATCTTTCCAGCCAGGACAGTCTCGTAGCCCGCTGAGCGAAGATAGTGAGCGTAGGTGGGAAGGTCGGAGCTGATGGAAGCAGCATTGTCATAGGAGCCAATCTTGGAGGGAAGCTGGCCGGTCACGAGAGCCATACGGGAGGGGGCACAGAGCGGAGAGTTGCAATATGCAGATTCGAGCACGACGGCGTCGCTTGCGAGACGATCGAGGTTTGGTGTCTTGATCTGAGACTTTTCGTTGTACATGCGAAGTTGCGGCGCGGCCAGCTGGTCGGCCATGACGAAAAGAATATTGGGACGACTGGCGGATGCAGCAGAGCTCGAGGGGCCCCCAGCGTTGAAAGCGGAGTCAGCGCGCCCATTGGCATGGTTGCCATTGGACGAATGTCCGTTGGCCTGTGAGCCATATCCGTTGATGCCATGCAGTTGAGCAGTGTTTCCGTTGGTGTGGTTGCCATTCACATGGTCACCATTGAGCGCAGAAGCACTGGTTGCAAGCGCTGATGCGCGACCGTTCGCCCCGTGACCGTGGGAAGCGGCGAACTGGCCAAAGTCGGCGCCATTGACGGCACCGTTGCCATTCGTGGACTGTACAGGCATCTCGAGGAAGTTATGCAACTGGGTGCTTTGCTTCTTACCGAGTGACTTGCACAGCAAGAGCCAGCGTTATGCACGAGAAGGGCGAGATGCTCGGGACCAAAGGGAGCGATGTGATGGATGGACGAGAAGAAAGAAGGGAAGGACGTTGAGGGATGAACGCGACGATGTGTTCAAGATTCGGGGCTCACGGCGCGTGCTAAGGTCAGACGAGGGGGGGCCACGCATCTTCCGGGCAACAATCCTGAGCAGGATGCGGGGTCCGGCTACTCTATGCAGCAAGTTCGATACGAGCCGACGATCATTTGGAAAGCAGCGACTCGAGCGTCTGCATCCTTCTGTGCGTCGGCATGAACGCGCTCGTTAGGGAGAAGCTTGGTAGCTGTCGGTCGGTCATGCCGAGTCGAATGTTCTCAGAGGATCGGAATGGCGTGCGTGTATGATTGTAGTGTGTGTGTGTTGGTGTGGAGAAAGTGCGAAAAGCACGCAATTTTCAACGTAAAGCGTGCAATCGCTCGAAATCTCGAATCACCTTCATCTAGAGGACAGCGCCGTCGGTCAAGTCGGTGTGACATGGTCCGCTGCATCAAGAGACTCGAGCGTCCTCACACTCGGACGAACAAGCTCCGACCGACGTCTCAAAATCAGAACAGACGCTGCAGTGGACTTTCCACGTTTAAATCGCTTGCATGACCGACAGCGGACGAGCGTACAAGCGGTCGAGAAGCAGTGCTCGTGTGACGAGACCCTTATCTTGCCTGCATAATTTTGCAGCGAAGACCTCCTGCACCTGCATAAAGCTTTTCTTTCTTGTCGGGTGTTGAAAGCGCAAGACTGCCGAGCAGGTTCTTTGAATCGGGCGATCTGGCAGAGTTCTCCGGCCGATTCTCGATTCCCAGCAGCCACGATCTTGGCTCAAAGATGGCAGGCAACTCGACAAGCTCAACCTTGAATGAGCAAGCTATCCTTCGGACGCTCGGGATCCCAAACCATACACTGTACACAAGCTTGCATCATTCTATTTGGCTCTCGTTTTCTCGCTGTATCTGTGCTTTGAAGTTCGTTCAACGTCGTACATCCCTAAGAGACCGAGCACGGCATTGGGTGTGTTCGAAGCCGTAACGGAACGACGCTCATCAACTCGTCTTCCTGCCTTTCCCCTTCATGGCGGGCCCTTTGATTCGGGCCTGAAGTCGAACGACTGCTAGTCCGACGAGGCACGATGTTGCGCCTGCACCGGCGTAGAGCGCAATACGTTGAGGAGTGCTCAGGATGTCCAGCAGAGGGTACGGGTAGTGTCCGTTCATCTGAGCACATTTTTCGGCCCAGAGACTGTGTTGGCCAAAGTTGGAGATCATCGAGAGTCAGCGATGATGAAACACTGATGAAGACAAGACGATGCGGATCCTAGTTGTACTTACGTATAGCCCACGGTTACGGATCCAGCCACAGCCACGATCGGTATCGATTTGGGAAGCGGTCGACTGAACGCAAAAAAGTCGACCAGCAGGAACACGCCAGGAAACGCGTGCATGCTGGCATCGATCGAGAATGGCACCGACACCGACTCCTCGCGCAGAACCTGTCCTGGGTTGGCAGGATCCATTATCTTCCTGGGCTGCATTAGCAGATCCTTGTTGATGGCTACAATGGACCAGTACAGCAGCGTGATCAGCGTCTCCATCGGCAGAGAGGCGGCCATGAATAGATCCTTCATCCAGCGTAGTACTGTTGACCCATGCAAAATGATCGGAAGAGCGATGGTCAGTTTGGCTGCGCCGTCGACTGACCTATCAAAGACGGTCAAACATGCTCACCTTCCGGTCCTTGCGTGATGTCCAGTAGCAGCGCGAGCGACATGGCGGCAGTGGTTACCGATAGCCCGCACATGGTCAAGAACTGCAAGGCGCCTGTAAGATTCCCAATCCCAGTGCGAGGTCAGTCAGTATCGCCCAGTTGTCCAGCAACGTGATCGACAGCAGGATCAACGGAGCATGTGCAGCTGCAGACCGGGGTCGACATACCTCCGTACTCGTTGTTCATGTCGACGCCGAGGATCTCAGGTAGCACGTCGAGCGACTTGAAGCCATAGATACACGAAGACAGCGCTATCGCGTGCCAGGCCAACGCCGCTACTCTTCTTGTCGATGCCGCCATCCCTCGTGATTGATGACGAACTATGCTGAAGATGGACTCGACTGTTGTCGCAAGGATGGTGATGGTAGATTGATTGATGCTTTCAACGGGATCGTCGACGCTTTCTCGCTTCTGCACAGCTGGCAAGTGCGGTGCTAGCCGGTGTACACTAGAAAGCCTGTACCGATCCAACATCGCGTCGGTCGAGCCATGTCACTCACTTGAGACCCACACTTTGAGAGCAACCGCGCAGCACGGCGCACGGCAAACCATTCCGAAGTGGAGGACATTCCGACAAAGCCCGCGGAACGCAACTAGTCCCTCCGGAAAAGGCATGGCCGACGGTTATTTTTCACACTGTCCTGCATTTTAGCGCCAAATTTAAGCGTTGTTTTTAGGCCAAACGTGCACCTAGACTTCTCTCGATACGCTCATATCGATAAGTTCGCGTTACGACGCCAGCAAGGTGTTTGTTACTGGCTCACCTCGAATGATCACGGCCAGACGGTTTAGACATAGGATACGATGGCGATGCAGATGATCGAATGACTATTGTACAGGCCGGTGACGAGAACCCTGAGATGACTACAAAAAATGCGATCTATAAGAAGAGCTTTTGGAAGCAGAGTGTCCGTGTGAAAAGAGTAGTATGCAATTGCACTTCTTCAGAGTCTGCTCTCGCGGAAGAAGGGGACTGTAACGTCGGTCTCGCGCCAAAAGCGAAGAATGCGGTGAGCAATCTCGATGGGTCGCTCGTGTGGCAAGTTGTGCGTGCCCGTCATGACCTCAAAGTGGAGGTTAGGGATGCTTTGCGCCGTGTGGAAGATCTCTTCCAGTGGCAGCAGCAATGGCTTGTGTGCAGAGACGAACAAGACCGGAAGACGTGCGGGCAGACAGTGCAGGTATTGCGAGACCTGCATACCAGGTCGGTTTCCACGAATCGAGAGCGCTTCGGCTACCTTGTCCGCACTGCGTTCGTAGGTGCCTGGAATCGTCAAAGATTCCGTCAACATTCCCGCAGCAAACGCATCGCGCACCGACGGGTGCCACAACTGCATGTGCTTGTCCGTGTCAGCTTCAGCGCGTGCCTCCTCGCGCGACTCCCAGCGGTCCTTCTTGAGCAAAGTGTACCGAGCCAGCGGTACGGCGTGAATACGGTCAACCTGTTCGAAGGTGCCTAGGATGCTTTCCAACAGGATCACCGAATCGAACAGGTCTGGAAAGTGATAAGACGCTTGCGTCAGTGCTGCGCCGCCGAACGAGTGGCCGATACCCACAAGCTTCTTCCTGGGCAAGCGCGGAAGGTGGAAGTCGAGCGTCCTCGATGGTTCGACCGGAGTCGAGGTGCGTGTTGAGGGCATGAAGCAGCAGATGAACTGCAAGATGTCGCGGGCGAGATCGTTGCCGTCAATGCAACGATCGCTGAACTCCAGAGGGGAAGGGTCATCGAGCTGTCGATTGACCACAGCCGACATGCCGTGGCCAAGGGTATCGATCATCCAGATCTCCTCGATCTCGTTGGGCTTTGTCCTCAAGAGCTCATCCACGATGGGGATGAAGCATTCTTTCGTGAAGCCGAGACCGTGAGTGAGGATAAGGATCTTAGCGTCTGGGTTGGTAGGTGCACGCTTTGGGATCAAGCGCTCAACCACCAGGACACGCCGTTTACGCAGCTGCTTGGGGTCGGTGCCTCCTCTCACGAAGGGTGTGTACAGTCCAGGAGTGGGTTCCACTTTCACGGGCACAAAGTGGCAGGCGTCAACAGCGCGCGCGTTCTGCGACAGAACCTCGTGCGTTCCTGGCAGCAATTCGGAAAGCGAATCGCCGCCAGCCAGAGGCTCGGAGTAGGTGGCGCGAGGGTAAGCGATGGGCATGGTGAAGCTGCTGCGGTGAAAGTCAGCGCCGTGAGAGGAGCCAGCAGGGTACTGAGGGGCGGGTGGGTTGATGGAGAGGTGGTGTAGGCGCTCTGCAGCAAAGTGAGCTGCTTCGAGGTCGATAGAGGCGAGGCAAGAGCCGAAGCCCGTGTTGATCTGCTTAGGTGCCTGCATCACGAAGGGTTGCGCTACCGAGGTCGGAAGAATATGAAGAGAACCTGACCAGCAGGAGCGTGGAAATGGTTGTGGTGATTGAAGCTTGGAGATACCAGATCTCAGAGTCGGACCCGACTGCCGTAGCCGTACAGGGTGAGAGGTGAGGTGGCGAGGTGGTGAGGTCAAGGTCGAAGATAGGGTAACGTGTAGGGGATCGTCGCGGAATGATCGCCTCGAAGGGCAAAGGTAGATATATGCCGAGCAGAATCCAGTCATTGGCGTGTTTACAGTGCGCTATCTCTGGCAAGCATCGACATGAGGGCAGCCCTCAGCCACAGGACACCAGAACGACTGTATTCGGCAGACTCGAACTTGCTAAGTGAATGGAGCTGCGGCCTGTCAAACTCCCATGTGTTGATCGATTGCGCTGAGACAGTTCCCAGGGAGGCGTGAGCAACGTTTCAGACCATGCTGCCGAGATCCTCAGGCGTCACTGAATGGCTCTCGGACCCTGATGTGAACTTTGAACACCGGTCAGTCTGGACGGTAACCCCCAGGAACAAGGTGACGGAGGACAGCGACAGTGCCCTGGCGCAGGTTTAGGTTGAGAGGGCGCAAGTCGTGTACAAATTGTGGCTGTCTCGGGCCAGGGGATCGACGTCTCAAACTTGTGGCCATGCTCGCAGCCCAGGAACGGAGGCGGTGGAAGAAGAGCCACGAAGAAGGCGAGGGCGCTTAGTATGCAGGTGGGCGGGTCGAAGTCGCGGCCCTGTGCAGAAGATGTCCCATCTTCGGAATTTTCCCAGACGCTTCCGAAGTGAATCATGCTCCCTTTTGACCTCGTCACTGCCGAGAGACATCCTCATCTCTCCTCAGATGCCCTTGCCGCCTTGGCGATCATCATTGTCGATCATGGTTGGTTCCCATGCTATCCAGCATCTCTCGGTCCAGGTCGCATACGACTTTTACGTAAAGCTGCACGAGCTTGCGTGCTGTTCGTCGCCAGATTCAGATCGGCCAGAAGCAATCAAGGATTTCCTTTGTATTTCTGAGTCTGGCAGCCCCTCGATTGACACCCAACCAATATTTGTGAGGCGTGTTCAACGTTGATCAGGAGTGGTAAAGTGTCTCCGCTGCTCCGCTATGGTCTAGGTCCTGGCCGACGCGACCAGTCCTGCGTCGAGGCTCCCACAAAGGACCGGCTTGCGAGAGGTGAAACACTTTGGATGGCCGCGGGAACAGCGCGAACGGATGAAGAACCACGAACACTTATTCCGAAAATGGCGAAGGCGCTGTTGGACACACTTCAAAATCACGAAAATCATATTCGTGTTTTGATTACAAATTTTGTGTCTGCTTTTCGACTCTGGGCTTGAGCACAGGTTTCACCTGAATCCAAATGTGTCAGATTTTGTATTCCGACGTGTTGAATGCTGCTTCCCATTCGAATACAATCGCGAAAATCAACCGGGCTTCAAGGAGAATTCAAACCAGCAAATTGCGCCAACAGCCTCTGCTGCCACGCTTCTGGACTTTCTCTGCAAGCGGCCAACGTCGACGACGCTTGCGGCGCCGTGCTCCCCAGTGCCGCCTCCGCTGCAGGCCCCTCCTCATTCGCCGGCAGGATGCTGAACAGTCATCATACTGCCAGCATCAGAAGCTCGAACAGCTATTCACGAACAGGAGCATGTGGCATCGTACGGTCAAGAGTCGGAAGAAAAAGCCGAGCCTTTCCACTCATACATCGAGCTTTCGCGGGAAACAGAATCATCCGGGTGGCTCACATGGTACCGAAGGGCAGGAAGAAGCGAGGAAAAATGTCTTTCGGAGCTTAAATCTTCAGCCCCGCCAATCGCGGCTCTGACCTCTTCTCGAGCTTAAACGCCAAAATATCGATGCCGTCCATCTATGCAGCATACGATAAAGCGGGTAGCTTTGCAAGACAATGCATTCATCGGAAATCGGAGTCATAAGGCTGGGGAGCCTGTCTCGAAAGAATATGCACGTTCCACACCATCAAAGAGACATTCGTCGCAAGTGTTCGTTCGACCTTCTTGAGAGCTCGAGTTCTGGAGTACGATCCCACAAAGGCGTTGCAAGGTCGAAGCCACTGCGTCGTCTGTGGAATGGACCTCGTCGTCACATGGAGACAGGCCGGATTTCCACATATAGTTCCGCGGGATGAATGCGACCCACGTTGCCCGCGTTCGCATCTCCTCTTGACGTAGGACGAATGTGCACTCACATTGATCAACGTATTCAACAAGCTCTCATCGTATCACCACGTACCACGGCTACGTCCCCTGAAGCATGAGGAGACCAAGAGAGTCAAGCTATCAGAACGATCGTCGTGTTTCGCCTGACGCCATCCTGAGCGACGCTGAGGGTGATTCGAGGCAGACATGGGTCCGATTAGAGCTTCCGAAGCTGTTCCACTCGTCCACACTCGAGCTTCTAGCGGGCTTTGTGCAACGAGGCATGTCCGAGTACAACTGATACCAAGAGGGCCGTTCGGCAGGAACCGAGGGACGCGGTGGGCCGATCTCCTGACCTGACTCAAGCGAATCCACTAACGCTTTCAGTTTTGCGTCAGTTCTTGGCCTGAGGTTTCTCTGGGAGGATGCAGCCAGGAACCCTGCCGTGCTTATCTACGACAAAGCCTGATACTCCATATCCTCCCATCCAGTGGAACTGATCGAGGCGGACCGTCATACCCCGAAAAAGACGCGAGTCGGAGCTGCTCAACAAGACATACTTAACTTGTCTCAGCCGGTCTCGCTTGACATGTACAATTTCATCCACGTTCATCAAGAGATACAGGGTTGCAGTAGGTAAGGTACTTGTTGAAGTTCAGCTGTCGATCAATACACGCATGGGAACATGGGCTGCCAAATGGGTCCGATCTGACCCAACTGCATCGATAAGGACTTTCGAGATACTTGCATGCTCCATAGCATCCCTTGGCGCCGAACAGACGTCAATGATCAATCATAGCCGGGCATCAGTCGTTCGTGAGCTGGCGTCCACGCCGCCATCGCCAGATCGAATGCACACGGACCGCTGCGGTACTGAAAGCCGATCGCGCACGGTCATCGAAGGATCACATTCAAGTGGTTGAAGGTTCCAAGATCTGGTCATTGACATTACTAATTACGTTCGCGAATGAAAACAGTCAACGAAGACCTTAGAAGACCATGCAGAGACGACCCTGAAGCTTCTTTGAAGTGTAGTGCTCAGCCATGTCGTTCGCCTGGTCGACGCTGTACGTCTTCTCGATGAAGGTTGTGCAGCCGTTGTCGGCATGCAAGTTGATCATATCCTGACACTGTTCAGGCGTGCAGATCAAGCGACCGCGAATGGTCTGTTCCTTGAAGTTCATGGCGAACGAGTCGAGCTCGAAAGGTCCGTCGGCGGGGAGACCCACATCGACCAGCTGACCACCTTTGCGCAGGAATTGCTGGCTGAACTTGATGAGGCTGCGGTCCTCGCAGTTGATGACGACGCGGTCAACGCCAGGATTTGTCTCGTACAGGCTGCTAGAGAGCTCATCGATGCACTTCTTCTGCGCCTCCTCGGAATCGATGAGGAAGGTTTTGTCCGGCTTGAGGTGGTCGGGCGACTTGTTGGCGAGCTCCAACCCCTCCTTGCGGTTGTCGATGGCGATGACTTTGCAGCCCATGGCCTTTGCATACTGGACACCGAGGTGGCCAAGACCGCCGATTCCCACCATTGCAAGCCACTGTCCCTTTTCCGGTTTGACGGCAAGCAGAGCTCCGTAGACGGTGGCACCAGCACAGAAGAGCGGCGCGGCCTGGTCGAAAGGAATACTCTCAGGAACCTTGGACACGACACGAGCGTCGGCCTTCATGTACTGCGAGAAGCCGCCGTTGAGCGTGAGACCGAGCATACCGGGCATGTTGTCGCAAAGTTGCTTTCCCTGCTTGCAAGAGTCGCACTTGCCGCAGAAGCCGTACGTGTTGATTGAGCCGACGCGGTCGCCGACCTTGATGCCCGACTTGCCGGCGTCGGAGCCGGCCTTGACTACCGTCCCGACGGGCTCATGTGAACCGACCAGGCCCGGCTTGGCACCTTGCGACTCGTAGACACCCTCCATCACCTGCAAATCGGTATGACAATAGCCGGCGGCAGCGATCTTTACCAGGATATCATTAGGCCCAAGGTCGGTGGGGACGTCGATATCCTTGATCTCGTAGCCTTTCTTAAAATCCTTGATGGTGGCTGCACGCATCTTTGATGGAACCGATTGTGTTGACATGGTGAAGTATTGCTTTACAGTCGATGCGAGGATGGGCTGTTGGGTGGATTTCGTGAATCTGATGGGGGTCTAGGGAATAGGTTGGTATCGGATTGCGATGGATTGTCTTATATGACCAGCAACCCTCTCTGCACTGCTCGAGGTGAGCGTGCGGGTGCTGACTCTTGCATCTCGTGAGCCGGTATGAGAGACTGAGTCTGTCAGACAGCCCTCGCCATGCCGAGTAAGGGCTCTGATCGGAGGCAAACACACGACATCTGAGCGAGGCTCGAAGAGCGTCATCACTACGGACCCAACACCTTGTTTCCGCTGACAAAAGGGTGCTTTGCGCAGATGACACCGTCTCGCTGATGTGCCTGGCCGGCACTTTCATGAGTGTCGGAAGGCTGACTCATGGGGAAAAGAACAACACTGTTTCCCGAAAATCAGGGCGTGGTACTCGTGGGATGCAGGCGTGATTCAGCAACAACGTCACGGCAAACCACCGGCGGACCTGTTGGCCTGTCGATCTGCTTGCCGATGACGCGCCTGACGTCCAGTAACGCAGAGTTGGCTGTCGCACGACTCACTGTTTGTTGTGGATGTGATATGTTAGAGCGGCGTTTTCTTCGTCTTGATCGATCGGGGTCCGACACAAACACATCACCGTTCCGTCAGTAAGCCTGCACAGTGGCTCCATTTCTTCGGACCAGCCTCCACACAAGGGTCAGGATTCCTTGAATGCAATCACGGGTGGAGGTGGAGTGGGAAGGGTCACAACTCGGCAAACACGAACTCGACCTTAAGCTGCAGTTTCGAGTCTCTGTCTGGTGCAGCTGGATGTCGAGCGACATCCTGGATTATTGTCCGTGCGCGGGCAATCGTTCGCAGACCCTGCGCTCAGCCCTTTGAGGCCGGAGCCACCCTCATATCTCCGTTGCTTTGCGGAAAGAGGCGTGCACCCTCAGGTATCTCCCTGTTTGCGGACAATTTTGGCTCTAGCTGAGAGCGCCGATGTTCGACGCCGCGCATTCTCGTCACTAGGCATTTGAGTCGAATCGTCTGGGTAGAAGGAGAACCAGGTCCATCGTATTGGATCCCCTCTCCCTCCCATCTTTCATACATTCTCAATCGCATTGATCCATAACGAAACCATGTCTTCTCTGCCCAAGACGTACAAGGCGGCCATCTTTGAGAAGCAGGGCCAGCCTCTCACTCTCAAGGACATCGAGCTCAAGCATCCCGAGGACGGTCAGATCCTCGTCAAGGTGAGTTCCTCGTCCAGGCACAGGCAGAGTTCGCTCATACCGCCGGGGTGCGAAAGGTTTGAATTCCCACACAGATGGCTGAAACGAAGTTGAAGCTGACGCTGAAACCGATTCTTGACAGGTCGAGGCTTGTGGTGTATGCCACAGTGACAAACTTGTTCAGGACGCAGCCTTCGGACCTCTCCCCCGCATTCCAGGCCACGAGATCGTCGGCAAGGTTGTCGAGGTTGGCCCTCACGTTACCAAATGGAAGAACGGAGACCGCGTCGGCGGCGCTTGGCACGGTGGCCATGATGGCACTTGCCGTCAGTGCAACCAGGGCTTGTTCCAGATGTGCGATAACGGCCAGATCAATGGCGTAACCCGTGACGGTGGATGTAAGTTGGAACACCGCCGTTTCCGATTCGTGCTCAGTCAGAAACTGACCTTGACCCTTCATATTCCATTCGTCTCGGTCCCTTTGGGCATTCGCCAAACGCACCCGAACTACAGACGCTGAGTACTGCCTTCTCCAGGCCGAAGCCGCCGTTCGCCTGCCCTCTGATGGTGATGCCGTCCAGATGGCTCCTCTCATGTGCGCAGGTGTCACCGTGTACAACGCTATCCGCAAGATGAACATCACTGCTGGCGAGATCGTTGCAATCCAGGGTCTCGGTGGTCTTGGCCACCTTGCGGTCCAGTACGCCAGCAAGATGGGTTATCGAACCGTCGCACTTTCTCGTGGTACCGACAAGAAGGACTTTGCCACGAAGCTCGGCGCCACCGACTACATCGACACTAGCAGCCAGGATCCTGCTGAGGCTCTTCAGAAGTTGGGCGGCGCCAGCCTCGTAGTTGCTACTGCGCCAAACCCGGAGCACATTTCGCCATTGGTAGGCGGATGCAGAGCAATGGGAAAGCTTCTCATCCTAGCACGTAAGTAGCAGTCATTCTCGTGCCTCTAGCTCAAACAGATCGATGGCTGACCCTTTGCGTCTTGCATTGTTGTGGTGTGCAAATTTCTGTCTCGCAATGTCACGACAGCCGTTGGAGACATCCCTGTCAACTCGATCGCCATGATCACCAAGGGCATCTCGGTGCATGGCTGGCCTTCGGGTCATGCCCTCGATTCGGAGGATACCGTCGCCTTCAGCCAACGATTCGACGTCAAGTGCATGTGTGAGACCTTCCCTCTTGCCAAGGCCAATGAGGCCTTCGAGCACATGATGGCCAACAAGGCTCGCTTCCGTGCCGTGCTTACCATGTAAAGAGTGCGGAGTATCCATGCTGCTGATCTGCGGCGCCTTGACGGCCCTCGCCACAGACATCGCCGATACCCGCTTGCTTCCAACTGACGTCCTTGCGCCAACAGAGCTTGGACTGCTTTGCGGCTTCGTTGCTCAAATCTGGAATGTTTGGTGCCAATCAATGGACAACCGACGGATATGATGTGCTCGGGTCCGTGCTCCTGTGGTCTCGTGATCGACGCTCTCGAAAAGGTCCATCTACTCCGGAGTCTCACTGTGCGTCTGCTTGATCCTGGGACCGAGGACGTCCCAAAGCTCTCTTGCCTGCTGACCCGACCAACTACTTTGATGTGCAGCTGAACATGACATATTTACTCTCGTCAGATCTATGTAACTGCTATCAAGTAGAATGTGAGAGGATCGAGTGTGCACATGTTGCTGAGATTGAGGCGTCCTAGGTCAAGCCTCAGGGGACGGCAAATGAGAGCCCCCTCTTCAAAGTTGGAGCCCCGCGCTGCTCCGTCATGTACTCTTCACTCCATGCCCATGTCTCAAGAATATTGCGTGGTTCAGACTAGGTCAGTGCCACCTTACCTTGCACCCGCTTCCCAGCAGCGCTGCCGAACAGTCACTGAGCCGGGTTAGTCGTCGCGGCTCCTCCACGGGCGGTTGGCAACTGTAGGAAAGAAGTGGAAATGAGTTATGCGCCACGTGAAAAGTACGCACAAAAGGGCGAGCGTTCTCGCCTGAACTGCGCTCTGTCCCTGATAGCCCTATAGGTACGCCCGGACTCGCTATCCTGCATTAAGAAGTGCATGTTGGTACCTCGCAACACTGAATGTTCCTGAATCTCTTGCACCGAACTCCATGATGGTCAGTACCGTTGCGTATGTTGTATCAACTGCGTTTTTGGGCTTGACTGCGGATCTGGTGGTAGTGCATGTTCGTGAGCATGGCTGTCTTCTGAATGTGACTGGACTTTGTCTCAACTCTGAAGAAGTGTGGAAAGCCGCGCTACTTGAAAGTTCCAAACAAAACCTATGCCAGATAGACGACGCTCAAGCAACCGGCAACGTCCTCATCAAAACGCTGAAAGGCGCGTGGAGTTCGAGCTCGTCCATTCACATCCTCGTTGAGGGAAAAGGATAGCTTGTTGATGGCAGCGAAACAACTTCGTCGTCCTAGCCTTAGGGTATAGGCGGTCAGCGAGCGACGATGTTGCTCAGCGCACCGCAGACAAGTACGCGTGGTCTGGTTGGATCCCCCCGGTCAGCGCGAACTGCGTGGCTCCCTGCCGAATTGTAAAACATTTGAGGCCAGAGACGCTTGAATTTGACTCTGCTTCAATGCCCAAACCAACTCCTAACTCTAATCCTAACCAACTGTACTGTAGTCCAGCTTTCCTGAGCCCTACCTGTCTCGGTTCCAGTCTGCTTCTCCGCCGGTCTTCCAGAGATCGCGCAGGGTCCGTCTGACCTGCGCGGAAGACAGGGCACTTAAACGTCAGCTTCGAGACGAGACCCGGTCGGATTCACCCAACTCGTGTTTAGCTTGCCCCAAACCGAAAGACATACATACCCTTCGTCCGTGCACGGAGGATTACACGAGAAATGCAACTAATACGTGCCTTCAAGACGCGAGCTTCTAAAGCCGACTCATGTGGTAGAAGACCAAACTTCGACTATGGGTCAGCAAGCGCAATACTGGACCGATGAACACGCTGGCTATTGGAACCTGAAATTTTACATTAGATGTGCCTTGACTGCGCAGAATCGGGCTTCCAGCAACAATGACGTCTCGAGAAGCGGGCCGAGCGCAGAGCGAGCGGCAAGAGAGGGTGAGGGTAACTGTTAGGGTAGACAAAAAGAACATTGCCACTAAGGTCACAATCAGTGCTGCGCGGCTAAGGAGACATGGAGGATAGAAGGGAGGTGAGGATGAACCAGAAGAATTGGTCCGTAAAGGCCTGGCCTACAGACTCAGCCCAAACTCTGGAAAAGGGATAGTAAAATCCCGCACCATTTGCTACTCACAGTACTGTACATTCATTTCGGTGTCACTCGAGCCGCTGTCAGTCGACTGAGGCTTGTGGCCGGCACTAACGCCCCGAAACGGGTCCTTGGGCATCGCTAGAGCTGTTGGTGGAGCTGTCGCTCGACTTGTCGTCCGACGAACCGCCCGAGAGCGCCTCGGCAAGTCCGTCGGCCGAATCGCCAGAGCTAGCACTGGAGCTACCATCCGATGAGCCGTCGGCGAGGCCTCCACCATCATCGCTGATGGAGCGGTCGTCAAAGCTGTCGTCGTCATCTTTGTCGTCATCTGACTGACGGAGCACTAGGCGTTATGGTCCCGAACAGTAGGTTTGCTCCAGCGGTTACTTACCACTGAAAGTTCCCGCTGCCAGGCCCAGCCAGAATCGGTGCTGACGTTAAAGCCAGTGCCACTCGACCCGCTGCCAGTCGAACGATTGACTGCGCCGTCTTCATTGATGAGGTTGCCGGCTTTGCTTTTGACGAGATGCTCAGTTTCGCCGAGCAGCTTCTTCTTTTTGCAGCCAAGGAGGTTGCTGACGTAGTAGAGCCACTTGATACCTTATTCTTGTCCTTGCCGAGTTTGGTAAGGACCGGCTTCGATCTCGACGGGCTTGGAGCCGGAAGTCCAGTCCTCCTTGCCGACCAGGCCATGGAATTCGAGTAGGGAGTCAAGTTCAGAGAGAGGATGCTTCTTCTTGTAGCCGAACACGTTGAGGACCCAGAAAAGGTACTTTACTACCGTCTTCTTTTCGCTCCCGAACTTGGAGAGGAGCTAATGCAGCTTGCATTCGAGCGCCGCATGGTCGAGGGTTCGAGGGGCGTACGAGTGCGAAGCGTCGGGCGCGGTGGAGGAGATAAAACGAGAGACGATGGCGTTGCCTGCATCCCGCGCTTCGAGTATCGAGTCATTTCCAACGATTGGAGCGGCAGAGCTGCCTGCCAAAGCCACTGCCGCCAGGACAGCAAGGTATCCGTGAACTTCTTCCTCGTTTCTTCGCAGGGATGGAGCTTGTAACAGGATGGGGAAGTAGCGAACGAGGCGAGGTACGGGATGGATGCCGTTTACATACCTTCTCTCAAACGATCATGTATCCAAAACTACGAAAGCAGTATCCATCGGCATCTTTTGCTGTAGCAATATCAGCCCTCACCGACCATCGGCGCGACAACCAACAACAGCCCACTTGCACACCACAGCATTCGCCGCTACCGTTCGTCGCTCCGAATCCCTCCGCCATACTCACAAATTCCCAGACTTCCAGGCGCTGACCAATTATGTCATTTACGCTCATTGCAACCCACAAGGCCGGTACGTACAGCTTGAAATCAATTTTACCGCCCCCTTCGCCATCAGATCCACCGAGTTAATCAAGACGCCATTTGAAAGCAACCAAGGACGTACTACCCAGCCGCCACATGTGTTTTTAGCAGCTCGTGAGCCAAGCAGAGGTGCTGTATCGCGCTGAACGCAACATCAAAACCTTCTTTTCCGCCTCACGTTGATGGGCAGCTCGGCGAGTGAGCGATTGAAGAGCTATGCCGATGGTTTGCAGCCATACTGGCGCCTAGCGACAGCCAAAAAAAATAAGAAAACAATGGAAATTCAACTCGGCGAGCTGAAAATCATTTACGCCAATTATTTTTGGCGCTATTGCAACTGGTACGCTCTTAAGGGCGAAAGTTCTCGTCGGAGAAGGTCTGCAAGCTGTTCATCCGTGAAGCCGTAGAGGACCTTAACGATGTTCGATCACCTGCTCAGTGAGTCTGGAATGATGATCATCGTCAAGAAAAGCTCAATCCCTCGTCAGCGACGCCCTCATGATGGTCTGCCGAGAGCTCCGAGAACCACAGGGGCTGGGCGTCGGGCTTGATCCGCAGCAGCCACTGCTGAAAATGCTGAGGCCCAACCTGTGAAAGTCTGAACTCGATTGAGTTTTCTTATACTGGGTCCATCAACCATGGTCAGCCAGCAAACCCCGTCTCATGAGAAAAGCTGACGCTATGAAATACGCCGAAACATGTAAATGCAGATTTTCGGGTACGTCACGGTGATAAGGTTGACTATACCCTCTCCCAAGACCGTACTATTATTTCAGAAAATGGGTTTCGACGAGACCTCCGCGCTTGTAGATAACGGATTATATGCGTCCATCATAACAATAGCGGGAACGATAGCGACAACGGCAATCAATGACTATAACAAGTGGGGGACAGCGAACGGAAGGATCAGCGAACGGAAGGATCGCCAGGGTGCTTGATGTTGACGATGATCTTACCCAGTGCCCTACCTGTCATGAGCCGCTCGTATGCTTTGGGTGCATCGTCAAAGGTAAATGTTGAGTCAATCGGACATGTCACTATGTTGGTGACCAGATACCTGTCAGTGACTTCGGGCATAGCACCACGAACGAATTCGCCCCAACTCGATTTACGAGGCACGCCACCCAGCCACCAAGGTAGGTAGAGGGAACCAAGGTTGCGCAAGAAGGACAAGCTGGACCAAATAGATCCGTCTGGCTTCATGTCAGAAGCGCCAACATTAGCGTATTCGCCGCTCTCCTTCAGATAGGCTGCACAAGCGCCAAAGACGGCAAAGTCGCCGACAGTATCGAGAATTACGTCGAACTGCTTTCTTGAGTGATTGCGTCTGAGTGTCTGCACAACGTCCTCTTCACGATAGTCGATGATCTCATCTGCTCCTCGTGCCTTGACTGTGTCCTTCTTGACTCCGCTTGCAGTCGCGACTATGTGTCCTGCACCCTCGGCTTTGAGCATTTGCAGCAAGATAAGTCCGACGCTCGTGCTGCCGCCGAGGACAAGAACCTTGTTGCCGGCACGAGCCTTACGTACTAGGTGCAGCGCTGTTGTTGATACGAGCGGCAGGCCGGCCGCTTCCTCTGAGCTCAGACTTGCGTCAATCGAAGCAGGAATTGCGGCCAGGTTCTCGACTTGCACAGAAACATGCGTGGCCAGAGAGCCCTGACCGTATCTGACCGAAGTTTCCACTGGAATCATGCCCAAGACGCGCGTTCCCGGTTGAAAGCGCGATTGATGCCCAGAGGTGAGGTTTGAGCCGGTGCGAAGGATTACGCCAGAGAAGTCCGTCCCAATGGTCCTTGGGAACTTTTGAAAGAAGCCAGGAGCATGCGCCGGTATCTTCCATTCGACTGGTTTATTTTGATGGTGATGCAGGGTCAATGGTCGACTCGATTCAATTGCAACAAGTGTGCTTCGGCACTGCAAACACAAACTTGTTTGATCACGACTGTGTGCCGACTCACCTGGGTTGATGGAGGCACTGTGCACTTCTACCAGCACTTCGCCTTGCTTTGGTTTGGGTATAGGTATCGTCTCCTTTTTCATCGTTACAGGCAGAAGGCCGTTCCTGTAGATTCGCCATGCTATCGCATTACCTTCAGAATTGACATTCTGGGTTACCATCGTGGTGTCTTCTAATCTTGCGTTGATGCGTGTGGGAAGTCGATGAATGTGATGCGGTCAATACATCAATCGAACATGATGTCGAAGCGGTCAAGGCTGTCTTATGTAGTTGAGGTCAGATGCGTTCCAGTTACCGCCGAAGCTATTCCACCGGTTACCACCGACACCACCACCACAACTCTGCGGACAAAGGCTGGAATCAATTCCCGCTCCAATTGACTTCCATGACTATGACCCGATCTTCGACTCTGCCCTGGAGCCGGCCTTGAAAGTATACTAGTATCAGTACGGTCACTTTGGTCAGATCATCGGAACCGCTCAACTATCGGACTCCAATGCATCAGAAAAACGCCGTATTCTAGTCTTCGAACAAAGTCGACTGACTGTCTGATAGTGGAAGACTTCCATATCGACGGCGACTTTTGCTACATCGACGCTTTGGCCTGTGAGCTGACTGGCGATTCGGCCCTCAAAATTGATGGAGGAGGATCTGCCTTAGTCGTTGTGCGAGATGTCGGTGCTGACATGGAAAGAGTCATCCAGGTCCGCCTACTATATTTTGGCTTAAGAGCTCGGAAAGTACATCGAAGATCCCCTCCGTGGCCCTGCTGGCTCTGCTACTTCTGGCCATGTTGTCGGAATCTGAGGCGAATTCCTTCGGCAAGCTCGAGAAGCGTGCCAATAACCCACGAAACGAGGCGGGTTGCCGCAAATAGTGCCGCGGTCTGATTCACTTTTCCCATCGGCAGTCACGGGCCCCTGACCCTACACGCTAGCCCGGCTTGACTGCTGTTGAGTCAGAGACCGTAGACTGCAGACCTCACGGTCACGTTCACGTTCACGGTCACAGTCATCGCGTCATGATCTCCACACAGACAGCTGGCTGGCACACATGCCACCAGCTTTGGCAATTCCTTCTGTCTCTCAGTTGACACATGCTTTCATGAGCTTGAGCATGATCTCAGCCAAGGCAACACTTAGCGTTTTCGGCACATGGTATGGACTGCCAACATTGACCGTAGACACTGCGAAATGATGGATGAGGAAAGATACGGGGAAATTGGTGAGAACTGTGTGCGATGACCGGTCACGGTCACAGTCGGAAGCGTGCAGCTTTGATCGAACACGGTTGCTCCCGGTCTGCAATGTCCTTCGTTGCCATCATTCGTCTCCAACCTTTATGACTGTGAGCTGTGAGCCGTGGAGAACTCAGTCAGATGCTTTTCCACGATTAGTACGGGCAGAGGGAGTACTCTCGAAAATATCCCCTTGAGCAGACGACGTGTCTTGTTGCAGGGCGTAATGAGAAATGACGCTTGTGGCCCTTTCGGCTGTGGCGCGGTGAAAATCCCAAAACATTGCTCTAGTGAAAGGAGTCTTCTATTAAAAAAATAGGAAGGTTTGGCGAGGCGTTCCCAACCTTTGTCTACTTGGACAAATGTTAAGATCCTTTGTGACCGTGGAAGAAGTGAGACCGAATGCATTGATCCGTACAGCCACAGTCTTCTCAGGCGGCGCATCTGACTTTGCCATGCGCTGTTCTCTTTCAATTGCTTATGCTAATGCTGCGCACGGGCTAGCTCAGCGGGGGGTGTTTGGATAACAACCCTGGGCGGGATACCCCTTGTATTTGTTCACCTATCGGCATTATCTCCTACTCGAACATAAATCAACCTGGTTTTGCTGTTTCAAGATTAAACCCGTGGCGGCTGAATTTTCTGGATCTAAGGCAGAACCAAACGCGCTATCTGACCCGCTTGTTTTGCGAAATCCGGGATAGTGCCCTACCGAGATTGGAATTGGGTTAGGGTTAGGGTTAGGGTGCACGAGGCAACGAACTGAACAGGCGCCAACTTGGAGTCACCATAGACCAATGCAGCAGACGGATGGGCGAAAGTTGAAATAAGAGAGCCGTGCAGCAGATCATGAAAGCGGAAATTCACTTGCGACTTGCTAGTGGCTATGAGTAGGTTACACGGACGAGGTAGGATGATCTGGCAAGATGCAGCGAGGAGGCTGCGGCCATCTCTGACATCGATTTGTGCGCTTACCTATCGCTCTGCTTCTTGCTCTCATGCATGTTGCATTTTGAGTGCGGCAATCATCTTATCAAGCGCTTCCTCCGGTCCTACAGTCGGAGGTCCGAGCTTGCGGACCTGCTCGGAGGTAGTGTCTGCCGTGTTCTTGCCGTCCCAGCCCACGATGAAGGCATATTTGATGGATGACATGACGTTGCAGCTGTGTGGGCCTTTCTGAAAGTACTCATCCAGGTAAGCGAGATCTTTATACTTAATATCTTCTACCTTTGTTCCAATGCGCCTCTCGACCATGCGTACAATGTCGCGTCCAGTTATGTCTGTTGGTCCTTGCAAGACGAGCTTTGCATGGTTGTATGGGCCGACGTCTTCCTGACCAAGAAGTCTGGCAGCGACAATGCCAACCTCACCGGGATCAATCGGGGCAGTCAGTCCGTCCTCGTTGGCTTGTAAGTGCAGTCGACCTGCTTTGACGTTTCCGCTCTTATGATGCTCGTGAATAAATTGTGCGGCCGTGTTGAGGTAATAAGCGTGAAAGACGTTTGGCTGAAGCGACGTCCATTGCAAATTTGAGTATTGAGGTTGCGACAGCATGTGTTCGATGGCCCAGTGTGCTCGTGGGTAATAGGCCCGGCAATCCGGCTCTACATTGGCTGCCGTGGTTGAAATGCGAACAACGTAGTTGACTCCAGCTTCGAGGGCTTCTCGGTGGAAGGTAGATTCTTCCGCAAAATGGTGTGGTTCATTGTGCGAGGCAATGAAAGCACGTCTAACGTTCCTCTTCTGCAACCAGTCCGCGGTTATCTCAGGCCAGGAGTACTCTTCGACTTCAACGCCATGTTTGGCCAGGTCCTGAGCAGCTTGACTCGTGGCAGAGCGAGTGAGAGCCAAGATACGGTAGCCGAAAAAGCTTTCCGAAGCAGGAAGAAGACGCGCAAGCTCGAGCACGACAGCCTTTCCGGTATTGCCGGTCGCGCCGACAATGAGGAAAGTCTTTGGCGAAGGAGACATGATGCCGGATGGAGGAGAAAAATCAAAGCGCCGTAAGGCAGAGTACAGTCAATATATGACTTTCGCGCTGACAGTTGCCTTTGGGGATGAGCTCGAGAAATTGGTGCCAAATGTTGTTCGTCATCGCTGCCATTTCTTCTGTTCGGAGTTAATGCGACATTCGCGGCAATACAAAAGCTACGCGCTCGTCGGCCTACGCGATGCAGAACAGGACTCAATCTGCTTAATTACGCGGGATCTAATGCAAAAGATCTCGCCGTCTTGTCCGAACGTTTGCACACCACCAAGGCTGAGGTGTACCTGTGTCGACCACGGCAGAACGTCCGGCCTCACCTTCAATCAATTTCATGATGGCAACGGAGAAACGGAAAAAATCCACTCAAGCGCAACTGGCTACATTTGTGGGTTAGTGCTGGCCGCGCTCATGACTTTGGATGCGCTCGCATAAACACGGTCTCATCTTGCTGCTCTAGCGGTGCACAGGCCATGCGAGGGATCCGGAGATCATGATGATTGCGGCGACCTTACTCGTAGACTGTAGATTGCCGCGGAGCATGACTGCATGATCATAGGGTGATACGACGTGCGATGCTGGACGTCTGTCCGTGTTTATCCGCTCGCACAATGCTGTCAACATTGAAACGAAGCGAATTAGTAATATCTCATCGGTAGCGAAGCCTACTGTGTAGATATAATATGGGGTTGGCGAGAAAGGAGACTTGTCTGGGCACTCTGTCCCCAATTTCCGCTGCGTAGAATCTAGCAACGTTGCAAAGATGATTTGCTGAAGAATCTAGCGTTCGATAGAGAGGCGCTGCTCAAACCTTGTCGGTGGTGCAGTGTCTTGCCAAGGAGAAGTGTAAGTCTTGTCAAGCCGAAAGCCTAGTGGCAAATTCTCGATCAGCTCGGAAAACCTCTCTCCGTCCTCTGCAAATGGCAGTGGACCGCCTCCGTGGTATAGAAGCTTGTCGTCCATAAATTGACAAACCAGGTTGGCCAATCTGGTGAGCGGTACGTTCCATCGTACGGGGAGCCACACTTCTTCGTTTGCTTGGGTCAGAGGTCGCTGTCTTTCTGCACCTAGTCGAGATAACTCCTGATCCCAGATCAGGATTGGCAATCGCGTATCAGTTTGCCTTGGATTGAACCGGTACGACCATTTGAACGCCGCTGCAAACTCATCGCGGCAGACAAGAAACCACCTGTAGGTACAAAAAGCAAGGGCGGTCAGATCGTGCCCGGAGCGCTCTTGCTGCACCTCTGTGTTGACGTTGTACCGCTATACGGTGCATGCTTGTCAATAGAGACTCACCAGGCGCGGACTGACATCTCGTTGTCTATTGATCGGAGTTGAGACACCTAGGCGATCTGATTTCAGAGACTCTGCACACCGGAGGGCGTGGAGGAACATCTGATTCTTGAAGCCGTCCGAATCGAGGTCCTACACGAGCAAAACGATGCAAGTCTGTTCCTGAGCCAGTGTGGCCTTTGTATCAAAAGCAACGCGCTTGAGCACTGAGGATGAAAGGGCATGGATCGCGTGCTGATTTTGCAACGTTGGCGAGTCTTTGGCAAGCTGTCTGCAAAGCTGAAGCTACACGGCTCGCTTACACCTCTAGGAGCGAACTGCTCGACATAACCACGATCTGAGGACCAGGGTCAGGTCATCGTACGCTGACCCAGTCGGAGAATATTGGGGCGAGCTTGGCTTTAAGGCTGGGAACGTGAACACAGCTGATCACGAGGCTCAGCATCGATAGTGAAAAAGCGCATAAATGAGGTGCTGTGCCGCCCAATCGCAGCGCGCGCCTTATCCAATAAAGCAGCGGAGAGAGCGCCTGACACTGCCCTACGACAGCTTAGCAGATCTTCTTCGTCAGACTGAAGGATCGAGACGGACGCTTGGGTGCGATGAGGACCCCCCCCCCCCC